ATCTTCGCCGTGCCAGCCATGTCCGACGAGCCAGAGCGATTGTTCAGTAACGCTGGAAACACGTTGTCACCGAGAAGACGTATGATGCAGGACGACACTACTGAATCACTGATGATTATGAAGTCTTGGCTTCAACAGGACGTCGTCAGCATCACGAAAGACGAAATGCGGCGGCTTAACAGCATGACTTCAGCCGTATTGTCAATACCTCGATCTCCGTCTGTCGGTTGAAACCTCGAACGGCGACTGATCGCCACGTCACGCACGACACGTCGTCACGCCACTACCAACCTCCAGCGTCGCGCGGACGACGTCGCTACGACATCGTCATCCTCCGTGTCGGCCCGAACACTGGGTCCGAGAAACCACCCCTCGGAGAGCATTGAAATGCCCCGAAAACACCGGGTTAGACATCGGCACAAATGGTCCAGCTGTTATGGCTCTGGCCATCTTAGCTCAGCGGTAGAGCAAGGGGATCGTAGACTCCAAGGTCGCGAATTCAATTCTCGCAGGTGGCTGAACTTTTGGCCTTTTGGCTCAAGCCGAGTCAAGCAAGTCAAGCCATCCCCTCGGACCTCTCAAGCAAGTCAAGCCCACGGTTTTGAGGCCTCAAGTCAAGCCAAGTCCAGGCTCCAGACTTGCTTGACTTGCTTGTGGCCACCTCTGCAAGCGTCCTTGTCGCAGGTGAGTGTCCAGAGGAAAATGTGCGAAGAAGGCAACTAAGCGTTCTGCAGACCAACGACACAGCAACAGCATGCTCAGAGTGAAGGCGGTAGCACAGCGACCTGGGGCAACACTGCTGACTCACCAAATTCCCGAGGGCCTCCCGAACAGATGCTCAGCAGGAACCACGACCCGGATACGGAATCTCTTAGCCGACGTAGGTTCCGTGACGATCCCTCGCCATATGAGATGCCCAATAAAAAGCATCGGTCGATGTCGCCTCCACTTACGCATGGTGATGAGCCTGCTGTGCGAGCTGATAGTGTGAACTTTCACGAATCGCCGATGGTTCCTCGGTCGCCCGTGAGAACACTGCGTGCAGACACAGACCCATACATGGTGGATTCGGAAAAGACCATCCGCCTGCTTGAGTCTTTCCTCTACAACGTCAACGACACCACCTACCTTTTGTACCCTCACGACTATTTCGTCTACTGGGCCAAGACGTCCTCGGGAAAGTGCCCGGACGAACTTTTGGTGCTATACGCCATCCTAGCTCTGGGATCGGTGTACATCAGAGATGCCGCCGTCAGCGCAGGACAGCAGGGAGCGGATCTAATGGGTGAAGCGTTGAGGAGCATGGGTCAGCGATGTGCAGACATTGTAAGTGAGGCACTCAGGAACAGGAGTGAGGCACTCAGGAATAAGAGCGACACTTTGACCTTGCCCATTGCGCAAAGTCGCTTGCTGCTTGCGTTGTACTGCTACTCCCAAGACGATGCGCTGGTCGCCTCTGAGCACTTGAGCCTGGCTGTGAACACCTTGACCTATCTCCATTTAAACACGGAGACTGGCTGCCTAGCGATCGATGCGGGCGAGCAACATGCATTCCGTTTCGACAGCGCCCAGATCGCAGAATGCAGGCGCCGCACCATGTGGGCTGCTTTCCTCATGGAGCGACACCTCAGCACTTCCACTTATCGCATCGACGTGCATGATATGGTGGTTCGACTGCCCTGCTCGGGAAGCGCGTACGAGCAAAGCAGGCAGCAGATGTCCGATGCACCCTTCCTTCACAGCACTTGCAGCAGTGATCGCGCTATCGTCCCCTCTGCTAGCCCGATGGCCTCTTTGATTCCGATTGCGGCATTGCTGGGGGATGTCAACAATTTTGTCTCACGGGGCCTGCATTCCCATCGCGGTCATTATGAAAAGACGTTTGATCCGCAATGCGAAGAGTTATGGGCACTGCTACAAAATTGGCGGTCGCAGCTCCCGGAACATCTCTCAAGCAGTCGGACCAACATCGATCGATGCATCCACGAAGGTTATGCCAGCCACTATCTTCATATGTGGGCCATGTACTATTGGTCGGTCATCAAATTGCATCGATACTACCGACATGAGTGGTTGCCGAAACGTCGTGCTGTACACATCACCCGTGCCTATGAAGCTGCTAAAGACTTCCTCTCCATGGCGACGACCCTGCGCAGCGTCTGGGGCGAGGTAAGCAAGAGCAACAGCCTGACGCAATCAGCCTCGCCTTTTGTCGGCAGAGCAATTGTTGCGGCAGTCGACGTTCTTGCCGCTGCTGGCCTCGAGTCGACTATGCGCGTCATTTACGACCTTACCCTGGCTGCCGCGCATTGTGTGACCGACCTTTTCGAAATATGGAAAGCCACCAAAGCGCAGCACGACGCATGCCAGCACCGCCCCTTGCAGATTTTAAATATCATGCAGCATCCAACTCGCGCTCGAAGCGGCTGCTGGGTCAGGAAGGAATGGGGCCTCGATCGCCGACTGGAAGAGGAATATCCTCTTGATTACGATGGCATCTATGGCGCCGCCAACCCGGACAACGACTACTTTGATGCCCTACACGCCATGAGTCGCAACCACAATAACAATAACGACAACATCAACCACCATACTGCACGAGGTCCGTAGGATCAGTGGCGACCTACACATTCCATATAACATCGGTATGAACTGGATTAACGATCTCCACATTAACGACGATACCCCTGTTTATTCACTCTTGGCGTTTCCCAGTTTACGATACGAATTTTTCTGTTTCTTTTCTGCTTGCATTTATTGTGGGACGGAGTTAATGGGCGGATGCATGATGCAGGGAGCTATGCCGCGATTGATATGCACGAAAATCTCCGTGATGGTTTCGGGCTAATGATAACCTTTCTCTCTGAAAATTGCCCGCCTGGCCAGGCGGGCACGGTGTCTCTCACAGTGACTCTAGTCTGTACGCTCTCGTGTCGCACCAGTAGGCATGCCTTTCGCGGTTGCACATCGCGATGTGAAATACGATGGAGCTTTTTTCATGCCACAGCATGCGCGATGACTCATTTCCTCGAGATCATGTAGGCTTATGTGGATTGGGCGCTGGCGTCTGCGTCCAGAGACGATGAGATGCACAAGACACGGCAATTTGCAGGTAGTGAACGGTGCACAAGGCCCCAGCAAGCACACAGGTCTGTCCGTCGTCCGCGCTCGTCGTTAGCATCGCTAATCTGACCTTCAATCATCATCACCCATACATGACCGCCATCATCATCATCACAACGTTCGGCCGATCGGAGAATTCAGCCAGGCGACGGCATGCAATATCTCCCGCAACACGAGCGAGGAGGGGTTCCCTGCTGCTTCCCGGACTAATCGCTCTGGCCGGGTCTTTTGGACAAAGCATGAACCCCGGACGCGACATTGTGATAGGACTGTTACGCCAACGGTGCATGCGCGCCTGGACAATCGTGCAGTAGCATCCGCAAGGGCAGTCATTTTTTATGCCTTTCATCCTCTCAGTTAATTTACTTTTTTTCGGAGGATTTTCCCTTCGAGCCGGGCGTTGCACGCCAGAGGTGGGGCCGGAGCAATTGGATCGATCGTCCCGTTCGTCACCTGCATGCACGCGTGCATCCACATGAGGTCTCTGCTTTCCAAGGTTGTTGTCTCCACACCTGGGCAGTCAATCAATACCTGTGCCTCGTCTCCTCCATTGTGCAGTGGTGGCTTTGTCGGCTCTCGTTATCATTGCCAGTACTGCATCCTCTGGATCCGGCATATCCATGACCATGATGATCGTGATGATCCCTCGCAAGTGTCTCGTGCTCACTGTGGTTCCACATCTCCATCTCCATTCACACATGTGCATCCCTGTCGGAAAAACTTCCAGAGGAGCAAGCCGATAGAAATGTCAGCTCGTACGTGCACCTCCGGCGGCGATCCGCCCAGTTCGAGGAGAGCTGTCCTGGTGCGTGTCTCGTTGCATGAGGACTATTGGACTGTAGAGTACATGCCAGCAGCTCTCGAATCACACCACTGTACTTCTGAGACGACTGTATCACTGTCGGGTACCGCCGTCTACCACCTGCTGTACTGTCCTGCACATCCATTATCATCACCCAGGTCACGTCACCGAACTCGACGCCCAAGGAAGGGGGGCGCGCCTGAAGCGGCACCACCAAACACAGCCTACTGTACCCGATGCATCGTGTAGTCACATCCGCCCACCAAATGGCACTAACAATTGGCAAGGTTTTCAAGTACCGCGCCCATCGTCCCACGCGCGTCCACATCTCCTCCTCCAGCTCGTCGACCGGCGCCATTTCAGCAACATACGGTGGAGACACCCAATCCATTTGTGGCCAATTTTGATTACATGTGTTCCAGACGAAGGCCGGGCTCGTCTCGTCTTGCAACTAAGTATGGTCTATACTAAACGGACCGTCTAGTGTCGACGGCACAGCAGCCCTCGGGATGATCGGCCACATTCCACATTCCATATTCAATACGTGTATTGCAGAAAAGAAAAAAGGCAGACGCCTCACAACGGGCATGCAATTTGGGGCTCTGGGATGTGGCACGGGCAGTATATACTTGATCCAATTGCACATGTACGTCGACTACTTGTGGGTATATATACGCACATACAGTGTTGCTGCTTTACACTACCAGATCATTCGACGTCCGCGAGCAACCTAGAGAAACCGACGTCTTTTCGTCAAAGATACGTCTACGTTGCAGTGTGGTCTGACGATACAAATCCAATAACAATCCCGAGTCGTCTGAAGCACGGCTTACACGGCAGTATATACCTCATGATCAATTTGTGTAGTGATATAGACAAGTCACTCTGGCCGGTCTGGGTACATGCTGCGGGTCTACTTCGGAGTGGTAGAAGAGGTACCTTGTTACTAACAAGTTCACGCGCCGTAAAATAGATTAAATGCACCACCACATCGAGGGCGACAATCTCGTCAATACACTTTCCGTTGCCGTTCCGCCCATCCTCGTGCCTAAGCGAAAAGGTACACGACCACTTGCGCGATGCCACTCGTCAGCTCTTATCTCCCGCTGAACCAAGCGCATAGCAAACCCCTTCGAGTCAAAAACGTGGAGAAATATATTACATGTTGAAGGGCAATGTTGCGTATCCGTCACGTCACGGCGCCATCCTTCGAGCTCCTCGAGTCCATGCTGAAGGACAGGCATTGCCCGCGAGCCACTCGACTCATCTCTCATCAGGATGGGTTGTAGGACGCCTGAGAGCCCACCATAGTCGATGGCGGCCAAGTTTCTTTTCCCTTTTTACTGCCGTCGATCCTGCGCTGGCGGGTCGGTCGTCACTCTCAGCAGCTGATTGGACTGCCGGGCGTTCTGTGCGCAATTGACGGGAATATGTTTCAGGCCCTGGCGTGCTACACACAACCCCTCGCGGCTGCATGATACACTATGATAACCAGGAAGAGAGTGATTGCAGTATGGGTGACGAAACGTCCAAAGCCATCGACCAGGCTCATCCCTGCTGTGTAATGCGCAAACCTCGACCGGGACAGGGTAGTGGCACCGTGCCTCTGCACCGTATGTGCCACTTGCGAAGAGTGTTCATTTGGTGATGGAAGCGGTGGGTGAGACGCTGAGTGTGGTTACAGGCGGGCGACCTTCTACTGCCACTAGTGCAATGCCGCTGCGGACGGCAGATCGGTTAGCAGGAGATGGGAGGGAGGGCATCTGGTTTGCGATGGATGTCTGTGCCATGAGCATCTGGGTACAAGGTGGTGGTAGGTGCGCATGTGTGCCGGCGACAGGGAAGAGGGCAATCGTTACTGGTGCTGCGCCGTGCTGGGATTTGTGGACATTCGTGGATTTCCGAGTGTGCCAGGTGGAGATGCGTGTGTGTAGCCGACCGGTCAGCCTTCAGGAATGGGGCAATAGCAGACGAGTGACGAATGATGGCGGGTTGCAGCAGCACCTCAGGCTTACGATCTTTTCGCCCTTCACACCACACCCAAAGCAGTTACCGAGCTTCGGCATGTTTTTGCTGCAGTTAAGCGAAACTCTTTTTTCTCCGGCCGGAGCATTCTAGGTGCCTGCTGCTGCTTATGCTTTCTACTAGCCCGGCCCCAGCACCTCATCACGACGCCTCGATTTTACATGTTAACCAACCACTACCCAGACCTGTCCGTCAAGATGTGTCAGCCTCCGGCCGTCGAGAACTCCTGTCCTTCATTTGGGAACACCTGAACTACTCTCGTATCAACCCCGCGAAGGGATTTACTATCGACATCTCGGGATAGATGTCCATCGTTTGCACGAAGAAGAGCCCTCTTCTTTTGCAATCAAAAAGTCGATGCGTCGACCAGGCATCGTCACTGCCAAGCTGGACACGGGAAACGCGGTCCCTCTCGTGCACCCATCGCACGCTACGACCGACTAACGCTGTGGTCAAGTCTTTCGGCTCTCGCTTTTGTCCCTGTCGCCGACAGTGCGATCCCTGATCGCGCAACAGATCTGGGAATTATCCCTCTTGATAATTAGTGCCTCGGAGAATTTCCCGTGAACTCGACCGCGAAGAGCGCACCTAGGTGCATGGCGATAGCGTGGAACGATGCTGCCCTGTTGTGATCATCGTCATTATCATCATCATCCCTCGGTTTCGCATGCTTGTTGCAGGATCAGTGGATTGGCTCGATTGGGATATCACGTGAACCAACATCAAGTCACGTGTTTCATGCAGCAAATGGTAGATTTCCGTCAAGAATGCCATCCTTGTATAATATGAAAATAGCAGTGCCTCTGGCCTCACAAAATAAACCAAGGAACCCAGTTGATCAGGTGATTTCAAGTGAACCGAAATTCACGAATCCGTATCAAGTGCGGTGAATACAACGCCATGCCGAAAGGAAGTTGCGTCTGTGGTGATTTCACCTACGAATTGGACGGCGCGCCTCATACCGCGGTACGTTTCGTGCCCACACTAGGATTCTGTCGTAGTAATAATGGCCGCCGGATATTCTGACCATATCCAAGCTCATCTGCCATTGTGTTCCCTGTCAGAAGAGCGGTGGACCTAACGGTAGCTATGACCTGATCATTAAACAAGACAAGGTACGCCTTGACCCTTCCGCCGCTTCGTACTACTCATATTGTAGCCGGTATCAGCGGAGTTCGTTGGAAATGACAATGTCCGCGTAGGTCAAAAAGCTCGCTGGCAAGACAAAGTCCTTTGTGCGGAAAGGCGACTCGGGCAAGGAGCTCGCCTACGACCTGTGTGACAACTGCGGGACCACCATGTGGTGCACTCTTGAGATTATTCCCGGAATGCTTATTGTCAAAGCGGGTACGCTCGATGATCCAGAGTATTTGGAACATGAGGGAAGGCCAGTAAAGGAACTCTTCACGAGGAACCGACCCAGCTGGTGCTGTGGATTGGAAGGTGTCGAACAGAGAGAAGGAGCATGATGATACATATAACCCAACCCCTTAGGGTTGGGTCGAGAATGTCATGTTCAGTTTGCATCTTGGAATACACTAAGATGTATACTGACTGATGACTTCCTCGATGATGTTGAAGCCGCCCAGGGTCGTCAATAGCCGTGGTGGTAAACATCGAGAATAGGAAAACGGTGGCAGCATTCCGAAGGATGAGGTCGAATAACTTTCGTAGATTCTCTGAGCTTGTGACGACGTCATTCAAGGGTGTATGCTCATAAGTAGGCACATTCCCAGAGCACCAGCCACAAGTCGAGGTATACAGTGGCCCACACCCGAGGTTCAAACTTGAGTCGAGAAAGAAACGTTCGTCAATCTAAATTTTACTTGGACGGAGAATGAGCAGACTCCTGCAGCCCCTGCCACCAACCATGGAGCTCTCCCGCGCGCACGCGCTCCTCCTCCCCTAACTCCACTGGCGGGCCTTTCATCTCTTCCCGGGCATCATCCAGACCACTGGCTCGCGTGTGAGGCACCGAATTTAAACGGCTCTTATCGTAGACTGCATCGCTCTCGTTCATCACGTAGCGCCAAACGCACCAGGCGGACGCATCTGTAGACAAGAGGTAGGGCTGCCGGGCGCGGGACTTCACGGCAAAGTCACGAAGTAGGACAACGTCGCCAGCATGTGCAATCGGAAGCTGAGAATGCCAGGGCCGGAAAACCTCAACAATAACGGTATTGGCTGGAGCTTCAATACTGGGATCCGTGACGCTGAGAACAGTGAAGAAGTCTCTAGGTCCGCTCTTGGCCCTCTCGGCCTTTTTGCCGTCTTCCGAGACGACGGCAAGTATGTCGACGGTGCTTTTGTGATGTGATTGACCAGGATTGTTCAATCTCCGTTCAAGCTGTGAAAGTGACACGAAGTAGCTGTAGCTTGTGGCGATACCCATTGCTGCCCATCTAGGCTGACTGTCCTCCCGGCCGCGTTCGCCCTCGGCTTCGACCACAAGCTGAGGCTGCTCTTTCTCGACCTCTCGCAGACGAGTCGAGCGCCGCGGACTGAACCAAGATGAGATCGCGTCTGGTACATGCCCAAGCCGTGCAGGCATCGATTTCCTCGCGCTCGACTTCACGCCGGTGGCTGTCATCTGATTGTGGGTTGCATGCTCCATTTCAGATCGTCTTGACGACTTGGCAGGAGTCACTGTGGCTTCTCCGGACACATGACCACGCGACGCAGTTGCGATGCCTGGCTGTCGTTGAGTTGTGAGCGCCCCTACCGTTGTCTCATGCATGGATGTTGGAATGCTGGGTTCTCTTGGAGTGATAGAGCCGACGGACCCCAGGTCACCGTTACTTTGTTCTTCATCTGCAAGGGTTCTGCCATGATTCCCAAATAACCGCACTACCGGGACTTGAGGGCCTTTTGTTGCGGTCATTGTGGGCTCAGCAGTCGCCGACGCCGTAAGGGAGGCTTGGCTGTCCTGAATAATGGGAACTCCGTCGATGGACTCGTCCCGCAGAAGGGGACTTGCATGCACAGATGGTATAGTTGAAAGTGAATTCGAGGGGTGATCTTGCGCTCCTTGTCCAACATTGTAGTCTTGTGTCTGAACAGCTACCGACTCTACCATGTCATCAATTTCGTTGCTTGGTTCAGATCCATGGTTGTCCGCAATACCAACGGCGTGAAAAGCTTCCGAACCTCGATTCCCCTGCTCCACGTTCGCTTGGGACTCGCGAAGCGGGGCGACAGCCTGAATTTCTGTTTGAGTGATTGCTTTCGACAGATCGGCGCTGACGACTGCGCGGTCTGCTTCTGACTCGCCAGCGACACCATCAAGTTCTTCGTCGTCTATGACTGTAATAGTAGGCGGTCCAGCTATAGCCTTGCTAGGTGGGAGCAGATGTTGAGATAAGCTGTTGTACTGAGTTGTGTTGGTGACACCCGTGAGTGATGCTTCGAAAGAATCGATCTCGATATTGTCATCTATAAAACTTTCCTCCAGTGAATGCCCCGATGTGGCATTCTCTTTGTCCCGATGGTCTTCAAGCTGCGTTGCCTCAGTTTGCTGCAGCATGACCGCCTGACTCTTTAGACCTGAGAGAATATCAACAGAGACGTGGCTCGAAGCAATCTCAGTGGTGGGTGGGTGTAGAAGCTCCACAGGTATCTGGGGTCGAAGGCGCTCCATGTCTAGGCTATGACCTGTTTCAGCATCGCCTGAAAAGGAGGTGTAGTTTCGCTCTGCTGTAAATGAGCCGTGGTTATCCAGATTCATCGATTCGACATCATGAAAGTCACCGTGCTGTTCGCGGTGTCTGTTTTTCACATATTGAGAGCCCGTCAATTCTCCTTTGATTGTAGAGGCTGTATGATCGACATCCGCACCGAACATGGTTGAGCTTTGAGTGGACATGAAAAAATCCTGAGTGGAATGCGCTGTAGCTGTGGACGGGATGTCTGTGTCTCTCCACTGATGCTGAAATGTACCTTCGCCAATCACGGGATCGGGCGTCTCATCACCAGAAGACTTCTCTGCACCAGCATCCACCTGATTCTGTGCCGTAGACGAGCTCGCGATAGATGATGCCCGGTCGTCATGATCTGTATCCAACGCATAGTTCACAGACTGTGCGCCGTCGAAACCAAAGAGGCTTCGATACGTTTGATCCATCACCTTCTCCCGACTTGAGCGGGTCGAAGAACCAGACTGTGGGACAATCGATGATGCAAGGTCGATTGCGTCGTGACTACTTGGACGCAACGGCGTGGTAAGCTCATCCGCAGGATCCGTCATTAGCACGATGGCCTGAAGTCCTTCCTCTTCGCCTTGTGTCCAGTCGACCAATTTATCCGCATCTGCGTCGTCGTCAACATCATCAGAATGACCGTCGTCAGATAGATCGATATGCACTTGCTTTTCTCGATCAAGTCCTGAAGTAGAAGCGACACTGCTTTGTTCCACCGAGCGATGTGCTCTGTAAGAAGATCCAGTGTTCCCTGATGGGATTACCTGAGTTCGGACCATGGAGCTCTTAACAACGTCGTCGTCTGGGTCATGCCCAGCAGATGTGCGGATCTGCGTTGGTGACTTCCTGTGCGGACTTTCGTAATTTGCGACAGAAATGCTTGGAGATCTACTGCGTTCGAAAATGCCATCATAGCTGTTCAAAGCCACGCTGGCATGATCGTTTTGCACGAAGTTGACGGCATCGATTCTGGTCCTCGTTTCCAAATGCCGAAGATTTTGTTTCACAGCGTCAAAATTCTCTGGACCTGCATCGACCATCATACTAGTCGACGGGTCGATTGGAGATGGCTGACCATCTTCTAAGCTAGCTGCATCGTACACCGGCCTGTTTGTCAACCTGTCCTGGCGAAGAACAGACTGGGAGGGTTTGTCCGGATGGGATTCAGGCAGGGCTGATGTTTTATTGAAAGGTGCGCCCTGTGAGATAGGACTTTGAAGCTCCAACTCGCCGACATACGAAGCATTTGGAGTTTCACACTCATTTGTCTGAGTTACAAGTTCAGACTCAAGCTCGAGATGATGGTGTGACTGCATCTCGGTCGGTAACTCGGAGACGACATCATTCAAAATAATGGCTCGTGGGCTCGTGGACAATATAGCATCAGATTGTCTATTTGATCCATCCTGCACGGATGTACTTCCTGTTTGCATAGGTGTGGCAATTGTGGGGATTGGAGGAGACGAGAGTATAGATCGAAGACTATGGTCTGCGCGAGGTGAGCTTCTTTGATGTTGTTGGGGAGGCGAAAGCGAGCGCTCGGTATACCGCCACTCGATCTTTCGCCTCTTCCGAGGAATGTATGGCGTATCTAGATCGTCCTCGGCGAAGGGATCGAGGACAGGGCTCGAAGATGCTTCGCCTGATAGTCGAAGACGTCTCACGAATGCTGGAGACGCGTGCATTGGAATGGAACTGACCTTGAGCGGATCGTCCTCACCGTCTCGAAGTCGGTCGATTTGCCCGTACTTGGCTGGCGTGATGGGCACCCGAGCATGTCCTCTGGTGCTTTCATTGCTATCCTGCCGTACTCGTATATCTGCATCACGGTCTTGACCAACCACTTTGAGCCCGAGCGATCCGCGGTAGACGAGTTCGCCCTCTACACTCCGGCCCGGCGTAGACACAAGGCCTACAGGATCTTCTCGCCATACAGCACCGTCAAGCTCAAGAAGTACCTCATCGCCTATGCCTATCCTGCTCTTCGCGATTGCTTCTGCGGCAGGTCCGGTGAAGAGGACGCGCACTTGGCCTCTGTGATTCCGAAGACGAAAGTCAGGATCTGCGAGGAGTAATGCACACTGCTTGGTGGATGTGGAATATGGCCAGGACAGTGTTATCACGGCTCGAATTGAGCAGTCCTTTGGTGGTGCTGTGGCCGGCACAAGGGATGTAATGGGAATTATGGCGACCATCGCGTCCGACGGTGATTCAGAATTCCCTGTGAGCGCATCAAATTGCAAGCTGATTCATGAGTACAGCTCTCTCTCACATCGGTGGGGAGGTGGATGGTTCCGCATGATCAAGCATTATAGCAAGCTCGCGTGGCATCACGCGTTGCCCGCGCGATTCACTTTATTAAATCCGGAGAGCAACAACCAACCAGTGTTGGTGATGTAATCGGGGGAGCGAGCTGTTGAGGTTGGCCTGTGCTTGCCACAATTCATACGGCTACACTTCTTGCCTGCTTTGGCAAGCAATTGGAGTGCCGGCTCTATAATCACATCTATATCACTAAGTGCCTAGGTACAACATTCAATTCATCTGATCATTCCGACGACCTCGCTATGGATCCCAGTGGTAATCATAATCCCGCAAATTTCGTGCAAATCTCGTGCCAAACTCACAATATTAACGCAATCCTCGAGTTGAGTCGGACACACCCTGAAACTCCCCTCCCTCCCACGAAGCTCACTTTTCAGTAATTGCTCCGGTGCACAACTGTTCCTCCTCGTCGAAACTGAACGCTGTCTCGTCGTACGAGAACTTGCAGCGCACGGTTCAGAGCTTGCTCGCTGTATCGCTTGCGATCAACGAACTCGCTACGCAGACTTGCTAGCGATGCAGTGTAGCCAATCGGTAATCTATGAGTGGGATGTTAGCAATCATTTGATATGGCGAGGACCGTGGAATATCGTCACCCACCGTCTCCTTAATTCTTCCTCCACCTTGTGTACTTCTTCGACGAGCTCACGGTTTCCACCGAGCCCAAGAGCTGCAGTGTCGCCACCAGCACTCATCACGGCGTCCATTGTGCTTCCTAGGAAAAGTCTGATCGCTTCATCAACATGCTTCTCTGTAGCGATCGGTTGCAGCTCAATCTTTGCCAGCGCCTCGGTGATGCGCACAAGCGATTCAAGTTGACGAACGGTGATAGGGATTGATGAGCGCTGGTTGGCATCCTGCTCTGCCCGAGCGACCTGTCGTCGAATGCTGACGAAATGCGAGCTCAGCTTTTCCGCCGCCTCAGCGCTGAGCCGGGGCGCGCAGCGAGATTTTGCGTAACTGATGTAGCGTTTCATTTTCTCCACTGGTATTTCCGCTTTCACTTGTTCTTGAACACCTTGTCCGCCCATATGGATACCCATGACGTGCTTTGCTATGGTCTCATCGCGATTTCGGTCGTGATCGTCCCGCACGATAAAGATTAGATCGAAACGGGACAGGATCGTGGTCTGGAAATCAATGTTTTCTCCAGGGGTCTTGAGATCATCATATCTGCCGAAGATTGGGTTTGCAGCGGCAAGCACTGACGTGCGGGCGTTGAGGATCGTTGTGATACCAGCTTTGGCGATCGATATTGTCTGCTGCTCCATAGCTTCGTGAATGGCTACTCGGTCCTCGTCCCTCATCTTGTCAAACTCATCAATGCAGACAACACCGCCATCAGCGAGGACCATCGCGCCACCCTCGAGGTAGAATTCGCGAGTGCTAGTATCCCGTTGGACGCTAGCAGTAAGACCAGCGGCAGAAGAACCCTTGCCGGATGTGTAGATTGCAATAGGAGAACATTTCTCGACGAACTTCAGCAGTTGCGATTTTGCTGTACCAGGGTCACCAAGCAAAAGAACGTTGATGTCTCCTCGTAATTTCATCCCATCAGGGAGAATCTTCTTACTACCACCCATCAGTAAACATGTGATGGCCTTCTTGATGTCCGCGTTGCCGTAAATCGAGGGCGCAATGCAGTTGGCGAATAGTGAGTAGAGGTCTGGCCGTCTTGACAGCTCCAAGAATTCCTGCTCTTCTTGCTCGCCGAATTGCATGCCCAAGCCGCTAGCTTGATTGTTGGACAAATCCGTCTGCAAACCCACTGCACGCAAGTATGGATTTCGAATGGCTACCGCCCCACTTCCCTTGCTATTCTTTTGACTTGCGTAGATGCTGAACACTCCCATCACCACACATCTGGTGCCAGGCACGACGCGATTGGCGAGATACCTGTCGGCGCTCACCAAGATGTGTCGCGGCAGTTCTCCCACAGGCACATCATCGGGCGCTTCTTGTAGCTTCAAAACCTGCTGATCGATGAATTGCGACTTCTCGTGCACGACGAAATAGGGATCGAGTGGACATCGTTCGTTTTCGCCAGGACCTGGGTTTCTGGGACGTGCGCACGTTCGTGGCAGAGAAATTCCTGTAAAGCCAGATGTGATCGGTAGGCTGTGCTCGAATGCGCATTGTCGGCATTGAACATGAAGTGCCGTAGCTTTCGAGCTGAGAGTGCTCGCGCCGATGACAATTCCGGGGATGCGGACTAGATGTGACACGTTTGTGGCAGTGAGACCTCGAATGCTAGTCTGGGAGACTGAAGAGTGCAACAGTAGCTGGTGATTGGGAAGCGCCTTTGCTGCAGCGAGATCTGTTGCGCTACGTGAAGGATACAGAATGCGTTGCGTACATATCCTCAGCGCATTCTCAAACTGGGAGAGAGTCAGGGAACAGTGTACTTGAGAAGAGGAAATCGTACTTGCGTACTATGGGAATGATTTCTGCCGGTTCATTGTTCAACCTATCCGCGAGCTCTTCGCTGTATGCAATCAGATGTGTGACATCCACGTCGCAATAGTATTGTTTCGACAGAACATTCTCCCGAATTTGATCGCGATAGATGAAGACATCGTCGAGGTGAAATTGTAGGATGAAATCGACGAGAGCTTTCGTGATTTGTTGGTTGCTGTTCTCGCCATCTTCGTTGCGGCTTTCGGGAAAGAGACTCAAGCTATATACTGAACCTTGATCCATCGTGCAGATGTCGTCCGAGTGTGTGTACAGATCTCGTGCCGAAGTCGCGATCGTGTTGAAGCTGAATGGAGGCGGGGCATACAATTTGTGCTTAAGTCGGGACGTGCAAGGTCGCGCGTTTGCGACGCGACGCAACAGAGTGCTTGCATGACTAGCGCGTTTCTCCCCTCGCACTCCTCTCTCATCATTATCGACGGCCGCGAATCAGCGTCCCAGAGGAAAGTGACACTACCAGGCCCGAGGATCGCAAGGTTTACATCAGATTCAACATGGTCATATCCCATCAGCACTTTGATGTTGGCTATGATAATCACGTGCAATGAAATGATCACAGTGAACGTGACAGATAGTACCACTGTTTCTGCTAACCTGATGACCAACAGATTTTGAAAGCCCAGCTTCCCGTTGATAGGAACGATTCAGACGCAGGCCAGTGTATGATCACAGATACCATCAGCCTCGCTCAAACGACGAGTACTTCGATTCCACATCTGCGTGCTCACTTTTTCTTCTCGCCTTGGATGGTTGCCACTACTCTCCTTGCCTGTTTCGCTGCGCGGAATTCCAATAGCCATATTCCCTGCCATGTGCCAGTGTTCAGCTTGCCGTCCGTGATCGGTATCGACACACTGGCGCCGATGAGTGCACTCTTGACATGGGCCGGCATATCATCTAGTCCTTCGTCCGCATGTCGATAAATCTTGCCTTCCGGATCCTCGGGTGCGAGACGATCGAGCGCGTCAGTCATGTCCGCACGAACGTCGCTGTCAAAGTTCTCGTTCAACGAAAGTGCGCATGACGTATGTTGGATGAATAAATGCAATAGACCAGTCTGATACGAGCGAATTTCGGGGAGCGCATTCACAACCTGATCGGTGATGAGGTAGCTTCCCTTGGCACGAGCTGTCAATGTGAATTGCTTTTGAGACCAGGACATCGTGGCGAGCAGCGGCAAGACCGGAGGTGTATTGATCGAGCAGCTGGCTGGTGGGCAACAGTGACAACTTGGTAATGCCTGCGGGCGTTTGTCGCCTACGGAGAAGAGACTGAAGGGATTGAGAAGAGGCTGGAGTAAAGTGTGAAGCGCGCCTGGGAAAAAGGCGAGGATGAAGACGGCGAGAAATATGCAAGTATTCCGTAAATTTGTCTCGAAAGGCATTGAGGCCGAAGAGTGTTTGAATGATTTGAATCCACAACCGACGTTCGGGTCTAAGTCAAGTCGTGACCCCCCAATCCCGATTGACGCTCCTGACGTCAGCGACCTGCTTATCGATTGACTGGATCCACATACAACCACGCAATCTCCAACGATATTTATCCATCAGCAGAGTCACGAATTCAGGTCGAAAATTGTTGAATCAGCAGTGTCATGACGAGTGGAAGCGTCGAACCTTGAGTCGCAAGTCATGACTAGATGTTAGATGTAGGTTCAGTGCTATCGCGCACAGCGTGTTGCAATGCAGATGAAGCAGACAATATCAATACAGGCTTCAAAGTCTTTGACCATCTGTCTGTGGGCAACACATACTGGATACCTCACAAGCTACCTGACTCTCCGTCTCGAACCTACTGTGCTCATCAAAACAAGCGATTTCGTTGTTCAGAAGCCCAATATCTTCCGTTCCCATTCAAGCCTTCTTCGACTTGCTGCTCTTTTTGACTTTGGGAGCCCGCTCGAAATATAAGCCGCCCTCGTACTGGGCATTCCGCTTCCATTCCCCTTCCATCTCTTTGATGGCCATGAACGTGCTGTCACAGTCAGTGAAACAGTCTTGCTAATTGCCCTACAAAAGTGCTTACCACAAGTCGTCGTCGTGACCGGCCTGTCTGACCCAGAAGTATTGGGAGTCTTTCACACCCACCGGTTGGATCTTACGCGGATCATTGGCGCCCTCACGTGCCGCTAGTTTCATGTTGTCTTCATCGACTTGGGCTTTTGTACGACCGTAGTAGACGTTCGATTGAGGCGTCGATACCGCGTGATAGCCAGTCACATAAACTGCTGATTGCTGTGGCCAGGCAGGGGCAACAGGAAGGTAGTGGCCAGTCGGGTATGTCATGTAATGGGAGCCTTGCGCGTAATATTGAGGCTCGAGACTTCCAGCTGCAGGATAGGCCTGATAGACGGGAGGTTGAGGGTGGGAGCCCTGTTGTAGCACATTGTGTGGAGGATGGTATGTGTGAGAGTGAAGGCCATTGTTGGCATCATAACCTGGTGCAGCAGACCCGTATGCTTGCCACATCGGAGAGTCGTCGGCCCAATGTTCGTGATCTTCGTTTTTCATGATTGCCTTCTTCAATATTTAGCTTCAGACTTGTGCAATATCGCACAACGCTATCGAGCAGTGTCAAGATCGACAACGCACTTGTGGCGGATTGGACAAGAATACAGAACGATTGACGAAGTGGTCTCGGAGCATCAGCCGCGAAACGATTAAGAGGAAGAGAGAGAGAAGGGAAAAGTTTACACATCAACGCTCCACATCAACGAGCAAAAGCAAGTGTTTGGCAGAAGAGCAGGTAATTGAGGACAGGCTGGCAAACATCTGTCGAATTTACCTTGGAGAGTCGCTTTTTGCTCGGTCTTCGTGGAGGCTCTTCGAGGATTGCATCCGCATATGCCCACAAACACATCGCAGAAGATTGAAATCAATCATTGCAAGCGGAGCTTGCCAGTCCTTATATGCTCTGAGAAAAGCACATTGGCACGGGCAGCAAGTGAAAGGATCTGACTCTCCACCGATGACAGCCGATGACATCCAATCCCACCTGCGCTTGAACTGTATTAATTATTAGCCGCCTTCCGTCAGGGAGCTATCACACCTTTCACATGGATTATCTACATAGGCACCTAGAAATGAAACGACACCCATTTCGTTCCTTTCAAGGTTCAAAATGATCATCTTGTGCCTTGACTCAGATGCATCATCCGATCAAGCCCGAGGGCTTCTGGCATGGATTGAGCAACTTGTTTGTCACTCGTTGCAGAGGACGCACCGCAAGCAATCCGTTTTGCTGTGAATGTAAGCCATCTTCGCCCGTTCGCAATGAACCAATGCTGCCCGGGCATGAATGAAGACTGACGGGCGTTACGTGATTTGGAACATCCCGTTCAGATTGATGTTAACGGGAACTTCATGACAAGCGCTTCTCTTGCAGGTCTAAAGCCAATCCATATTTGTTCAAAGGTCCGATTTGACACATCCACAACGAAGCTGTTTTGAGTTTCACATCTGCCTTGTTGCAGTTGTGAATACCAAAGTGTGCCCAATGTTCCAAGCTTCTCAATGATGAGTTTCACAGGTGAGGGAGTCAACTTTCACCTGGGAATCTTGAAACACGCTAGATCGCGGTAGCTCGTGACCTTTGCTAGAGCGCCAAGGCACCTGGGCAGCTAGAGTTCGAGGCTGCAAACAAACTTACCGCTGAAAGTCGCCCGTGCGCCGTGCTTACCTCATGTGCTGCCCGATTGGAGCCCTCGACGCATTGACTGCAGCTTGCTCGAACATCAAAGCTGGACGACTTCATTGTGCATTCTGTCAAGATCCATAAACGGACCTGTGCGCGCCACAGTCAGAATGCTTCAACGAAGTGCTTGCAGAGCCACTTCCACCCTTGGCCGGCGGTCGCCAGCCGTGCTGCGATTCTCTTACAGCACCACCGTGACTGGCAACACTGTCCCGGCAAATGATCCCGAATCTCGAGAACGTCCTGCTCCCGCCTCTGTCACCAATGCCACCCCAACCAGCCCTCGCGGTGCGCAAGCACATGCGCTACAGGAGACTCCGGAAGCTGGTGAAGCAAAGCGAGTGATGCAGGCACCTAACCGAGCTGCAACCTGGAGCCGGAGTCAGCAACCTCGAGAGCAGGCCATGGTTGGTCCGCGATTTGAGCAGACCATCATGGAGGACCAAGTACGTTGATTCCGTTGCATCACACTGTTTCAATCCGGCAGCGAAAAGAGTACGGGAAAAATGGAAGAGCAAAGTAGCCGACCGAGCGTATTGGGTAGAACAAAGTGCATCTTTTCTGACGAGATTTGTTACAACTATAGCCTCGGCCTCTGGCTGCCATCGATTTGATTCACCAGCAACCTGTCACCTGGACGAATAAGCGCGTAGTGTCGTGCGATGGCGGCGGCGGACCATTGGGTCACCCGCGCATCTTCATCAATGTCGACAAGCCCAAGATCTGCTGGTGTACATATTGTGGTCTTCCATTCGTAAGTTCCATATTGAGTCCCTCATCTATAAAAGCTGTCTAGCAGTGTCACACTCGAGCGGTTCGAGCATTTGGTTGATATTGAACTCTGGCAGGCCCACGAGCACCACCGAAAACATCTTCAGAGTCTGCCATCGACATCATATCCTCTGGAGCCTACTACAGGCAACGCAGCACAAATCCCAGCGGCTCATTACGGCAGTGGCTCTGCCTCAACCGGTTCCACAACCGATTTCCAATCCAACACCGGAAAGCCTTACGAGCAAAGATAGACCAGCCTGAATCCCCTTTTGTATATGTAGGCATTATACAAGAATCGAAACCTTTTCACGTACCAAGAAGCATCTTTGAGCATACACACGCCACTGGAACTTCGCTGAAATATTCGCAAGCCTTGTCACGGTTCAAGCGAGGCTGCGCGTCGCGAAGAATGTCGAACTCCCAGCCATGATCCATCCCACACCTCGAGTCGTATGTCTGCTGTGAATTCTCCATCTGCGCAATCACCGCTTTCCGCCGTGTTATGAGTGCTTAAACTTTTCGAAGCATGGTAGCGATTTGCTCTTCCTCGCTTGCTCCGTTTCCAAACGTGCAGCAACTTCGAGCATCATCTGTATATTGTTAATCGTCGAGAAGGTTAGCATAACCTGTGTTATGATTCCCGCGTTGCTGGCCATGACCACCGAATCCATTTCCTGAGTTGAATCCGCTTGCACCTCGGCCACGATAACCACCGCGATTGCCAGCGAAGCGCGCTCCACCCTCGAACCTGCCTCGTCCTGCACCACTTGCACGCTCCAGGTCTGCGTTTATAACCCCTGCGCCGGACATGCCAAATTTGCCGCGTCGTGCCAAGCGTGGCACACCGTCGTAGCCGAGAGCACCTCTCAAAAATCGAGCATCTAGATCACGGATCGTGGTAATGTCCTCCTTTACCAATGCAGCATAATTGAGCGAGCGAACGTTCACAGCAGAATCCGACTTGTCGTCATCGTCCACATACTCACGTTGAGTGGGTATCACGTTTCCCAGCTCGTCAATATCCGCAATCCCGGACGCCGCAGTGAATCGACGCGTCAAGCGTGTGGCTGTAGTGTACGTTGTAATGATGTCCCTCTTGGTTTGTTCCGAAGACCTTTGTCCTGCACTGAAGTGTTAGATTGCAACAAGAGCCGGAACGTGATTCGTATGAAAATGCTGCACCTCATCGTGACAGTCATCACGAAAACGCACCTGCATTTTGAAGCAATAAGCCGTTCTGAAGCCCACCAGCTCGAAGCGGGAACCCACGAATTCTTCGTAGAAACAGACCATTCATCGCTGGTAGAATGTCCCATGATGCCGAAGGGTGATCAGGAAGGTGATGTCGGCTCGGCAAGACCTTGTCGAGGCTAATGGCGTCCAGAACGGCGACAGAAGCAACCACATCGATCTCTTGATCCAGCTTCAGCTCCTCTGCCACTTGGTCGATGTCCTTGTGAACGTGAGATTCGATGGCCGTTTTGAGTGAGTCCAATTCTTGCGGAGCAAAGATGCCACGTTTGATCCAATTTGGCATGAGCACATTTACGATATGCCCGTCAATATCTGGCGTATCATTTCTGTATGCAGCCTGCGCTGGGGGGACAGCTGCCAGTTGGGTAAGAATGATGAGATGATGCTTAAGCTCATAAATAATAGACGTCCGATCAATGAGCGGCAGCTCCTTTCGCGGGATCTCTAGCTGCGAAGGGAACATCGTAGCCAGCACATCGCTCAGAACATTGAGCATATTGAGACGCTTCCTCTGTGCGGCGAGGGCTGGGGCTTCGTTTGGTACGGACTTGCTGCGATCACCAGGCTTATGGGATGCTTTCGACCTTTCAAACCGATTCCCTGACGTTGGAAGGACTCCGTCCTGAAATGCTCTGCTTAGTGTTACGAAGAAGGTGTGGAACAGATGAGTCCGCTCGGAGGAAGGCAGAATGTAGTCTATGATCCATATTTTGGCACGCTGTAAGGCAGGCGGTGAGTAGATCGTCGCCAAAGGCATCGGAGTCCTTCGATTCGGCTTCACAAACCTGGATATCCTTGGGCGCACCTGTATTGAGGGCTACAAATAGAGCATCAATGAGCATCTTCACCGGTCTCTCAGGTGGCATTGCGTTCTTGGCTGTCATGGCTGTGACAAAGTGCTGCCGAGCCACTCTGATTGACTCTCCATCGTCAAATAACGGAGCCATTGTGCGGTTCAAAGATTGCAAGCCAGATGAGAAGGTTGTGAGACGCGGACTCAACGCCGATTGGAGATCTCGTGTATTTCCTCTGTAGAGTTGTTCGTTTGGTGCACAACTGCATCTGACAATAGCAAGTGGTAGTTTCAATGATCTACGTCCGCTTTTCTGCCGAGTCTACGATCATCTTAATGAATTGTGGATGAGCCACGATCGACGCATTGGCATATGCCGGGCTTGTGCTTGCAATCGGAGTGCTTGCAGACAGAGCGCAATCTGCGCGAAGGCGGCTTGATGGATCTTGGATTGCACACGAAGAATTCTCCGTACGACCATGTGTGCAGTGAAATTGAGTGCGCCTAGATATTCCGGAGAACAATTTTCGCAACCGTCATCAACGTCAGACGTTCTGAGCAACCTCAAGCTTGCACTCCTGGATGCTAGTCCACAGCATGACACGGTGGCATGTGGAGGACCCAGAAAAGGGCAAATCTTGCTATGACCTACCTGGCAAAATTTTGCCCTGAGTTTTGTCCCCAGCGTGGTTGGGCACATTCTTTCTCTCAGAACTGAGTTACGGCCCGGACGGCCCGACAACTTTGGTGCGGCGCGCAGCCAAATTCCAGAAGCACCTACAGGCACATGGGTATGTCCCTAGGTGCCGTCGAATATCTGTCACGTTGCGAACTTAGGCCGATGCCATTCGTAGATCTCTCAAATAATTACAACCAGATCAGCTTGGCGCGCAGTTGTCGCGATCTACAGCGCTACGAACGCAGCTCCAGTATCGACAGCAAAAATCTGTGATCGGTGTTGTGCCATTGCGAATATGGAACAGCAGCTCATGGTTCGGTCAATGAAGTGAATTCGGGTCACGAACGGCCCTCCAATGGCTTCGCCATTCTCATCCCGATCCTCTTTGGTGGATCCTTTCTCGACCAACGCTTTACAAGGTGCGAATGCGACAGAGAGTTCTAGTCGCCAACCATCGACAAATAGATATCGACCCAGAAGAGGCAGCACTGCAAGCATTGCATCGATAAGCTCTCTGGGTTCAGTTGGCGGGAACTTGGATATTCCTTCATTCAAGGGCAGCAATGCTGTTCGAGAAGTTAGCGAAAATGCGATATCAACATTGCTTCAGCCGCCGATCGTGCGCACTGGTCTTGTACCCACGGCCTTCAGCTCCGCGGCAGCTACAGGATATAAAGCACCAACGACGAAAGATATTCCGCCGGTGACACTGACCAACATCGCCCATGTCCCGCCGGAGAATTTCAATCAATATCTGGAGCGAATCGGACCATTGTTTGAGACGTTTCAGCGCGGAAGAGCGGATGCCGAGCAGGCTGTATGGGCCAAAAGGGACAAGTCGACAGACGGAGGAGATCGTGGATCAACGGCAGCAGAACCTGGACGTGGTCGAGACCTGTCCATGTCTCCTGCTGCTCGTAGGCCATCTTCACTCTCAAAAACAATGTCTCCTGCTGGTCGGCCATCGCAACCGGCTCGGCGGGGATCTGGACAATCGAGACGAAATCGGAACGAACCGACACCTTTGTCGACGATCCCTGGAGTCTACTTCGACGAAGCCTTTCGTCTGGAGAACCCGCGTATATTCGACGTGGTTTCAGAACGCGCTGAGATCGTCCGGCCGCTGAGCCATGCGGAGCAAAACCCAGCAAACGGTTCAGCTCAGGCGCCTCGCAAGGCGCTTGCGACGAATGCGATACTCCAAGAGAAGCTGAGTTGGTACATGGACACCGTGGAAGTGCATCTGATCAATAGCATAAGCACGGCTAGCAGTGGGTTTTTCGCAGCCTTGGGCTCACTGAAAGGACTACAGACAGAAGCCGAGCAGAGCATAGCCAAAATACAGCGCCTACGAGATGATCTGCATCGGCTCGATCAAGACGTGGCGATTTCCGGCCTTGAAATTGTGACCAAGAAGCGCAGACGCGAGAATGTGCGAAGGCTAGGCAAAGCTGCCGCACAGGTACAGCGCGTTGTAGACAACGTGCGAACAGCGGATGAGCTAGTCGAGTGCGAGCGGTATGATGACGCTGCAGATCAGATGGATCGTGTTGGGAGACTTGTGCGTGGAAAGGTGGAACCAGGAGCGCCATCGGAAGATCTTATAGATCTGCGGCAGTTGAAAGCGTTGCAAGGCCTGGAGTCCGGATTGCAAGAACTTCAATTGCGCATAGGGTCGGGTTTCTCCAGCCGTTTTACGAAGACGCTACTGTCGGACATTCGTCAACATGTCGAGAAAGTCCCGTCGACGGAGACCTTGAAACGGCTTTCGCGCCAACGAGGCATTCCTCCAACCTACATGGAATCGAACGAAGACTTCCGCAAAGAACTGTTGAATGCTCTCAATGGACTTGCCAGAGCGGGTCATACCGCTCCAGCTACTGCAGCGTATCGTGAAGCTGTGAACCGGGAGATGAAATCTTTGATTCGCAAGCACATGCCGAGTAGCAATGACGACGATGCTGATAGCATGGTTTCGATATCGACTCGGGGCGGCCGACAACTAACACAGCAAGATAAAAGCAGTATACTAGCCCGAAACCTGCGCGCCTTGGACCCCGAGGATGCGGAAGATCTTCTTGCCAAGGTGTATTGCTCCATATCGGAAGCTTTGCGTCGGGTGTCTACTCAAACAAAGATCCTGCTAGATGTCACCAGCAGCGTTAACGAGTCCGAGCCTCGATCGCCACCGAGGATCAACAGTCTAGCTTCCGTAGACAGTAAAGGGATGAATGGATCTCCGAAAGCAGCAGTACGGCCGAGCGTGCAGGAGGATCTATCACAGGCATTGGACATGTCGAGCCTGCTAGGTCAAGCCGTGGATACCGCACAATTACAGATTACTCGTGTCCTGAAAGTTCGCAACGAGCAGATTATTCGTCTGTCAAGAGATTCGTTCCTCCGCTATTTCACTTTAAATCGCCTATTTGCGGATGAATGCGAGGCGGTCAGTGGTCGTGGAGGTAGCCAATTGAAGACGATCATCAATGCGCAAATCTCTGGCTTCGTCCAGGTACTCGGCACGACTGAAACGGAGCGCATTGCCAATCTTTTACACGCTGATACATGGAACGCCGAGGACTTCAGCGAGACAGACAATGTATACTTACAGCGTATTCTCGTATCGATGAGCACAGATCCGCCAGAGTGGACAACAGGTTTGACGCCGATCTGGGAGTCCGTGAAACCGTCTACAGCAAATGATACGGAAGCTGCGAAGAACAACGCGCTTGAGGCACAAACAACTAACGGAACGACACCAGCGGCGAAATCGCAAGTGAAAGCAGCGTACATCGATGACAATCGCTACATTCTGGTATCATCTGCTGCCTCGCTGCTTAGCACAGTCGATATGTTCCTCTCACTGACAGCCACATTCCCAACCATAACACCTCAGATTGCGACATGTTTACTGGAAGTGCTCCGCATGTTCAATTCGCGGTCCTGTCAATTGATCTTGGGTGCCGGCGCTAGAGCAGAAGGAGGCCTGAAGACCATCACTACCAAGCACCTCGCTTTGGCGAGTCAGGCCCTCAGTTTCGTCATTGCTTTGATTCCATATATGCGCGAATGTGTGCGCCGTCACACTCCCGGAGGACAAGCAGCAGCGCTCACTGATTTTGACAAGACCAAGCGCTTGTACCAGGATCACCAGACTGAGATTCACGACAAACTTGTGGAAATCATGACCTCGCGGTCGCAGACTCACGCCCGCGCTATGCGAGCTATCAACTACGATGCGATTGATACGACGGAGGAGAAGGCCTCGCCATACATGGAGACCCTCACGAAAGAGACTCTTACCCTACAGCGCGTATTGGGCAGGCATTTGAGCGAGATGTACGTTGGTCTCATCATGCAACAGATCTTCCAGAGCTACAAGGAGCAGTGGACGAAGACCTTCTCTGAAGCAGACGTGAAAACGCCCGAGGGTCAGAAGCGACTACTGCGGGATGCTAATGCCCTCGATGCGCGCTTGGGCAAAGTTGATGGCTTTGGACAGATCGGCCAGGATATTGTGGCGATAGTCAAGGCTAAGATGACGGATGCGCCGAAGCCAAACGAAGGTCAGGCTGAGACAGCAGGCACGACAACAGAGAGCACAGTCGCCGAAGCTGGGTGAGGTACGCTGTCACAACACCTTGCCGGCCTCGCCTTGGATCACCGACATTTACAAATCCTCGGTCATGCCGTGTCGACTATCATTAAGAGGCTGCCAGACTGTCCGCAAGTGGCTGAGCAGCGTGCGGCGAGCCCGAGCTGCCCACGTGCCGAAATTAGTGCATTCGATGCAAGCGTGCAGAACTCCCCTGGTTGACACCTGCCCAGGTGATCATTCAAATCCATCCAGGCATGGAGCCTGTCATATCCGATTGGGTCAGATATGTCTGCAATTCAGGAGGCACACGCCTCCAAGCGTGACATAAGTGTACTAGGCTGCAACGTCGCCAAGATGCAAGGGTGGGATAACCACCACTGTGTACTGGCCAAACGCTTTGTTTCGGCACATCGGCATAACCACAAGAAAAATGCTGGAACTCCAGGGCTGCAAGCACCAGTGCAAGTCAGTCAGCGCGGGCGCATGAGTGATGGTTGGATGATAGAATGTAGTCAAGATTGACGATGATCCCGCTCCTCAAGCAAGTCGTCTGAAGCTGACACAGCATTATGCATGTGATGACACCTAATCTCACACAAACTTTCAAACTTTCGCCTATTTTCGTCAGTCGCCCGTCGCGAGACGTGTCTGAAGCGCAGTCCCGTCGTATTAATCACTCCGGCTCCTTACGTGACGATTTGGCAGTCTCTACGACACGCCTGTGTAATCTTCGGGACCCCAGAGGCCAGAGGGCAGCATTGTTGGCGTGGGTGTGTGCACCTGCAGCAGATAAAATAAAATGGCGAAGGTAAAGGGCATCAATTGGCTATCCAGCAGCATCATGAGGACAGACTGGGCGGTCAGTTTGACCGGTCTTTGAAGGCTTCTGGATATCTGACCTGACGTACCTGTGTTGTACCAGGGACATGTTATCACCTTGCTGATCACGCCTATTTACTGGGTTGTATACTTGAGAGGACCTCGAGAGCCTTCGATCGGGTGCATGGCCCCTTTGGTAGTTACATGAGCAAACTTACCTCCCACCTACCTAGGTAAGTGGTAGGCAGTTATTGTTATGATTATGTGCATACGAGGTATATCATCACATTTCAGAGCCATCTGCACGCTTGATACCGTTTGCGGGGATGACGTAGCTGCAGCGATCGCCTGTGAGGTTTCCTGACATCGGAACCGGCTGCTGCAACAGGTGCTCTCCACTTCCTGCAGGTGATGCCCATAGAGATTCCGACGTTGTGATGTGTCTGAGGCAGTTACGGCTGACTTGTGGCTTCGTGTGATTGTGATTGCTCTCGGGCGCCCACCTCTTCCGCCAGGTGCATATGCAAGGGTATCTACCAATGAGATGGCATCATTTCTGCCATCACGGGTAACAGTATCGGTACTTATTACTGTGCTTCATGGCCAGCCAAGCTTCCAAGGTTCTTCACGTTTGACTGTATTCTGGTCCGGTGTGATGTCCGAGAAGCAAAGAAATTACGTAGCATGTACATTGTACAACGACTGCAGTTTCTAAGCTGCTCGAGTCCGTATGGCACCTGATGATGCCCATCTACTCATTTAGCTATGCTGAATATATATAACCATACTGTAGTCTCGTGAGGTATCCGCTCAGATCTCATCACAACGTTACATCCCAATTTCAGGGATCATTAGACGGTCGGAGGCAGAGGCAGCGATTGACGCCGCACCAATCGCAAGCACATGCATGTGCTGTCCGCCAGCGCAAGGAAGTCGTCAAGATCTGATATCATTATTTTGAACCCTTCCGTCCACATTCCAGCCACCTCAAAATCTTCTCTTCTCTAACATAATTGCTCACCCCCTCTCAAACGCTTAATCGCCGCCGAACAAATCCTCCACACCACTGAAACTTCATTGCTGCGAGCGGAGAGAGACATCCGACGTCGTCCAGATAAACGGTCGTGCCCCACCCACGGCCAGCGAAGCGTTGTACATTGGGTCAGGATTGCGGGTCACACGATCATTTCGACACTGTCATATTTCACAACACAACCACCATAAGATCACAGACGTCTCTAGTAAATCATGGCGCAAGTAGCATCCCCTCATCATTCTCCCTCATCGGCTCCGCGCCGACCAAAAGGTAGGGGACCGTGTCATTCTCAGACCCGAGTCCTGATCTAACAGCACCTTCAGGAATTCTCAAGAATTCAAGCTCCTTTTATAACTCACCGCCGGACACGCGCATGAGCCCGACATCAGAGAAGCCGAACTTCACATCGATCGAGAAGTCGCCCGATGGCGCCCAGCGACCCGGTCTGCCGCACCAGATGTCGGAGAAAGAGATTGTGCAGATGAACACAGAGATCAACGCAGGCGAAGCTGGTCAGCGTCGCAACAGCAGTAACCCTCGTGCAAGCCTGGGCCAACGACAATCGTCGCAAGGCAGCAATTCTGGGCGCTCAGATGGCGAGGTCGACGAAAGTGGAACGCGCTTGAAGTGGGACGAGGCCAATCTCTACCTCAATGAAGGTCAGATGGGCGGCAAGATGAAGATCGACGAGCCCAAGACACCATTCGCGAAGAACTACGACCCCACGGAGGACGAGGACGACGAAGTGGAGACTTTGAATGCGCAAGAAATTGCAGTGGATGAGCTGGACATGAACAAGACACGCAAGACTGGAAGATCGGGCTCAGGAGCTGGCGCCAAAATGGCTGACATCCCGGGCCTCGACCTGGGCGAGCCCCAGCTGGAGCCTGCGGTACCGACGGAGGGCGGTGCCGAGCGCAAAGTCCATGTCGATAGTGACTACATGGACGTGGACGGCAGCCGCCATGGAGAGGAGGACACCACTGATATGACCAGCGAGGAGAGGGAAAAGCACAAGAAGTTTGAGGAGATGCGCAAGAAGCACTACGAGATGAAGAACATCAAGGATCTACTCGGGTAAGTCGCATTACACCTGCCTCTGTTCATCACGACTATGCTAATCCCATGTGTGCAGCCACCCGGATGCCGTTGACGCCATGGAGGACGATGGGGATGAATGACAGAGTAGTCCCATCCAACTTGTGAAGGACCTCACTACCGCGAACCTCGACATTGAGGAGCAGCCATTTGACGGCTACGACGGACGAATTTGACGCATATTCACGACAGGGCATGTATTGGTGTTTTTTTTGGGGCGGCAGCGCGGCGCATTCAGCCAGCATATTTTGTAATGATGAGACCGACCAAAAATGATTGATCACGGGTCAATGCTGTCCAGGAGTGTACATACTTGCACAACATTAGCTTGCAAGAGGAGACAGTGACGATGATGCTGAAGACCATTCCGATTCAGGTTTATGCCTGTATTGCGCCACCTTTCTGCTTCCAAAGTAGCAATGCCGGTATCCGTTCCACTTCCCTCCTCGCCCAGGTCTCGATCTATGCCCTCGTGTTCTGACGACGGAGTCGATGGGAATATACATCACGAGAACACACATAATCCATGCAAGCGAGTTCACACCCCCATCTCCACTTCCCGCAGCGGTCAGAATGCCCCAGACGCAGCCGAATGAGATACTGCATCGAACTCTGGAAGCTGCTGTACAGCATCGATCGGGCAATCGGGACCGACCACCCGGCCTCGATCCGGCGGTGATGCCTGATTGAATGACCTGTCCAGCTGTACATGTATGAATGAGAAACAGCTCTGCGAAATAATGACGAGACGACAACGAGGAGGTTACACGCCTGATATGGTGCGTCCGAGGAACCCACGCCAAGTCTGCAGCTCGGCTGTGCGCGTGAAGAGTCAAAGGTACGATTTGTGGAAGTACTGTGTTGCAGTTTCTCGAGGAAAGTTGGATGGATGCCCAGGTGGACTGCATGATGTTTGTCCGGGCCCTAGACAAACAATGGCCTGTGTTGGAAAGGGAGAGAACGGAATTCCATCATCCCCATTCGGTCTCGCCATCTATGTTCGTGATTGTGGATGATTATTACCCACTCGTTCTGATGGTGATTTGATGTTGTCATTATCAACAAGCACAACGGTGTGAGCTCTCTTATCTAGGCGCAAATGTGCCCCTCTTCTGCTCACCACCGCTCCCTGAGCAATCCACGACCCTGCCCTGGCGCAGGTGGACATCAATTTCCAGCCCATCAAATGCCATCATGTCCCCCCGCACTGGCTGTTACGCCCATTGACCACGGCGGGAGTCGTTTGCACCTGAGATGGGCATCGCATGGCCGCCCGGTATGCGCAATGTCAAAGATCAAGCCTTTCGGCCGCTGTATCACACGAGAGACAACCTTGGAAAGATGAATATCTGTGCTTCTGCGCCGTGTAACGATGCATGGACGGTCCCACGGCCGTTGTTCCAGCAGCGAAACGCCGCTGCGAACGAAGACAAGGACGTCTGCCCGCCCGAGAGGCAACAAAGCAGCCCCTCGGAAGGCCTTGACCGAATGCTGTTTGTCCATTTTTCCAAGGGCACGGATCGGCATGGCTTGCTCCACCCACTCTCGAGGCGCATCGTGTGATGCTTTTCTTGTGTTGACGTGGGGTTCAATCCGTCTACACATCTCACTTTCACAGTCTGGACCTTCCCTCGAGGAAGCATCAACAGTACGGGAAAGCTTTCCCCTGCAGGTGGACACAGAACAGCTGGGACAATGTGATTGTGGTCGCTCCTGTGACGCCATCGCTGCTGCAGTGGGTAGTGGGACGTGACGACAGGCCCCATCGTGGCTGCTCGCCATCCCGCGCCTATTATGCGAGTCATAATTTAACCTCTTCTTCTTCTGCTTCTGCTTCTTCTTCTTTGTTCCCTGTTCAATTCTTGCACCCTTGCAGGTCATCCATCCAAATTGTCCATCTAGGATGGGGAGTGGAAACCTGCACTATCCCGTGCCTAGCCGCCATTCGCTCATCGAGGAAAAGACCGAGGCGCATTAACCTCGTCGCCATCCTCGAGCTCGACTGCGGACATGCACGAACATGCAACTACCCAGACGTGCGCCGCACCGAATGCTTTGTAAGATGAATCATCCGCACTATCTTTTCAGTAACGCGGGGCACGTGAGTGCGGTCCACACGGGGGTGCGGTCCACAACTTCGAAGTGCGTTGTATTCAAGAATGAATATCTTAATAAAATGTAGCTCTGTAGACTTCAATTTGGAGCTAATAACACATCAATACTGTCTTCTATGCTACACAAGTTCTGGCTGTATGAGCTGTTGATCTGCATTTGCTACACCTCGTTGTCCGCTTGGCAGGCCTTGGCATCTCTTCTAGTATTTGCTCTTCTATCTCTTCTTTCTCTATTAATTGTTGGATTGCTTGGACTGACAAAGCATTCTCTGATAGTAATGACTTCCTCTTCCTTGATTTGCGTATATGTATTGCAGTATTAGCTGCTTCTAGATCCGTGACTCGTGATTGAAGAAGAGCTGCTGAAGTTGCTATCATTTGAGCTCCTTTGGAAAGTTGATTCAAGGCCTCAAATATTGGGGTAGGAGAACTACTCTAATGCCTTTCAAGCCTTTGCTTAATGAATGTAGCTTGTTGATCAACTTCTTGAGTAGTCTTGGGAGTCTTTGCACACCACGAGCCTTGTGAAAGTGGTCGCGGAGGTGATAGAAGTATCGGGTCCAAGGAAGATAATACAACTTCAGGGTCGAAGGGGTACAGACCAGAGCCTTTGAAGCCTGCTTGGATATTGTATGATGTTATTGTATCGATATATGCTGCGTGAAGCGTCGCTATGAAGGTACTCTTGTCAATATGGAAGATATAGTTGCGAATCAAGCTTTGAGTCTTTTTGGAGTAGGCTTGCTTCAATGGGCCGAAACAACTAACATCAAGCGGCTGTAGCATATGCGACGTATGAGACGGCATCCACAAAAGGACAATATTGTTATTTTCGCAGAAAGAAGTGAACTCTGGCGTTGTGTGGCTCCCATGGTTGTCCAGAATTAACAGCCGCTTGCTGCCAATTGTCTTTGACTTTGTGTGTTTATCAAAGTGAGAGACCCATTGTAGTCCAATTTGATCGCTTGTCCAGCCTTTTGGACTTGCTATAAACATCCATGTTGAAGGCAAGCCTTCACAAAGCCATCTATTGTTGACTTCCTTGCCTTTAAAGATAATAAAGGGTGGTATAGCTGATCCATCTGCACAAGCTCCTTGGATAACTGTAACCCACTCAGTACCTGTAGGTTTGATTTGCTTTGGACGGCCCTGTTTCTCGATAGAAGTGACTACTTTAGAGGTAGATATCTGTCCTAATTGGAAGCCAGTCTCATCGAAGTTATACATGTCTTGAGGTAATATACCATGCTTGTTAATTGTGTTGCGTACAAGAGCGAACCAGCCTTTGACGACTTCTGGAGTCTCACACAATCTTCTTTGGCATTCATAAGTCCTTCCAAGTTTGATTGTCAAGGCAGGAGTACGTTTGATGAATGTGCTAGTCCAATTGCGACCAACTGGTGGACCTCCCTTGGCTTGGCAGATAGCATTGGCCATTGACTGCACTAGGCCTGTAGTTGGAGACAATCCTTGAGAATCTAGCTTGAGTATGTCTTGAAGAAGAACCTCTTCCTCTATAGGAGTGAGCTTCATGTTCTGTGGTATGTATTCTTCTCGAGAAGGCGTTCCTTGAAGTCTACGAAGCAATGTAGTTTTGGAGACTCTATACACTTTTGCAGCAGCATTTGCTGAGCCAATCGCGCCTGATCTGATAGCTGATAAAGCAAGCAATATGCTCCCTTCATTTGGGCTTGTATGGACTCGTTTTGATGGTGCCATTGCGTGTTGAAGTGGACGCGTTGATATTCTTAGAAGTTGTGGACCGCACCCCCGTGTGGACCGCACTCACGTGCCCCGCGTTAGCTCGGAACATTGGATAGAGTGCGCCGACATCATCCGCGCGAGCCATACAACACGCCTGACTAAACTCCAATGGTGGGTTTTCCGTGGAATCATGTGCTGGCAGATGCTTGCTGCCCGTGGTTTCCTCCTAAACCTCCACTATTCCTGCAGTGGCGTGGATCTCGACCAATAGCTTTGTTCCGTGTGTGCTGGTCCAATGAAAGTTCCGGCGCGAGGATGCAAGATAAGGGTAGAGTCATACTACACGCTGCCATTGCTATTACAATACTGTAGAAACATGCATTGAACGATCGCTGAATCACAAAACGTTCGCTCCGAACCTAAAAGTGACATTCGCTTACGCACCATCGCATATATGTTCACTGCCATCGAACAAGTAACATTTACTTGATTAACTGCATCTCATCCGGCGCCATCGAAATTTCCAATACATCGGATACGTCGCGACAATGGCAACGTAAGAAAGCTGTCTCGTTCGCTAGAATAGCAAACGATCGTTCCACTCTCAGACCCGGGCATTGTGGTTGACACTACATTTGCATACCCCATCACATATACATGGTTGCTTTGAAATGAGAGCGCACCGAGTACAAGCACACAGATACACACGGTCCAAGTACTAATCGCGGTCACGCACCTTCCGATTGATATCTGCCCTCGAACAGAGGACATACTTCCACCATAATCTCTAACCTCTGGCACGATTCAAAGTATGAATTACCCGTTTCCGGCCTCTAGTCTTCTATTGAATGCACAGATCGGATTCCTAGTAAGCCAATCCCATCATTTCATCGATCGAATCTCTCGTTAATCAAGGAATATCAGAACACACACCTTGCGCTGATACACATCCCTCGGGAATCCTTTCCGCTATTTGTCCAATCGATCTTACATCTCATTCTCCACAACGATCGCCGTGATGAAGACGGCCATGTGGTAGAACCTTCGCGACCATGGAGCCACTGGCATCCGTTTGTGAACATCTCCCTGACTCCGAGCGGCTGCTCCGTGCTTTGCCCCCGGGAATCGGCTCAGGCGTTGTTTGCTCCATCGATAGCTCAGCTCTCCTCAGATCTGCCGCAAGTAGCTTCGATCAGCACCGAGGACTATTCGGCCATTCACATTGGCGGCGAGGGCCTTGACGCCGGTCAAAGAGTGCTAGATTTGACGAGCCCGTTGGCCCTCGCTGGCATCCCAATCTTCTTCATCACGAGCTACTATTGTGACTACATCATCGTGCCTCATAGCGCCCGAGCCAGAGTCATCCATGCCCTGGAGGAGCAAGGATTCGTCTTCGAAGCAGATCCGAAGGATGGCGAGGCCGGGCAAATGACCAATCCGGCATCTCCTCTCCTTCATCCCCATCACCGGCATGGTTCGTCATCGTCGTCGTTCGATTTTCTCCCGCGTGGTGTTGGCACGCCGCCACCGGCTAATGCCGATGAGCTTCAAGCAAAGACATTCAAGACGCTTGCCAGGAACAATATCACACCGGATGTAGATCCAACACTTCGGCTGATCACTTGCGCTGGTATGAAGGACAATGCAAGTTACAACTCAGACGCAGCCTTCAATACATCTGAAACCGCCCTTCGCCATGGGCTTGTCCTGTGCTTGACCTCTCTACCACCCCCGAGATTTCTATCAATAACCCTCAACGACAACGAATCCACATCGCTCACGCTGGAGAAGGAACTGCTACGCTTCTTCCCGGACAACGGCGAGGATATCCTGCTCGGCAACAACGGGCAGGAACAAATCCCCATCACTTTGGATCTGAAGGATTTGCCGCTCGAGAGTACCGGCATTGTATGTGGCGTGGCAGGCCGTCTCAACGACGGAATGAAAAGCCGCGTGAGTCCCGAAACTTTCAACCTGAGCTATTTGAGCACGGCGAAGGCGGGACATGTCATTGTGTATGAACATGAGCTGGAAGATGCGATGACGGCCTTCCGGGGCGGCCAGGCCACACAAAACTCGGATTGATGTTGAAGCCGAGCATGCTGGCAGTGAGAATAATGCTCGCCCAATTATTTTGTCAATCTCAGAATTGTTGAGATGGTTCGAAGTTCCGCCGCGGTGAACAATTGTACAACATTCCTTCCACATGTCGCATAGTTGGAAAAGGAAATCTTGAGTTGTTTTGTTTTTTTCGCGCATGGGACGTTGAAGTCCTCTCATTGTCATTCGCACACAATGTGCTAGCATTTGGTCACATCAGTTCGTGTATTCATTCTTGCTCTCCCATATCAATGACCGCGTTTGCGATAGACGAATTCTCGTGTCCAGGATGCCACGCCAAAATTGAGCGTGATCCGCGCGCCATAAGTGGTGCTTCCCTGTTGCAACATTTCTTCGGGAGGAGAGCTCATTTGATCGAGCTCGATCAATTCCCAATCGCTATCGTCAAGTTCGAGATCAGATCGGATGATTGGATCGGTTGCATCGCACGAGGAACGGCTTTCGAACGATTGTGCCAGATGCGTCTCGATCTCACGCTTCAAGGAATCTCTAGGTAGTCCTGCAAAATCGTTTTCGACGGATATGAATATTTGGGATGGTCTTGCTGTTCTTGGTGAGACGGCAGGTGATGATGTCGCTCTCAAGCCTTCGAACAGCGCAATCCGGCTCGAGACAGGATCCCGAGCTGGCGTGGCGTTGAGACCCCCGGACATATTGTTCCTTTGCTCTATTGATGGAAGCTGCAAATACCAGGAATAATACCAGTAATGGACGAGCGAAAGATTTTTGAATGACAGTGCGAAGATTAATTCGCGAGCTACATCCCAAGGTTGCTTTGGCGCATCAATGTCTCTGAGGGGACTCCAGGCAACCAAATTGTCGGCACAAAATTTTGTCCTCGGCGATGAAAAGTAGCAACTACACAGCCACAACAATTTTGTTCGAAAATAAAAGTCAACCGCGAAGACAGAATGACGATAGCAAATTCGTCGGTCTTACTGCTTGGAGTGATAGATGCGACGTGTGATGGAATGACACTGTATTCCTCCAGGAGTCAGAGCATGGTCAAGTTGGTCTTGGGACTAAGAACGGGTCGTGACTGGTCAATTCATCCGACATACAACAAGTTGAACATCTAACGCAGGAGCTTCTGCTTCAAGCCTTGAAGCAGCTTGCCCTTCAAGCTGTCTCTTTTATCACCGTTTCCCGGCGCAGCAGATGTTGTTGCCGCACTTGGTGCCTCTTCTGGTTTCGCTGTCGCAGGAGCGCCATCATTGGCGGCAGCCGACTTGCCACCTACAGTCACGGTGAACACGGTAGGATCCCCAGCATTGACCTTCCCCGATTGATCTTCTGGGCCCTTCACACAGTCGTCGTATGCATAGGCATAACCTTTCTTATCAATGTTGTGTTGATGGACAAGCCTGGCATAGTGGTTCGTCGGGTCTTGTGTGTAGAAAGTGTCGGGAGTGCTGGGCTGCTCGTCTGTTACTAGATACGTCGAACGAACGAAACCAGACGCCAGGCGAGGGATGATCGCGTTGCGGACCGGCGATGATCCAGTGGTAAACGGGCCGCTATTGCATCCGAAGATGTCTGCGGTGCTGGGCTTCTGGAAGGCCTCCTTTCCTATCACGAGGTCGCCCTTGCTGTTGACATGCGCATCAAGAACTCCTTGACCGGCCTGTGTATCAAGCTTGAAATTGGAGCCCTTGCTGTACTTCTTCCACACTTCCTCGACATATGGCTCGTAGTATCCGCTGAAGTTTGCACCCACCGCACCGCCATGGGTTGCGTTTAGGATACGCAACACTCGATCATCGTCGCGTACCACTAATTTGTCCCAGGGCTTGTTGTCCTTCTTTGCTTGTTCGACAAGATCATCCGCCATGCGATCTATTCCATCGGGCGCCATCCCAGAGACAGTTTGGACTTTGCCAGATCTCTCCTTCAAAGTGAGGGCAATAGGTATTCTCGGCACACTGTTGATATGTAAGCAAATAAATCCACTTCGACCTCCACATAGCTTCACTCACAAGTCGACGTAGCTGATGTTTGCGTAGAGCTGCCCGGGATCCAAGGTGAATTCACAGAAGCCAAAGCTGACCTTGGCATTGGGATCGGATGGATTAAGGACTGATGGCTCTACCAGAGCTGGTCCTGGGTTGAGCAAAAAGGTGAGAGGTCCTTCCGATATCCAAATCCGCCCACCGGCAATCTGTGGAATTGTGATGTTGGTGGCACCACCAGGTGCTCCCAAGGCTATAGCACAGTCTTCTCCCAATGGTGACAAGATCTTTGATGGACTCTTGGGAAAGTATACGTCCTTTCCGTTGGACTTTATGAGACAACGCTTCCCACTATGCTGAATGGCGATCCCCGTCACATACGCGAACAGGTTTGCACTGTCGCTGTCATTCTTCAGCACGATCTCGAGAGAGTTGGGCATTGTGAGTGATGCACAAGTCGAAGATGGTCACCTGTTCTGTCTGATATTGGTGATGAATGTGATTTAAGATCTCGAAGATATTTCGCCTTTGAATGATATCTCACAGTGATGACTTGTTACTCGGAGCCTGACGCAATCGATATATCTGCCTGCTGTCACTCCACAGACCGTTGAAAGTGAAGGGAGTAAGTTTTTCAAGATTGGTGGTGTATATCTCTTGGTACCTGTACGCTGATGACTTCATGCACTGATGTGTGCCCAGGTGGCATGTTGAACAACACTCCAGCGATGGACTACCTATTGTACTCAACTTTGCAGGCACAACGCGACATAATCATCCGCATTTCAGGCTTAAAATTCACGCTCGCACGTGGGAGACACGTTGAGCTCCACCGGTTCGCTGCCATTCGCATCTGCAGGGCACATTTTCGCATGGTTGGCATTATTTGTTGTGTGCCCAGGTGGTGAAGGAACTGCTCGTCCAGATCCTGTTTATGGTTGGACGTGTGGCATGACATCATGGTGGATTGCGCCCCTCGTGGACGCGTTCAAACACGTTCAGGTGTCTCGATGACTGAACTTATAGTCGTCTCCAGCTCGCATAGTGAGAAACTAGTCCAGCTCATCTCGATATCGATTTCACCATGTCGGAGACTCCTGCTCAGGCTCAACCTGGGCGGCTTCGCAGTGTGCATAGCACAAAAGCCACGCTCGGGAGTCGGAACACGATCGATCAGATCTCTCGCCCTATTTGCTAAGCGCGGACGCCACTGATGACCAGCCTGCTCATCACGATCTACAATTCTATCAACGGGTGCGCAGATGTACCCGGGAATACTTCGAACGAAAGTCCGCCAGAGCGATCTTTTAACCATGCTTTCGTCACAAATCGATCAGACATCGCCAGTTGCTAGACTTTGTCGGGGCGGTTGAGATATTCCCAGTGCAGCAAACGATCCCGAACCATGGCCAACGCGACCACCGCGGCGGCGGCGGCGTCGTCTATCAACGTCGTACAGCGTACAGACCGATCCATCGCAATGTTCTTAATGCAACATGTTATGAAACCGCTCAAACCAGTCCTCATTACCAAGCCAAAGCCACTGCCCGCGGGATCACCTGTCCTAGAGATTAACAAAAGCGTGTCGAAACAATGCGACGTACACGAGCGAAAGGTCGATGACATTCATATCTACGATATCACACGTAAAACTTCCCTCTCGTCGCATACGTCTGCCGACGCGCCACCGCAGCGACCTACGAAACGCATTTACTATTTCGCCGGAGGAGGATGGCAGTCGCCGCCCACCAGCGAGCACTGGAAAGTGATCGGAGAAATCGCATCGCGACTGCCGGACGCTGTGGTCTCTCTCGTGAGCTACCCCCTCGCTCCCAATAGTGCCGCGCCGGTCGCCTTCCCTCAACTCATGAGTTTGTATGCCACCATCCTCAAAGATGCCGAAGAAGCGCAGGAGGAAGTTATTCTCGCAGGAGATTCCGCCGGCGGTAATATCATCCTAGCCATCACTCTGCATGCTCTATCCGAAGACCCCGAATGCCGCTGTCCCAAGGCGCTGCTTGCGATCGCACCTTCAACTGACCTCGGACGCGATAATCCCGACATACAGGCTCTGGAGAAACACGACCCGTTGCTTCGGATTCCCTTTATCGCCGACACGGCGGCCTCCTGGCGAGGGGAATGGGATGCCAAGGATCCTCGTGTGTCTCCGTTGTTCGCCGATGTGGCGCCTTTGGCACGTCGAGGTGTAAAGGTCCATGGCGTGACCGGTGGCTACGACATATTGTCCCCCGATGGAATCCTTTTCCGCAACAAGTGCAGAGATGCCGGTGTGGTCGGCGAGTGGCTTCACTGGGAGAAAGAAATGCATTGCTTCTTTCTTGCATTCCCGTTCAAGTTGAAGGAGAGTGTGCAGGCTGTGGATTGGATAATAGATATCTTGCGAAGATCGTGAGTGCTAGATAAAGAGTGTCAGGCCGAGTGGGGGTTATCGTTCGCGCGACTTCGGGTGCCATTTCGATGTGACAAGTTCACGGTATACTAAAAATTAATTGGAGATCGCCGCATGATTAAGATATGAGAAAGTGGACGCGGACTCGACCGTGTCACAATTGAATCCAACTGCCGAAACATTCAATAACATCCATTAGCAAGACCTGGAAAATAGTCTCTAGGAAGGAGCACAAAGATAGGAGTAAATCTATCGTGAGATTGATAGTCTCTCCTTTACAGAACATCAAGCGTAACAGACCTGACAGCTAAGAGCCGCTCAGAGTCGAGTTTTCTTCCAGCACAAACGCCACGGGCTCGTCCACCCGTTTCCCATATGTTACAATAATATTTCACACAGTTCCCAAACGCCAACGCCCACAATCACCGCGCTCTGTAGCATGCTCTTGCAAATGTTTCAGTCTCTCGTCTCGACGTTCACCTGTCGAATTTCCCACCAAAATGTCCGACTCTTGACCAGTCGATTCCCGACTCAGACATGGCGCATCCGTATGGTAATCGCATCCTTTTTCAGATAATCGGATCCGCCGCCTTATCATCGCTCGGCATCCTCATATACGCATCGATCGCCGCCGAAAACGCCGCGAAACCCGCACATCCCACCGCCGCCGCCTGCGGACCCGCCGACCTCGCCAGGAAGCCTCCCGTGAAACACCCGGCCGCAACGCCGTTTGCGAGGTCGCTCTTCGCCCGGAAGCCCTCGATCGCACACTCAGATCCGGCATAGATGCCACCGATGTACCCAAAGTTCTTCGCCGACGACCACGCCGATTTGCCCATGTCTTTGAAACCCGCCTTGATCTGTTCGCGCATGGGAATCGTCGGTGCCGAGCCGGGGGCGCCGGCGCCCATGGGAGTGTCGTAGCGCATCGAGGCCATGAACAGGCCGAAGAGGCCGCCGAGGCCGAAACCCATTACGCCGGAAATGGCCATTTTCGCGGGACAGAGTTCCATCGCATGTGACATCTGAATGTTGGAAAGAAATTGCCGCGTTAGATTTGTCCGTAAATGTCGTCTTCTCTGTTTCGCGACGGGACTTACGTATTTGATCATCATCTGCTCCTGCATTTTGGCAGGATCCATGCCTGCGGCCGCCGCGCCGGGCATCTGGAACCCTGGGAACGACATGCTCGACGTCGTCGGATGGAATGGTCGCTGATGAGATGATATGCACAATTCGAGCACGAACAGAGAACCGGGTCGTCGTCGCGATAGAATGCACTGTCCCGCTTGTATGGAAATTATTAACACAGGACGGTATGGCCGACTCGGGAGTGTTGGGCAGGCCATTCCGAATGCGGAAAGATGCGACTTTTTGGCCGCAGGGAACAGTTTCAGGGTCGCGAGAACATCACCACTGCCGACTTCCCCTGCGACATAGACCCTCGTGAACTGAAAATCGACATGCATGATAAGGCCTTCGTGGTCATTTCGGGGGCAGTTATAGTGCTGTCGTTACCTTAATGATTCACCCTAATCTGTCATAATGGAGCTACAAACTTCCTCTATGATCCATCTTGCATTTGTTCATCTTCGTCATACATACCATGAGAATCCCGTTCAAACGCCAAAATACGAAATCTCGGACCGTGAAAAGTAAGAGAAAAGGCTGCCGTTCCTGTACCCGCAAAGGTCGTCATTTCCACATCTAGTCTTTCTTTAGATCTCCCGTTTTATCATCATTATCCTCCGTTGTAGTGGGGCTCAATGACTTTTCCCACTCTCGCATCAATGTGCTGGCGGTCCGCTGCAAAGCGCCAGGTCCCAATTTGCTCAATACTGGCCATGGAATCAAGTCTTTGTCGATGAATTCGCTGCTGTCAGGGTTCGTGCTTGTGCTTGTCCTCGGACTTGCCGAGACGGTGGATGGAGCTGTGTTCGTTTCTGACGCCATATCTGATGAGTGACGAGATTGTCTAGGACTGTCGTTCCAGGTCTCCCACGAGTCATCCTCCTCTGTGACTGCTTGCGGTGAACTAGGGGATGCAGCGTTCTGAGCCGAGGGCGTTACGCTTGTGATTGTTGGTGCGTTTTCTGGGAGATTCTCGGCCCAGAATGTGGTGTCTGCCAAATCCGGCAAAGCAGACGATTTGTTTCCAGGACTGGGGCGTTTTGTGTCCGTACTCGATGTTGGAGAGGCCAGCGAACTCCGAGACGAGGATTGCAAATTGTTCTTGCTACCTTGTTTCCGGGGTGCGCGTAAGGTCTGTGTCGAGCCTTTCCGCGGGATGGTGGGTTGTGTAGCTTCTTCTCCAACCGTCGCCTGCCGGATGTCTTCCCAGAAGGTGATTAAGCCATCTTTGAAATCCGCTGCGAATTTCTTTCCTGTGCGGATGAACAACTCGTGGTCGATCGCATGGTCCAGGAGATTGATTCCAAGGTCAATTCCTGGGGACAGTGGCCCCGGTTGCTCTCTCGGAGAAACTGTGTCTGAAGAGACCTTGCTTGCGTCAGAACTGCCAGGGCTCTCGTCGGGAGATATTTCAGTGGAAGTCGTTGGCTGCAAGGAGAGCTTGCTCAGATCGACGTTTGTAGCAAGCAAGGACAGTTTCCGCGTGTGCCGCGAGCCAGAAAAGACGGTTCGATTGCTAGGCTTGTTCGCCTGCAAAAGTGCTTTGCGTCGCTCCAATGCCTTTTGGGCTCTGACGCTGGCATCACTCGTCTCCATGTCGTCCAGAGCCACCAGCGGCGTTGCTGGTGCGTCCGGCGAGCTTGCGGCTGGCGCCTCATCCAATCTTTTCTTCTTAATCTCCTCATGCCTAGCCCATTGCTTCTTCAATCTGCTGAGATCCACTTCTGCACGGTGGAGATCCTCACGCAATTCCAAGACTTTGCGTTCTTGCGCCGCAAGAGCGGTCAAGAAACATCCGGTTGTAGTGGTCCCGGTCGAGTTTACATCCCGGTTGGTGGGAAAAGCAACGGGTTGCTCGCGCAAAGCTGTCAATTGCATTGGAAAGTGGACTGAATTTCGACTTCGTTTCGTGGTGGATGAAAAGTCTGCAGCGGCCGACATAGTCCTGCTATGTGATTGAAGACTGCGTCTACCGGCCGACAGAGTCGTATCGACCATCTCGACCGGCGAGGCTAGGAAGTCTGCGTTGTAGAGTTCGGAATTCATGTTTCCAAGTTGCTCTCCTTCAAGGAAGAATCGGTGAGGAGCCGCAGGAATGCTCAGGTTGGCGCAAAGATACGACCAGCAACAGTGAATGAATCACCACATGCGAATGTACTGGTCAACAAGATCCACACTGGAGAAGGGTTGGAAGATGGATATGCAAGACACGTGCGAGGGGGATGTTGCGGACAGGAACCACGGTAGCATAAGAATAGAGTACAGTAGTGCTGGGCGAAGGGTGGACGGACGTCAACGCCATGGTTTGTTGGGTGTGCGAGCGGGTTCGTCAGGGCTCCCCGCAAGTCATCATCATTGGTCGCTAGGGTCCTCCGGGTTTCTGTGCGTTTTTGCTGCTGTCTGTGCCATCTTCACCAAGAACACCCGTCGCGCTGCAGCAATTTCGTTTTTTTCCATGCATTTCTCTACCTGCTGAACAATTCGTTAGACTACAGTACAAAGGGGATTGAGGTATCACGTTGGTACAATAAACATCACACTGTAATGATAAAGCAGTGCTTATGTCGAAAGTGGCACACCTGGGCATGGATCAGGAGAATCTCTCCCCAGATGGCGTTTGATTACAGCCCTGGAGGACATTGTTCTTGCCAAATTTGGCCCCTGGTTACCAAGCGATGTACCTGCAGTGTGAGATAGCAACACACCTGGCCAGCAATACAGCACGGTAATTACGGCTGTCAGCGCATCGCGTGTCTCTCTCGAGTTTCCTACAATGTCGAGTGCTGGGCTGCTACTGTATACTGTATACTGCATACTGTATAGGCGTGGTATAATATAGGTATAATTGTCATCCACTTGATGTGATGAACTACTGTCCAGGCGTATATAACAATAACACAGTCCGGTGGACACGCACGCACCCGGGCAGTTAGCGATGTGCAAAACATCACGAGGTATACTACTCGCCGGACCCGCCCATCAATCTCAACGTCTTTTGAGGGAGTTCAGTTCCAGTTCAGTTCACATCGGCCATCAACCAAGCAAGCTCTTTGTCTCATGGCATGTATGGCATTCATACACGTGAGGGTGTATCGTCGTCTACTCCTTATTATCCCTTACCCAACGCTTCCGACTAGTCATGCTGCCCACAACCGCCTGGGCGAACAACCAATCATCACAACACCCGCAGCTTTTAAAATACTGTAATGATACCTAGGTGTTCCAAGGTTAATGAACGTACGGACCCCTTCCGTTGAGCACGAGTCACCACCACCGTGGCTTCCATTCCAACCTTGGAAGGTTTCCTCCATTCTCAGCCCTGGCCTGGGTTCACGTGCGAGGCAGTAACAGTAATAAAGCCGACAAAGCGGGGTTTCTGGCTTTTTCCCTTTGCCAATTTTCCCCCAAGGAGGCCTGGAGGCGGTGCTCGTGGACCTGAGGGCCGATGTGTGGGATGATCTCGCTGCGAAATACCGGAGGGACCGCTGTCCAGATGACCCAGACCGCCTGGGTCTTCTCTCGCGCGCGCACTGTGAATCTCCTAGATAATTCAGCTGCGATCGAGTTAGCACTCCTGCCTGCAGGTGCAAATATCACGGTGTTTCCGATCGAAATCGATTGTTTCCTGCTGTGACCTGCTGGCGTGACCTGGCCTGGCCGTGTACTGCAGTCAGTCCCCAAGTGCCCGCCTGTGGTTCCGACTCATCTCAATTCTCACTTTTCCCTCCCTCTCTCCACCGGCTCCACTGCCTTGCTTCTCTCGCCCTTTGTCCACATCCCTCCGTTTTGTGCCCCAACATCAAAGGTCTATCATTACGGCATATGGTAGTGCTGGTGATAATTCAGGGACCTTCGGACAAAGTATCCGATGGCTTATCCTTCACCTAGCCTTCCGCTCACCTCCCCCGACGAAGAACCGCGCCAACCGCCTCACAAACGCGCCCGATCAGATGCCGAATCGCCCTCTCACGGCCATGCTGTCCTACCAAATGCTTCTAATCTCGTCAAATCCGATGATGCAGCTCCGGGAGGTCCTGAAGCGCCGCGACTCTACAGCTGTGGCAAATGCCTGAAGTCGTAAGTGTTTCCCTGTCATTGCAGCGGTGTCTCCTACTGACTCGTTTCAGCTACAACCGTCTGGACCATCTCAGTCGTCATGTTCGCATGCATACCCAGGAACGTCCTTATGTCTGCCAGATCTGTACCAAGGCATTTGCTCGAGCCGACCTTCTAAAACGTCACACTCTGGCGCATTCGAAAGACGATCCTAAGGCGAAGATGATCTCTGTTCAGCATAGTCGCGTTTCCCAAGCCTGCGAGGCCTGCGCGGGCCTCCATTTGAAGTGTGAGGAAGAAAAGCCTTGCAAGCGATGTAGCAAGAAGAACATTCAGTGCAATTACACCGCCACCTTTGCCCCGGCTGACGTTCAACAGTCCTCACCGGACAGTGAATTTGCTGAGCAGCAGACGTATACCGACAATGTGCAGCAGATGGACGAAATGCAATCCGTGCGGCATTTGCCAGCTGTGCAAGCAATGCCTATCCAGCCGTCACCTACAGATCAACCGCGGAATCCGTACGTTCTGCCAGCCATGCAGATGACTGACCAAGGCCCGCCCCCTCCTCACATTCAACCCGATCATATGCGTTTCAATGGCTCCATGCTGCCACCGCCGACAGGCAGGCATGACATGTTCGACTACCTTCGTCACAAGATGATGCCGTCGCCAGGCCATCCGCACAATGGTATACAGGTGATTGACTATCAGTCGAATCCATGGACCCCACGTGAGCTCTTCGACTTTGGCGTCGACACAAACATGGAGCTGAACGACGTGGATCTGAGCTTCCTGGACACTTACAACAATGCGAACCCTTTCGATTTGCGCACCCCGAGCACAGGTTTTCCCACGACCGGGTCGGACACTATGCCGAGCTTTCAAGCCGCGCCGCTTCCACCTCTGGACACAGCACCACTTCCCAGAGCATCGGTTTGGCGTTTTAGACCTCTCGCTAAAGATTCCGGCTCTGCCGAACAGGCTAATTTATCCTTGCCTACGCCTACCAGTCTGGATATCGATCGGAGGGTGACTTGCGAGCCTCTCTCTACGACATCTCGAGACAAAATCTTGGCGATGATTTTGAGCACGTGTAAACCCACGAACATTCCACGCGTCGTAGCTTGTTTCCCATCAATCGGCCTGTTGGACAGTCTTTTTCAGTTTTCGCTCACTTCTCCTGGATCACACGCAAAACACTGGATACATGCGCCTACGCTTCTCGCCGTCCAGACAAGACCGGAACTACTGGCGGCCATAGTAGCTGCTGGGGCGGTCCTGGCACCCGATGCCTCCATTAGAAAGGTCGGATATGCCATCCAGGAGGCCATTCGGACAGCTGTCCAGGTACAGGTCGAAGAAGACAACACATTGCTGCGCGATCTTCAAATAATGCAGACATCTTTGTTACAACTAAAGATTGGTTTATGGAGCGGAGATAGTAGAAAGATGGAGCTCGCAGAGGGTTTTCAACAGGTTCTAGTGACAATGGCTCGCCGCAGTGGTCTTTTCCGACGTGGCACTTATGAACGCATCGTGCCGTTCCCTGAGGATCAAGGCGATGTTCTGGAGGCGAAGTGGCGCAAATGGGTGAAACAGGAGTCGCGGAAACGTTTTGCTCTGCACTTATTCCGTCATGACCTGGAGGCTTCGGTCTGTCTGCTCGGCAGTCCTCTCATCTCATACGCTGAGCTCTATCTACCCCTTCCAGAGTCGGAGATCCTTTGGGTCGCGCCCTCGGCCGAGTCATGGGCCGCAACATACATGCGAAACCCAAACACCAAGCATGATCGGCAACCTTCGCTCATCGAATGTCTCCAGGATCTGGACATTCTTGCCGTCCGAGATATCTTCGTGGATCAACGGCAGGCAAGCATGGCTGTCTTGGGAGCGGCGTGGCGAATGATCTGGGAGTATCGCCAGCTAGATTCCTCCATGAAAGACTACAACAATCAGTGGAGCAACGGCAACTTGCTGATGAACACACGTCACGCAGAGCTTACCAAGCTGCTGCAGAGCTTCCGCATCAGCTCTGTCGAGGACACGAAGGTCACGCTCATTGTCGAGCTGCTCCTGACTCATTTGCACATGTCGCTCGACGACGTTCATCTATTTGCCGGCGTCGAAGGCGAAGAGGAGGCCCGTCGAGTATATCCTTCGCTTGTTCAGTGGACGCGGACGACCACTGCTCGCCAAGCCCTTTGGCATGCAGGACAGGTCATTCGGGCTGCCCGCAACTTGCGACCCGGTCTCATTTGCGACTTCGCCGCCATTGCCGTCTACCAAGCCAGCCTCGCATTCTGGTCATACGGCATCATTACCCGAGGTGTCGAACAGGGCATGCGGAGCAATGACAATATGACTGCTTGGCTCGACGGTGAGGATGATAACAGCGTCCGCCGCTGGATCAACAACGGAAAAGGCCATGCTGGAATTCGCACATGGACCGGCAACCCCAGCACTGAAATCACGGTCATGGTGTCGAATCCCGACGACATTGTGGCGGCGGTGGTGGCCGCCATGCGCAGGAACCAAAGCGAGACCCGGAACCCCCCTCTCGTGGACAATCTGATCAATATCATGGAAGGTCTCCGCAAGGCGGTAAAGCATTGAGTGGCCTATGAAAAGGCGTTGAGTGCGGGTGGGATGGGTTCTTGTTGTTCGTTGTTCAAAAAGCGTTGTTTGGCGTTGTTGGTTTCGTTTCTTTGAACGGCTCTTGCACTGATGTTTATTTGCAGCGATTCGCGAATAATTCCCCCTGATGTCTCGTTTTTCGTACTGAAATACAGCTGTCTGATACCATTCTGCGGATACTATCGCGTTCTTATCGATGCATATAATACTGAAGACAAGTTTCAGACTCCTACCAGATGTTCTTCCCATGTTACAACGCAGGAAAAAAGGCTTAGGTACCTACTGAGGTAGCGAGTGAGCGTTTGAGCCTGCCGATGGCACTTGCCTCATTGCTACCTCGATTCACAGAAAACGAACCTGGAGAGCTGGGCATCTCACGACAATGCCTTTCCAGAGGCAAGAGTTCATTCCATGCTCTAGTAATCACTGTAAAGTATGCCCGGGAGCTTGGTGCCAATAATTGCAGGAAGAGGTCTTCTTGTACACACAAAGTCAGGAGACCATTGTACTCTGTTGTGAAACTTGCTCGCACATGACCTCACACTCCACGACCTACCTTATCGTCGCCTCATGCCAATTTACAGACTTTCTTCGCTCTCTTGCCTCGAAAGATTCACAACCTGCATTTAGCATCAGCGCAGCCCATCAATCAAATCAAGTGAGCTCCTTCCGCTTGTACTCTGCTCTGCGATTTCAGAAACATGGCACCTGTGGAGACGTCCGAAAGTGACGGGGAAGGTGGGTTCAGACTTGAAATGAGCAATCGCTAGATCAATAAGAACTCATCGAGGTTGATCAGGCCAAGTCCAACCAGGTCTCTTGGACTACATCAGTGAACCGATCGGCAAGGTTCTCAACATCGGACTTAAGGTTCGCAGACCTGCAGATTCGGATCTCATGCGTACCGCCGCACAAGACCGTGCAATCAAACCTTGGGAACTTGAACCCGTTTTCACTAATGACTTCATTGAACTAGCCAGTAGGACATGTCGTCGGAGCGATCGGAGACCCAAACGGCCAGGCCTTGCTGGATTTGCAGAAACAAGTCAAGAAAGAGGTGGCATACACAGATGAAGACAATGGCAAACCGGACCCGGAGAAGCCGGGCGGCGAGCGCATAGGCGGCAAGCAGCAGCCGGGACAGAATCCACTTAGGCTCTGATTCGATCGTGGGGAAGGAAGGGTCGGTCTGACCAACCGAGTCCCGGATGAGCCTGGCAGGGGACAATGGTGGGAAAGTGATATGACTTTGTTCGAATCGTTTGATGCACTCAAGACGACGTCACAGTCATGACTACACTTCTGCAGAGGAGTTATTACTTGGCGTGAATGCTCGTGATATTGCTGTTTGATTGATTTTTCTATAAGTTTGGCAGCTGAAACACATGCTCTGCAGGCTGTGGTTCTACAACATCCAAACGACCAATACCTCAACTCGGGAATCGGTTACAAAATGAAAACTTCAAATCGTCTAGCAGCGGGTGTTGAGGATGTTGAGGCAGGCGTTCTTCTCGGCGCTGTCCATGCTCAGACCGTAGTAGTACTTGACCTGGACCCAGGCGCGCACGTAGGTGCACTGGTAAGCGGTCCTTGAAGGGAGCCACTCGGCCGGGTCCTGGTCACCCTTGGCCTGGTTCACGCTGTCGGTGACGGCGAGAAGTTGGGGGCGGGTAAGACTGTCGCACATGTCAGTTTCAACCAATATGCACCCAGGTTCGGGCCGAAAACTCACTCGTTGGCAAAGTCCTGTCGTCGCTGGCTGTCCCAGTTGCGAGCACCGGAAACCCAAGCCTCTTTCTGTAAGGGGTCAGCATATTCCGATCATTGGGGAATCAGCAAGGCATATCAACGTACCAAGGGAACAACGTGGTCGATGTCGAGGTCAGATGCCGCGGACCAGGTCGCGCCATCGTAGTCACTGTACCAGGATCCAGAGGCTGCAGAGCAATCGCTGTTGGTCTGGACGTTGCTGCCGTCGCGCTTGAGGACGGTCTCGCGGGTGTTGCAAGAGCCGCTGATGGTGATCCAGTGGTTGAACAGGCTGCGGTCGTAGGCAGGGCTGTTAGACTCGGCCTCAACCTTGATCGAGTTCAAGTATGACTTGGCCGTGGTGGCGGAGACGGGAGTAGGGAGGTTTCCGCGGCGCTCGATGGTGGCGGCCTCGTCAAGCGGAGCCGCGACAGCAGCGCCGGCGACGGCGAGGAAAACGAGAGCGGACTTGATACCCATGATGTCGATCGAGGTTGTTGAGGGCCGGTTTGAGGAGGTGTTGGAACGCTGGTTGATCTGGATGATTAACCCAGAAATGTGGGATTATACAGACCTTTTATGCTCCATGAATGCCCTCCGGGACGAATAGCACGTGTTGTTGATCTTGATACAGTGCGCATTGCCATTCTGGCGTCCAGCAGTTTCATGTACATGTTGCCGGCAAGATCCTCTACTATCGCGCAACACGTGTGTGGGCCCTGAGCTGCGATTGTCCCTTCGATGTCTCCATGCCAAGACAGCTGCGGACGCTAGTGGAAACGCGCCGATCTTACCAGGCATCAATTCAGGCCTAAGTGATCAAGGCCCAATTTGATTGGTTGTGAGAATCTTCCACGATTCACGAAAGAAGGCAAGAGCGTCCTTCCATGCAGAAGCGCGGGGGCTCGTGCGCGAACTGGGAAGTTCCTCACGGCTGAACTTCTCAAGAAGAGCATACTCCGTGGCAAGTGTCATGCACGGTCGGCTACTTTGATATGACTTTCGCTGTGTTCATCGTAGTATCGCTCAAGCTCATTCTTGAGGCCGGATTCAGCATATCAGTGAAGATCACTTCAGGATAAGCGAGTCTGCAGGGCCACCCATACCCCGAGTGACATGCACAGCCTCCCTCAACGCGGTAGATTCGGCATTGGATTCGGCATGCTGACCATTTGGGGCAGTCCGTTTGGACCTATGATGGACTGTCCTTGCTGATTGCTCACCACAAGCTCTGGATTCAGGAACATGTCCCACTCGAAGGGCAGATCAGTGGCATTGAGCCAATCAACAGGCACCCCGGGGGTCATGGTGGTGCTGGCTGATGCGGAGGGATGGTCAACCAAAGGTACATGTTCCGGCACGGTCATGAGAGCGTCCAACTCCTTCTGCTTGCGTTTCCGTGCCATGCTTACTAGCGCCGACGCTTGTGAATATGCCTCCCGCACCAAGTGCGTGTCGTAAACCTGTACGATATCATGCATCAACGCCATGACTTCTTGGATGGTAGCCAGAGCTTTTGGCGTTCCGATGGCAATGATAACGCAAAGGAAATGGAAGGGCGTGCACACAACATTCCACCATGGAAGCCTCTTGTCAAGCAGATGTCTTGCCGCCAAGAAAGCCGAGCGGCCTATAGCCATAACAGTATCAGACCGGTCTTTTGCATCGGTGAGGCTCATCAGCCACAGTCTTCGATAGATCGCAAACGCCAAGTCAGCCTTCAGCATAGAAATGAAGTGGGACTCTGTTGGCATCGCCTCTATCTTCGAAAGGGCATTCCCAAGTGCGGCCGGCGGATCTGGCTCGCGGTCCCTATCCACGAAATCATTTGGCAACATCTCGGCTAATTCGACGAGTTGATGAGCGTGACCACCGTTCTCAGAAGCGAACTTCTTGGTGGTCACCACGTCGAAATAGACTTGTGTTCGGCCGACCTCGAAGGAAAGTATGATATTTAGAGCACGTGCGATCCAAAAGAGTCTCCGTCGGGTCTTTGCTAATTTATGGTCGCCAGTGGGCACAGCAGGCTTCTTCTGTCAGTAAACTGCGATCTCGGCCCAAGGGACAATTACTACTCACATAAACCACCGCGATCGTTTGCATCTCTTTGTGTAAGCCACTGGCTTCGACCAAGTGCATGCTAATACAACTGGCCATCCAAGCTCCGTGTGGTCTGCCTGTCAGGCGTAGATAGAATGTACGCAACGTCCAGCCAGCGACATGGCTCGGATTTGGTGAGTGGTGGACGCTTTTCAGAACGAGTTGTCTTTTGGCACTGTAGACGAATTGATCTTCTCTTGGATGTGGTTCGGACGAGAAGAAGGATCCAAGGGCCGCTATCCCGAGTGCTACAGCATCAACATCATGGTAGCCCGAGGGATCCTTGAATCGGAGAGCAACTTGCTCCATGAAATCAGCCTCCTCTGGAAGCCCGAGTTCGGGCTTGATCACTTTGAAGTAAACCGCGGCCAGCTTCTGCATCTCTGGCCAGGTCAGGTGCTGAAGTAAATTAATGTCTGGTTCGACAGGCTCTGGTCGGATCCCAAGGTGCCAAGCGAACGAATGGAGTCGAGGAACACTGTCGGCCTCCAAATCCATGCTCAAAATACGTGGGAAGGCGAGTGCCGAATTGGCGCGGACAAACCTAGTCTTGACGGGATCGAATATGCTCCGATGGTGAAATCGTGCACCAGGGGCAGTCAGTGGGTGTGCTTGTAGCTGTACGATACTGGGTGCTGCCGGGCCGGACGACTTGGTCTGCGTAGCATCTTGTGCGACATCCCCTTCGTGATTAAAAGTAGATTTTCTTGAAGGTGTGGCATATTCGCATGTGTACTCATAGCGGAGACATGTTTTGCAAGGAAGTCGTCCATCACTATATAGGTCGTCAGTTCAAAACATCGTATCATGTGTGACGAGAACGCCCGACTATGCTGCATTGGAAAGTCGGCAGACTAGGGCTGCAATTGCGGGAAAGGCACGAAATGAGAATATGCAGTCTGATAGTTAGATTCTCCTTGCATAATGATCTGCCGGAGAGCGAATCTTGGAGCGCAAGGGGAGTAAATAAAATGCGATCGTTACCATTTGCGCTTCCGTTGTCTACACGGTGTACAAGCGGCACGCGAGCGCTGTCGACCAGCATGCGCTGAAGTCTCATGTTCACCCTCGCCTTCCGCATCGGAGCTGGCGGCGCGTTTCCGCGAATTTTCATCTCCCATCGCGGCTTCGGTGATTATTTTCTTGTGCCCAGAGGTAGGCAGAGCTGGGCAAACCACCGCTAATGTCGAGTGCTGATGATGTTGAGATTGAAGCGTTGTGCCGTGGGCCGGGCTGAAGAAAGAGAGCGGATATTGCGGGGAGTGCGCAATTGTATGATTATTATAATAATATCAGAGAGCTGCGTATAGGCCGACTGTGCATATCAGAAACAAGGTTCATAAGTGCTTATTGTCAACATCACTACCGCAGGAACGGTGGTTTGTTGGCGTTGTTGGCATTCTGGAGTAATCATCACAAGCATGAGACCTCGGGAGGTGAGATGAGATCATGCCGCCAATCGACACGCTGGAGAGGCATCGGCATTCAAGCGGCTGGTGCGCGCCAACGTTTGTGTGTGCGGATAATTCATCTCGGCTCGGTTCGTCGAACGTTGACGGGCGATCATTGATCAACACACTCGGGATGCGCTTCGCACCAGCATTGGGATTCGTTTCGTCACTTCACTCATGACAGTACACTTTGCGTCGAGAATCACAAGATGGTTGCTTTACATTTTGGCAAACATATCACAATGAACATGTCGCGTCCGAAATTGCAAGCACTTCCGCGATAGGTGCAGAGCACGCTCGTTCGATCTTGTCGAGCACATTATACAACCGGTGCTTGCTGCAGGACTTGGGCGCCAGCAAGTCCCAGCTCCTTGCCATCCTGAGTATATAGCTCTTTGTCCAAGCTATATATGATGCTGTTTCTCCATCTCTGATACTCGAGCGCTGTCATGTCCGCAAACTTGGCTGGATTTGTGGCCGAAACGAAACTTGGCAAAGGCCCAAGGGAGACCTCGCGACCGGCTTTGAACAGGTAGGCCATGGAGATCCTCGAAGGTATGGTCACACCTCTTGCCCCCTTCATGGCTTCCGGGACCGTGACCTGATGTACACCGCCAAGAATTCTGCCATTGGTCCACCGGGTCAAGGTATCGCCGACGTTGACGATCATCTCGGTGGGTATGGCTGGGCTTACTGGGACAAATATGCCGGTCGTTCGATCCTCGACCTCGAGACCACCGGTACCATCCTGGAAGAGGAGCGTGATAGGTCCGAAGTCGGTATGTGGTGCGATGCGACATGTCTTTTTATCCTGGTCCATATCTTCCACGGCAATGGTTGGATAATGCGTCAAGCGTAGATCTGTGGCGCTGGGCATGCAACGGGCGACAAGTGAGCCATCACTGATTCCCCACGCAAGCTCAAGTGCCTTCATCAAAGTGAGACAGACCTCGTCGCACTGCTGATAGAATGCCGTCATGAAAGCTTGGAAGCCTACAAGCTCAGGCTCGCTTGGCCACTTGTTGGGAAACTCTGTATCGTGTTCCGGACCTTGGTCGAAATGCTCCTACAGGTGCTAATATTAACCAGATGCCCAGCTCTTCAAAAAAGCGTGAAATGACAAACCTTTGAGTCCTTCAGCGATCGAACCATGTTGTCGAAAGAGAGTTTTCCAACTTCTTCTACCCTCCATGGGGTGTAGCCTCGCATGGGCTTTGGGCCGATGTCGTTAGGAATCTTCTGCTTGGTATCTATTGGCTGGTCGAAGAACTTCCTGGCCTTTGAGAGTATTAGCCAACCATGAAAAGAGAATAGAAACGTCAACGATAAGCATACCCAATCGAACATCTCGCTAAGCTGCTTTGAGTCGAAGCCATGGTATTCTAGTTTGCAAAGCCCGGTCTTTTCGAAGCTCTCTACCAGAGCGTGGGCGAAGGTCTCCCGCTGCTCTCGGGAGCCAGAAGAGAAGTGGGAATAATCGAGGACGGGAATCGACATGGCGAGCAATGCACTAGGAATTAAGCTCCAAGAACACGATGAGCACAACAGCGAGAGAGTATGCTTGTTTTCACCAGTCAAGGCTCTTGAAATGAGAACACCTTTCAACCACGAAAAAACGTGCGACGCATAACTTTCTTTTATACACACTTCCACGAACAGCAAGCCTGCGCGAAGGTCGTACAACATTTGCGCGAGGAATGTGGCAACTTCATCAATGCACAACTTGCCACATGCAATATCCATGTTCGACCCTTGAGTCTAGATCGCCAGTACGAATCAGACTGGCTAATGCGATTGAACTTGCTTGTCCCACTTCCTTGGGCTCATGTTGCAAAACCTCATTGACGCATCAGCAAGATTTGCTCGAGATGATGCAAGGGATGAGTCGCTTTTGGCGCAAGGGATGCGATCAAGCTCGGAGACACATCTGTGGGATCATTACTCTATGATCGGAACATTTGCAACTTCCGACGCTACCACTACTAGCAACCAACAGGCTTCGCTGCCTCGCGTCTTCCTGGAATTTGAAGGCCCGTTAAACGCCACGCCACGCCGAGCTCGCTGTCCGCATAATCCCTGGCATCACGACGTGGAAAGCAACCCTTTAAGGAAAATCAAAGTTGGCATGGTCAATGCTGCGCGGTGCATATAATCGCTCGGTTGTCCACTTTCGACAGGTCTGCGCAATGCCGCAAGCCAAAGTATCTGCCGAGAGTCTTGTGAGTACGATATTCAGCAAATTCATCGACAACATTCTGCCATAAAAGTTTCAGCAGAATGGCTATCTTCAGCATCCAGACTTCACCAAATAAACTGATCCCTTATCTCGTTCGCGCCCGAGACGCAAGCAACATCGATGAATGCATGGCCGTCTACGAGTGCTGGGCGACTACATACAACAGCGACCTGAGCGAAGACGGCCACAACTACGTTGCGCCAGTCCTTGTGGCACAGCTTGCGTACAAGCTGACCGCCGATGCAGCGGGAGCTGCCTTTCTTGACGCTGGATGTGGTACCGGATTGGTCGGCCAAGCTCTGGCACGTCTCGGAGCCGATGCGATCGATGGGCTCGACTTCTCCCTTGCTATGCTTGACGAGGCTGAGCAGACCGGTGCATATCAAAATCTGATCCGAGCGGATCTAACCCAGCGACTCAACATCGCCGATGCGACATATGACACGGTAACCTGCGTTGGCACTTTCACGCACGGACACGTTGGGCCGGCGCCTGCATTATGCGAGTTCCTGCGCATATGCAAACCAGGCGGTTTGGTAGTGGCAACTGTGATTGAGCCGCTGTGGGACGATGCAGGATTCAAGAAGGAAGTGGCGCGAATCGAAACAGGGAGAATGGCGGAGGTGGTTCAACAAGAAGTCGTGGACTATGTGAAGGGCCGCGGCGACAAAGCAATTCTCGTTGTGCTGCGGAAGAAAGCGGTCCCCTGACAAGGTTTCATGAGAACAAACTTTGCTACCTCAACCCAGGGGCGGCTAATGGCGCTAGACATATTGCTTTTAGAGGGCACCATCCAGAATGTCACTGCTTCATATTTCATTGCCGCCCCTTCCCCCTGGTGCACATTCGCTCGCTTCTCAGCGGCAGTACTGTATTCTCACACCAGTGACATCCAGCAGGGAGCCGCATGATCTGAATCGAGCTGCGCGCGGTCTGTTTTGAAGTTCAATAGTCCATTCTCCGCGCGGTACCAAATGATTAGATATCCCATGTACAAGCAATCGATAACCTAACGATGGGATGGTTGCGGCACGGTGAAGCAAGGGATATGCTGCTGCATATATAGGGCACAACTTTGAATTCGACCAAGCCAACCAACGTTAGCACACTGGAGGACGCATTGATTGCCAGTTCCAGAAAGCATAAGCGATCGCAGCATCGAAACGTGTATCATAATTTCGAGAATTTCTTATCATCACAATTTATACACCGTCGTTCACGATGTGATGTTCTCACGCCGTAGCGCAGTGCATGATCGACTAGACCGTATTCGTCAGCAAAGCTCACCACACGTCAAGTTCATTGGTCACTTTGAAGACAACGTTCTCGATGGACTCGCTGCGCGCTCGTATTCGATGTAGCATTTCATACGCGACAGATTAAGCGTTCGTATACTGTCGAAGCTGACAAAGCGTTTTGCATGATGCGAAGTCATATCAACGTGGGGTGGGAAACTGTCCCGTCTCTATCGAATCGTCATGCACGAGCCTTGCGGCCCTTCAAGTGGACACAGAACTCTGTCTCCACTTGAACGACTGAAGATTTCCAAATGCCTTCAGAATCGGTCAACTCTGCTTTCCATTAGCTGTCACAGCTAGAGAAATGACGGGGAAAGAAAGATGAAATTCTTCAAGAGCCAGCTCGTTCACAACGGGTGCGGCGAGGGGCAGGATTCGTCGCCACCACGGGCCCCGTCGCCTATGCGCCATTCTCTGAATGAGCTGAAAGAATCACAACAAGGAAATCTCAGTGGCCCTGACGAAAAGAGCGAGAAACCACGTCAACCGTCGGATTCGACAACCGCTTCCTGTTTGGTTCCAACCCCGACTCTTATGGAGAAAACCACCACGTATCCAGAAGGCGGAAGAGAGGCCTGGTTGGTGGTATTTGGAGCGTTCTGTGGCTTGACGGCATCGCTCGGTATATACAACACATCCGGTGTCTTCTCGGCCGTCCTCTCTCACGTCGTTCTTCCCGGGGAAAGCCCGTCGAAACTCGGCTGGTTGTTTTCCATCTACGCCTTTGTGACTTGGATTTGTGGAGTGAAAATTGGGCCAACCTTTGATGTCATGGGACCACGTTACCTGATAATCGCAGGGACAGTCTGTACCGTGGTTGGCATCTTCACGATGAGTGTATCGACAGGTATGTATCATGCTGATCGATTGCATCCTTGGAGTCATTATTGACCTAGGACTCGTGACAGAATATTGGCAGATTTTGTTGTCATTCTCCATTTTGACGGCGATCGGATCTTCATTACTGCTCACTCCATCGATGGGCTGTGTTGCTCACTGGTTCATGGAACGCCGTGGTCTCGCCAGCGGGATCGCTTTCATAGGAGGAGGATTTGGAGGAGTTTTGTTCCCACTAATGACACAAGCGCTACTGCCACAGGTCGGGTGGGCTTGGTCGATCCGCATCATCGGGTTCGTCTTACTTGCATTATGCGCCGTCAGCATCGCATTCTGTCGAAGTCGGGTCCCGCCTCGAAACGGGGTCGCTACATCTTGGCGAGACACGCTTCCCGATGTGCGAATCTTCTTCGATGGAACGGGCGCCATGGCATTGACGACTGTCGGGGTTCTCTTGACGGATCTGGCATACTTCATTCCCGTCACCTATGTGCCGAGCTACTATATCGAACGACAGAACCTGTCCGATAGCGAAGCATTGACAGGATCCGCGGCGTTTGCATATCAACTCCTAGCGATCCTCAACGCGACGTCGTGCCTCGGACGAGCAGTCACCGGTCACTTCGGCGACAAATTCGGACGATACAATGTGATGATCATATCACTGTTTTTCTGTATATCTTCGGTCTTGGCGTTCTGGCTGCCAGATATTCTCATTTCTCAAATGCCCAACAATGCTTTGCTGATCGTGTTCGTGGCGCTATTCGGATTCGTCAGTGGGTCCAATGTCAGCCTTACGCCCATTTGCCTGGGCCAACTGTGCGAGACCCATGATTATGGACGATACTATGCCAGCTGCTTCACCGTGGTCGCATTTGGCGTGCTTGTCAGCATACCGATCGCTGGCAGCCTCCTCTCTGCTGTTGAAGCTTCTGGGAAGAAGCGGTACTGGGCTGTCGCAGTCTTTACTGGAGCAAGTTACCTCGCATCATTTCTTTGTTTTGTTTGCGTCCGCATCAAGATCAAGGGATGGAATTGGAGGACCAAATGGTAGTCTACATCGGAAGCTTGTCCTGAGTCATATCATATATCCCGATAAATGTCATGAATGCAGTAAAACCGAATTGCAATCGCTCATGTGCAGCTTGTGAGCAATGAATTAGTCCCCATAAATTTGATGGAGGCTGTAAGCAAATCCCCACGTCGAGAATCACGCTACGCAATTTGACGCTCGGACGACATGTCACTGTTTGGCGACCGCGAAGACCTTGAAACTAATTCACCACATGACTTTCCACATTTCGATCATTCGTTCATTCATACATCAGTCGGGTTTTCCGCTGTGTGATATCTGCGCTTTGTTCGAGGTGGCTTCTCGGTCATCATAATTCTACACGTCCATGGCTGCCGAGCGCCTGACTTTTTAGATCGCATTCGGCCCGTCTAGACGTCAATGCCGTCGACGACCATGCCCTTCTTCCAGGTATAACACATTTTGCGCGCGACCTCATCGGCCGCATCGTCGGAGACCAAGGCTCCGACCATATACAAGGCACCATCGATGCCAGAAGTCACGCCGCTGGTCGTGAGGACTCGCAGGCCACCAAGTTTGAGACTGGCTCGCTTGATGATGCTATCGCGGCGGTTGTTTGACATCTTGAGTGACATACTGCCCTTGCGAGCGTGGACAGGGCGACTCCCGTTGGTACTGTTCGCACCGTTGCCGCGCTCTTCAATTGGGGAAGAGATGGAGCTCTTCCTGCGCTTCTGCTCTTTCAATTCCTTGCGGCTCAGAATATGCGGGTTGCTCTCCTCGTCTTCACCCAATTCGAAACGTAGGTTGTTGACCACGTAACGCTGTTCGACAACGTCACAGCGTTCAGCCATGTCACGCTGTGCAGCGTTGGAGCAGATGATCTCCATCTTGGTAATGTAATCCGGGTGAGTGGTAGCTGAGAGACCAGCTAGGAGACCAGAGTCACCAAGAATGAGCGATCCGGTACAGACAGACATGAGCGACCGCTCACGAGCTGGATTCTTCTGTTGCAATTCGGCGAAAGCCTTGATGATGGATATCGGCTGACTCTTCGCCTTGATAATGGCTTCGGCGTTGCCGCCAGGGACCACAAGCACGTCAATCTCTGACAAGCGCTTCATGGCCTCGGCGTAATCGACGTGAGCACTAAAGGTGACGCCTTGAGCCGTGACGACATGCTCAGCAGGGCCGGCGAAGATGGTGCGGAAGGCCTTGGTGTCTGTGACCAGCTGCCGCGTCAGCACGAAACACAAGGTGTGTGGACATATGATTCAAGTACTCACCTGGGTTCTTGGAGTCATGCTGAGCAGTGCTGAAGACCTCCAGCGGCCCGATGGCATCCATCGAGTCCATGCCATCGTAGAGACAGACAAGCACGTTGAGTGGAGTGTCTGACTCTTCAACGATTGCACTCATTGTGACGACTTGATAAAGATTTTGGTTGTGTAAAGGTGATGTTTGAAGAAGTGTTGAACATGAAGGGACAGGTTGATTCCTGGTGGTGAAGAAAGAAGAAGAAAGGAAGCAGAGTTGTGATGGGGATGGAAGCTGTTGAAGTAGTCAAGGCCATCGTACTTGCCTGATGTGATTGTACCTCCCCTCTTGCCTGATGTGTGAATATCGAAGCTTGAGGTGCCGCATCTGGTCAGACGAACCATTGGGGAGCTGGAGGGAGACACGACATTGGTGAAAGTGATCATGCGACACTTCCCAGGGTCTGTCTACCCTGCTACCATACTATACTAGCTAGCGATGCAGTATTCGCGGTACAGCAGCCCGTCTACACATAAACACCCAGCCCAAGCCAGGCCGACACCTTTCCCCGCAATACGCTAGACTACTGTAATTGCGCGTGAACGCAACTCGCTGCGTTTAACGTGGATAGCGTCGCGCGATGGGAGGTACGGCAGCGTCATCGTGCGTGAGCCTCCTTCTCCCATAATCGATTAGCCGTCCGCAGACCCGAGTCTGTCGGTCTCACTGGGAGGGATCGAGTCATATTGGTCCCATAAAGCAAGGACCCAAAAGGCTACCGATGATGGTGTACGAGGACCACCCACATCTCAAGACACGTCTTGGTTGAAGTGCCGATACCATCTATCAACTCCGTGGGATTTCCAGCTCTGGGTACGTTCCAGGAGGTATTGTGGATCACACGATCTGCGGAAAGACCTGGGTGTACTCTTGAGAATGGGAACGCGTAATGTTCGTACACTGCCTGATGAAATGGCATTTGACTGGTCGCATGCAGACCAAGAAACCTAAACGATAGCTATCATCGCGGCCGGGATCAAGGGGTGCTTGCGTGGATGGGTAACAAGTTGTTTCCCGAATATGGCATAATGTTGATGGGAAGCTCTAGCATTGAGTGCCGCTGTATAGTTCCAAGGTTGTTATTCATACCAACGGTCCGGGTGAGGGGCTGCTGCCGACCTCCAGGGCTCAGCGAGAGTACCTTTGTCCTTCCTCTGGCGTTCTATATCTAATAGACAGATCGAAGATGGTCGCCACGACGGCGCAACTCTGGCCCTGGCGAAGCCAGTTTTGATGATGGGCTTGTTGATCGACCCCGCTGCCTCCATCATTGGCGTCAGCGCAAGGTGGATGCAACGTAGACCCACACATGACTGCTCAAGGCCCACTCTCATCACGATGATCGGGCATGTCCTACCAATTGAGATACATGATACCGGCTCTGCAATATCTGACGGGAGTTGAAGGACCAGTGAAAGAGTCGGCCGATCTGTGTAGAGCCGGAGATCACAATAAAAATAGGAAGACACTCCAAGACAAACTGCTCCGGTGTGTGCTCCACACCCACGTAGTAACGGCTCACGAGGACCTTTTCAATGCTTGGAACAGGAATGTCAAATACGGAACTTTATAGGATGGCTGCATCAAACAACTAGTCTTACATACGTGAGTTAGTACATAAATACAAATGCCGCCAGTTTGCTCTTCGCCAGTGGCCGTCATGGCGCGCACTGCTCCGGCTATCTGGGTCAGAGCGGAGATGGTGCAATTCCGAAAGCAAGAAATGACAAGCATGAATGGTAGACTATTGGGTACAGTCGGAGTCAACGCCGGTCAGTGGCTGGGTATCAGTCGACGTATGATTCTTCAATTTAGGCGCCTTGACTTTAGAAGCCCATGCCGCCGCCCATTCCGGCCATGGGGTTCATGCCAGCTGGTGGGCCCTTCTCTTCAGACGCCTCGACAATGGCGACTTCAGTGGTTCCGAGCAGCGAAGCAACTCCAGAGGCATCGGAGAGACCAGTTCGAACGACCTTGAAAGGATCCAGGATACCAGCAGCGATCATGTCGGTGAATTCGCCCTTGGCGCTGTCGTATCCCTTGTTGAAGTCGCTGCCGAACTCGTCCATAAGCTTGCCAACGATGACGGAGCCTTCCGAGCCAGCGTTCTCGACAATCTTGCGTGCAGGTCGGGTAATGGCGTTCTTGACAATGGTAATACCCAGCTGCTGGTCGAAGTTCGCTGGCTTCAAGTCATTGAGGGCGTTGGCAGCAGCCTTGAGAAGAGCGGTACCACCACCGGGAAGGATGCCTTCCTCGACAGCAGCACGAGTCGCGTTCAAGGCATCGACCATGCGGTCCTTCTTCTCACCGACCTCAACTTCGGAGGCACCGCCGACCCTGATGACGGCAACACCACCTGAGAGCTTGGCGAGACGCTCCTGAAGCTTCTCCTTCTCGTAATCGCTGGTGGTAGCGTCGGCAATGACGCCACGAATCTGTTCGCATCGTTGTGCGACCATGTCCTTAGTGCCCTCTCCGTTGAGGATGACAGTGTCCTCCTTTGTGATGGTGATGGACCCGGTGGAGCCGAGCATCTCTGCAGTGGCCTTCTCAAGCTTGATGTCAAGCTCATCGGTGAAGACGGTACCGTTTGTTAGGACCGCAATGTCGCCAAGGATGCTCTTGCGGTTGTCACCGAAGCCGGGAGCCTTGACAGCAGCGACTTGGAGCTGACCACGCAACTTGTTCAAGATGCAGACAGCTAGCGCCTCTCCATCAATGTCCTCGGCAATAATGACAAGCGGTCTCCTCAGTTGTTGAGATGCCTCAAGCGCGGGCACGATGTCTTGCACAGCCGAGATCTTCTTCTCAGAGAGAAGGATCAAAGGCTTCTCAAACTCCACCTTTTGCGACTTGGTATCCGTGATGAAGTAGGGAGAGATAAACCCTCGGTCAAACTTCATACCCTCTGTGACCTCCAACTCATCGGAGATGGTCTTGCCCTCCTTCACAGTGATAACACCCTCCTTTCCGACCTTCTCCATCGCGCTAGCAAGCATCTCGCCGATGTGAGTATCGCCGTTCGCAGAGATGGTTGCAACCTGGCTGATTTCTGCGGAGGTGGTGATGTCGCGCTTGTTGGCCTGTAGGTAGCGGATGACAGCCTCGACCGCTGCCTGGGTACCGCGGCGCAAATCCATCGGGTTGCAGCCTGCAGCGACGTTCTTCACGGTCTCGGAGAAAATGGCGTGTGCAAGGACGGTGGCGGAAGTGGTACCGTCACCAGCAACCTCGTTGGTCTTGTTGGCGACATCCTGTAATAACCTCGCACCGAGGTTCTCGAATTTGTCCTTGAGTGTGATGGCCTTGGCGACAGTGACACCGTCTGTAGATAATGATTAGCTTTCCTTCCCACGTTTGATGCAAGTATGTCGGAACTCACCCTTAGTGATCTTAGGCGACCCATAACTTGACTCGATCAAGACATTGCGACCCTTAGGACCGAGAGTTGTGGCTACAGCTCTGGCGAGAGTGTCTACACCCTGCAAGAGAGCTGCTCGTCCCTCAACACCGAACTTGAGTTCCTTGTGCGCGAATCGTTGTTGAATGAGCGAACCAGAGCTCACTCGTGATGAGCGAGCAAGGGCTCGGGGTGTGGAAGCAAAAGCACGCTGCATGTTGTGATGATTTCAATGGCGGAGGTGATGAAAATGATACAAGGCAACTCCGAAGACTCCAAATCTTGATGACGCCGGTCGACACAGTTCGTGTATGAGAAACAACGATGATGATGAGATGAAAGAATTCAAAAGCCAATATCATATTATGCGAATGGTCTAGCCGGCGCGCAACCCCGGAGGGAACCATCCAGAAATTTGAGCTTTCCCGATTTGTGAGCTAACCTCATTGGGACGAAGCCGGACCCTGCAAGCTTCACCCGATTATTCATAACTGAGACCATTTCAGGAAGTTACAGTGCATAACTGTATGTATGTAATGATGAGACGTTACCTCGATGATACAGATGTTGGAAGCTACTAAGATCGTATGATTTGCACACAAGCGACGATCTAGAAAGAATACTACAGAGTGTAGAAGCGATCTCCAAAATCTCCTAGACCTGGAACGATGTAGCTGCAAGGGAGCATGATTAGCCATGTGAATTCTGCGGAGGCATATTTGAGAGTGGACGTACTTCTTCTCGTCTAAGCCTTCATCAACAAAGGCTGTAACGATCCTGAGGCGTGGAAACCTTTGAGCGAAATTCTGGGCTCCCTCCGGAGAGGCAATGAGGTTGAGGAACAGAATTCGTTCTTCTGGCACCCCCTTTGAGAGGAGGACCTCGACGGCCATCATAGCGGACCCGCCTGTGAAACAAATCAGGTATTTCTCACCAGTGTCAAGTGGGACGGTGGGATGGTTCGACGTACCTGTAGCAAGCATTGGATCGAGCAACAGGACCCAACGGTCCTTGATGTCCGCCGGGAGTTTATCGTAAAAAAGCCGTGGTTTGCTTGTCTCCTCATCTCGTTGGATCAAAATCTTACCGATGCGGACGCTACGACAGCATTCGCGGAGCGCCTGCTCCATCGCCTCGCCTGCACGCATGATGGAAACCCCGCATATCTGACCTTCAAACTTGACACCGGCATAAGGACGGCCGACAGGAGTGGTCACAGAGAGTGGAAGCACAGGCAGATGATTCAATGCCTCTTCTACTAACAGTCGACTGATACGATTACTGTAGAAGATGAAGTCGGCGCGGTTGGTGTGCTTATCGCGTATCAAGCTATCCGCAAGTCATTATCTCAAGACCTCTCTAATCCGAACTTGGTTCACGGTCACGTACGTGAGAAGTGCAATGAGCTGTGATGTTTGTTTCAAGGTGTGAAGATTGTCAATCTTGGGCTCTGTCGAAACAGTTGCCGTAGGTTTCTCCTGAGCGGGCCTGTATTCTGGACCAAGTTTCTGACTTGGTGCCCGAATCAACGGAGAAGGTCTTCCTGATGACGACATGGCAGCAACGGCAGCGTCAGACTGTTTGGTGGGAAATGAATGGTGCAAATGAAAGATCCGAAGAGATTTCGATAATCCGAAGTACCAAATGATATATGATCTATGCGAGTTTGGTGAGGATCCGTGTGGTGAGAGACAAGGGATACTTCCAGGGCTGATCACGAATTTGATGGCGATAAAGAACGCCAGCTACATAACTGATACCGGGAGCTGCAGGCAAAGACTGGTCGGAGGGCATCCGCTTTGCGGGGCACGCGACATGAAAAGATGGGCTGTCCAGTTGCTGCTGGATTGTCCGGGCGCCCTGAAAGGCGTTCTCCAGCCTCATTGTGGTCCGGTCGTCTCCTTTACAGGCTTTTACACGCATTTACGGGCATTAGGTACATGGCTTGAATGCAATATGATGTTCTTGATCTGATGTACTGGTGTCATGGCTGTCATTATTGGTTGAAGAGATCGAGAGCATGGTAAGGATAAGCATTGGGTATGGACAACCCCTAAGAGAGTAAGCAAAGCCGCCTGAACCATGTCCCTTCCCTGGTTCCCTGGCGGACATGGATTGTTTGTGGCATTCACCGATCATGTGTGTGTGCTATGGTTCGCTGCAGAGGCGTTTGACGCCGATTATGACGCCACGTGCAATGGCTCTCTCTGTCTCTCTCACACACAAATCGATTGTGTACATGTGATGTCCAGGCATGGGTTGGGTAGGGCTTGTTTTGTTAGTGTCGTTGCGACAGTGATACACCGAGCCTCGTCGAGATCCCTTTCACTTTGATTTCACTTTCTGATTACAAACTGCCGCGGATCGGCTGCATGTGAATGTCAATGACCACACCAAATTGCATATAACCATAAGGCCAGGACAACCTCTGACCGTCAAGCTTCCAACACACTCGAGGACGCGCGCCTTCATGCACCATCCAGCTAGTTGCACGAGGCAGTTGTCCATCTCGTGAACATCTTTTGCGCCAACATGACCAGCTCGTGAGACACAGCCGACACGCGTCGTCTCAAATATTGCGCATAATCTGCAGTACCGATCGCAACATGGCACTCCCGGCAGTCCAACTTCCTCGGAGGAAGAAGCAAATGACTTATGGCAAAGCTGCGCGCAACGCAAATGCTTGGGGCAGTATGACTGCAGATGACCAGGACGACGGTGCATCAAGTGGTCACTTGACGGCAGTCGCACGCGAACAGAGTGTGAAGCAAACATATCCTGTACAAAAGAGTGGATCTCAAGCTCAAATGCAAGGGAGGCCCAAGGCTAAGAGAGACGATATGTGGGATGTGCCATCGTCGGATGACGAGCGCATGGCCCAAAGCTCGCGGACAACGACTAAAAGGCTTCCAAGTGTTAGGAAGCCTGTGATCGATGATGAGGCACCACAGTTAACGTCTTGGGAGAAGAGGAATGTCAAACCACAGATACCTCAGCGGACTGAAGAAACAGGACAAGTCGCCCGTGAAGCGCCTTCGCCACGTGCTGTGAGAAAGACTTCAGCCGGGAACAATACACACGAAGCAGAGTCACATGCGCCAAAGATTCATTCGCGAGCAATGGACGGCCTGCGAAACACGAGAAGCGCCACTACAAATCAGACTTCTGCAAATCACAAGAGCGCCGCAGCGCGACTTCAAGCGAAAAAGAACGTCACGACCACGAGCGCTGCGATCGAGGGTCCTAAGCAATCTGCGCAAGGAGAGAAGCGCACAAGTAGAGATTCGAAAGGCGACGAACTGTCACGTAATTCTCGAAAGAGGGCGCGCGCCATGCCACAGGAAGAACAGACTCATTCGCAGCCAGGGATGGGAGCGGCAGGAAATGTGTCAGATCGCGACGACGTCATCATGGGGCCCGCCGACATCCACATGGACATTGATGTTGACGTTATTCCCATCGAATCACATGCCAAAGCGGACGATGACAAGCAACCTTCTTGCGACAAATCACCCAGCAAAAAGGGAGACCAGACATTACTACCAGCACGGTCGAGAACACTCTATAATAAGCAGAAATCCGCGCCCTCACGGTTGCATGGCATGATTTCGTCCAGCCAGAAGAATTCAGAAACGCTCGTCCCTCCCAACCTCAGTATCACCCTCAGCCAAAACAATATTTCCGACAGATTAACCTCACAAGCTACCCATGACGACTTGGTTCATCATCAGGGGCCTGCGACTGCAACTCCGAGACCGGCGAGGCGCTGGGCCAAGAATCTCCCGGACGCGTCTGCAATATCATCTCCAAGTGACCTTCCCATGGCATCACTACTATTGCAGAGCACGAAGCGATCAACCGGCCTCGGCAAGTCAAAGTCGGATCTCGGACAGCGCCGTACGAAATTGGTCGATCGCCTGAAAGCACTGGCACAAAGCTCGGATGAGGAAGACGAGACGGACATCAATGTCAATAAGACGATAAGCACATGGACGCCGATCAGCTCGGCTAAAGCATCTTCTCCGCCACATTCCCAATCGCAACAGCCTCAACCGACACAGACGGCCAGGCCAGGGCCACCAAAAATAACATATGCAAAGTCGCGATCGCACCTCGAGGACTCTGGCGACAACAACCTGCTGCTAGAAATGATCGCACCCTCTCCGCTATCAGGCACGGGTTCAAAATCGAGCGCTGGCCGCATCGGCCGAAGTCCACAGAAGTCTTCCTGGGACTTTGAAGACGACGATTTATCTGGACCCAAAACACAACAATTCCGCTCCATCCACGAGCTGCGTGCAAACGGCGACCACGTTCGCTTCTTACACGACATTAGCAATCTGATGGACGATATCTCTGATCAGAAATACTCGGCACGTTGTCGTCGACGTAGTGCATTGATGGAGTTGTCATTACGACTAATGGACAAAGGATTCGCACAGAAATTCTGCCGACATGGGCATGAGCAGCAATTGATCGCCGAGTGCGCGAGCACCCCCGATGAGATTGCCGATTTCGCGCTCGCGGCTACATTCATGATTCTAAGCGGTGAGGAAGGTCCAGATAGTACCTTTGTGGTGCTCCGCAAGGGTGGCGTGCTCGAATGGTTGAGGCGACAGCTCGGCGCGCGTCGTGCGGCGCGCGTGATGGTCAAAGACCGACATAACAATATGGCCAAAGCTGCGCAATCGACCTGGCTGGCCGAGTCTAAGCAGATCGCCGCACAGGATACTATTTGGGGCGAGAATAAGCCCACGACGATCACATTGCGCGTGATAGCTCTCAAGGCAATGGAAAATATCGTCAGGAGGCTTCGAAGGAACGGAGATGCTTCAGAACTGATTGATCGCACAGCATTACCGGAGATTCTCCCACGCCCCGAAGATATTGAGAACATGGCACACGATGAATCGAGCCGCTTCGAGATCGCCATTGTAATTTCTGTCCTCGAAGCTTCCACTATACCATCTATCGCATCGGACTGGAGTTCGGATCTCATCGAACGGATAATACTAATACTTACCTCGCCGACCTTACAGGATAAGAAAGCCCAACATACGTATTTCCTCACTCTACGGTTGTGCCACAACCTCATCAACGACAACACCACCAATCGCGCTTACTTCTGCGACAGCGCTCCCGCCATGACTCATTTGCTTCTAGGCGTGCACAACGGGCTTCAGAGACAGGGAGCTACCGGCCTTTCGGAAGAAGAAGCTGCGCTCGGATTGGACGTCTTAGTCCTCGAGTTCGGCCTCCTCATCGTCATGACCGAGCACAGCGCCGACGTCTGCGCCTCGGCCGTGGAACCCACCAACCACGCAACACTCGTCGCTTTGGCCGAGAGCTTCCGCCGCGGACGCACCTTGACCGACGAAGCGCTCACCGAGGAAGCAGTGGTGGCGAACGTCGCACATGGTTACTTGGCCGTGGTGCTAGCGAATCTGTGTCGTGACGCCGGGGCGCGTGAGGTCATCGCCGCACAGCTCCCTGGGAACAACGGCTTGAGCATCCTCGTTGCGGCCGTCGAGGAGTTCGTCATGTATCATCAGAAAGTTGATATGGTCAATTTCAACGACGACACTGGTGCGGAGGTCTGGGGTGCCTTCACGGAAGTCCTCAAGGGTGTTTTGAAACGGCTCAAGGAGAATGTGGGTTGACATGAGTAACGAGAGCATGAAGAAAGCGAGGGCATCTACGATTACGGCTTGGAGGTGAGCACGGATTGAGATTTTATCATTGGGGTTTTGAGCACGAGGATGCTGCTTGTATTTTGGTCAGGAATGATACCCGCCTTGGTTCCACCATAACATGAAATTCAACGTCTTGTCAGAAAGTGCAGAACATCAAGATGAGGTCGTGAGTGCGAATCATTGGACGACTGTGGTATCGGATCGACATCGATCCCAGATACATATAGCGGCTTCCATCTGAGAACCAGGGTCGCCGCTACAGTACCACTTCCATGTAGAGTCGACTGTTGGTCGGGCAATTTGCCGTTCTGGTTCGGGGCCACCGGGTCGTGTCAGGGAGATAGGATGTTGAACAATTGTGGAGGTCGCGGTTTATGATCATTCATACCAGGTATTCACCGTACCGCTGGGCTGATTCTCTCACAACTCGCGCGGTGCCATTTAGGGCTCCATCAACCTTATCCCCAGCATTCCCGCCGAGTTGATGGGAAGCAACAGCGCGTGTCACAGTCTCACGAACATTCACATTGAGCCTCGCTTGAGAAGGAGAGCGGTGTTCCGATCGGGAAGGAAGCACACCGATGGCGTCGGGGTCGCTCAGCGGTGAAGGTGGTGGAGTACAATTTCATAAGGAGAATACCTACCAAAAAGGACCGCCTCCAGCACGAACTGGAGAACATCAGCTGTTCGGGATTTCAAGGAAACGTGATATTGCCGCACACGAGATGCAGCCCACTCAAGAGTTGGTATCGGAGGTGACAGGACCTGCGGGCTTCTTGTCACATGCGGCCAGGGAATGGACACCGGGCCGGCAGATGCGCTGGAGAGGTCTGGAGAGGTCTGTCGGTCGACCATGACAATTGATTATTACCCGCGGGTGATGTACATGTATGTACATGTAGCGAGTATTCGTTCATCAATCATTCAGTCAATACAGCAAAACGGCCTGGAGACGGCTTGAAACGCTGCCTCGGAAGTAAGCTCAGCGGAAGCGATGCTGGTGGGCTTCCTTGATCTCATCATTATTGTTGTCGTTAATGTATTACAGTATCTTGCTGATGGCAGTTGAGGGTTGGCGGAGCGGACGATCCAGTGGGAACCCTTCAAATCTTGGGGGATCGTCTCATCCCACGCATCCTTCCTTCCTTCCTTCCTTCCTTCCTTCCTTCCTTCCTCGGTACTCGCGATGTTCGACAAGGATTGCCCCGTCCAGCCAGTCAACTGCTGACCGTTGCGCCCCGTTGCGTCGTCGTCGATTGGAAGCCCGCGGGGCTTCTAATATGCCTTCCTCGCTGATATGCCGGTGAGTGCCGGCCGGTCGGCTACTTTATAATTGCTGCTTCCCCGCTAAGTACATAATCTCGTCCCATGTCCCATCCCGTTGCGCATGCCCGTGACAATGCCCTCCTATATCTCATGGGCAGAGTGTGAGATCGGCGTAGCTACATGTACGGTGCTATAAGGCGGGCCTCTCTGGCGGTCGCATACCGACCTTCCAGAAGCGATTGCGCGAATGCGATAAGAAGCATTTCAGCGCAGGGAGTCGTCCACCCGGGATATATACATGCGCATGTACAGTAGCGGTAAGATGTGCAGTGCTGTAGGACTGTTTCACCCTTGCATTAGGAAGGTACAAATGAGCAAGTGCATCAATAATACAATTGGGCAGCTAATCACGGACAGTGTTTCCATCAGAAAAAGCAGAGAGCAATCACATGGGATCCAATTACCTAGGCATGACTTATACATACATTTGCGATCAGCCAACATCTTTCTCTGCCCTCGCCCATCTCTCTCCCACCTCATCATTGTTCCCGATTCATTGGGATCTGGTGCTCGTAGTACTGAATCACCGACTTCGCCTTCATCAGAAAACGCGCGTCCAGCCTCGCGTGAGCCTTCGTGTGTGGAGCAGGATCGAGTTGCTTCTTTCGCAGCGTGGTCCGTCCGACCGGGACCTTTTCTATTACAAACCTGGACGGCCGACATTTCCCATTACCACATCTCCCGGCCCTCCGCCTCGCGGGCGTGTCCACGGTCGACCTAGTTCCCGGCTGTCATCAGACAACACTTTATTGGAGCCAAGCAACCCAAACGGTCCTCCAGCACGATCCAGATTGCCTTTGGGGTTGCTTCCACCCGGCAACTAGCCACAGCATACCTGGGTAGTCCGCGCATGCGACTACTGCTGTCCACACCTGCGACCCTGACCGCTCATCAATCGTCGCCGCGTGTTTCGAAGGACCCTTGACCAACGCTATCGACACTCGATTCGTTCGCGTGGTCGCGCCGGTTCCTCGTTGAGTCGTGTCGTGCCTCACCAGAAATAGCCAGATCGTGCGCAGTGTCTTTAAAGCTTCCGAGACCACCAGGTCGGGCCGTCATCACCTCACCTCGCTCCTCTTGTCTCACCCACCAGTGCCACCTTGCAATCGGTAGCAACTCTACTATCGTCTCTGGATCTTCGTATCTCCACCGCCATTCCCTCCTCCAATCGCTTGAGAGCGCGACGGCCAGGTTACCCCTCTATAACGTCGTGGTTATTTTTACTTCAACGTGTCGCATCGAGTGGTCCGATTCGAGAGCCGACATCCACCTGAAAGTCGCGTGCCCAGTATAACAGTGCCCGCGCTACATTCAACTCGCGAAGGCGACTCACAGCAACGAGCACGAGAATACATTCATTCGGGAATCAAACAGAATGGCGCCGCAGAAGCAGCGCAAGATGGCCATCGTGGGCAGCCGGTCGGTTGGTATGCAGCTCTCTCGCTCCAGTCCTCATGTCCTCTGATCGATCACAATCACCGCCATAGCTCTATTACCTGTCCCGAGGGGTCATCAGCGAGTCACTTGGAGCTTGTGATGGCTTTCGAAGATTGATCAGAGCGCCATGAGTGTGACCGTACGCGATGTAGGCTCATCTCTTTCTCTTCTCCTTAGGCAAGAGCTCCCTCACCGTGCAATTCGTCGACGGACACTTTGTGGACTCCTACTACCCCACCATTGAGAACACATTCAGCAAGGTCCTCCGCTTCCGCAACCAAGACTATGCGGTAGAGATGATCGATACGGCCGGTCAGGACGAGTACAGCATTCTCAACAGCAAGCACTTCATCGGCATCCATGGCTACATGATCGTGTACTCGGTAGGAAGCAAGCAGAGCTTCGAGATGTGCCGAATCATTCGTGATAAGATTCTGAACCACCTGGTGAGTTGCGGCAAACTTGACTCCACGACCCACGTCTCCTACTGCGATCATCGATCAATGTCAAGGTGTTCGCGCAATCGACCGGTTCGTCACTAACGATCTCCATTCCAATCAGGGCGCTGAAACCGTACCAATCATGATCGTCGCCAACAAATCCGATCTCCGGCCCGAGCAACGGCAAGTCACCGCCGCCGACGGCAAGAAATTGGCTGAAGAGCTCGGTTGCGGTTTCATCGAGGCTTCGGCGAGATACAACGAGAACGTCGCCAAAGCCTTCGACGGCATGCTGAATGAGATTGAAAAGGGACAAAGTGCAGGTCAGCCACCGGAGGGCAACGGAAAATGTCAGATGATGTGATTGGGAAACATTGCAATAATTGGACATAGCAGCCATGACGGTGCAAGGATTCACGGAGACGACACGGGCGCGGCGGATGGTCTCCGTTCATGATGCTGGCCAGGCGAAGGAGACGCTCGACTTGGGCTGGTTCAGCCAGGGGTTTCTGGACAATGTCGAGCAACACCTCCTTGGCAGACTTGTCGGGTGCTGGACAAAGACAAAATCACTCCGGCGCGTCCAATACGAACCGGTTTCCTTGGCTGCTGCGTTGGAACAGGTGGACCATGTGATCGAAAGATTGCCAGCCTGACTCTCAGGCATAAAACAGACGGATTTACGCTAGGGACAGACGACGAATTAATGCGGGTTGGGGTCGTCGTAGGCGGAGGGAGCTTTTGATTTTCTCTCTTTCTAGACATTACTTTCCATTCTTAGGGGAACAAGCGTGGCGCTGGAGGTGGAACCTTTTTTTCTGGGATCTGGCTGAATTTCGGTGGATTTGGGTCGTTTGTTTCGCCTTCTCTGAGCAATGAGTGCTGGATACAGATTGCGGATGTCAATCTCTTTCGCTAGCTTCGATGACCCTCGAGTCGTGCAAGTGTTCTGCGTTCAAATTTGACTCTGACTCCTCCAAGAAAAAGCTTCGGTCGCGCATTTCTCGTCTCATCCTAAGTCCGGGCTCAAGCGATGATTCCGTGGCTTCTATCTTGAACACGCTCGGGAGGCAGAGGTGTGTGATCAATAGCATCCAATCCAATTGGCGGACACCCGACTGAGTGGCGATTGGCCGAACGCCGTTCATGAACATGTCCCTTCACTACAAGACCGCTGCCTGCGTAACAATACGAAGTAATCCTCAACTCTTCTCCCAGCCCGACCTCGTGATCCTCGCCGGCATTCCCTCCCGCGGCTTCGCAGCGCCGACCAGAACCTGATACATCTCCTCTCCATCGACATCCTGCTTGCCGCTGCGGAAGCTGTCATCGCTCGCCCAGAAACTGCCATCCCCGCTGACCTCGTCCAGGCGATCGAAAGCGGTATCGACGTCGAATTTCCGGCACACCAGCGCCAGGATGATCCGGGCCTCGATCATGGCGAGGTTCTGACCGATGCAGTTCCGCGCGCCCATCTCAAAGGCGCGGAAGGCGCCCTCGGGGATCTTGCCTGCATTCTCCGGTAGGAAGCGCTCGGGCTGGAAAGCGTCCGGGTCGGACCAGATGGCTGGGTTGCGTTGGGTGCCGTAGTGCACGAGCCAGATCATCAGGCCCTCGGTCGGGAAGGTTTCGCCGGTTTTCGGGTCCCGGATGAAGAGGTTGGGTTCACCCATGCGAGGCGCGGAGGCGGCGGGCCAGAGGCGGAGGGTTTCTTTGATGACGGCGGTGGTGTATTCGAGTTTGTTCAGGACGTAGGGGTCGGATTTGATGGCGTTGGGGGTCTCGGCGATGCTACCGAGGACAGTCTGGTGTTCTTCGCGGATCCGTTGGAGGCAGGCGGGATGTTTGCGGAGCATGTAGAGGGCGTAGCAGATGGTTGAGGAGGTTGTGTCGTGGCCTGCGAAGAGGAACACTCGAATCTGCGTAATGGCACCCTGCTTGAAGGCCTCGTCGAGTTGAGGCGCAACGCCGTCTCCCGCTTTCTTTTCGTCCTGCCCTTCGCCTGTCAGGTAGCTGTCCAAAGCGAGATCCATGATCGTGCGGCTTCGCTTGGCTCGCTCGATGCTGGCGCCGTTTTTCGAGGCGAAACGTTCGTCCAGGACTTTCCCGATGTACTGGGTCATGATTCGATCGTTACGCCATCGGCGGTAGATCGCGCTCGGGTTATACTGTTTCCAAGGGTTGAGAGAACCTTCGTTAGGAAGCAGATGCACTTGTTCCCTCATCGCTTCGATACAAGCATTTTCACCACGCTGCATGTTGAAGCGAAGATCGAGTACAACTTTGCCGATGACATCGATCGTCAGTCGAGTCGTCACTTCTTCCAGGCGAAAGACTTTGTCGGACGCTGCGTGCTCGTCGAGGACTTGCGAGTAGACCAACCCATCGTCGACAATGCCGGGCACCAAGGACATCAAATGCGTTGTGGCGAAGCCGGGGTTGAAGATGCTTCGCCACTTTTTCCAAATGGCTCCATTGACGGAGACCTATGGTACAGATTGGGTCAACGTAGTTCGCCAATAGACTCGAGCATTGTCACATACCATGTCGTCTGGTCCAGCAAGATGCGTCAGGAATTCGCCGAGTTGGGGATGCTTCAGGGTGGTGTATTCAACTGACAACTGTTGAGAGATCTGATGTCCATTAGCTACCAGTGGAAAAGCCGTGCGGAAGGTGCTGGCTGTCTCACTGTCGGGTCCATCACGACGACCATAGGATCGCCAAACGGCCAGGTATCGAGGTAGAAGAAAGATCCTGTGTTGTACTTCTTCATGATTCGCAATGGAAGTGCTACGAAGTATTGTCAGCCATCTAGTAACGTCGCTGCCGAGACTGTCGAGCTTTGCCATACAATGAGGATGCATTCGTCGCGGAAGCTCTCTCACTTGCTCTCCCATTGCCTTGAGATGGCCCCATAGCATCGAATGTGGTGGCCCGGGCTGGGCTCCGGGTCAGCACTGAACCTTCGTCGATGAAGCTATTCGCGGATATCGCTCACCAAGTTGTGCATCTTTTTTCGGATCGCATATCCCTTCAGCAAACTGCGCACGACATACCCAAGCAGTATCACGGCCACCGCCGTCAAGGCGAACAATATACGCGCCATGTCGCTCTTCACTGGACGATATGAGACGGATTCCTTCTTATGTCACGCTCGTAGGGATGGGTTTCCAAATATGGTGGCAGGCAATCTCATATAGCAGTACGGACAAAGGAGAGGTTGCAGCAAGCGTGGTGCTGCGATGGTCGTCCACGTTATACAGTGCGCTCCATCGTCATAGCTCACTGGGAGGATCGACAACTAGCTGAAGGCGCATTTTGCTTTCGGTCTCGCTTATCACATCCAAGGGCTGCTGTATAGAAATCCTGAAGGACTTCTATACGGACCCAGCGACGTTCCGTACGATCGCCAGGCTATGCTCACCCTGGTAAAGTGCGTCTTCACTGTGTGGTTTTCAAAGCCCTGGCTATATCCGAGGTTGTTTACGAGATCTGACGGCATCAGCAAACAATAACGTACACCTGCATGCAGGTGTTCGAGGTGAGCCATGGTCGTCTGATCATAATACGTCCAGGAGAGGAATCCTCCTAAGCATTTGTGCATTCGCGGATGTTGAACCTCGAAGTGCCGAATTATGCCAGCTTCTGGCGGACGCCTGGCGTCGAAAGTCATCCCCAACAGACATATGTGACAGAAGTTGTGCACTGCTATACATCTCATGCGGGTAATCATAAGTATCTAATAAGGATGGTCGAAATGACTCCTCTGCGATATATTGGAAGGCCCGGGACCTCTACCAATAGGAGTATGAATGGACATGGTAGGGTTCGTATAGGGTTGGGGTTGGATGCGCAGCTGGAATCAGAATCCCGCAGTGTCACGTACAAATGACTATTGCAATAACCACATTTCCGGGATAATGGTCTACATCATAGCCGTCATGAATATGCATAACGAAGCCAACAAATATTCAATGGGCAGCGGTAGGAGGGTGGTCGTTGGGACAAACACCAGGACACTGTGGAATGACAATTGAACAACATCGTGACATCTTTTTATCATTATAGAAGCACAGGTTAAACATACGCCCCTTGACCCAGGTATCCGCAAAAAGGAAATGCTTTTCCAATCATATGAATATCATCATTCGTCTCGTGGCTTTCATCGTATCCTATGCTATCATCGTTCACTCATTCCAAGCTCTGGCGCCGGATTACGAACGCTGCTCCTGCTGTGGTATGGCCGCGATAGCATGAACCCAAAACATCAAACACCGACCCCGAAAATACAAGCTCTTTCTAGTAGACGGAGCCGCTGCGGGCAACACCGTCGACGACCGCGGTGTCAAGCTTCTCGCCGTTGTTGAGACCCATCTGGGAGGCGAACGTGGTGGTAGGACGCCACTTGGCGGAGGTACGCGGGCTGGTCTCCTCCATCATCTTGTCGACCTGCTCGAGGGACAGACCCTTGGTCTCAGGGATGAGGAAGTAGGCGTAGACGAAGGCGCAGGTGCAGAGACCTCCCCACACGAAGAAGACGCTGGACTTGAGGTTGCCCTTGTCCTCGGCGACCATGAATCTGCGAGACGGAGTATGTCAGTTGGAGCTCGGGACGACATCAGTGAAATGTGACACTACTTACGGAGTGATGACACCGATGATGGTGTTCCACAGCCAGTTGGAGGCAGTGGAGAGAGCAACACCGCGAGATCGGATCGGCAGAGGGAAGATCTCTCCGATCAGGACCCAGGCACCTGGACCCCAGGTGGAAGCGAAGAAGAAGATGAAGATTGCGATGAACGCGATCTGAGCGTTGACTGCGCTGAGATTGAAAGCACGGAGAATGTTGTTACCGGCCGCATCCTGTCCGATGACGTAGGTCTTGTTGAAACCGACAGTGACACCAATGATGGCGACAAGGAACTGGCAGATCAACATGCCGAAAGCTCCCCAGATCAGAAGTGGGCGACGACCGAACTTCTCAACAGTGTAGAAAGAGATGGGAGTCGAGCACACGTTGACAAGCGTGAAGATCAGCGAGATCAAGAACACGTTGTCGATGGCGCCAGTGGACTGGAGGAAGGGAGTCGAGTAGTAGAAGATGAAGTTGACACCGGTCCACTGCTGCATCATCTGGAGTGAGGTACCGAGAATGGTCTTGCGCAGGTTGGAATTTGACTTGAAGACGGATCCGCTGAAGCAGTTGGCCCAGCTGCCATACCAACCAGTGGCCGGGATGACCGAACGCTCGTACTCCTCGTTGGCAACGATCTCGGCGAGCTCGGCCTCGACGTACTCACTCGTGCCGGGCTGACCACGAAGAATGGCGAGAGACTTGCGAGCGTCTTCAACACGTCCACGCTTGACGAAGTAGCGGGGTGAGTCAGGGAGGAAGAGGAGACCACCACCGAGGATGAGTGCCCACAAGAATTGAATGGCAATCGGGATGCGGTATGCCCCGCTATCGGTGCGGTCCTTGGACGCGTAGGCGACACAAGCTGCGATCAGCAGACCGATAGTGATGCAAAATTGATATCCTGAGACGAGTGCACCACGAACTTTACGCGGGCAAATCTCGGACATGTAGAGGATGACAATGGCAGATTCAAAACCGACACCGAATCCGCCGATGAGACGGCCGGAAACGATGAGTCCAAGACCAGAGGATTGCGCCGTCTGGAGAATGACACCTACAAGAAACACGCATATTAGATTTGAAGCCGTTTCGCATTGGATGATCTTGCACTTACCAATAGCGTAGATGAGGCAGCCGATGATGATGGTCCATTTGCGTCCAATGAATTCGGCGACGTCACCAGCGATGAGAGCACCGAAGAAGGTACCAGCGGAGAGAATACTGACGATCAAAGCTTGGTCCTGGCCTGCGATCTTGGGATCGTTTGGGTTGTAGTTTGGGTTGATGCCCTTGACGAAGGGAACCACGCCGAGGACACCGTTGATGTAACCAGAGTCGTAACCGAAGTAGATACCACCGAAGGAAGCGAAAGCGCACAGCAAGTATGCTTTCCAGGTGACGGGCGCTTCGATGCGGTTCACGTCAGACGTGGCCGCAAGTCCGACGGACTTCGACATGATGGCGGTTGTGGTCGAGTGACGATTCAATGCAATAGGTGTAGTGTGGGGAAGGGTGTCGAGAGGGTCGTGATATTTACACCTCAGCAGATCGCCGCCGTTGTCGGGAACAATCACAATGAAGCAAGATCGATAAAGGCGATTGAAGATGGGTGGAAAAAAGAAGATCCCCGTGTCTGAACCGGGGCAGGTCGTGGGTTATGTATGATAGGAATAGTCACGATGACCGAAGGATGCAGGCAGGCAGGGTAGTATTGGGATTTTAGATTGGAGGAGCTGGAGGCAATGAATGGGTGCCGGAGCGAAAAAGATACATACAGCTGGAGTACAGTACAGCAACTGCCCAGGTGGTAGAGTTCGGGGCTTGTCGCGTGTCAGAGCTCTTGCCTCTCGAACGGCCCATTCACTTTTGGCACTATTGCTACGGCTACACCCATTGGCCAGACACATGATGATGAACGACGGGCCTGACAAGCGACGCTTTTTACGAGTGTGACGAGCGATCATGTGTGCGACAACACCCACTACTACTTGCTTCTGGAGGGTACATACCATACCACCACCACCACCACTTTCATCATCATTACCATTTCTCACCAAATCAGGCCGTCAAGGCTGAACGCAAGATGTATTGTCGTAACAAGTCGCCGCCGTCGCTCATGTACCACCACACCATCACTGGCGCTTTTTACTTTTTCCACTTGACGCTCCTGCATAGCTCCACCACCATCCCCATCGTCGCCAGCACAAGCACTATATTCCATCTCCGCCGTGGCTGAAAACCTAGATGACCCGACTGCTAGGAACGCGCCATCATTACCACATCTCGAATTTCAGCCATGGCCGGAAAGACATCCATGGATGGCTCCATTAGTCGAGCAAAGGGAAAAGCTTGAGGAGTCAAAGGGGACACACACGCGCACTGACACGAAAACGCGTGCGGCACTACTTTCAGACGCACTACGCCTGCAACTTGCGAAATGCACCATCGCAGGAACTCGAAGGCGACTCCGAGCTTGCCCCGGCTGCGAGCTCGCTGTTGGTCTAGTCGTGATTAGGTACATGTGTCTGCTGGGCCACGAAGCTTCTGCGCCTGCTGCATTGGTTATTGCTGCTGCTAGTGCGACTACTGCAAGTGACCATCGCAGCTCCTGCAGGGCGGATCCTTTCCATGTGGAGACCAAAGGCTTCTAGCTTGGGCAATCCCCATAGAATCGACATGCCCGCTGCACTCCGTAAGTGCTGAGGCATGAACAGAGATGGAGAGGGATTTGAGACTTGAACCAAAAGTCTGACTATACTGCGAGCGGACTGTCCTTTGATTAGGAGCGTTCGCCGAGGTATGAAACATTATTATTGACACGAGCACTGACCGTTGTTCGGGGATGCTTTGGTGCAAGCGACCGTTTTTCCTTTGCAGGGCTTTCCCCGGTCTCTGCCCCTCTGTCGGAAAAGCTACTCTTCGGGGAGATTTCGCACAAAATGCGAATCTGTTGGTGAGTCGGTGCACTGGGTGTGGTAGCTTTTTCACGTGGCACGGGGCTATCCGTGCCCGTCGCGAAAGACTGGAGGCGGCTGGACGCGACAAGATCGAAGCGGGGGAGCCGGCGCGTTACTCGTCCTGATCAAGTGCCATCCCGAAGGCTTTCTCGGGGGGAAGGAAAGACCGTGCTGGAGCAGTAATTGTCGTGACTGTTGCACAATGAATAAACGGATCCATGGATACTATCGATGATCATCGTTTGTGCCTCTGCATCAGGCGGAACGGCCATTATGGCCCAGTGCGGCGGCATTCCCTACGCATGGTAACAGTGATACAGTAATAGACGAGTTGGTTCTCTCCACACCGCGCCGCGTGGTCGACAAACTCAAAGTGTGCCTGCTCCTAAAGAAAGTACTGTACACGAGAGAGCTGAGGCCATTCATCCGTGCCGTGCTTGCCTGTCACGAGGCATCGGTCGGACCGGGTACAGCTGGAGGAGAGCTGACGATGTGTGCCGTGTCCTGCCTGTCCTTCGCCCTTTGTTCCTCCTTCATTCGATACTGCAGGTTTGTGCCCGTCGCTTTGTTCGCGCTTGTAATGTTTCACTGTCATCTCGCGAGGCAGCGCAACTGGCGTAGGCCTGTGATATTCGACCCGACCACGCACTGCCAAACCCTCTCTTCCAACAATTAATCACCTATTCCATAGCCTCGGGCTTAAAACGGTCTCGAGAGACATGTTGGACTCACCTTTTGCCGGTCCCCATCTTTCCGTCTGAAGCCGGGGTAGCGTGACTTTCCGTTGGTTCCCTGTGGCGCTCGAATTTGGCAGCCGCCGCTGTATGCCACCACCATTCAGGGTGGAGTCTCACCATGCCTGTGTACGTCGACTCACACCCCGCCGACCTTTCCAGCCGCATCGTCGGAGCTTCGGTGCCTTATTGGGAAATGCAACACAGTGTCAGGCGCTAAGCAGAGCCTTCCCCAAGCTAGAATCAGATCTTCTTTCTCCAGTCAGCGCCACGCCAGCGGACCAGAGCCCACCCAGACCGATCACCTGTGAGTGGTCGTCGATGGCCTTGGGAGCGGTTGTGGCATCCGGGGTGAAAAATGCTTGGCTATGACAACAGTCTGCAGTGTGAGGGATGGCCAAGCCTGATCTCTCACAGAGTCACATGTAAAAAAGTCTAGGTGAGTGAGCGCAGCTGAGTGTGATCCTAAGTCGAGAATTGCCAGAACTGTCGGTCGCCTTGAGTCGAGGACTGTAGAATCCGCACACTATAGCAAATCCGTGCCGTATGTGTGCGTCCAGGCGAGCAGGCGAACGACATATGGCGATACCACCACATCTCAGACATTGTTTGGTTCAGATGTCTGGGTACCTTGCCAGGGTCTATGCGCCATATTGCTGGATGCGATGCGCGCAACGTCAAATTGACATAGCAAACGGAAAGGGTCTCGCGGACCAGGTGACCACCCTCGGTCCATGTGGATGACAGTGCCATGATGACAGATTCATCTCTGGTCCACTTTGCTCCTGAGCCATTCTACTCGTCATAGTAGTGAAGTCACTGATTTCAGCTGTGGCCAATTGCAAGCGCCGAGATCGAGGCTTGAATGCCTCTTCGGGCAGTTGTCCGCCCAGCATCGACCCGAGTCGCGACACTGGACGAACTTTGAGATCTCAATCTCAACGGCCGTGCAGGAGCCACGAGAGTTTCGTTTTTACCCGGCGCAATGCATGCGCCTGTGACCCTAGAGGACCACTTCCCGACTCGGGACCTCGTCATTATTCTTGTCTTCTTATTGTACATTTCGGATTTCTGGCTGTTTGAAGTTTCCGAGTCCGAATGCTTCAATGCTCCGTGCGCGAATCCGGGTAATCTCTGAATTTCGATCTATGGACGCCATGATGGCAACCCGGGGCGCTTCGATGAGCGCCTCTGCTGAACACGACATAGAAAGCTTACGCCAGTCGCACGGAGAGGTGGTGAGCTGTTGATTTGAGGCGAGGCCACTATGCACGTCAGCTGATCGGACATTAACAATGAATTCCACCTCTGTGCTATTAACGCCACCCATCATACGGAAACTGGGGCAGTTCCATTGGTCATTACGTAGAACATCCAGCGCAAAGGGCTACCTAGGTGCACTATATTGGTGAACTTATGCGCTGCTTCGTCTAGTGATGCTATTACTGGCTTGCCAAAGAGATCAGACAGCCCTGGTTTCACAACGAAGTCATCACCAATAAGAACAATCTAGCCTGGTCACTTTGTTCCACGATATGCATATCCATGGAAGCTCAGCTTTAGTCCTACGCAAGTGCATATACTACAGACGTATACAGAATCTATTCTGAAATTATGTCCGTAAGCGTATCACAACGTCCATGAATAGTCCGAATTCAACACGAGGGTAAAACAATTCGTAATTCGACTCCATGCGGTGGTGGGTCTGGATCGTTCGTAGGTGCAGCGCGCCAGGCACGACACGAGGCGTTTGTACTTAATGCCGCCGTCATTTTTGTAGAAGGCCCGATAGGCATGCCCAGGTGACGAGTGTAGGTCTTGGTAGAAGACTAGCTTTCGCGTGACTATCTAAGTATCATTCTCGAACGCCCGATCTCTTCGAAGACGAGCCGAATGCCGACTGGTCGGGGCAACCGTACCGCGCATCTACGGTTGTATCAACTGTCCCAGGGCTCATTACAGAAATTGACGGTGTTCTGGAACGATCCCAAGCGTCCTCCGCAGTTTGTCCTCTCGGCATGACGTCCTGCTGCCGTGACCAGATCCCAGCTATGCGATTTAGGTCGTGACTACTCGCATCTCGCCAGGGATCTAAAGATATCGTTCCGGAGCGAGGACGGCTCGCGATCACACGACGGATCAAGCGGTTCACGAGCAACAATATGCGGCGATCTGCCTGTAAATGGGTCTTCCACCTCTGGGGCTGTTGGGTGTGTGGAAGCGAGATGCGCTCCTGAGCGGGTCGTGTAGGGCTGACCCTAAGCTTTCAAAAATTTCGTCACACCTCGGCGTCCTTGCCCTGTTGGTCGGAAGCTCGCAGACATGACCTTCAAAATTTTGCCCGTCTCGAAATTGCTCGTGGACTTCCGATGGCCACCAATCTTGGTAAGCGGAAGCGATCCGTCAAATTGACTGCCCACAGCGATGTCGACGATACACCAGATGACGAGGCAGCGCGTGCGCTGTTTCGGCGTGCCTTTGAGAGAAATTTCAAAGCCTTGGCTGTGAAGCCGCTGAATACAGGCAACGATGCTCCAAGCGAAGAACTGGAGGACGAAACGGATTCGGGAGAGTCAGAATGGGATGGACTGAGCGAAGAGCCGCAAAATGTCGTCCAGGTCGTGGATCACACCCGCGATCATACACAAACCGATGACAATGGGGATGTAGACAAGTCGCTGGAAAAGCTCTTCATGGTCAGATATACTCCAGATGTAGTTGAAACCATTCTAGACTCGTGCTGATGTTACAGTAGTCTGCAAGACCTCCCCGCTCACAAGAGGCATCCACAAAGCAAGTTGCGAAAGCGATAAAGACCGAGGACGATGGAGCTGAAAGCGTGAACCTGAAAAACGACCTCGCATTGCAACGACTTCTTAAGGAATCCCACCTTCTCGATCCATCTGCATCACAACGAGCATCTTTTTCAACTGAGGGCAAAGGTAGATTGAAAGCAGTCGATATGCGATTGCAGGATCTCGGCGCAAAGAGCTCGGTTTTGAGTCAAGAAAAGATGCCAATGGCACATCGCAAGGGCATCGTATCAAAAAGCACTCAGCGTCAGACAACCCGCCGCAAAGAAGCTGCCGAGAACGGAATCATTCTGGAAAGATTCAAAAGCGCAGGCCCTAAGAGACCACAAGCCAAACAACGCCCGAGAGATGTCGGTGGGCCTGGCATTGGGAAATTTCAGCATGGCATGCTGAAGCTCAGTTCCCGCGATGTGAAAGATATCGTTGGGTCGAAATCCGACCGTTCCGGTCGCAGAGGTGGAAAGAGGAAATGAAGCGCGCAGTCAGGCATGCGAAAGCTCCGCGACACTCAAAGCTACGAGTTCATGATCTCAATGGAGATGCCCCAAAGCCTCTGAAAGTGGCAACACTGCGACATTGTTGCTGTCGTGTTCTTGCATCTGGCCTGTGATGCGCAGTCTAGTGCTACGCTCGCGGTCAAGTGAACGAGTCGATTTATTCAAGATGGCGATTCATGGCGCATGATCCACGCCACCAACACAGCGAATGCGGAAAGCCAGCACTTATTGGTGACATTCGATCGACGTGGGAATCGCAAAATCATCACGTCCGAGTTTAGCGAAGAACAATGGAGACGTTCTGAGGAGGAACCGCCGCGCAATCATTCTGATACTGCTTTCTGCATGGCCATGTCGCTGAGCACGATCGCGTTGCTTATAACTTTCCAAATCTGCAAACCTATAGTATTCAGATGAGCGCTACAACTCCGAAAGGCTAGTCGCCGGAGATGTTCAGCGTCGGAAAGCTGTGCATCTTACCTGGAATTGCGGCCGCAAGTTACTCCGCAAAGCGCTTATGTGGAGACCATTAGTCCCAGCTGTACATACAGTATATGGAGCGTATACATTATGCACAGCTCTTTCAGGGCGATAAACACGAGTGCCGCGCTTCGCAAGGGGCATGTTACACATTGCACACGGTATGATGAGACAAAGTGCAGCCCAGGGGAGAGAGAGACACTCCAAAAGGGCTTGGAGAGAGGCCCCACATCACGTCATGCACGCTGAAGCGTGGTTCGGATTTTCTCAGTCGGCGACATTAGCGAACGCTCATCCTGGCGCGGGGGGCGACATCGGGCTTGCACTGCAAGATTTTTTTGCGGTGACATGAGCAATCTTGAGGATGACTCTGGTCCACGGGAGCCCAGGTGGTGTCGATTGGGAAACTAGCCTCATTGTGTGTTGGCTATGTCCAATCCTATGCGATGATAAATCATGCTGAGCGGGCGCTATTTACTATAGAATCTTCCTGACTTCGTAAGAATCACAGCTCAATCTGAAAATATCATTGTTCCTCTCGGTCTTCTTTGTCTTGTTCATTCCCACATATTTACAACCTTTGCCTGATAACTACTCACACAGGGTGACCAGCATCGAGAACTTACGACTCCAGTTATCGCCCAACATGCCCTCTGCTGCCCAGGATATCCCTGTCCGCAACGGCTCCGGCGCCGCAAACGACCTTTCGCGAACAGTGACAAGCTCTTTCAGCGCCTTAGATCGAGGTGGGCTTGCTGGCAGTCCTACTGCGACTTTCCATCACAGCCCTTCCTCGCACCGATCTGGCTCGATATATGACAGGGCTTCTTCCGCCAAGCCATTAACACCCTTCAACACCCAAGACATCAAAGTGCTCCTACTGGAGAACGTCAACGTCACGGGCCAGGAAATCCTAAAGAAGCAAGGGTACCAGGTCGAGGCGATCAAGAGCTCGCTTCCAGAAGATCAGTTGATTGAGAAGATCCGCGATGTACACGTCATTGGAATCCGGTCCAAGACCCAGCTCACATCCAAGGTTCTTAGCGAGGCGAAGAACCTGTTTGTTATTGGTTGTTTCTGCATTGGAACCAACCAGGTCGATCTCAAGGCTGCCGCAGATCTAGGAATTTGTGTCTTCAACTCTCCCTTCAGCAATTCCCGTTCCGTCGCAGAGCTGATGATTGGTGAAATCATCGCCCTGGCGCGACAGATCAGCGATCGAAGCAGCGAACTGCACCGTGGTGTCTGGAACAAGGTCTCTGCAGGATGCTGGGAGGTTCGAGGCAAGACGTTGGGAATCGTCGGATACGGTCACGTAGGAAGTCAGCTTTCGGTCCTGGCCGAAGCGATGGGCATGAAGGTGATTTACTACGATGTCGTTAACCTCATGGGTCTCGGCACGTCGACTCAAGTTTCGTCGCTCGATGAGCTGTTGGCGAACGCTGACTTCGTCACTCTCCATGTGCCGGAGCTTCCGGAGACCATGAACATGATCGGCGCAGCGCAGTTTGCACAAATGCGAACTGGATCTTACCTGCTCAACGCCGCTCGGGGTAGTGTTGTGGACATCCCTGCTTTAATCGAGGCCATGAAGAGCGGCAAACTCGCCGGAGCTGCTATTGACGTATATCCCAACGAGCCTGGCAGCAACGGTGAAACTTTCAACAACCAATTGAACGAGTGGGCAGCGGAGTTCCAAAGTCTGAAGAACCTCATTCTCACTCCTCATATCGGTGGATCCACAGAGGAGGCGCAAGCCGCGATTGGTGTGGAGGTTGCGGAGTCCCTCGTCAACTATGTCAACTTCGGCACCACTGCAGCTGCCGTCAACATGCCTGAAGTCACCTTGCGATCCCTCACACACGACCAGCCCAATCACGCCCGTATCATCTTCATTCACAAGAACATTCCTGGTGTGCTGCGAAAGGTGAACGAAATCTTGGGAGACCACAACGTCGACAAGCAGATGACTGATTCGCGCGGTGACATTGCCTACTTGATGGCCGATGTTTCCGATGTCGATGTGGCACAAATCAAGCGCCTACATGGAGATCTCGAGGATCTCGGCAGCAGAATCAGGACGCGCATCCTCTACTAGATTCAAGAATTTGTACGGCAACGCAATGGGATCATGGCGTTGGAGGGCAACGGTGTTTGGTGTTCAAAATCATTTCGGGGGACAGTCTCTCCCATTCAACACGTCAAAAGTTTCAACCTGACTAGCTAGAGACATGATCCCGGGGGGTGTTCGGTCTTCATGTAGCGTTTTGTCGAGCATTCTGATAGTCCTTATCTTTAAACATTTAATTTCAACCTTCTCACTGGAAAACGTCGTCTTCTGAGTCTGAGGGAGTTAATTCAATCAAGTTGACAGAGTCAGATTCTAGACCGCTGTGACCGATGCTAACGCCTGGACGCCTGTAATATGCCCGCATACAAAACCTCTCATGTCTGTTCATACACTGTGCCGCTGAAATATCTCCTGTTTCCGTCGGAACCTGCGCAGAGGCCGACTGCAATACTTCCCGTCGAAAGACAATCTCTTGATCCCAATTACCGTAACGCAATCTCGCCGCGCGAGCTGGCTCGTTTGTGGAGGAATGCCTGGCATCCGCAGAATAGAAGGAAGACCTTTAAGAATCTGGTCAGCATTTTGTCCAGTTTGCCCCTCGTCGCGCAAGAGCACTACTCGAATGTGAACTTGTTTACCCCGTATATGCCGACCGCTCCGAAGACTGTGACTGCGACCTTCTTTCCGTCCTTGGGATCCTCCTCACCACCCATTAAGCTGTGGTGGTTGTTCATGAAAAGACCACCGATGATGCTCAGGATGACAATGGCGAATAATGAGATGACGATGCTATCCAGAGATTAGTATTCAAGGTCTTCGATACACCAGCAGGGTCGCGCACCATGTCCATGCATTGAACGCTGAAACTACGGGCTTCATCTTGTCTTCTGCTTGCCGCCTTGCTGTTACGTTGATTTTGGGCGGTGTGCGGCAGATCTGAATTGTAGGTTTGTACAGGCTTGTATCACTGATCTGTCTTTGAGTTGAGTGCTGCTGTTGGTCGTGATAGGGCGAAGAGGAATGATATCGTCTAAAGCGCGATTTCGGTTGCGATCCAAGACCACGAAGCATGGCGTCGTCCGCCCGGCGAAACTTCGGCACATGACATACACAGTCTGAAGTGGAGCTTCCGGGCAAGCCATCCATGACATGCGTCAATGACAGCCTTTGCACTTTTCAGATCTCTAACATCACGACGGCTATTTGTGTGTCCACCAATAAGTCAATACAACAAGCCTATCAACATTATCCAGGCTTCCCAAATACTTTCCCTCCGTCCTGGTCGTAAATCCCAGGAAGCGTGGACAAATACACCCAACGAGCACCCCACCACCACCACCACCGATATCATGCCCGCCTACCACTCGGTCTTCCTAGACGAGCCTAATCAACAATTGATCGGGAATTTCGCGCTTCTACCTCTGCGAACACGTACTCGAGGCCCCGCGCAACAGCTACCACCACTTGCTGGTGTATCCGAGCTCGAGATCGAGCCTAGCAATGAGAGTTATGATCCATTAGACGAGGTCCTCTCGCTCTTCCGCGCCAACACCTTCTTCCGCAACTTCGAGATCAAAGGTCCCGCAGACCGTGTGCTGATCTATGGAATTCTATACGTGAGCGAAGCCTTAAGTAAGATCAAGCCAGGCGCGAACAGAAGGGATGCAGAAAAGGCTGTCATGAACTCGGCATTGGACACCAACTTTGCCATTCCAGGCGATGCTGGCTTCCCGCTGAACCAGATGTTCGAGCCACCGAGCAATCGCAATGAGGCAGAGGTCCTGAGACAGTACATCATGCAAATGAGGCAGGAGCTGGCCGCTCGGTTGCTGAACAGAGTATATGCAGACGAGAGTGGAGCTCCCAGCAAAGTCAGTCTTCCTCCAGATTGACTCAAGCGTGACAGGATGAATGTGTGCTGACATACGATCGTAGTGGTGGCTCAGTTTCACGAAGCGCAAATTCATGGGCAAGCAGCTATGAGGCAAGGGGACGGGATCAAAATAATGAGTTCGACCAGCGTGGTCACAGCGAGTAAATCACAGGTTTTGGCGGAACCACGCAGCGAGCAGCGGCGACATCGGGCTCGCAGCCAGGCATTCGTCGCAGTCAGGCATTCGCCGATTGCTTGAGGCACCTCGTACATGCGATCTAGTACATGCGCACATGCAAACGCACCTGTTATCAGGAACACGACGATACTGCCACTGTAGGATCATTCAGAGCGGTGCAGCCTTGTGACCACTCAGTATTTACGACGACTACGAAATGAATTGACCCGCAATTTGCATCGCCACACTGCACGCAGAATGTTGACATGATACAGTCCCGTGCTGTACAGTATTGAATGACGACTGACTACGCGAAATGGTCGATCATTGGATGCGATGTACATATCTTCTACAATACAGTACATACCTGCTGTGGGCCATAAAGCTTCTGTCGAGGGCTTCTCTCAAGCGGCCGACTGCGCCTCCCCGCCATGACCCAACCTTGGAAAGCCGTTGTCAGCGGCTGCGGAAGGCCGCCCATCTGCGCCCCCACACCAGCAGCCGATCCAAGCAGGGCCAACTTGACATTAACACTTTGGTGACAGAGGCAGGCGGCGCTTAATCGCCCGCAAGACGGGTCCGTGACATCTTCCAAGGTCCGCATTGGACTCATCAAACAACGACCACGCCCCAAAATCATTGGTACATGTCGTTCAAGCTTTGTGACATTCGAGCCGAAGGTCGACAGTTCTATATAAGCACACCTGGGACCACAGATCCCTGCCGGGACCGGACAAACGCCGGCGATCACATCAGGCGGTTGTCCTTCCACTGCACGTGTTCAGACGCAGGGTCCTGTCCGTCCTGCTCAGAAGATACAACAGAACTTGTACAATAGCACGGCCACAATCTCTGAAGGATTCGTGCCGTGTGGATTTAATATATTAACCACCGGTCCATGCCCTACATCCTGGTTGATTAGCTCTTCGCATGTCATTTCAATATGATGCTCCTTTTCACCGCAGGTTCGCGTCTCAAGAAACGTTCGCAGCATCCCCATAATGCGAACAATCAGTCCACTATTATATCAGACCAACCTGGTTCGGAATCAGCCCTACCACCTTCCCCTCCGACTTCACCCCTTTCGCCACCTCCCAAATACCGGGACTCAGATTCAAATGAATTGAAGAGGTCGCCACCTCGTCCGCCTTCGTATCGCGAGTCTGACGCACTGGTCGATGCTGAAGATGTCATACACCCACCAGATCCGACTGCCGGCTTTGCCCACTTAGATCTTGATGCGCATAAGGTCAGCGGAGTTCCAACCGAGGCCGAATGCATCGCTCATCTCAAGTTCCTCGAATCCCTTTACCGGCTTCGTCAGAACATCGCTTCCAGCGACGGTTTATTCGGAGTCACAAATGAGTTCATCGTTGGTGCCGATATATCCGACAGCGACAAAGCAGAACTGCTTGCCAAGATTGGCGAGAAGCGCTGGGCAATATTCGTCACCCGGGCGGTCGATCGCTTCAGCACGTGGTGGAATCAAATTCTGGGACCGCTCAGTGATGCTTGCACGACAGAGCGCGTTCAGAATGACCTCGGACTACGATTGAGCGACAGACTTGGTGCTCCTTCGATCAGCATCGCGGCCGAAACACTGCCTCCGCTAGACGTCCTCATGGTCTGGCACTCTTACATGCTGAATCCTCGAGACTACCTGGAGGACTGCTTACGTCACAATAAGATGGCTCTCTGGCACACTCGCTTGCCTTGGAAAACAATCTCCTCCGCCATTAATCCTACTACGTTCGAATTCGCGGCAGACCCTGCGGCAGAGCTCTATTTCCAGGCCTACACCGGACTGAACTGGGACCCATTGGTTGGTTGCGAGTCGAAGAGCTTGAAATGTCCCCAATGTCGCGCCGAAATCTCCGTGCCTTGGACACATTCGTCGCATCTACAATTTGGTGAGGTGAAGTCAACACATGATGTAGCATCTTCACTCGACCACACCCTCTCCAACGGTGATGGCTATTGCGACAGGAATTTCTGGACAGCATGTCGGGAATGTAACACTTCCATAGATCATGAACGCCTCGAAGTAGCCAAATTCAAGGACGATGTCCATGAGCTACGCTTCCAAGACAAACCCATGGCTGGCACTGTGCTTGGGGTCAATGGCATCCCGTTGAGGACCTACGGCATCGACGACATGACGACACTCCATTTTGTGAAAGCGCCGAACGCAGTGTGCAGACACAACTTTGTTAGAAGACGCATTTTCGATCCTGACGTTCAATTGAAATCTCTTCAAGACGTTCGGACCATCATCGACAAAGCTTGCACAGATGCGGCTGTTCTGGCCTCATTCCAAGAAGGTCGAGTTCGAACGATGTGGCGGCTGGAGAAAGTCGCTATCAGGCGGATGATGTCTAGATACTGGAACAACAGCTCCCCATTCGCTCTGGATTTGGTGGGTGCGGTCGTCCGGCAGGGCGCATTCATTTCGAAGATGCACCAGATCGATTGGCTTCACTCGCCGGCAGTCAAAACAACCGCCAAGAGAATCGTGGTCAAATACCAACGCTTCATGATGCTCATCATGAGGAACAAAGGCAAGATGGCGGTTCCAACCTTGGATGTAGATCTGGCATGGCACACCCACCAGCTTTCCCCAGCCAGATACATGGCTTATACGGTGCAGGGAAATGGCACATTGATCGATCACGATGATAAAATCTCCGAAGCGAGACTGAACGATCAGTTCGCCTGGACGAGTTCGGCTTATCAGAGAATGTTTGATGAGCCCTATTCGGAATGCACCTGTTGGTACTGCGAGGCGGTACGGGAGAGCCACACACATGGCCTCTCCAGGCTCTTCAATCATCGAGCTGTCAAAGCCAACGAAAGCCTCCATCTTGCATCGTCAGAAGCGGACCCCAGCAAGAGCGTCCACGTTTCAACCCACAACGTCGTCCGTCCCACCGGCGATGATCCCGCATACTCCCTCTATTCCAAGGCGCAGACGGACAACTTGGAATATCACTACCAGCGAGCTTGTGAGCGTGCCAGGAAGAAAGGTCGGCCTCCACCCAAGCGTTCCGACTATTACTACTCAGATGCATATGGCTACCCTGTGTATATCCCCGCCATCGGTTACCTGCCATACTACCCAGCTTACTACCCCGTCACGCCTGGCTGTGCGACGCTCGACGCCGGCGCCGCAGGAAACTGTTGTGCTGGGATGTGTGGTAACGCTCAGATGGTTGGATCGGCTCCGGTTGGGGGCGGATGTGGCACCGGCGGTGGTTGCAGCAATGGTGGTTCATGTGGTAGTGGAGGCGGGGGAGGAGACAGCGGTGGAGGCGGAGGTGGAGGCGGAGGCTGCGGAGGAGGCGGTGGAGGTTGTGGAGGAGGTTGAAGGCGCGGAGTCAGGTATCTGTATCGTCATATGAATTCATGAACTTTTCGTCTTTTGGAAATTCTTATGACGCGGCAGTTTCAGTCGACTAGTTGTGCAGGCCACAACCCACTTCTTACTGTTCGGACAGCGCCATGACTACACCCTCCTCGCGACCATTTGTTAAAGTATGCCATGTCATTACATCTAGCTCGGCCATCTCATCGAACAAGCCATACTCTTAGGCAAGAAATGCAGCGAGGATACTTGCCTCGAGTTCTGCCTGCCTTGCATATATCGGATGTGGAACGGCACGTGTCTTCCTGCGTGGATTACCGCTGTTCTATGTCCCTAACCAGGCCCATTTGCCAAGGAGATGTGATGTTGCCACCTGCCGTGTGACCATTCGCATACCCCGGCGGTGTGATAGAAATGGCCCCTGTCGATTGTGGAGCCATTGAGGACGGATTTGGCAACAGGTCGCCAAGTGCAATGTCTATGTTCCCTGATTTGAATGCCCATAAAATTGTGGTATTTATCGATTGTCCTCGACCATTGTTTTGAATTCATTTGAGACAAAGGATTGATGTCGACCCATGTGTGGCCGAACTGAGCGCCGGGCAGCTCTTGGCCCATGGCCGATTCACACTAAAGCATACCTAGGTAGTCACTCACAATGCACAAGGTATGGCTGGTTCGATCTAATTGAATAAAGCGGGTACATGCGTGCAAGCGCCGTTGGGCATAACTAAATGCTCGAAGCCATTGTTTGCTCCCTCCACGCCCTCAAAAGGATTCCACTCTGGTCGGCGACAAGTTTCTTACAAAGTTGCATATGATGAAATCTGGCATCAAGCTTCGCCCTCGACGCCATGACTTCTCTCATGGCTTCACACCACTCGACCTCCCTGACGTGCCCGGCTTTCTTGAAGTAGGCCTCGATGAGACGCAGGTGAAAGTCACCAACCACCGACATTTGTGTGACTTCTTCCTGGCTGCACCAGTCGATGCAGCGTGCTAGGTTGGTTGCACAGACATAGGAATCACGGCTGATCTCCTCGAGAGCAACGCTGTCTTCTGGAGACAAAATCTTCTGGCTGTTGAGAATGTTCGTGTGTAAATCATTGACTGCCATGCACAACATCCAGCAAGTGGTGGTCTGCGCAGCTTTTCCCACCGACGTGAAGTGGAAGGATGCTCGCAGAAGCTGGAATTCCAAAGCTTGTGACGTGGAAAGATTGCCTCTGAAGGTTGTGTCCATGTTGGTCATTTGGCCGGACGATACGACTTCGCCCGAATTTTCCATCCAGCTGGCCAACGAATGTCTGAGCCATCGAAAGTCGGTGCGCAAGCTTTCTAGGTCTTGAACCATTTGCGATGAGCCCTCTGTACAGCGTGACCACAGCTGGCAAGCTGATCTGACCTTTGCCGTCAGACCCGGCAATTGAGCGCGAAGATTGTATAGCGCGATTCCAGGATCACGAGTTGCTTGCGCAGTAGTCATGGCGAGCCAACGAGGCTCTGCAAACATGCTGGATCTTTGATATAAGACGTCTGCATAGAAAGAGTAGTGTCGAATATTCTGGAACAGCAGCCAATCGTAATCGTTTTGAAGTAGATCTTCAGGCCCGCATTCCTCCATGTAGCGCTCCATAGCTTCCAGGTGCCACTTCCATCCTTTTGCGAGTATGCCGGCTCTCTGGAATGACAAGCTATCAAAGAGCTCACACATCCGAAGCAGAGCGATGCTTGTTACTGTTTGACGAAATCTGGATTTCTGTGGTCGCTCGCGGAGGTCCATGGATAAAAGATGCAAAGCGCAACCAAATCGAACACGAGCTTCAGCAATCAGTCTCTCATCCCCATGTGCGGTGCCGATGCCAACGAAACAGATCGCGTCTGTCGCAGCTTGAAGTGTAGGAGTGGTGCATTCCACAGCTGGCAGGTTAGCAAGGTCGGCATTAAGGTATTTGCTTAGCTTGTCATAAGCAAGGTATATATCGACCAGGTTGCTAACCAGCTGTGCGCGATGTACAATTTTGGTCGGAGCTTGACAGAGGACTAGCTGGTTGTCCTCGCTGAATTCTCGTGCATGTATTGGAGAAGCTGCCACTGGTGCGAGAGAGTCGCTGGTCGTCGGAAGGGACGAGCAGGAAGTACAGACGTCGTTGTGATCTTTATCGCCGTGGCATTGTGAGCACACTAGCTGGTTGCTCTGCTCTGAATGGAAAAAACTCGCGCTGTGACGCCTTTTCCTCGGCCGCCATGACGCGATTGGTCGCTGCTCAATAGACGTGACCAATTCGTATTGGGACGTTGACACTTCTGGATCTCGTTCGTACAGGTCCTCGAACAGATCGCCGGCCGAATTGAGAGGGTCACTTTGTGTGAGCAATGACCTCGGAATAGGACTTCCACGATTTGAACCCAACCTCGTCAAGGCTGAGGGCAATGACGAACATGGCAACTGAGGAAGTGACCTGGGAGCTTGAGTTTGCAAGGTATGATCCGACATTGTTCAAGTTGTGTTCACAAGTTGTGTTCAGATGGTTCGAGGACAGCACCTGCGACTGCAGTCGACATGAGCTGCCCTGATGACATTACTTATCTTGAAGGTACCATGATCCATAATGAGAGGACCGTCACAAGAAAACGATACGCATATGCCCACCTGAGGGCGCTGGCGGGCACGCCGTATGCACGCGACAAACCTCATGCGCTTGCTGCGGCGTTGATGATAGAAGATCTTACCGTCATGGCGCGAATAAATGCCAACCTGATGTGATAGTGGGCGGCCACGGGCCGGCTTGAAGACATCATATGTTCCGACGATCATTCCTCATCTTCTAGACTTTTAGGAGCCCAGCTTTTACGAGCTGGGAAAGATGCAGAGCCGACGTCCCGCAGGTTTCACACAGCCCCGATCCCTGTCAGCAACGGGGTCGCCGCCTGTCATCAATGGCGGCAATCTGCGGTCACAAGCATTACGGGAGTCGTTGATGGCGACAATGAGTTCGGAGTACGCGAAGATAGCATCGTCAAGCACTCATGGTCCCTGTGTTACTTCCAAACGGCCTCTTGCACTGCAGATTCGATTGATGATTGTGAGAATGCGGATGCAGATCAGATGAAATCATTCACATTGACGCCAGTGTTGCTCACATGTGTATTCCAATGCTTAGCCTCTTTGCCTCAGGCACAAATATCACTGCTGTCAAGTCCTACGTCGGACTGATTTGCCGAGATTATCTTCCAAGGATCCAAGGATCCAAGAGTGTTCCCACGTGGCAGGCGTCGGTTTGTGTACTCCGATATCGTCACACTCACTGCAAATTGTAATTACACGGCACCGGCGAACCAGGGATCAATCGTTAATAGTACATTCCGTGGCTAATCGTGCTCGTAGAAATCCTTCGGCCGGATGATTTCGGTGCTCACTAGAGAATAATCTATTTCCATTTTTGCACCAAGACACCTCCGCGCTTGAAGTCAGTGATATCCCCCAAGACCCGAGCCCGATCATTGAACTCCGTTGTGGGAAACGTTGTCTGCAGAGCGTATGGCCGAGAGACCGACTCAGTCGAGGCTCGATCGACAAAATCGTAAATGTCACCGATGGTATGAGTCGTATTAAATCGGGAAGACAGACGCGCCCCGCTTCCCAGACGGATCTGCATTTGTAGCGTCGGCTGGCTCGAATCGACTTCGATCTGCGGTGCTGCGCTCGATGTAGTGGATTGCGATGGTGCGACTGACGTTGATTGAGTCGATGGTTGAGTCGTAGTCGCGCCCGCTGTGGACGGTAAACCTGGGGTAGGCGAACCAAGGCGTTGACCTTGACCGCTGAATGGCTTGAACTGCTTCTTCGGCGCGACGTAATTTTCGCCCTTGTGCGGATCGAGATTGAGGTCCACTTCTTGTCCCGGCTGGACGTCGAGTAGGGTCCGTGGCGCACGACCCTGATTTATATCTTGCAGGATAGTGGCGTTCGCTGGATCGTCAAATCGGAAAAGTGGACCGTCGTCAACACTCACACCATCTTGCCATAAATGCAACGTTCGTGTGACGCGAGGAAGATTGCGCGCCGAACTTGCAGCTGTGCTGGCGGACGGATCGCTCACGATGCGACTGGGGGCATCGTCGCCACCCAATGTCTGTGCACGACCTGTGAAATTGCTCGGTCTGGCCTCTTCCTCCTCCTCCTCTTCATCCTCTGCACCATGGGCTGGTGGCCGTGGACGATTCTGGCGTGCCTGTTGCATGATGTTGCGGAAATGGTTGGGAGGCTGATCTGGGTTCTGCACAGCGAGCCCGCTCTTCTCACCACCTGTGAACAAGTCCTGACCCTTCTCTTCTTCGTCGTCATCATCCTGATCGCTACGTTGCAAATCACTGAAGGACATTTGTTGCGGACGCCCAGCAGGTTGTCTACGGCCGGTAGACGATGTGGCAGGTCCAGCGGCAGGTCGATTGGATTGTTCAGCAGCTGCAGCAACTTCTTCGTCGGCAGCGCCCAGTGGGTTAGAAGCGCGCTCTTCGAAATACAAGGATACGGCCTGGTCGAGGTCCCAGCCAGTTGCCTGCAATGCTGTCGTCGCCTATCACGCGATCAGCCTGCTTATCCATTGTTCGAAGCTCAAGTATTGCACGCTTACCAGACTAGGGTTGACGCCGGTGATTGCGCTGAATTGAGCGATCATGTCTTGCTGATCGGAGTCCATTTTCAACACTTGCCGACGGGTCGATTGTCAGGCGTTGTTGTTGTGACTTCAACAAGTGATGTGCTTGAGTTGCGTGTGCGAAGAAGTGCAGATTGGCAAAGTAGTGAAGTCAGGGCGAACGCGCAACATGCGTTCTAGCAGCGGAGAAAATTGACTTGCTAAAGCTTTGTGGAAATGGTTGTGTTGGTCAAGGTCATGGAATGATGAGTAGAACGCCCCACCGTGGATGAATGTGTTTTCAGGCACACAACAGCTTCGTCTGCTCCAAGCGAGTAACGTCACCGTTCGGCGGAGTTGCCCCACAGAACGCCGGCAGACCTGCCTCGATCCTATGGCATGCCATCAATTGGGCTCCTCTTCGGTCCAGGTTCCGTATGGCCTATTGTTGGTCACGTCCTCGAGACCAGGCGTCTGCGAAGCATCTCGACACCCACAAATCGCATTCTGTCATCAAACAGCGCAGGAAGCTGCAAACGTCCGGCATAATCCATCTGGGTCGCATGTGATTTCACGATTGGGTGGAAGAACTTCAAAGCTTGCTGCTCACTCAACATCTTTACACAATCTCGGCCGCAGGTCGTCAGCTTCGCAATGTCTGCAAACGACCTGTCAGAGTCGCAAACCACCTTTCCTTCGGATAGCGAGACGTACGACGCAAATCTCGAGAGCTCGCCTGCCTCATCAGATGCAAATCCTTCGACAGGGCTCCGACGACCAATGATACTGTATTCACCGCCAACAATTTGGAGCATATTCCGCGGAGCAGCGATCAACTTAATTCTTCCCTTTGTCAATGGTTTAATGCTGGGTTTTGGAGAGCTATTCGCACACGAGGCTGCATTTCGCTTAGGTTGGAGCAAGACAAAGGTATGGTGACAACCGGATGAAGCTTGCAAGAGAGGCTGGCTGACTTAACGGAACTATATAGGTTTTCCCAGCACATCGCAGCTCTCACTCAGTGGGACCCGGAATTGCAGTCAGAGACGATCCTAGTGAGAGAAGGCGACGGAGCGGCGAAGAAATGGACATGTGGACGTCAATGGAATAGTCAATGGACCGGCATAGAAAAACTTGTATATCACATGGCAATCAACCGCATTGATACCTCGACGAAGAAGTCGAGAAGTCTTCTCCAGGCTTGACGCCAATATTGCCTGCGAATTGGCTCCAGGGTGATATTTGCGACAGCGACACGACCCCAGATCGAGGGACACAATCGAGGTGACTAAATCTCCTAAACTTCGCCGTGGACCGGGATAAGTACCACGTTTGTGATCGGGGGCGACCCCGAACTCATCTCGACTACAAGTCGGCGCACTCGGTGCAATTGCAAAATGACTACGAGGAATCTCGGACATACATACGAGCAATTGAGAGCAGTGACGGGATGCTGAGTAGATTGTAAGGGGGCCGATCAGCAAAATGGCCAAGATGGTATTTCCACCGAGAGAGAGCTGAACACGAAACAAACGGCGTAGATTTATGAAGAAAGATGTGTATATGTGTACATGAATGGCGCTTGGCGCGTGGGACTGGATGCGTCCAAGAGGATGGCTGCGCACATTTGAGTGTCGTGCTATACTGAGGTACTGTATCATTGTATGTGTCACGGTGTATGATAAAAAAGGTAGTGATGAGACACCATTTCGCAAAAATCCGGCCTCATTGGGTCTAGTAACCCTGATCTCCGCGGACTTTCATTACTTCGACCGCTGCATTTCCTTGAATATAGAGGCATCACCAGCATCACCATTCACAGCGACATATCTTCACGATGATGCCGAGCAGGGGACTCCGCCCTGTGCAAGGCTTCCTATCGCATGCGGCGCATGCTCAACAACGAAATGTAATTGCAGACGTCTCCAATTTACTTGTCGCGCATGACGGAGTTGAGTCCTGACACACCAATACAGCTTTCATCGGGTCCGTTAAAATTCCGCGGATCTCTACACCGAGCACCACTCCATCGACTCCGATCACCACAGACGCTATCGCCAAGATCAATAACACTGCCGACTCTGACCATCGGCGGTTTGCGATATGCCTCGACAACCTCGGTCACACCATCAGCAGACTCGACGTCGACAATAGCCCACGACGCTGCGTTTCCGAATCTCGACACGATAACACTGGACAATGTGAATGCAGCTGTCACCGATGGGGCATTGGTTTCCCCTGAGCAAATAGGATATCTTCACTCAATCGGCGTCGATTATGGCTGGGGCCCTACTACTATGATCCAGTGGATGCTGGAGCATGTGCATGTCTACAGTGGCCTCCCTTGGTGGGGTTCGATCATGGTGACCGCCTTGGGGTTTCGTTTAGCCATGTTTCCCCTTTTTGTGAAAGCAGCGGACGCCGGTGCACGGTCGATGGCTATTGTGCCTGTGACCAATCCACTCATGGAACAAATGAAGATTGCACAAAAGTCGGGGAAATCGGCTGAAGCAGCTATGTACATGCAGAAGGTCATGGCAATCAGGAAAGAAGCTGGAGCCAGCGTCTTTGCACCATTTGTGCCACTTGTTCTACAAGGAATCTTCGGTTACTGCGGCTTCAAGCTTATGCACCATTTGGCTACGCTCCCGGTGCCAGAGTTTCATGACGGTGGATTTGGATGGATTCAAGACTTGACCTTGACGGATGGGTATTTGATAATTCCTGCCTTCATGTCAGTCATACTCCATCTCACTGTCCGCCTGGGTGGCGAATCCGGTAACCGGCAGGTATTGCCGCCGGCAATGATGAATATAATGCTGTGGGGTATGCCAGGAATCATGTTTTTCTTCCTCGCCTGGCAACCAGCTGCGGTCGCGCTGTGGTTCTTGACCACCGGAGGTGTGAGTATCACGCAAGGACAGCTTTTGCAGAGACCCGCGGTTCGTGAAGCCCTCGGAATAGCACCGATTATCAAGCTGGAGGGTAGTTCAAACCTGATCGCAGACTTTTTCGCCACGGCCGAGAAGAAGGATGAGAAGAAGAAGAACACCTTCAGGATTGAAGATTTGAACGATCTGAACGAGTCTTTAACCAAGGGTGATTTCTCGTACCAAGCACCCACGCTGAAGACCCGCGCGCCATCTCCTGACAAGGTGATTGATGCTAAACTTGTTCCGAAACGAGGTCCGTCAAAATCATGATTATTCCAGAGGCGGTTGGGGCAATGCACATTGTTCCGCAGAAAGCATAGCAGGTTGTATGACGGAGTCATGTTGACAGAATTTCTCTTCTTGTGCCTTGTACGATATTGAGCACTGTGTAATTAGGGAGCTAGCTATACCAGAAGCAGTACTTGAGCCAATTCTCGTCAGGCAGTGAGGACCTCCCAGGGTGCATTGCCTCAAGCCATTAATGCAGATGCATTTGCATTTCATCGTGAGAATCAAACTCTATAGAAAATTCTCGGCGTTTCATTAGTATGGTTGAGGAGACTAGCTAAATGGGTATCGCATAAAGTGAACCAGGTGTGAGAGAAGAGAGATAAGAGCGACGTATAACTATTCCGACAAAAATTTACCATCAGGCAGCATATTCGTGTTCCTGCCTCAAACCTGACTTAGATCAGAATTCGCCTTGCCGTCTCGCATCACCGGGGCCCATCGCGCCGGCGCCCCAGACGCCAATCAGACCCCAAAATCCCATATGCCACCCACGCACGAGTCCAGCAAATCCTTGGCCACGACGCTTCCGGAGCATACCGTTGGATGCCTTAGTTGTCGTATGGCCCTCCACGTACATAATGTTGTACACCGTGCGCGCGATACCAGCGTAGGGCGCTGGATCAACGATCAGTGGAAGCAGCGGCTGCGACTTCTGTAGCTCAGAAACTTGAGCGCGACGTACAAGCGTCTCAAGCGGGAGGCGAATGAAAAGCTCCGTGAGGCTGGTCACGAACGCTGCAAGCGACCAGGGAGCTGGAGTAAGATCAGGCGTGATCCGGAGTTGACGGCGCAAGAACAACGGCGCTATCGCTGAGAACAAGTTGGGGACGGTGTGGTACAGAGCCGTAGGAAGCCAAAGGGTGCTAGGAACTACCAAGGAGGGCAGTCGACGTAGATTCTGTACCAGTCCGCGAGGAGTGTGTGACATTGGCGTAATCAGTAGTCGTGTTCGGACGAGATCGAGAGGCGCCAGGATGAGACCTGCCAGGCAACTTGACATGCCAACGACGACCAAAGATCCCAAGACATTCGGACTGTCACTGAGATCGATACCACTGAAGCCTGCTCCGCCAGCGACACTAAGTCCAGGTGCGAGTCCGCCTTGATCGGGACCAATGATGTCGGGAAGACCGAGCACCGTGAGGAGAAGGCTCCGGAGGAACGATTCTGTAGTTCGTAGCAGAATCGCGTACAGGAACGTCGTATTGCTGGCGCGCCACAGTCCGATAGCGCCAGATGTGTTATACAACGCCGATATGGCTGAAAGCACACTTTCGGGCTTTTTGAGACGGATCCTAACTTCCGGTTCCTTTCTGTTGCGCGGGCGAGGCGTAGGAGAAAGAGAGTCGTGGTCTTCGTCCGGTGGTGCTCTCCGTCGCTTTCGAGGAGAGCGACTTCGGGGCGCCGCAGAAGAGAAGTAATCTGGGATGTCGCCATCGGAATCCCCTTCACTGTCTTCTTCCTCGTCGTCTTCATCGTTGTAATGAGTCTCTCTGCGCCCTTGACGTTTTCCTCGGTTGTGTATCGCAGGTGATCGCCGCCTTTGTGGAGTGCCAGCTTCAATTTCTCCTGGGTAAGATACTTGAAGCAGAAATTTGGCGACGTCGAAAGGTTGTGCCAACAGAACGGAAGTATATCTCCACGCTATAGTGTCCAACAGGTCCCTCGTATTCTGCCATGCCTCGCCAGTGGTCGACTTCAAATCAAGATCTATGTCAGGTAGAAGCTCACGCGCAGCGCTCAGCGTAGTAGAGTGTGCCTTGCTGCCGCCGCCATTGCCAACCCGTGAGCCGTTGGAAGGGCCCGATGTGTTAATTGAGCTACTCGGTATTCCGATGGAAGGCGGGATGTAGTAAGGTCGAAGCGGATTAGGTTCCCTGTTGGCAGGCAGAGAGAAGCGATCGGCCATGATGACTTTGCGATAAGCTTGGTGAGTGACAATCGGCCGTCATGCGATATCGAAGCAGAGTCGCGATGGATGGAGAAGTGATGGAGGAACGGGAGTCGCAAGCAGATACTGTCCCACCTTGCGACTCTACTCTCGAAGGAATTTCGACTATAAAACCTGGCAGATGAAAGGCTCACGAAATGATGATTGCGATGACGATGATCGCCTCAGGCTTGGATGTTTCGGGGGAGTAGTCGCGACGGGCCGAATTGCATATGAAACCCCCGAAAACGGTGCTTGGAATGGATAGGACATTCCAGACTTTCTCGGTGAGCCGCAGAGCTGGAGGCTTCGGTGTTCGGGCCAATAGCGGAGGTTTGCTTTCGATTCTTTCATCACATTTCGTCGCTGATATAGCCCTATCGTGGTTCTGTCTGTTACCACCATTCCACGATATCAGCACTCTGTCGCAACGCATTATTAGAAGTGGAGATCACATTCCTTTCTGGTCTCCCGTGTGATCCCTCGACAAAGTAACGCTGCTACTCATCGCCACATCGACAACCATTATGTCCGTAGACGTTGCCATGAAGCGGACCTGTCGAACAATTTCCCAATGGACAAATTCTGTGCCCAAGAGACATGCATCACGGTCATTTACATGCGGTTCAGCCCACAGAAGAAGCGCCCAACAGACCAACTCGAATTCGAGGTCACCCATACATCATCAACAAGCGAGCGTCGCCAGTTCCACCCTGCTGCGACGTGCACGAACGTTTCACACCTCTTCGACAGCATGGCACGGTCATTTGACGCCGCCTAAAGCGGGCGAGGAACGTAAAATAACATTCATCGACAAGGAGGGCCAGTCACATGAGTTCTTAGTAGGTGACGGTGACAATCTATTGGATATCGCGCAGGCCCACGACCTGGAAATGGAGGGCGCATGTGGAGGCAGCTGTGCGTGCAGTACATGTCATGTCATTGTCGAAGACGGGGACATGTATGATAAAATTGTGAGTACCAGCGCATTCGTCGAAATAATAGAAAATTGCTTTCCCATCAAAATATCGTTGTTGTGCCGACACTGACATGGATTAAATCTTTCAGGAAGAGGCTTCGGACGACGAGAATGACATGCTCGATCTAGCTTTTGGTCTCACCGAGACTAGCCGATTGGGCTGCCAAGTCACTATGAGCAAAGCACTGGACGGGCTTGTGGTTCGCCTACCGGCCATGTCAAGAAATATGCAGGCTTCTGATTTTGCTGAGAGGGAAAAGAAATGAGATCGGCACTCGCCGCGATGAGACCATTTGCGAGAGCTCGTCGATGTTCACATCGATCGAAACTTGTACAACAAACAAAGCACTGCTGTGGTTTGTGAACTCATGTACTGATAAATTACAACCATACTGACAGCCCTTTTGGGAACGATGTGTCGCCGAGCAACATCTTTGGGGGAATCTTCAAGAGTGCCAGACTATAACTTCAACAGGACCCTTCTCAAATGTCAAGGCATTGGGAAACGAGGAAGAATGAAATTGCAATGTACAACCCCCTGGTCGATCTTCGAGGATGCTCGGCGCACATCTTGCAGGGATGGCCCCGTCTCAACATATTTCTTCGGTGGTTGTATGAACCATCGACTTCTCCAGCGGACACTCTATGCTGCTGATCGTGCTGGCGGTCACACGCGTACTCTGGCCACCCGTAGAACCCCCACCTCTCATTGGAAAGATTAGTCGGATCTTGCCAGACATCGAGGAGGTCATACTCGACATCCAAGCTCCGCTGCTCCCACCAACAGCAGGTGAGGAAGTCTGACCGGTCCGCAACAGAGATGGGAAGAAACGTGCCAACCCGAGCCTCACTAGCAGCTCTCGATATGTCTTGGTGGCGTCACGTCCGAATCCAAAGGTCAGGAATATCAGCAAGCCACCGGCCAGCCAGATATATCTATCGAATAGGATGGCTCCTCCGCTTGGAATGAAGACAATCGAGTTCCACTCATACGCTGTCGGGTAGTGTGTTTGCGTCCAATCGAAGCTGAGTAGACCGGCGGAAATCGCGAGATAGTCGATGTAGACCTCCAACGGGAAGATACCCATGATGCAGATGGCACACAGCAAATACAGGCGCAGGAACCGTGATTTGTTGGTGTCATGGTGTGTCAACATCGAGACGACGTCGCGACGATAGACGATCAATCGAATCACGATCAGAACTGAGCAGCACGATTAGCATCAAACAGTTGAAAGATCCAAAACAAGCCCCAGCAGCCTTACCGGAAAAGTAAACACAAGCAGTCGTCCACAGAACTCTGGGAGCGAGCAACAGCAGGGCCGACAACCAAGTCCCATCATCGACCGGTTGACAGCCAGCGATCCCGCTGACAAAGAACCGCAAGGGCTGCACAATAAACGCAGAGATGACTTGCAGCCACGGCAGAGCACCACAAATCAGCATGTCAATCACAAACTCGCGTTGCTCCCTCGTTGCGTTCGTCGCCCACGCCGTCTTGCGCGTATCCAGCACCGCAGCGAGCTTCCGGAGGATGCAGAACAACGCGGCTGGGAACGCTGTCTGCATGACCGCCTGCAACTTGACCTGAATGTCGCAATACCCGACACCACTGAACCAGCGGCTGACATCGTCGTGGGGCCAGATGAGCGCGTTGGCGAAGTTCATGAGGTTGGCTAAAATCGCGAGGACGGTCACGGTCGTGGCGCCGACATTACGATGGCGTGTGTGCCAGATGCATGTCGGAGTGATGAGGAGACTGGTCAGTAGACTGAAGATGGCAAATGCAATAGCTGCTGGATATGGCGAGGCGTCTGTGCTTGGGGAGCCCAGGATAATGATGGTTGGATCGGCCATGGTCGATACAAATTGTTGTGAAGCAGCTCGATCGATTGTGTTCTGGCGATTGGATTTCGCGAGCAAAAGCTTTGCATTCGTACGGGTTCCATCCTGACTCTGATCGCAGCTCCATTTTCATTTAAATAAGATCGTCCCTAGTTGAATGCGGAAAATTTGTCAACCGTCGTCTATACTGAATGGTTGTCAATAGAAGTCTATTGAATAGCAATAAGGAGGATCCGGCGTCAATAAGGCAGGGTGTAATCCGTATTGAAGCCTTCCCGTCAAATGCATTCTGGGAGCGCGACTATAAGCTTTCTTGCTCTCATTCGTGACGTTCCTTGACTCAAAAAGATTTGATTAACCTTCCTATCTAGAAGTCGTGAGAAAAGTGCTCGCACTACGATCAATAGACGACTTTGCACGATGACGAAGGTTGTGGCTGCTTCAAGTCTGCGCTTTGCTCCCAATGAAGAGGCTCGCACAAATCAGGGAAGAGAAGTACATCAGATCGCATATGCCCTCATTAGACGCTGTCGAGTAATGGCAACTATACGAGAGTACTGGCCTGTGATCGAGAGATTGGGTTTTGTGTGTCACAACAAAGGCTTTAGAGGAGGACTACCATTCGATCCATATTAGGCAAATCGGTTCATGAACAAATCTACCAGGTATCACCATGGACATGGACATATATGGGAGATTCATTCGCTTCGTCTAATTAATATTCGCAAACTCCATTTCGAATGGTGTCCGTCTACGTCTTGAGCAATGCCTCTCAACTCCAGTCGGCTTGCTTCACCTCCGTATTGGTTGTGATATAAACGCGGTGAGGACTGGCAATCCTAGACCGAAATGCAGTAATCGCGTCGCTCAAATGCATCGCCAGGTAAGAATGCCGTTGGAAATTATCGTATCGTTACTGTAACCAAGACGCCTTTGTGAGATGTGCGTGACATCTCACGGCCAGTGTCGCGTTGGGTCTGATCCTGCATACCCGAACAGCGGCGTTTATCCCACTTCATTTCTCGTTGTCCCAAATCAGTACCAAAAGACCCCTTAGTCCTGTCGTACATCTAGTAGATGCTAGCTCTTCCGAGTGTCTCCAAGCGGAATCCCATACCGACCATTGCACGTGAGTCGAGAACACCAACGCCGTCAAAAACCCAGCGAGGCTCCCGAACAGAGCGTGATATTGATGCCCAGTCGAGGCGAGCATTTATGACAGCATCCATCTGCTCGGTTTGTGATTGGGTAGAGCTATGTCTGCACTCGGCGCAGTCACTCGGGCAGACTGGCTCAGGCGTCAATCGTGCAAGAAGCTCAGCGGGAAAGGTGGACTTTGTCACGGAGGGAGCCGCGGGTGCGGCGATGGGCTGAGTGCGTGGAGGAATGGCGATGATGTCGGACGAAATGCAGCCATCTAATGACATGGGCACTTCCACGGGTTTGGTGAGAGCGGGAGCGGGTCGGGTGTTGAGGAACATGTCCCAGTTGGTGAGAATCAGCACGGCGCTGCTGTCTTCGCAGGCCTTGTACGGATCTGAAACTACTTCGATGGGGCCTTCTGGCTTGACAACGGCATGCTCACCCTCCAGGACTGCGAGCTCGCGCTTGATGTCGGCTTCACTGCACAGCGGGTCGTAGATAGTGATGCTGCGGGGGCCTTCCTCGAGAAGAACGCGGATAACCTCCAGGGCAGGTGATTCGCGAGCATCGCCTGTATTTTTCTTGAAAGCATATCCCAGTATCGTGATTTTCTTGCCGCGAAGCGAGTTGTTCAGGGTAGCGATCACGTGTCGAGCGTAGCGATCACGCTGGAAATTGTTCATCGTCAAAACTTGCTGCCAGTATGCAGCTACCTCTGGTAGACCGAGCGACTCTGCCAGGTAAGTCAGACTGGCAATATCCTTGCGGAAGCATGAGCCACCGAAGCCAATGCCAGACTTCAAGAATTGCGGGCCGATTCTAGGGTCCATGCCAACAGACTTTGCAATCTCGCTGACGTCCGCTCCAGTGCGCTCGCAAATGGCGGAGATTGAGTTGATGCTGCTGATGCGTTGAGCAAGCATGGCGTTCGCCGCCAATTTACACAGCTCAGATGACCAGATGTTGATGGGCGCAATGCGTGACCGCGGCACCCAGGCAGCGTACAGGTTGGCGAGAGCAGCCGCAGCACGGTGGCCTGAGATGGTTGATTCGCAGCCGATCACGACACGGTCGGGCTGCATAAGATCGCGCACGGCGGTACCTTCCGACAAGAACTCCGGGTTCGAGAGCACAGGGAAGACGATTCCAGGTCGGTGTGCCTCCATCTAAACGAAAAGGTCAGCCAAATTGTTGGTCGCGTGACTCGGTGTAGTACCCACAATGTCCTTAATCAATTGACCAGTCTTGCATGGTACAGTGCTCTTCTCGACGAGAATGGTGCCCGATCGCGCATATGTTGCCACGTCCCTCACGGCACCTTCAATAGCAGTCATGTCCGTAGCACGGCCAGCGCCAACACCGCGTCTCTTGGTCGGAGTGTTGACACTGATCAAAATCATGTCTGCCTCGGCAATCGTTTGTGTGCAGGCAGTCGAGAAGAAGAGGTTTGGCAGGCGCGCTGGCTGGTCAACCTTGTGCGCGTCTGAAGCTACCGCACCGTCGAGCGAAGCGACCAGTCCATGCCCTTGTCCTTGTGCGCTGTCCCGTCGGAGACCCTCTTTGCAGCCATCTCGGGCCAGGCGCACAACCTCGACGAGTCCAGGCTCATGGATGGGAAGGTGCTTGCCCTTCCAGGCGTTGATGCGACCTTCGTCTCGATCGACCACAGTCACTCGAACGTGAGGGTTGTGCAATGCGATCACCGCGGCAGTCGGTCCACCTGAATCAGATCTGCGTCAGCGAATGGTCTCATCGGAATATTGTATGCGCACGTGCTGTGTCGCGTGACCTCCGACTTACCGACGTATCCAGCGCCAATGCAGCAGACATGGCGGATTGGCACATTGGCAGCAGTCTGCGGGTCGAGAATGTTGGGAAGGACCGCACTCATGGAAGAAGGCTGCGGTGTGCCGACGCGGTGGGGCAGAGTGACAGTTTCCATGGGCGGCGGGATTGTGTAAGTGTCGCCAAACATGAAAGGCGAGCGACCTTCCAGGGGAGTTTGGGGGCCTGAGGCAGGGTCCTCGGCGCTATCGTCCGAACGCCCCAAGGACGGAGTGCCGTCGGTCATGCCGGCGATGATGGGAGAGGAGAGGGACGAGACGTTGGCGTGGTGAAACCAAGTTTGGGGAGTCTGCGAAGCCATGTCGTCGTGCGGGAGCTGGCTTATTATATGTATTCAATTATTATACTTTGAAATTCCCCAGAATTCCTGCCTGCTATTGCCAGGTTGGGTTTTGGGTCTAGTCGCTCGCTCGGTCGTTCGGTGATAAGGTATCGCCTCTCTCGTCACCGACAGGTACGGCGTGCGGGCGGGCTGGTTTGGCGGGCGAATTCTGGCGGGCGCAACCGGGTGCAGGCAGGTGCAGGGCAGGTGCAGGGCAATGCAGCAGATGCTGAAGTCGGGTGTGCTGTACCGTGGTAGTTGGAGTTTTTGTCCGCTCAGGTGCTTTTCGTGTGATCGCTCCTGACCTAGACGAAACTCGAAAAATTCCCGTTCGCCGATTGTGTTTGCTGTGACCGTCCTGATCACCGCAGTACTGCTGACTATCGGTCTGGCTGCTGATTGAGAGCGGCGGGCTGGCCCGGCTGTTGGGAGTGGTGGGCAATGAAGCCAGAGGAAGCCCTATGACTCTGGTGATCGCGAACTGATGATGATGTGCCTGTCTCGAAGGACAAGATGAGATAGAACAGCAATAGCGGCTTTCGAAGGAGTTCGATTGAACGCAAAAAATAATCGCACACGAGGGCGATTCAATCGTGTCCCAGCGACAACATCGCGGCGACGCCAACCTCTATATATGGCAGTCCGATCGGTGATACTCCAGCGACTGTCACCCTGCCTGCGCCGAGACCCGCGGCACACGATGGCAATTCGCTCTCCATGATAAACAACTTAATTTCACCGCGGTATGATGGTGAGGGGCGCATTGCATGGTGGGCTGGAAATTATCGGATGTGCAATGTGACGACGGCGCTGAATTTGTTTGGACTCGCGTGCTCATCGCTATCGGTCGGATTGCGATTCATCAGTAGGTGCAGGCCTACATTTGACGTAGCGTCTCCAGGTGCGCCGACAAGGTTTGGGGGTGTGGAAGGGTTTAGGGCGAGGTGACGATCGCTGCGCTGGTAGCCTCTCTCAGCCAATCGGAAATCACACGTGGAACGAGATCGTCCTCAAGTTGGCTGCAGCAACTCTACTGCGACTCCCTCCGAAATGTCCATCGTTTTCGGCGCTGCAGGTCAAATCTGCAGGAGGCACAACCACTCGTGCCTCTGTGCACGACTGATTAGAGGGAATGCGTACAGACGCGCCTTTCATTGGTCGCACCGTCCGTTGACCGACTTGGATCTAATCATTCTGGCATCTAGTACTCCCTGTTTCGCATCTTCATAGTTTCGAGATACGTGAAATTGGTACACACGTATGGTTTTGTGCACGATTCCGAATATGTCGTGCAGAGAGGTGATGTTGCAACTCGACACCTCGTGCTCCCAGCTCGGCCGGTCAATCGTCCATTCGCTGCAGGCCTTGTTGGCTGCGCAGTCTGGGACACGACTACAATGTACACACCCTACGTCCATCATCGTCGCCATCGATCAACTGATTAGCCTCTTTCGCCCACCGCTCTTGTGCTTCTCAGCCAACCACCATGCTCGTCGAGTGCTCTCGCGCAAAACGTGCTTCTTGTCGACGACACCTACGGCCGGGAATAAGAGCTTCTTTTTACGGTCTCCACCATCCATCTCGGCTTCATTATCAGGCTGCGGAGACAAGGCACTGTACATCCTTCGAAGTACTGCATAAACACTCCCTCGTGCCATTGCTCATGTGCTCTTTTGTCAGCGGCAGGCAGACCTAGCCGAGTGATGAGCTTGCAGAGGCTGCTCATAGTCCCCACCACAATCGCTGTGTTGCGACATGGTCGCACACGCTCAATGGCTGGCCACCGAGAGCTCGTAATTTGTTCTGGGGTGAAGAATGATAAGATGTGCCCAGTTCGTCCAGTGTCCTCCATAATCTTCAGCGTCATTTGTCGTCAAATCTTGCCTCTGCTACATCAATTGAGTAGCGTGGCTTTGGAATATCTGGTTGATATCCCAGATACCCTCGACGTTTCACTAAATCTCGCTCAGAGGTTGGGAACAGCGCAGCACAGAATCTTGACGACCTTGACTTTCCTCTCATCCACGGTGGAGTTCCGCGCGTACATCGCCGAGCTATCGTGCGCGGCTCTCCGCAATCACGGTCCCTAACCTACTACGGCGGCACATAGTTCGCAGACGATCGGCCAACCCTAGCTCGGTCTATAACAATCAAAAACCACGGAGAGGGGACAGCGACCTTTTTCAAAAACAATTCCTCCAGCACCTGAGAGATCGCAGTCTGTAACACAGGCAACAGACCAGACATGGCCGACAGTGTACAGACCTCTGTCACTCAGCCGATCGCGGCTACCAACGAGTTCCCTGCCGAACTCGTCGGCAAGAAGGTGCTGTTGGCCACCGAGTCGCTCGGGCCGGTGAACGGGGTCAGTCGCACAACGCAGAGTCTGGTCGATTACCTGCGTCACAATGGTGTACACGTTGCGACATGTGCGCCCTACTATAAAGGCCAACATATCCTTGCGAACGAGCCTCGACCAGAAAGGCAACCATTTGTGAACAAGGATTGGGTGCGCTCGATCGAGGCCAAATCCTCGTCCCTCGGTTCACGAGCCATTGGTGGCGCATGGGCATGGCACTTCGACAGAGACGAGCAGTCGAAACAATCACAACCGCAATCCCAAAGCTCGCAATCGCAGAATCCGCCTCTGCTCAACCGCAGCAAAAGCGAAGATGCAAAGCGAAAGATCGAGCAAGCTCGCGAAACTCGACAAAATCCCGAATATCGCCTGCAGGGGTATCCGCTGCCATACAACCCCGACTTGACCGTGGCATTCCCTTTCCGCCTCGGTCGCGTGTATCAAGAGACTTTCAAACCCGACATCATCTATCTCGCCAGTCCCGCTTCAGTGGGCTTCCAATTTCTCGTGCAACTGCGCCAGTTCGGCAAGCCGATCCCAACGCTGCTAAATTTCCAAACAGATCTTGCGGCCTATGCTGCGATCCTCTTCCCGCGTCATGTTGACCAATATGCCATGTGGCTATTGCACATTGTTCAGGGATACCTGTTCCGCGCAAGTGCTGTTCACACGATATTCTACCCTTCGGCGTACGTTCGGGATTACATGGTCAGCACAGGTGCGCCAGCGGAGAAGATGATCCAACTCGGACGTGGTGTCGACACCGAGCTTTTTCAGCCCAGCCGTCGCGACGATGACTACCGAAAGGAGATTGCGCCCGATGGCGAGATCATCTTCTGCTGCATTTCCCGAATCGCCCCGGAGAAGGGATTCGAGTTTCTCGCACAGGCCGCTCAGAAGCTTAAAGACACTGGCTTGAAGTTCAAGCTCCTCATTGTTGGCGGCAACAAGAACCCGGCTGTCATGAACGAGGTGCAAAGCTACTTCAAGGACCTTCAAGAAAATGTCATCTTCACTGGTATGCTCCGCGGCACTGCACTAGCGCGCGCTTACGCTGCTGGTGATATTTTCCTCCACTGCTCCATCACCGAGACTTTCGGCCTGGTCGTTTTGGAAGCGATGGCTTCAGGTGTACCAGTCATTGCTCGTGATGAGGGAGGACCTTCAGAAACCGTCAAGCACGGCCGTTCGGGATTTCTCGTTGCGCCTCACGACCTCGACACCTTTGTCAACTACTCGCGACAACTCGCCACAAACCATGAGCTGCGTGCGGAGATGATCGCTCATGCGCGCGCTCAAGCTCTCGATACGACCTGGGACAAGATCAACAACCAGGTCGCCTTGCAGCTTTGCAAAGCACTCCATCAACAACCTCTGAAGTCACCCGCGGAGAAAGCACGAGAAGGATACTATGGCTCATGGTACGCCATGGCTCGTGTCTATTTGGCCGTGGGCATCGTCTGGGTCTTCTGGTTCATCGCGGTCATTCCCATGATGGTGTTGGGTTTCGTGCACGGAATGTTCAAATGATAAGTCTCTTCGGGAGCAGGTCTCTTTTGCAGCAGGTTGGAAAAATATGATTCGCGAAGGGTGGATTTCAAAAATGATGAGATTTCATGTGAGATGTCTGAATGCAATGCCATATGTAAATGTGTGAATAATGAGATAGTCAAAACAATTGTTCTCCACAAATAGTGGCGAAGGAAATAACAATGATGGAAAACATCACTGGTTCGGATATGAATGGAGGATGTTCCGGGCCCGGATGTGCCAGAATTGGGCAAAACACCTGAGCAGCTGTCCACTACCGAGCCTCATCAAATGATGGCAAAAGATGCGATCTCTCCAGTGATGAAAGAATTACTGTAAATACACTCCAGGGCGACCTAGGTAATATTTACCGCGTCACACAGACAGCAATAGGCGGCGATATGTTGATTCACGGTCGGGATTAGTCATACACCTGTGCCGAAACGAGCGGCGAACCTCTCCACCACTGGAGTAGGGCTGGAGATGCCTGCCTCGACATACTTGAGTAGCGCGTCAATTTGACAATCGCAAAGTGGATTCTGCAGTCCCAACGACTTCGCCAGATTTCCACCACTTTCACCATGTCAGACATCGCGCAATCTTCAGAGGTGGCGCAAAGCCACGGCAATTCATCTGCGCCAGACGAGAAAGCACTCACGACGACGACACAGACCGACGGCACTGTGCAAAAAGTTCGAAGAACCAAGATTGTCAAGCGAAAGCGCCGACCTGCTCGACCACAACAGGATCCGGCGCTCTTCAAAGTCGAGCCGCCGCCTCAGACTGGAACTATCTTCAATATCTGGTACAACAAGTGGTCGGGAGGAGACCGCGAGGATGCACATTCTTCAAGGCACCAGGCGAAAGGTCGATGTAATGTCGCGCTCGACAGTGGCTACACGAAGGCGGATCGCGAACCGGGTAGCTACTTTTGCATATTCTTCGCTCGTGGGCTCTGTCCGCACGGGTCCGACTGCCAATATTTACATCGTCTCCCGAACAGTCGCATAGGCAAAGATGGCGGGTTAGGCGATATTTTCCCCGAGAACGTGGATTGTTTTGGGCGGGAAAAGTTCAGTGATTATCGCGACGATATGGGTGGTGTCGGATCGTTCATGCGAATCAACCGGACACTGTATGTTGGGAGGATCCATGTCACGGACGACATTGAGGAGGTTGTGGCACGGCATTTCCAGGAATGGGGCGCTATCGATCGTATCCGCGTCTTACCGAGTCGAGGTGTAGCATTCGTCACATATGTCTATCTGGCCAACAGTGAATTCGCCAAGGAAGCCATGGCGCATCAGGCCCTGGACAATGACGAAACACTCAATGTGCGATGGGCAACCGTCGATCCCAATCCTGCAGCGCAGAAACGTGAGGCTGCTCGGCTCGAGGAACAGGCAGCCGAAGCAATCCGAAGAGCGCTGCCGGCAAGCTTCATCGCGGAACTGGAAGGAAGGAAATATGACGGAGTTGATCCTGCAGAAGAGAGGAAACGGCGGAAGATTGAAGGCAGCTTCGACCTCAAGGGGTATGAGGCGCCTGATCATGTGTGGTACGCTGCGGAGAAAGCCCGCATTGAGGCAGGTGGTGACACAAAGATGATTGAGGCTGGGCAAAATACCGACACGCTCGATGAAGCGGATCCCGACGACGAAGGCATGCTCTCGATCGGCACAGTACCGCACAACCAAGAAGAGACCGATGGCTTACTTGGCGCAAGTACGCTTGCTGCACTCAAAGGCTTTCGAGCGAATAATAGTGGAGAGACGAAGGCGCCAGACATATCGGCAGGACCACTCGTCGGCTACGGGAGCGATAGTGATGACGAATGAGATGCGTAACGACCTCAACAGTCAGCATGCCATAAAACACCAAAGTCAAATACCTCTTTGAGTTCGATTGCATGATGCCATTAATTCATCCGCTCATTCAAGAAAAGCGCTATATCAAGCAGACATTCCTCTGTTTTCTCCGTCCCGCTTGGTGAGAAACACGTGAAATTATGCGGAGCTCCCGGATACAATTTCAGAATGCACTCAGCACCACTCATGGCCCACTTCGTCGACATCATGATGCTGTCATCTAGCAACACGTCAAGTGTGCCAACGTTGAACAGTGCAGGCGGCAGCTATTCGTGTCAGTTCACTTGAGAACGTGCCAACTACGATCGAGCCTGATCGGAACTCACCTTCATCTTGGTCAGGTCGGCGAAAAAGGGAGAGATCCACATGTCTCGTCTCTGCTCTGGCGTCGTGTTGGGCAGGTAAGCTTCAATGTATAATACCAGATTTGGTTAGCATCCTGTGAACGGCCACGTCGATTGATGAGAAAAAGGGGGGACTTATATATTTGTGCATGATATTCCCATCCAGTAGCAAAGGCAAAGTGAAATGGTGCACCTGAGGCAGGCATCCAGAGATATCATAGGCCCCAAAGTTCAAGACAAGGCCGCGAAATGCAAATTCCGGGCACGACTTCAACAGGCGAAAGCAAGTGAGCACACTCAAATGTGCACCTGCAGAATCACCTCCCATAAATAGCAGTGCACTGCCGAATTCCTCCTTGCCGTGCCTGATTAAGTGCTCGGCAACGTCGACGCAGTCTTCATTGCCTGCTGGGTAAGGATCCTCGGGAGCGAGACGATAGCCGACAGAAATGACGATCAAGGAGGAATGATCGGCATAGTGTTGGAGCATGTTATCTTGATAAGCCTCACTCTGGAGGACCCAACCGCCGCCATGGATCTGTAAATTCACGCAGAGAGGAAGTGAAAAAGCGATCAGCAAGGCACAGTTCGTGGCACTGCACACCAGAAGCATTGGCTGCGTACATGGTAGAAAATGCCCTTGCTGTCACCAGTTTTGGGTTCGAAGACTCTACAAGGGATTTGGCGATTTGGTTCACGGCTGGGCAAGTTGATGTTCTTCGCACCGTCGAGAACAGTGGGTCTCGGCATGGGACTGCGCGTGTATTCTCAGCATGATCGTCAGGGCACGAAGTGTTTTCATTCGACCTACGTCTCGCCATTCCAACGCATCTGGCGATACTTCTCTGCTCCAATCTGACGTTCCACGCGTCTGGCATCAGTAACGCTGTTCCTTTACAACTAAGACTTCAATAGACATCTCATACATCCCACCATTTAGGTACCCCTTCCGTCACTCGCATGAGTGCGTCATTGTATTGACGCGTCTGCTCGCTGATGGCAGCATCCTCAAATTTGCTCCGGTCAATGACGAGGTCAGACTTGAGAGGCATTATGCCGAGTGTAAGATTCGATCTCAAAAGGGTGTTTATTATTGTTGTGTAGACGTGGAAAGAAGCAATGGCAACTTTGACTCGATGTCAGTGACGATACTAAGAGCTGATACCGAGAGAGTACGCATCTAGTCTGATACTCAAGCAAGGATCCACCCGTGGACTGCACTATCCGCTTCCGAAGATATGGTGGGGCACTTCACGGGCAGGCTTTCAAGAGAGACACGAGAACGTGGTGCTACTCGATACGTGAGTGAGAACGAATGAATCAAGAACGAGAAGCAAATAACACAGACTTCGGAATGAATGGAAAATAAATCGCCCAGCAGACGGCTCAAGTTACATTTCTACGTCTTCTTGCCTGTTGGGATCTGGAAGGCCACGACACTCTCACCATGTCTCAAAGGTCGATCGATCCTGAAGTATCCTTTCCGGTCGAATTGAACAATGTCGCCCTCCTTCAAGTTGGCGACATTGCAATCAGCCAAAGCCTCTGTCTTGAACTCGGTATCCTTTGTCAAGACGTCTTCCAACTTGTCATCCTCTTCCAGCTTGTCCTTGGCGATCAGATAGTCAAAGTCGTACATAGTGAGAGGAACAAGCTCCTGGTCGGTCGACAGCCATGTCACCTTCTTGGAGGTCTTCCTCACATCGCCTTGCAGATGCAGCTCGAGCTCCAGACCAGTGACGGTCTTATCTTCTTCAGCCTTGACCAAGTTCAGGGGTTTTAGCGAATGTGTCTTTTTGCGTACAATGGCGTTTCCCCAGTTCATTAGTGTAATCTCCTCGTCCACCGCGAACGACTGTGCATCTTCTTGGTCGAGTATGATGTTCTTGCTGGAAACAACCTTTTTCTTACCAACGTCAGGATTCTTTGCGTGTAGATCCTTCTCCTCCGTACGTGGTGCCTCTGGAGCACCCACCACAGTGCAAACGACCTTGTCCTTCGATACTACAGCTGTGTATCTCGCCGCAATCGGATCGATGTGCTTCTTATTTGTGGCCCAGAAGAGAGCCCAGTCCTGCAAGTTGATGTTCTTGCTCGGTCCTTGTTTGATGATGAATTCCTGCAGCGCAGGAATTGTCATGCCTCGTCGAATTATCCCCCGCACTGTTGGCATTCGAGGATCATCCCATCCCCAAACTTTGCCCTCATCCACAACCTTGGTGAGTTTTCGCTTCGACAGGAATGTTTTGATGAAGTTCATGCGCGAGAAGTTCCAGTTGTGTACAGGTCGCAGGTTCAATGTTTTGATAAACCATTGATATTGTGCGTCACGATCGTTGTATTCTGTGGTTCTCAGAGCATGAGTGATGCCTTCCACGGAGTCGACGACGGGGCAGGCAAAGTCATAGGTTGGGTAAATCTTCCAAGTGGTACCTGTTCGGTGATGCGCTTGTGGGTTACATCTGTAGATCACAGGGTCTCGTAGGGCACCGTTGTCGCTGCTCATGTCCAGCTTCGCACGAATGAACCATCGTGTTCCCTCCGCTGTACCTGCTTTCATCTCTTCGAAATGCGCAAGACTGTCTGCTACAGCATCATTACGATGTTTGCTCTCAATGCGGTTCCTGCGCTCTTCCTGAAGTTGTTCTTGTGGTGTATCGTCCGCATATGCATGGCCGTCTGTGATCATCTGCACAGCGCGCTTGTAGAGATCCTCGAAGTAGTCGCTGGTGTAGGTGACTCGATCCGGCTTGATGCCGAGTAGCTCGCAGTCTTTCAAAATCGCGTCCTGATATTCCTGCTTCTCCTTGGTTGGATTGGTATCGTCGAAGCGAACAATCATTTTGCCATTGTACCGCTTGTGTGCAAAATAGTCATTAAGAAGGGCTGCTTTGGCATGACCGATATGCAGATAGCCCGAAGGCTCCGGCGGGAATCGAGTAACGACGCCTTGCTCTGTATCTGGCAACCCGATCTCATAGCTGGCTCCGTCTGAAACGGCCTCCTTGCCAGGTCGTGTAACAAGTTCGATCGTTGGCTGAGCTGTCGCCTCGATGAAGTTGAACCATCTGCTTAGGTTGACCATAAGATTTTGTCTCAGGAACGCAAAAGCAACTCTGTTGCTGCGCAATGCCTTCCAAGCTGTGGTATCCGCGTCTGTGAGAGTGTAGCCAACTATGTATGTGCGCAGTGTGAGATGTGCATCGAGCTCCGCCATCGGTGCCTCCAATTGCTTCAAATTGGGAGAATTGAAGGCATCTGCTCGAGTCTCCCATTCTTTGATGTGACTAGAATTGTCCGCCATGGCTGTAATGTCGTTCGTTACGAAGTTGATACGATCTTCAGAGTGAATGTTTCGGTTTCTTTCTAACGTTTGAAGCCCATCCGACTTGGAACGCGGGGAGAAATTATTTGACTCATCAATATCATTTCTGGCCAGTGTCGTCACACAAGTTCTTTCAATCTGAAAATAATTGCGGGGCTTCGCATTCCAGGGTTCAGCCCACTGTCACTTATTGATTGACTACCTAGGTACTGTGACAACGACATTGGAAAGAGGCAATAGGCGGATATTCACATTCAACCCCAAGCGGTCCATCATTTGAAAATCATGTGGTTGCCAACTGAAGCCTGCCTGGCTATGCTCTGGTTGGAACATTGAGAACGACTTTCCGTTCGAGTGATGGACTGATCCGGGCTCATAGTCTCGTGAACAGTATGCGTCAACGAACAGCGGCATGCCGAAAGACTGAGTGCAGATGGCGCGGAGCGGTGTAGCACCGGATGCTTTCTTGCAGGATTTATCAGGCCGTTGGTTTTAAATTTTGACACTTTGCCTCACCATCACGCCTTTACTGAAATTCCATGTTCTAGCAACTTGGCCATGTTCGTGGGGCCGCTTTCGTGTAAAGCGAGGACATCGCTGACTATTGCTGGCAAACGCGATTGAGCTGAGCCAGTTCTTGTTTTTTCAGCTCTCATCATCACTCTCGCCATGGTCCGCCTTGTTGAGCCACTTGCTCATGTATGGCCCGTCGAGCCAGTACCCGAGACGTTTGTAGTACCCGCGGACGCCAACGCCAGAAATCACGGCTATCTTCTCGCTGCCATGCTCGTCTCTAGCAATGCGCTCAGCTTCTTCCATGAGTAACGTGCCGTAACCTTGATGCTGGCTCTTCCCCTTCACACGCTCGTGGATCGGTACCGCAGAGCCATATACGTGGAGCTCGCGCACCAAACTTGAAGGCTGAGAGACGAGTTCTTCGCGGTAAGTGTATCTCTCGCTACATTTCCGTAGGCGCAACAACGCAATCAATATGTCTTGCTTAGGATCTTCGTATGCTAGGAAGGTTTCCCAGCCGCCGTTGGCAACATAATCCCGTCGGACAAGCTCGACTTGATTAGGTCGAATTTTGTTTTTGACTTCGTTGATGCCAACCTCCCGGGTCCGCACATCTCGACAAGTTGTTCCAAAGTCTTTCATCCGAGCGAGAGCCAGCTCCCGTAGATTTCCATTTTCAACTCCGCTTGTCACCAATGGCATAGGAATGTCGCGCTGCACACGATATATGCGGGTCCATGGAGGGATCAATGCGAGGATTCGAGCGACGATATCAATCAGAACATTTGGCGTGTAGTTCTTGTATCGACCCGTCCGCCAAAGCTCATAAAGACCAGTACCACGAATAACGAGGGTTGGATAGATCTTCAGACCATCGGTACGAAAGGCAGGGTTCGAGAAATATTCTTGAAATTGGAATAGATCTCGTTCCAGACCAACATTCGGCAGATCCGGCATCATGTGTGACACGACCTTGAATCCAGCGTCTTTGGCTTGACAAAAAGTTTCGCACACAGCTTTCACAGTGTGCCCACGGTTTGTGTCCCGAGCCACATCCTCATACAAGCTCTGGACTCCGATCTCGAGCCGAGTGCATCCGTATCGGAGCATGTCCGTCAGGTGTGGAGGTAAACAATAATCTGGTCGGGTTTCAATTGTGATTCCTACACATTTTGTGGTGCTCTGCTCGCCTGCGACAACTGCTTCATCAACGTCGTTGGTTTGATAGCCTGAGAGCGCATTATGAAGCTGGGAAATGAACTCTTCTCGATATTTTGGAGTCAGAGACATGAAAGTCCCGCCCATGATGATATACTCCACTTTGTCAACACTATGTCCGAGACTTCTGATCTGATCGACTCTGCCACGTGCTTGCTCGAATGGATCATACCTCGCACGGATGGCACGCATGCTGGTAGGCTCATAGCCAGTATATGATTGAGTGCTATACTCGAAGTCGGAGTCCGGTCCACCAGGGCAATATACACATATGTTGCCGGTGTAGGCGATATGTGGACATCGGTGAGGCTTGCACATAACAGCCACGACCGCTATGCCACTTGCGCTCCGAATTGGCTTCGCAATGAGTTTAGGAAGGATATACTTTTTATACTGTTCTGGCACTGCTGCGATGATATCTGTGAGTGGCGGCTGACGGGACAAAAAGTGTTTCTTCGCAAATTGACCGCGCAGTGAGTTCAAATTGATGTCTTTCTTCACTGTGCCAGAAATTTGTGATTTCTCGTAGTCTTCGACCAGGCTATTTGCAATGTCTGCGCATGCTCGCACATATCTCTCATTCTCAGGCGCAAGCTTGGCGAGTTTCGCGGCTGGCAATCGCCTGCGCTTCACCGCTTCGCTCTTTGTTTCTGTCATAGTCGCCATCTCGTCAAATAGTGCGCTGCCGTTTCAATCATGTACGGCATGCAGTCAGGCACTGGAGATGTTGTGCAGATGGATTTCCTGTGGTGGCGCTGTCGAAGAATTGAGCTAGGGTAGTAGTAGGGTCAGAAATGTTGTGACGCACGTTTTCGGGAAAAGACAATTCGGGCCGTTCCTCCGGCCGCTTGCCAGCTACTCTACATTCAGAGCTCTCCGGCGGTCTTCGCGGAGCTGTTCAGCTTTGCTTGTTGTCCCTTATCGAGCAGTTCCCTCTCAACAGGTTGTGCTTCACGACTCATCTCTCATCAAACCCCATTTCACCACAGAGACTCAGGACCACACATAACCATAATGCAATCACTACGACAACCGCTTACACGCGCCCTGCGCAACGCGCCCCATGGCCTCACCAAATCCGTAACTCCTGCCGCATACGCTACGATATCATCGAGCGAGACTGCTGGCAACCCGACTGGATATGCGAAGACTGGCGTCAATCTCCGTCTCACAAAGGACACCAAAGTCTTGTTCCAGGGCTTCACCGGCAAGCAGGGAACTTTCCACGCATCGCAGGCTATCGAGTACGGTACCAATGTGGTGGGTGGAACAAACCCAAAGAAGGCTGGCACTGAACATTTGGGCAAACCGGTATTCGCAACAGTAGAAGAAGCCAGGAAAGCAACTGGAGCTGATGCATCTGCGATCTTCGTCCCTCCTCCGTTGGCAGCGGCGGGTATCGAGGAGGCCATCAAGGCTGAGATGCCGCTTGTCGTGTGCATTACTGAGGGCATTCCCCAACATGACATGGTTCGCATCACAGACATCCTCAAGACACAAGACAAGACCAGACTGATTGGCCCCAACTGCCCGGGCATCATCGCACCTGTAAGTTGGTCCCTTGTTCGATTCACAACGCATGAAAGCTTTGCTGGGATGAGACAAAATATACAAAAATATGATAGGAAGAGTATGATCCGCTCCGGCGGTTTGATTATTCACGAAGTCTCTGAGCAAATTCACTTCGTCGCTACATGAATACAGATCTATCGTTGTGGACGGCTACTAACGTGTCAAACAGGGACAATGCAAGATCGGTATTATGCCTGGTTTCATTCACAAGCGTGGACGCATCGGCATTGTCTCCCGATCAGGTACCTTGACATATGAGGCTGTCAACCAGACCACACAGGCTGGTTTGGGTCAATCTCTCGTCATTGGAATCGGTGGAGACCCGTTCTCTGGCACCAACTTCATCGACTGCCTCCGCGTGTTCCTTGCCGATCCCGACACCGATGGAATCATCATGATTGGCGAGATTGGCGGCTCTGCGGAAGAAGACGCTGCAGAGTTCCTCGGCCAGTACAACACCGGCGGTAAAGACGGTAAGGGTAAGCCCGTCGTCAGCTTCATTGCCGGTATCTCTGCGCCACCCGGACGCCGCATGGGTCACGCTGGTGCCATTGTGTCTGGAGGCAAAGGAGGAGCTGACACCAAGATTGCCGCCCTTGAGGCCGCCGGTGTCATTGTTGAGCGAAGCCCTGCAGCCCTCGGCAAGACCCTGCGAGACCAATTCATTCAACGCGATCTGTTGTAGAGACAGCTTGAAAGATGAGCCGGCGGAGAGGTGCCTGTCTTGATTGAGCTTGTGGTCTGCGTGCGGCGCTATACGGAAGGTTTAAATGGGTTATATATTTATTTCTTGTAGCGTGCATTCAAAATAATGGATTTGATATTCTCGCTGCTGTGATTGAGTCGTCGTTCCGATACCTTGTAAACTTACGTGTAATCATACGACATCAGTCTTCTTTGCTTGACTGACATGCTCACAGCACTTCCTCGACTGCTCGTCGCATACAGCTTAGCATGGCCATTTGATCCATCCCGTCCAGTAGGAAAGACTGCACAATCTGATAAGATGTGCATCCTGACCACAACCCTTGAAGGTTGATCTACAAGATCTTATGTATCAACAACCTCCAGCTTGGAACGCCGCGTCTGCTACATTGATCAATACCAAGCCTCGGACCGCGGTTTGATCTGCCGTTAGCTTCCGCAACTTCTCAGCGAATGACGCGGCACATCTCATTCTAAATACCACGTCGAGAACTCAAGACGTGTTGCAGGAGAAGCTGTGTAGACATTGGATGAACGCGATACACGATGGACGATTTGTTGGGCGAAGATTGGCAAACTGCTTCAAAACCAAAGCCGGTCGATGCCACAGCACGGAATCTCTCATATGGTCTACAACACAATAGTCTGCGTGCAAGTCCCGCGATCCCAACGTCTGGCGTCACAACTCCTCAAAGTATCAGCCGACCGTCGAGCACGACCCCAGCGGTCAAAAATCCCCCTCAGAAGGACCGTTTTGAGAATTTACTGTCGCTGAAATCTCAAAAGCCCACAAAACCCCTCACGCTATTGGAACAGCAACAGAAAGCACTCTCGGAGAAGCGACGCCAGCAGGAAGAGCAATCGCAGTTGTGGGATACCCTCGGAAGCAATGTCAATGATAACCAAGCTCGGAGTGGAACTCCAAAGCTCGGCCAGTCTTACTCAGGCGGCAGTAAAGACGAGGAAGACGATATTCTGGCAGCCTTTAATAAGGCTGCGCCTGTGAACAATGCGAGTCACTTCCCTCCGCCACGGGCGGAGACTTTGAGTGGCGGAAATACAATCGCCTCGACTTCATTCTCGCAAAATCCTGACAGCTCGCTGGAGGTGTTTAACGATGACGATGATCCCTTCGGCCTTGGTACCATTGCCAACGGAAGCAATCGCGCCAGAAACGAGCCAGGCGTCACTCATCATGACAACGATGAGGAAGACATTTTGGGGGACCTTGGTCGCCCGATATCAGAGCTTGCCCCCAAGAAAGCCGCGACAAGAGAAAATGCGCCGCGCGTCGCTACACGTGAGCCGCAACAAGACGGCGCGGTTGCTGAACTGGTGGATATGGGCTTTCCAATCGACAACGCGAGACTTGCTCTTGCCGAGAATGACGGCGATGTGCAGCGTGCGGTGGGCTGGCTTTTGCAGCAGGCCCATGAGGAGTCAAAACAGAAGGCGAAGCAAAATCTGCCCGAACGGCAACAGGCTCCACCATCAACGGAGGCCATACCGTCATCACAATCTCGCGATGCTCAGAGGAGGGCAGGCGCGGACAGACACGGAGGCAACACAGGGGCGCGGAGACATGACACTGCTTCGCCCGCTCGAAGTGATAAGGACGCCGCACAAATTGCATCAGAGCTCGGAAACAAGCTCTTCAAGGGAGCGAATTCTCTTTGGAAGGCCAGTCAGAAGCAGATGACCAAGACAATAGCAGAGTTTCAGCAGGAGAGAGACTCAAGTTCGCCAAAGTGGATGCAAGAAGCCGTCGCTGATACTAGTAGATCCGGCAGCCAGAATCGAGCGAGACAGGCTGCCGACAATCGGCGAGTGGCAAATATTACTGACGAAGCAGCGATGTTGGACATGCCCAGAGAAGAACCTGCATCAAGAACATCAAGACCTGCCTCTAGTCTCCCGACGAATGACCCTCCTTCACGAGCTCGGTCACCCATGGCCCCTCTTACCAACAAACCAGTTGGCTCGATGCCATCGCCTGCACAACAAGCTCCCCAACCAGAAAAACGCTACGCTAGCAGAGTCAGTCGACTAGAGGTCGAGGAACAAAGTGCACAAGCATATGTGAGCCCTGCAAGAAGAAAGGCGGCGACGCCAAAGCCACAACCACGACCACAACCCCAACCACAAATGGAGCCGGAGGTCGACCTCTTCAGTCCAGCGCCTGTCAAGACAAATTCGACAACCTGCTCAGCAATATCGTCGCAGTCCGATCACAAAAAACCACCTCCGATATCTCGAGCGCCCGCGCCCCCCACTCGGCCGACGCCTGCTAAACGTGACATCCCCGCCGTGTCCGCATCCGCACTGTCAAGTTCGGCAGCTCATCGCAAGATCGGCGGGGAGGCTTTTAAACGGGGAGACTTCGGATCTGCGCACGAGTCTTACACGCGTGCTCTCACGCCTCTTCCTGCCACACATCCTGTGACCATAATCGTGTTGGTGAACCGTTGTTTGACGGCTTTGAAGACTGGCGACGCTAAGATGGCTGTGGCTGATGCCGATCGTGCTCTTGCCATTATCGGCGACAGCAAAGGCATTGGTGAAGTCATTGACCTCGGAGCCGGCGAGGCTAGTAAGGACATGAGAGACTTTTATGGCAAGGCCTTGATGCGTAAGGCTGAGGCATTGGAACATCTTGAAAAGTGGACTGAGGCCGCCGGTGTATGGCATATTGCCATTGCTGCAGGCATCGGCGGCGCTACTAGCATCCGAGGACGAGACAGATGCGAGAAAGCCTCTGCTCCCCAGACTGCCGCGCCCAAACCACGGCCAGCAACGACCGCGCCACGGGCTAACACCGCACCGCCTTCGGCTGGACTTCAGCGTCCGGCCGTTTCATCGGCAACGTCGGCTGAGGCTGTGAAAAAACTGCGGGCTGCCAACGCTGCCGCCGAGAAAGCCGACGATGAGAAATTTGCTTTGTACGACCAAGTCGAGGCTCGTTTAGCCTCCTGGAAAGGCGGCAAGGCGGACAATCTACGAGCATTGCTTCAAAGTCTGGACGCCGTCTTGTGGCCAGAGGCCGGTTGGAAAAAGGTCGGCATGAGCGATTTGGTGATGCCAAATAAGGTCAAGATCATTTACATGAAAGCCATCGCCAAGGTCCATCCAGACAAGGTAAGCCGACCCATACTGGACAGAATGAACTGAATCTTCGCTGACAGTAGCTCCGCTATGCAGATCCCCCAGGACGCCACCACCGAACAGCGCATGATCAGCGGTGCCGTCTTCAGCGCATTGAATGAAGCATGGGACAAGTTCAAGACCGACAACAATCTCTGAGAGCGAAGGGCCATGCGTGTCGTGCACCTCTAAATGGAACTCAATATGAGCTTGATTCGGCTTCAGCAATGATACAGTGGTGGCAAGATAGCTGACCAAACGACCCAGCAAAGCAGCGATCGCGAGAGGAGCCTCCTAGCCTGCTGGCAAAATGCTTTGGAAATAAGTCCGCAACCGACTCAGCAAGCGACAGAATATGCGTTCCTTGCATCACAGATCATCGCGGGATGATTGGACGATCCGTACGTTCGTGCAGCACGATGACCACGAGAGCACGTTGTTCATGAACGAAGCGATGGGACTATGCTCGCGAGCGACTCGTCCTAGCATGACTTCACTCACGATATTCACGGGAGAGAGGGGTTGGAGAGTAGCGTCGAATAGACTTGAGATATTGCTTCTGACATAAGACGCTTTTTGCTTAATAACACGACCCCTCTACGATTTGCAAATGTCATGCTCGGTCTCAGAAACGGGCCGCGACGGGATATGGTTAGCTACCGGTCGATAGCAGCAAGTGTTACTCAGCGACCATACCATGAAAGGCGGCCCGCAACACCACGATCCAACGAGCGAGAGGTCACGAAGGCTCGGTACACATCAATGATAGAGGAAAAAACTCCCTAGGTGCCCGCTTGAACCCGTGCGCTCATTAAAGTACTCGTAGACCCAAGCGCAGCGGTTTTTGCATTCAGCTGAAATTGACAACAGGGCAGTCAGCGTTCGCGATATGTGAGCAGTGAATCGGCACAGGCGTGTCTATCTCCGTCCAGATTATCAAGTGGAGGAAGACGTCTCCAGGTCACGTCGATATTCATGGCCTGACCGTGTCCGAGACGCCGACAGTTGAGGTCCAAAGGAAGGACAACACACAATCAAGAGCGCTGCTCCTCGGCCTTGGGCTTCGGACGTTCAGTGACTTCGCCTTGTTTCGGTGAATTTGCACTTCCGCCGTCTTTTGGGGCGTCTGCCTTGCTCTTGGCTTTCAAGCTGGTGGAGTCCTTGGGCAATTCCTTCACATATGGCAAGAACTCTGGTTGACCAGGGATATATTTTCGCAGAACTTGTGGCACTTCGATACCGTCCTCACGCTGGTAATTCTCGAGGACACAGCAGAGGGCACGTTCGGTTGCGCAAAGCGTCGAGTTGAGCGCGTGGACATAAGACTTCTGGAAAGAAGCATCGGTCTGCTTTTTCTGGCCAAATCTGGATGATAGAGTCAGTATGCTGCTTACAATGATAGACGGCCTCATTTCTACGACTCACCGTATCTCAAGTTCCCTGGTCTGGTAGTCTGTGCAGTTCGAGCATGACACGAGCTCCTTGTATTCACCCTGGAATGGGAACCATGCCTCGAGGTCGTATTTTTTGCTAGCAGCATTGTTCAACGCACCAGAGACAATTGCAACCACTCGGTAGGGGAGATTAAGCGACTTGTAGAATTCCTCGGAGGTTGCAATCATATCATCGAAGTGTTGCCAGCTGTCTTCGGGTTTGCAAAAGATGAATTGTTCAATTTTTTCGAATTGATGGACTCGAAAGATGCCCCATGCATCCTTTCCATGTGAGCCGGCCTCTTTTCGGAAACAGGTGCTGTAGCCAGCGTACTTGATGGGTAGATCTTTGTCATTCAGCCATTCTCCCTCGTGTAGTGCAGAGATCGGCTGTTCTGAAGTCGCAATCAGGTATTTGTCGGTCGCCGGATCATTTTCCTTCTCCGTGACTTTGTACAACTCTTCGTCGAATTGCTCAAGTTGCGCGGTTTTTGCCATTGCCTCCCGAAGCATGAAGAACGGAGGCTGGTTCGGTGTGTATTTCTTGTTGAATAGGAACTCCAGGCCATAGTTCACCAGGGCCAGGTTCAGGAACAGACCGTAGCCTGTCAGGCAGTAACCTCGATGTCCAACAATCTTTACTCCTCGCTCTGGGTCATATCCGTCTATCCTAGTCAAGACTTCGTGGTGTGAGAGACAGTCCTTCTTCTCAACTGCGATACCCTCAGGTGCCCATTCGCGAACCACCGCATTGTTGTCCTCGTTATCTGAAATCGGCACCGACTCGTGGACGTAATTGCCAATGCTCTTGGCTTTCTTCAAAAGTGCTGTGTGCTTTTGGGCGGCCAATTCCTCCAGCTCCTTCTTTTCCTTGGTCAGGTCATCCTTCTGCTTCATCAATGCTTCGAATTCTTTGGGGTCGCCTTTGTTCTTTTTGTTCAGACCGATTTCCTTCTGAACCTTGTTGATCTTTGCTCCCATCTCGGTGGCTGCTGAGTATTGTGTCTTCCGGTGGTCTTCGAACATCTCAATGACTTCGTCAACGACGGCTTCTGGCGCATGGCGTCGCTTTTGTGATTCTTTGATCTTTGCAGGATCGCCGCCCCGCTCTTTGATGAAGTCGTTGATGTCCAACATGGTCGCGACGTCTCTCTGATATTCGATTGGAGTGAAAGCCGGCCCTAGAGTGCCAGTGAAAATATGCTCCACCTGACTGAATTGACTGTGTTGGTGGCTCAATATTTATGACTGTGATGACTCTTAGGTAGGGTAAGTTTTAAGTGTTTGTGTAGTAATAATCCTACCCAGGTACGCATTCAAAGTTTCTAAGCGGGGCAGTCTCACAAGGCAAGCCGTAGTTTGATTCCTGTGAACATGAACTGGAATGACCCCGCCATCGACAACATGCGTGCGTCCAAAGATTGCCATTCTTATTTACTCGATTGACTGGGCCCCGTGGCGTCTTCACTGATGATAGTGGACGAACAAAGGTCATGACGGATGCGTATTTATGCGATCGTACTCGTAAATGTCGTGTGCCTCGTTCGCGGTTATCAGGCCGGCTCTATGACGAACACTCTTACATATAACAAAGTGCGAGTCCGCTGCCAGTCGCAGGGCCGATGTGCTCGATTCTCGCACAGTACCACAGAATACATATTTCAGTTGCAATTGGTGGCGGTTCTAATTGAGCGCCAAAAATTGTACATCGTCTCATCGCAGCAGTAGGCAATTGATATAGTGCAAATCTTCCACCTCAATGATGTGTTGTGAGGGTATCGAAATCGTCACGGGCATGAAAGTTATGCGCCTAGGGTTTGGCTTGGACCTGGTGACGAACCCTACGGTTACATACCTCCAGGGCTACTAGGTGCTAAGGTACGTGGATACTTAGGTAGCCCTGGAGCTGATCGTGCGTGCGGGCGGTCGATGAAATCCAGGCCATGGAGGTCCACGCATTGACAAGTGCGGTGCCTACATGTACTAGCTAGTTGCTCATTCTAACAGTATGGCCTTGGAATCACCGAGGCAAGCTTCAACATCTTGTGATCCGTAGTCTTGGGTACATGACCCGACGGAATGCTGCAAGACCCGTCAATACTCGGATCGAATAGGACGTGCATTTTCAGGAGCGCAAGAGGACGAAGTAATGGTCCCGTACTCGGGCTGGCTGAACAAGCGCACCTAGCAGGAAAGGAGGCGAGAGTTTCGAGCAGTGTCGAGCAGCGATTGGAGCAAGAACGCCAGGCCTGGCGAGCGGACCAATGCACGCGGACTGCCGGACCGACGCCTCGATGGATGAATGGTACATGAAAACCTTACTTCTGACATGATCACACCCGTGGACTGCAATATTAATTGACCGGCAGCGACCGGAGATTTCGAAGCAAGGCGCGATGACCACGGGAGGCTCCGCATAGGCCATGCAAGCTATCTACGACTTGCATCAGAATGCTCAGATGTGCATCGACTGCCCTGTCCAATCGTGATCAGACCTCGATACTCCCTTGCGCAGGCTTGCAAGGACAGACGCGCGCTCGCCTCTTTCACGACAAATTTGACAGGAGAGGACAAGGGGTGATTGGAGCAGAGAGAGCCGAAAGCCATGCGTCATACGGTCGCATGTACACGGCCAGACAGGCCTGCAAGATTTGCGCCAACTGACTAGCCCGGCTCATCAGCAACTCATGATTCGTCACGCTTCAAGCTCTTGCGAGATTCTGGTGACAAGGAGTGCCGATCTGCTGAAGGGCAGCTCGCAACACGGCACTTCTCTTCAGTATCGTATCGCTGCTCAGGTGTCAAATCATGGCGACGCTAGATTCCTCGACCGCTACCTATGTCGCATAGCTACCCGGAAGAATTGTGTCGTCATGCGTCCATGCAGAGCACTTGCGTGACGGTACGACAGCCAGCAAACAATTCAAAAGGATGAAGCCACTTGCAGCCCTGGACTCTCCCAATTTCAACATTTTCGCTGGCGTGAATTTGGTAGACGCTATGGCGGAGGGTGTATTCACTGGATTGGCACTCGCACTCTGCGATGGACCCCTCTCCAGTTATTACCATAGCATGTACGTCAGCTTAATTGAACGAGCCTCAAAAATCTGAAGACGTGACCGATGTCGTGTGCAATAGAGCTGCTTCCACAGCACTGGCTAGAGCCTATCCACAGCACAGCACATTTGATGGCGGATGTGGGGTGGTTCAGGAATGATGATGCCGATGCCGATGCCGATGCACGACGTTGCCCATGCCGTGCAAATGCACTGCACCTCATCGAGTTCGTCACTGTAATGTGGACATCACTCGTATCAGAAAGCAGATGCAGTGTCATTCCTCCCTACTAGGTAGGTACATATAGGACTGTGCTCGTCAGGAGAAGTGGGCAGCCGGCGCGTATCATTACACGACGCACGGGTCAAGGCCACAAGCGTGGTCGCCGGATATTTTTTTCATTCCAATCCAAGGAAGCGTGTCGACGATTGGAAATTTGAAGGCGCCCCTTTTCCAGGACCACAATTATGATACAGTAGTATCATCGACGACTGTGGTCAAGCATGCGGAAAGTCTGTTCTTCCCACCAGTGGACAAGCTTGACTGCCGAAGCTGGCACCGCCGGGTACGTACCACACGTCACAAGCCCCCCCGTAAATAAAAAGTTCAGTGCTGTGAGGACCAACATACAGGACCGTGTGCCGCCCAACTGCTGATGAGAGTAAGGCGTGGGAGGTCAAGCATGCACAAAGCCCACTCCAGTTCCCCCTAAGGCCGTGGTCGTACATTACTTCATTATCAATCACAAGTCCCAAGGTTGATCACGACGAGGAGCCTTTGTTTCTTGCCGTGGTTCGTGGTCACATACTCGCTCTGTCGCGTACGTTTCGCGATGAGTGTCGCGGTACGGAAGAGCCGTACAGTCTTGGCATATCGTCGGGCAGTATATTCATCATCATCCAAGGGCACTACACACAATCCCGCGCCGATAGAAATCTAGTCTTTGGGTCCCTGAGGATTTCCAGGTGGTGAAATCTCAATCAAACTCCTAGACAAAAGGGCGGCGAGCTAAAGATCTGTAGGCTGTGGGCTGCTGACTGACACGAGATCCTGAGACACTTTCATTACTGCCTAGGTGCTTTCTTTCGAGACCGTGATTTTCCTCGACTCCAACTGGCAACACCCAGACAATGGGAAATGCTCTGACCTTAACACTCCGCCGTCCGCATCATAATTCCCCGGCCCAAAAGGCCATCTTCCGCCATCCACATCGTCCTTCACCGATCCGCTGCTCTGCCTGACTCGCGTGGCTTCGCAGCTTCTTGTGTCGTTCGGACCGGCAGCTCTCTCGTAAACGCGTGCAAAGCTCCCCGAGCCTGCATGAATAGTATGCACTGGAGGAGCTGAGTAGTGAACCAGTGAGAGTGCGAATAGAGAGTACGCCAGGCGAAGGGGCGGGAGGGAGGAAGGATGAGGTGGCCTAGGGCCGAAGGGATTGATAGAACGGTTGTAGTGTTCCCTGGAGCGAATTGCACCCTCGAAAGGCTTCTCCTGTGATGAGTGCGTCCGTCCTTCTGCTGCGCGCCGTTGTGTTGTAATAACGACCTTGAAATAAGGGAAATTATATTGACGACGACAATGGCGATTATGCCTCTCTAATAAGGGCGCACCTCATCCAGATTCTCACCACCACTAGTACAATACGGTTGATGCACCTTTCCCTTTAGACTCCACACTTTCGAGTTGCCGTCGAATTCATCGACAGACAGCTTTCTCCTCGCTAAAGAATCTTTTCTCCAGTCTCTCTCGCTCAAACGTTGTGCTTCAAGTTCTCGTGTGGGCGTGCACGACTGGCTCGGCTTCTCTTCGTCCTTTTGTGCATCCTTGCTCTGCCCGCTTCCCGACATCGTACTGACGACAGCCGTGCGAAATTGGCTGAGCAGCCTGCCACTTGCACGCACCTCCCCATCACACCGATCGGTCGTCGATCGGCCATCTTCACGCTTCTGACTTTGAGACGACATTGTCGTCGAACTTATTTACTGCCGACCTCACTCGACACGCTGCGAATTACTCCGCCCGACACTCCTTGAAATTGACGACGCTACGCCAGTACGAGATCCACGACCGACGTCTCAACACAGCGAGCCGCATCGCTTGTTCTCAATTTGAGGACTATCTGAACACCTTGTGCGGCATCTGTCCATACTGCTGTGTCGGATTTCCATCAAATAGCGCCATTTATTCATTGCAGCTCAACCTCTTCACAACATCGAAAGAAAAAGGAACGCTGGATTGGGCTTTGCTCACCGCATCATGAACAACTCGGGTGTCGACATGTATTACGAGAATCCTTCAAACAGATCACCCAATTCTAATCGCCAGGGGACTCTCCATCGGCAGGCCTCGAGAGGGCAATTCGAACCGCAAGGGTACTTGCCTTCGCCGCTCTACACTGCTGAGGACCATGCCAACATGAACGGCAACCGTTTCGGTGGTATGAGAAACGCGACCATAGGAGGGTATGGCAACAACTACGACATGGGCGGGCAGTCATGGAATCCGAGTGCTTTCAACCAGAACAACACTATGAATGGATTGAGGAAGGCTCCTTCGCAAGGAGCTAGATCAGGCATTCCGGCGGTAAGATATTGAAGTGGCATGGATATTACAATATGTAGATGCTGACTATGATGTAGGCTTGGATGGATATGCAGCCGCAACAACAGCAGATGAACCCTTATACAGGCGGAATGAATGGTCGGCAGGACGGTCTTGGCTCCGAGACTGACGAAGAATTGATTCCTACGGCCATCGTGATCAAGAACATTCCATTCGCTATCAAGAAGGAGCAGCTTGTGGCCATCATGACAGAATTGGGCTTACCCTTGCCATACGCCTTCAACTATCATTTCGACAATGGCGTATTCCGAGGATTGGCGTTCGCCAATTTCACCAACCCGGAAGAAACTGGCGCTGTCATCGAAGCAATGAACCATTTCGAGTTGAATGGTCGAAAGCTGCGTGTGGAATACAAGAAGATGCTACCTGCGGCCGAACGTGAGAGGATCGAGCGAGAGAAGCGAGAGCGCCGAGGACAACTCGAGGAGCAGCATCGTCCCATGGCCCCTCAGGCGCTGCAAACACAACCTTCTACATCTTCGCTCTCGTCCCGCGTGCTGAACACCGGATCACCATCTCCCGTGTCTGCGCGTAATCAGAAAATGGGCCCATTCCCGTCTTCCTTCGGCGCTGATCCAAGCAGTGGCGTCGACGTTGACCTCAACGATCCCCAGGTCCTTCAGTTCTACTCAAAGCTTCTGCTATTCAAAGAGGACAACATGCGTGACCTTCTTGTCTTTGCGCCTAGTCTGTCTCCTCCTGAGCGCAGGATAGTACACACGCTCGCGCATCACATGGGCCTTGGCCACATGTCCAAAGGTGACGCCGATCGACGAGCAGTGCACGTCTACAAGGAGACTCGGACGCGCCTGAGCCCGCCCATGCCGTCAATCCCAAACTTACCTAATGACCAACGACGCGCTTTGAACCGTGCCGCCACCACCGATTTCAGCGATGTCCGCGACAATTACTACAATAACAATAATGCGAGTGTACGCAACCAAGCCTCTGGATTTCTTGGCTATCAGGAGACATCCGGCGGACTTGCTGCAGGCAACAACTTGCGAGCAGCCAAGTCGTTCGCTGATTTGCGATCTTACACACCATCGCCGGTGCCTTCAACTGCGAGTTTCCCAGCTGCGCTGTCCAACAATGTGGCCCGTTTGCAGGATTTTGGACGTGACGGCAACCAAGCCAGCACGCCAACGCTGATGACGCCGACCACCGGCCTCGGAGAGCGAGGTGACGCCTCAGGTTTGATCAACGGCTTAGGCAATATGAATCTTGGTCCTGGTTTTGGCGGCAGTCCTAGAGCATTGCGAGGCTTCCCGTCTTGGGATCGAGAAACCCCAGGCCCCATCGGTGGCCACCGTTCATTCAGCACCAATTTCGAGGACCGGAATCAGACTCGAACCAGCACGACTGGTCCTGAGCGGCAGCCGCGTGGACCTATTCCTGAGCGTGGCTCCGGTTTCCCTCGGCGCACCAATGGCCACGCACAGCGCAACAGTGACGAGCTTTCCCAGCCGAGCAGTGCCGCTGATATCACCGTCGAGCATTAGCATTTGCCGATTACAAGCCCGCGACTCAATATTTGTGCCTGTGTTTCTTTCCAACAAGAATAACGATATCACACCATCTGAAATGATAATACCTACGGACATGATGAAAGAGAAGCACGACTTATGACCATGAACTAATCATCTACAGATCATTCGAGATGCTGTCCAATGCTAGCAAGAAACGTCCACATGCCGCGATGACTAGCCTTGATACCGCACTTATACATTTTTCCTACACGACGAAAAGAGACCTGATGATCGGATGACCCGCTATGAGCATGAGAAACAGGAGATATGAACCTTGATATGAAAATAAGAGAGCGAATCGAACGACCGAAGTCCACTCTGTCCTACCTGGAGCCGCCTCAGAAGGGTCAGGGGAGTCTTGCCCTGTCCCGACGGTCACACTCGCAACTGTTCCGTGCGATGGACGAATTCCGGTGACAGTTCTCTCAGCTTCCATATACAACAAAAGAACACACGTTTTGCGTAATTAATCTATTCGGACATCGATTTACTGCCTTTTATCACTGCCTTTGCTTGTCAGAAATTTTTGGCGCTGTCGTCGGGGCGCATGGCGGTTGTGTACACATGTTCAACCTGCCGACATTGCGCCCATTGTACGGCAGCCGTTGTATCGCCTGCGGCTATGTTTGGACTTTGCATGCTTTGAACCATCGTTTGCCTCCTGCTGTTTTTGCTGGTTTTTTTGTTATTGCCGCCTCCTCGATCCTCGACGTTTTCCACGATGCGTGAAGGGACACTAGAGAACAAGTCCAACGTTTTTCGAAAAAAAACAAACGACGGACGCATCGGGATTTTATATGGATTTGGCTTCATCGGGCGGTTGGCATTGTCACTTTTGTTTCTCCGCATTTGCAACTGTTGGTTCGATTTTGGTGTTGATTACTACGGAATAGACTCATCTTGGCTTTTTACAATTGATGTGCAAATCTCATGATCGTGACAAAAGTACCACCCCGCCTAGGCTTGCATTTGCGCTTAGGAGTACTGCGCGCCTTGAGTTTATAATCGTCATGCGGACGATGTCGGATCTTCAAGTAAGCTGGAGAAATGCATCAATTGGGCGATATTTCGCTTGGCTTTGCGAGCGAAAGTACACAGGAGTAAATTAAATGTCTACAGGTTAAATCTCGTTCGGACCTTCTCATCGTGTGCCTTCCATTCCCACTCTTGCCCGCTCGCGCGTTGAATACCCTTGTCCACTCGACGGAGTTTCATGGTGAATCGCGGACCGAGTTCCTGCAGACCTGCACGAATATCCTCCACACCTTTCATTGGCTTCCCGTCCGTGCCCTGGATGCTCTTTTCTGATTGTCGTTTGTCGCGGAACACATACCGATGCCGGCGCAGGAAGATGTAATCGCGCTGGTTGTGTAACGTTACGACTTGTCGCCCAAGGATCTCCGGACGAGCCGGGAATAAGCCCTTGAAAAGATGGGCTGTGACGACACCGAGCGGAGTTCGGAAGCCGTTCAGGATGAGCTCCGGAATGTGATCAGTGGGGTTTCCGTGTCCCGGTAATCGCTTGCCCGGGATCCAGTTCGAGATGCTGAAGTGGAACATGGGCCCTTGTGGCAACGGGACGATATCGATACCTTTTGGTCGCTTTTCGTCTTCGTTGAGGACGACAACATGAGTAAAGCCGCGCTCCGGCGCCGATGCATACTGGCAGATTTCGCGTACGCTATACTTGTAGCTATGGAAATGCGCTGTGCGACGAATGTAGACACTATTAGGGAACAACGTCGTGAGTAGTTGTGCTTCGTCATGTAAAGTGCTGTTGATGGATGTTGTGACAAGGACCTTAGGTTCTTTGTCCGAAGGTTCGAAGAGACCCGGGAAGCGGGCTTTGAGAACTTCCGGCCGTACAGTGAGATCTGTCGCTGTTGATGGTGCTTCACTAGGCAGGCGATCGGGTGGATCATGGACCTTCATGCTTGGATCTGACTCGTCGTCGTCATCTGAATCCGAGTCAAGCATGCTATCTCGGTCGTCATCCTCGGCCTCGCCATCTATTGGTCCAACGGCTTGAACCTCCGATTCATCGATCTCCTCTTCGTCAGCCACATTGAGTTCTGTCGTGCTTTCCCTCTCGATCTTTCTTCGTTTCGGGTCTAGGATGTTCACGCTCCGACCGAGTTGTCCATCGTCCTCGTCTGCCGACTCCGTCTCATCCCATGTGCGCTTACTATCGATTGTCGCCGGGACATTCTGAGCGCGTCGCTGCTCTCGCAATTGTGGATTTTTGTCCTCGTGTCGTTTGCGCTTGAATCGCTCATCTCGCTTCTCGTTCTCTTTCTGCCTCTTGACCTTGAGATATTGTGATTGTCGCTTTTGCTTGTTCGCAATTTTTGTGGGATTGAAGGATGCCATGATACGAAAACACTGCCTCTCTTCCAGGTATGAGCATTCACTGTGGATAAAGAGTTTTGCGATTTGACGGACAAGTTCAATCTGAAGACTTCCAGGAACTTTTTCTGGCCGCGGCCCGTGCGTACTGTAGGTATGCCATGCGGCTCTAGTAGTCAGCCAAAAGTTAATTTCTATATAAATTTCGCGGAGAACAGGGTCCGGGCGGAGGAACAGTAGAGTGAGGCAGAGGGCCGTGTGTTGACACTTTCATCACGCATAACGGATCGCGAACTTGATCTTCATCATCAACCGTAATTGTACAAGATCTACTGCATCGCTCGATTTACTCTTGCATTGTTTGAGCCGTCCAGAGCTGCCGACATTGGTTGCGACGTGAGAAGATCGGATGGGCAAAGCTTGGTCAAAGCTATTGACTGAGCTGCCCTCGAATGAATCCTCGATGTGGAGTCATAAGCTCGAAATTTGTTTCGGGCGCTTTCCTTATTCATAATTCCTCAACCTTCGGTGGCACACGACATATCCTTTGCAGCAAGATAAGATCTTCCCCAAAACAAATTTCGATTCGCCTGCAGCGTACTGCATTCTCAACAACACCGTCATTTCACAAATTCGTGGTTCCTGTTCGAACACGAAACACGGGCACAGTTTCTAAAATGGCTACAGACTACAAGACATTGGCGGGCCAGGAGTTCGATCGAGCTGCTTTTGAATCACTTCTTCGACGCAAAGTGTTCCTCTGGCAATCGTTCGAGCCGTATGGAGCCACCAAAGGTCTCTTCGACTATGGCCCTCCACTTGAGACGCTGGAAGCCGAAGTGATCAACATTTGGCGTGATCATTTCATTCGACATGAAAAGATGATGGCGTTGAAGTGCTCAATGTTGACTCCTTACAACGTCCTCAAGACCTCTGGTCATGTCGACAAATTTGCCGACTTCATGTGCAAGGATCCCAAGACTGGTGAAATCCTGCGTACCGACCATCTTATCAAAGACGTTATTGAGACACGCTTGAAAGGTGATCGCGAAGCTCGTGGCGAAAAGATCGAGGAGGTCGATGACCCAAAGAAGAAGAAGAAGGCGTCCAAGGCCGCCAAGACTGCCGTCAAACTCGACGACAACGTCAAACAAGAGTATGAGCACCTGTTGGCAACGCTCGATGACTGCACTGGTGATGGCATGGGAGCATTGATCAAGAAGCACGACATTCGGAATCCATCCTCTGGTAACGAAGTCGAACCACCTGTCCCAGTCAATCTCATGTTCCAGACTCAGATTGGTGCTTCTGGCAAGGAGCCTGCCTTTCTCCGGCCAGAGACTGCACAGGGCCAGTTCCTTTCATTCCAGAAATTGCTCGAGTACAGCGATGGTCAGCTGCCTTTCGCCTCAGCGTCGATTGGATACTCTTTCCGAAATGAGCTTTCTCCTCGCTCGGGACTTTTGCGTGTGCGAGAATTTCTCATGGCGGAAGTGGAGCATTTCGTCGATCCACTGAGCAACAAGCAACACCCCAAATTCCATCTTGTAAAAGATGTCAAACTTCCCCTGCTCTCACGAACAGTCCAGTCTGAGGGCGGATCAACCCCGGTCGATATTTCAATCGGTGAAGCGGTCGCCTCAAAGTTGGTAGACAATGAGACATTGGGCTATTTCTTGGTTCGCATTATGTTGTTCATGGAGAAAATTGGAATCGACATGAAGAAGCTGCGTTTCCGTCAGCACATGGCCAACGAAATGGCTCACTACGCTGCTGATTGCTGGGACTGTGAGCTGCTCAGTTCTTATGGCTGGGTCGAGTGTGTTGGTTGCGCCGATCGGAGTGCTTATGACTTGAGCGTGCACATGAAAGCTACAGGTGTTCCACTACAGGTCAAGGAGACGCTTAAGGAGCCAGTACGTGTAGAAGAATGGGTAGCCCAACTAGACAAGAAGAAATCTGGCCCTCTTTTCAAGAAGGACGCCGGAAAGATACAAGCGGCACTCGACGCACTGAGCCAGGATCAGCGCGAAGAACTTGGTGGGAAACTACAGAAAGAGGGTAGTGCCGAGCTCGAAGTGCCCGACATTGAGAGCAAACTGGCCAAATTGTCGCTGGACATTGTAAAGGTCGAAAAAGAAAGTCGCGTTGTCACCACCCGAGAGTACATTCCGAATGTCATCGAGCCCTCGTTCGGCGTTGGCCGCATCCTCTACAGTTTGATGGAGCATGTCTACTGGACTCGCGACGGCGATGCTGCACGATCGGTAAGTTGGCACTTTTCTATTGACGATGATGGAGCCGTACGCTGACTGAGATTTGTAGGTGATGTCCTTCAAGCCAACTGTGGCACCCGTCAAAGTGCTCGTCGTCCCGCTGCAAAAGGACGCCCGTTTCGCTCCGCTCATCGCGCAGCTCGAGCAGCGCCTAGACGAGGACGCCATGTCATTCAAGCTTGATCAATCCGGTGTCAGCATCGGCAAACGCTATTCGCGTAACGATGAGCTGGGTATTCCTTTCGGCATTACCGTCGACTACCAGAGTCTCGAGGACAACACATTTACTCTACGTGACCGAGACTCTACTAAGCAGGTCCGTGCTAGCCTCGATCAAATCCTCGAGGCTGTGGTCAAAATGGTACGTGGCAAGGAGGTCTGGGCGGATGTAGAAAAGCGTCTGCCGTCATTCGAGAGCAAGGATGAGGACAAGGAAGAGGCGTGAAAAGCTTGCAGGATCGAAACTAGATGCGCTGTCATGAAGGAAGAGCCCAATTTCACAAGAATTTTATCCTCGTGTTTCGTGGCTAGCTGTTCACGCATGTCTTGCCTCTCAACGTCCGTAACAGTGGGACTGCTCCGCCTCAGGAAGCTCATGATCCATTAAAGTAGGTATTCTGCGCTGACCAATATATTGACGAGTCGGCCCCGCAAGTATGCACTGTTTTTAGAACCCAAAGATGGACATAGGCAGCCACATCGTGCGTTGGAGACAGCAGCCAGGCATCATCACATTGATCATTGGAAATGCTGAGCTGGATCTGGGATGGATACGCACCACAGGCCAGACTGATGTCACGGAATGCCTAATACACGAGTTGCAATTCTCGAACATCGCGCGATCGCAGTCTGGATCGACTCACCGCAGTCGTGCGACGAGCGGCACAGCCTGCTAAAAGTCATGATTCTCGTCACTTTCCGCTCTCGGGCAGCAACGCCATGGCACTGTGCCGCAGGGCCTGACAGAAGCCAGCGCAGCAGGCTCGATGCGATCTAAAGTACCGGTGTCTTCGCCACTACACTACGTAGTAGCGAGTCGGTACATGATCATAACAATGCGTGCGATATGAGGGCCACTGGCTTGGGAATGCGGATGAGCATCCCGGCGTACGCACAAGATTTGTTGATAGAGTGGCGTTGGGTTCGAAGTCACCTGATGACGGTCAAAATCCCCCGCACCTGGCTATTATTGTACACAGGTACATGAATAGATGTGGTCGAGCACGCCCCATTTGTCCTACTATGCTCTTCTTGTTGCATGCGTTGTCGGCAATACCCGGACAAGTTGTACCTTGCGCATTGCCGTGACGATCAAAGTATTCTGGAGTAGATGAATGAACAATGTGATGAACGTGCAGGAGAAGCGCATCGTGAGCGTCAGCCATCCATCGCTTATTACAGCAGCAACGATCATGAGAGGTCCGATCCGCGCTCGCCCGATGCTCGAGCCCGCCTTTCTCTTATTGGGCCTCCAGGGCTGCTGCTGTCTTCTCTCCCGATTTCTATTTCCCCTTGCCGCTCATCGCGAATCCTGATTGGCGATCCAATATAAAGTCCAGCTGCCAGGCCCACCATTCATCGCTCAGGAGGCTTTTTCTTGAGCCAAAGATCCCAATCGCGCGCCGTTTCTGCTGTCAACTGGTGCGCGCCGCTTGCCAATTGAACGACATCAAACGACGGCCCGCGCCTTCCAGTCGTTGTCGGCAATCACGACGCATTAGTCTGCCGCGACACCATCATACACCGCCCGTCTTTGAGGGCTACGAATCGCAGGTATTGGTCCGTCGCCGTCGTTGTCACCGCGAACGTCAGGTGCTCTGCTGCTCCAGGCCATTGGTCCATTGAGGAAGACGGATTGTCGTCAGTGTCATATCTGTACGTCTACCATTGCTATCATCATTGTCGCGACCGTCAACGAAATAACCCTCTTGCGACTTCAAATTGGCTTCCACTTTGCCTTCACCAATACCAAGCCTTCGTTGGGCGCCAGAAATCCCCCACGCTTGCATATTCCTTCTGCGCGTTGCCCTCTCTCCACATGATCGCGCTGTCCGATGCTGCGCCCAGCTGTCTGCTCGTGTTGTGTTGTGTGCGCCGCATTGGGATGTTGCGACAGCAGATATGACGCCGTCCCTTCGCGTGACCATCATCACTTCTGATGAGGTTGAATCACTAGACACATTCATTCACGTCTTGCGCATCGTTCGCAAAACTCTATAAACACAGCCTCACAATCATCAGTACAGACCAGCGACATCGGCTAACGACACTAGACGCATTCACGAACAATAGCGGTGTAAATTGTTGGCGCATTGTCAACGTCGACAATTTTGGCGATTGGGCTAGCGAGACCGAATTGACATCATTTTGTCGAGTATTCGAGTATTCGCACGCGCCTCACGAGACAATCAACCGGATTATCAGAGCCTCGAAAGTCTGCGATATTACGACGACTTACTGAAACGCGACTTCAGACTTCGAAAAGTGCGGTTGATCAGTTAGCTGCTCGAGTCCACGAAGCGACACATGGTTGTGTGCCCCCAGCTACAATAACCATGCAGGACCCATACACAGGACAACAACCTGCGGCGCCACCAAAGCAATACGACGGTAAAAATGGCATGCCGAAATATGACGAGAAAAATGGGGGTCATTACGGCGCGAGTGCCGTCATCGCTACCAGTGGCCATGCACCTGCACAAGAGACGTTCACCGGCCATTGGACGAACGTATGTTACTCCAAGATCATTTGATCTGTCTACGTAGAAAGTCGCTGACGTGCAGTAGGTTTCACAAGGATTAAGTGGGCCCTATCGTGACATTTTAAACACATATTGGCAGAACCAGGTGTGGAAATTAGAGCAAGAGGAACATGACTACAAGTTGCATCAACTTCCTCTGGCGAGAATCAAGAAGGTCATGAAGGCAGATCCCGACGTCAAAATGATCTCTGCAGAGGCACCAATCCTCTTCGCAAAAGGCTGCGATGTCTTCATTACAGAATTGACCATGCGGGCTTGGATTCACGCCGAAGAGAACAAGCGCCGTACACTCCAGCGAAGTGACATTGCCTCTGCGCTTGCAAAATCAGACATGTTCGACTTCCTCATCGACATTGTACCGCGTGAGGATGCCACTCCCTCACACAAGCGAAGGCCAGAGTACAACGCCGCGGGCGCGTACACCGTCCCAGAAGCAGCACAAGGCGGCGTCGAGGCTGGTGGCATGGGTGCAGCGCCGGACTACAGCGCCGGTGTCGACCAAACCCACCTACCGTCACATGCGCAGTACCAGCAACAAATGGGAGCATATCCACCACAGCAACAGCATGCACCACCACCTCCGCCGGGCGCATACGCGGGACAGCCTATGTTCGATCCGAACATGTATTCTGGAGGAGGAGGATACCCCATGGCACCGATGCAGGGAATGCCGCAACAGAATGTGAGTTCTTGAGTCCTTCATACCCGACGTGTTTATTTCTCGCACGAACTTTTTGGCTGACACAGGGACTTCATTGCAACAACACAGCAGTCTTAGTGTAATATGTTTCATGTCGTGTCATTGCCATCGCCGATGCCCATGCCGCTCCCGATAACCTTCCACGGAGCTCGGCTCAGATTCATATCACCGCAAGACGGCGGCAAGAATGACGACCAATCCTCCCAAGGACAGTGAAGCACATCCCTAGAGGTCTTCGATAGTGTCTGACAGTGTTCATGTCTGACTTTTGTGGTCATTTCATTGGCAGAGGAGCACTGAAAGCCAGGACAGAACCGAGAAGCTATTCATAACTTGTAAAGAATTTGTGTAGTGGCATGGTAATATGTATATGGAAGCAAGATTAAGCACGTGCGAGGTGACCGCTCCAAGGCAGTGGCTGGAAGCGTGAAGTTCACTCACATATCTCTTGCGTGATGTCGCCTGAGCGAATGGGGTCCTCCGCAATCCCCAGATCGGAAGAGCGAGATCTTCCTTTGCAGTACGTTCATCAGAAGACTGCTCCATGACCAGAGAATATTGCGCGAGTCATGCACAATTCACGTGTCTGGCGGGCTGTCATCTACTACCGCGCCTCGGGATCGAAGCCCCTGGCACGTCACGACATTGCCCGGGGACTGTGTGTGATGGTTCGAGATCGTGAAAGATTTCCGCGGACGTGTCAAAGCCTCACTCAGATCGCCCGACGAAATGACAACGCGGCGGCGGCGAAGCCCGAGGAACGGTAACAAGTCGCGCATTCCTCGGCGCTGCATTCGCCGGTGTCGCGCTTCCGTCATGGGGAAAACCGGAGCCTGGAAAGGCGGTTGACGTGATGATGGCGCGTGGGTGATCGTGACAATTGGTGCATAGAGTGTCAAACGTAAAGTCTGGAAAAGTCGCCAGGACGACGGGTACAGCGGCGGGCGGTGCCCCTCGATAGATGCGTCACTAGTAACGATGACTCTCTCCAATTGGCGGGGTACGTTGTTTTGGTCTCTCATCGGCCTATGACTTTGTTCAATGCCTGTGCTGGACTGGAAAAAAAGTCACTGTTCAGTTCAGCGTATGTACAGCGGTATGAAGCGAGGAGAGAGTATCAGCTCGAGTTCATTTGAGACGATCATAATCATACTGAGCATCGTCACAGGTATGATTACATGGGTATGCTATCACAAAAACCAGTAGTGTGAACATCATGGGCAAGTAGAAGCGGGAGCTGTCTGATGATGTTCGACGAAATGTCTGTTGCTGGGCAGGAAAAGCGCTGGTTACATGCCCGTGTGCCACGACTGCAGACCTACTCTTTCCTTCCAAGGTTTCTCTAGATATCTTCGTTCGACAGCCTCTCTCTTTTCTTCCTCCTCTTCTTCACTTTGTCTTTCCTGACAACCAGACTCATCTCCTCCAACCCAAACCCAATCCACTTCCTTTATTCAAAATGGTCAAAGCAGGTACGTGATAGGATATAAAATCTGGTCAAGAATGACCCGTTCCGAGTCTTGAGACACAAGCCAGTTACCTGCTGTCTCTCAGGTCACGAAGAGACTACAGGCAGAGTCGCTGCTTTGGTGACCACAATTCCATTGCTAGATCTTTCCACTGACCATCATCTTGTTCTACCTGACAGTCGTTGCCGGAGCCGCTGGCGGTATTGGCCAGCCTCTGTCTCTCCTCCTCAAGGCCAGCCCTCTCGTCGACCACCTCTCTCTCTACGATGTTGTCAACACCCCTGGTGTCACCGCTGATCTTTCTCACATCTCATCGGTCGCCACTATTGATGGTTTCCTCCCCGCTGATGGAGGCCTCAAGAAGGCCTTGACCGGCGCCGACATTGTTGTCATCCCCGCTGGTATCCCTCGTGAGTAACCACCTCGGTCCATCAGTAATATTTCGCCGAGTTGCTCGGCATGGTCGGCTGCGTCCATGGGGGCGATATGGCCGGCAGGGAAGGAGAAGAGCCAGATATGATGGAAATCTCTAAGAGGAGCTAAGGAGCTGACGATACATCTACAATCGCACAGGCAAGCCTGGTATGACCCGTGACGATCTTTTCAAGATCAATGCCGGCATCGTCAAGGGCCTGATCGAGGCCATCGCCGAGACTGCCCCTGAGGCCTTCATCCTTATCATCTCCAACCCCGTCAACAGCACCGTCCCGATCGCCGCCGAGGTCCTCAAGAAGGCTGGCAAGTTCAACCCAAAGAAGCTTTTCGGTGTCACCACCCTCGATGTCGTCCGTGCCGAGACTTTCGTCTCTGAGATCACCGGCCAGAAGGATGCTGCCAAGACCATCATCCCGGTCGTTGGCGGTCACTCTGGCGAGACCATCGTCCCTCTCTTCTCCCTCGCTAAGCCCTCCGTCTCGATCCCTGCTGACAAGCTCGATGCTCTCACTACCCGTAAGCCACTCTCTCTACATTTTTGGATGGACAATGAAAAAGTTCTATATTCTGACGTTTATTTCTCGCTATACAGGCGTCCAATTCGGTGGTGACGAGGTCGTCAAGGCCAAGGACGGCGCCGGTTCTGCCACTCTCTCCATGGCTTACGCTGGTTTCCGATTCGCTGAGAAGGTGATCGCTGCCTTCAAGGGCGAGACTGGCGTTGTTGAGCCCAGCTTCGTCTACCTTCCCGGTGTCGAGGGCGGTGACGAGATCAAGAAGGCCACCGGCCTCGACTTCTTCTCCGTTCCCATCGAGCTTGGCAAGGGCGGTGCCGAGAAGGCCGTCAACGTTATCAAGGACGCCAACGACTACGAGAAGAAGCTGCTCCAGAAGGCCTACGAGGGCCTGAAGGGCAATATCGAGAAGGGTGTTGAGTTCGTCGCCAACCCTCCTCAATAGAGCACCAAGAGATACAAGGACAATGGAGAATCTCTGAGACAATATGATGAATGACGCATAAATATCACGAAAAAAACATTGACATACTCCCACTTTTGACCGGATGCTCTAATTCTTCGCCCTTGACGTTCTGATATTGTGCGCCCTGCTGCTTGAATGCGGCCGGGCACAGCTACGCCCTGCCATGCTGAACCCATCTCGAAGTCGCACCTAGCGGTCAAATTTCGCGTTCGAACTTCTCGCTGCAAGTGGACTCATAGTACACACACAAACGGTCAAGGATACTGTAGTGCCGACGTTGCGCAAGCACACGCATGAAACTGTGTCGATACGCACAAATGATGAGTTCATCATGACAGGCCTCTCTCCCGGCTCCGGCGTAGCAGAGGTTTTGTGCAGGCCGGCATTACCGCAATAGACGGGCCCTCCCAACTGAGATCCACTGCCGAGACATCTGCAAACCTCCACGTTCGAGGCAGGCAGGGAGTGCTTGCAACAACCCCCCCAAAATTATCTTATCAAAATATATGGCGACCATCCTGATCTGATGAATGAACTCGACGAGCGTCATCGGGCCATCTCGATGACCAGCAGCCGCGTGTGATATGCACTTGTTATAGTTTGAGGCTGTACGCATGCGCATCATCGGGATCCGGGCTGACGGTGGATAGATCGGATTGTACTTCGTGTTTGGGAAGCTTCCGTCTCCATGGTGATGATGGCTTCCTCGGCTCGACCAGACAATGCTAACAGCAGCGTGCCAGAAGTGAGACCGGACTGATTTGAGTATTCATGCCGAGTCCGTGGCTGTGCGGTTCCTTTCAAAAATTGTAGATGCTGTCGAATGCTGCGCACCGACATGTCTGCTCTCGAGCACACTGCCGCGGCTGTGCCACGCTTTTGCAGCTCGCTCCCACGGCTTGTTGAGGCATACCTATTTGGAATTTAGTGGTCGTGCGATCATGAGGTCGCTCATGCCTTGGCGCCCTTGGTCTTGATCTGAAAGACAGCAGCGGGCAGCTCAATCGTTTCAGCGGTCACCGTTACTTCAATGCCCAGCCCAGCGAGCGCACCGCGAATCACTCCGCATGGAAAGTAGAGGAACTAGCGGTCGATGTTAGTAATAGAGCTTAGAAGGGCAAGCACATGCGTTCTGGAGCTTTCAAGCATAGAGATCTATGCGAAACGTACCATTTGTGCGCGCGCGAGTGCCACTTCAACAGCCTTGGCACCGCCGCGTTTGTCCACACTCATTCGACTGATGGGCTGGAACCTGGTGTCGGTCAAGACGAACACCCCTCGGTGATTCGTTTTTAGATTGTCAATTTGCTTGCGGAAAAGCAGAATCCACAAGTCCTTGCAAACGAATTTGATAGCATCGAGGGGCGACTGAGGTCGAGGTTTGTTGACCGAAAATCTGAATGCGACATATCTTAGCTCTTGTCATCGTGCCGTGTCCCCGAAGCTTTTCCTGCTCTCCTATTCCTGCGATCAAAAGCAGAATGGCATGCATACCGCTCAACCAGACCCTGCCCGACCCGATATCCTAAATTATCCAATCGCCAGAACACTGCATCCCGAATCTCACCGCTCATCCCGCTAGGTCCTAAAGCAGTGCCTGAATTCTGCGCGGGTCCTGCTTCGCCCTGAGTTGTTGAGGTGCCCGCCTTCTCGTCCGTCGCAGACGCCGTAGCATCTCGGTTGTTGAAGATCTTGCTTTGCTGAAATTCATCGACCAGTGCTTGCTCGCGAGCATGCAGTCCCTCTGCCATGCGCTGTGCTAGAGGCACAAGCTCGATGAGAAGGAAATCAAGACATGAGACGGCGACCTTTGGATTGAGAGCATCGTCATCAACGACAGGCAATGCAGCAGTTTTCGACATGGCGCGACTTTTGTGTAGCGATTCGGAAGAACACAGTGGTCCGACGCAATTCCCTTTGTCGAAAGTGGTCGCGAGTATTGGCGTCCAAGCTTCGGAGTTGGAAGAGTGGTGGAGTAGCCTCTCGGAAGGACTCTTACGCAGTATCAGAAGCGCGCATTGATCATGGTATGCTACAACTGATCACAATGGGCCGACGAGTTAGGATGTGCCTCTCGTAGTGACGTTTCGAAGGCCAACTTGCTTTCATACAATATCCATACGTGCCAGTGTGGCCGTCGTGCCGCCATCCAAATGCCATGTACGTCAGGCCCCCTCAATCAAATTTACGGAGGGCGCAAGTATGCTCCTCCCGCCCACCGGAATTCAAATGTGCTCGCCTAATGTGAGAACCTTGGAAGCCAGCAAGCGCACCTGCAGGCAAGCGAACACCCGTTGACATTATCAAATTGTATTCGAGAATTCCGATTCATAGCCATCGTTCCGGACCTCATGTGGTGGGCGAATGTTTCCATTGATAGCAGCGTTGCCAACAACATGAAGGGAAGTGATAGCAATTGCGTCGAAGAATCTGCCCAGGTGTATTGTCATCACGCCTACTCCGCCATTTCTTTCTTGTTGATAGACCTTGGAGGACAAAATTACAGCGCCCGACTTTTTTATAACGAACTTAGGTATCATTCGTTAAAGCTGATCCATCCATCGTTCTTCAACCCGTCCCAGATTGCGATGCGTCCAGGTTGACGGCCAACAAGCCGACGATGATACTCGTCAGGCGAGACGGTTGTTGTCATCCATGCCACAGGCCGACTTCGACACTCGAGCGCCTGTAGATGCACGTGCGCGCATAATATACAGGACGTGCATACGCGGTTGGTCCCAGGGTAAATTCCCTTCAAGGCGATGTTCCGCAGCAACACTGCAAGCATTTTCCGTACGTGACTGACGGACACTGCATCCAGATATTCGAGTAGTTGAGGGCCAAGCTCTGCGCGACCAAATTTATCTTGTACCTGATCATAATCAGCCCGTTCGCCGTGCGGGCTTAACGGATCGGTTTAAAATACTCACGAGAGGACGCTGGATCACATGCGTCATGCCTCCCAAGGCAATGCACCTAAAATTTATGGTTGACGGCGGCTAGTGTAGCCGGGCGATCACATTTGCACATTTCTGCAGTCACCGTTCATTCACATGACAGCTTTGAGCCGACTTTTGGATGGAATACGTTGCAGTCGCTCGTCGTAGCGCTTGAAGTATCTTGAATTATCAAATCAGTCGCCTGAGCGGTGTGCTCAGGGACCGCGTGCAGCGAATGCCCAACTCCAGGAATTTGTGTAACATCCTGACGGACATCGGCATACGCTTCCGATGACGATCGCACTGCGGTCAGATCACGGCAGATCTCGCAAAAAGGCGTCTGGTTTTGTAGCACTTCACAGGAGGCTGGGTAGGTATCGCCTGTAGCTACTCGGGCACGATGCGTTCCAGATGTGGACAAACCGACATGAATGTCCCATATTCGCATCGATCATGTGGTAACGCAGAGACGTGGATCGCTGTCGGAACCAACATTCCTGATGCGCTGGCATATCGCTTCAATCAAGTATCGTCTCATCATGCTTCTTATGGGTGGAAGCAGCTCCGTGTACATATTGAGCGTGCCGTGCTCTCAATATTGTCGACTGTGGGAGGTCATCTCCTGCCCATCTGCCGGATTCGCCGTGACGAAATCCAGTTTCTTGTTCATCTGCAAGCCCTTGGAGTGCTTCACCAATTCGATCACGCCGACTCGTCCACGAGCCCATCGCGACAACTCTTATTACACATAAGTGCTCATTGCAGCCAAATCACAACCCTCAGCCTCCGATTCACATCGGACCGTTCATCATCTGATATCTGCCTGACTAGCACCCGCACTTCTTCTTGAGACCATCCGCGAAGCCTTCGACGTCATGGATGGCATGCGATCTACTGTCCCGACTTCATCTGGTACTGCCCTCACAATGCCCAATCTTCAAGCGAGCCGCGGAACATCGCAGACTCAAGGTCGCTGCAGCTCCCTGCAGTTATATATCAATCTGGCACCGAAGGACGATCCGTGGAATGAATTCACATGGAGAGGCAAATTGAATGGTGATGTCGAGTCATCGTCTCAGGAAAACCGGTCAATGAAATCTTCTCTGTGACCAGAACGATTGCAAGCGGATGAAATGATGGAATCTATTCGCTATTGCAAAAGATAGCAGGGTTACAATGTGGGAAGAGCTGTGCTCTGTGCTTGCTGAAGTCGAGGATGACTAACGTAGCCCGGATCATCATCCTCACAAGACATCCGTCGGAACTGAAAGAGAGCCAGAGAAGTCTCTACGTTTTATTGCAACATACAGCAGAGCAGGTAGTACTGATTTTTCGCATGTGTCATGACGGGTCTGAAGTGATTTCGCTCTGCAAGACTGTGTCGTTTCCCGCATTGTTCCATGGCAACCTTTTCTCGTTTGGGGTATTTATGTTAATGTCCAGGTGCAGTTAGAAAGGGCGCGTCCCATTTATCAACGCTGATGGTTGTTTGAGTGCCCCAGTTGAGATCTCGAGCCAATGCAGGCGAGGTGGGGGGCTCGCGAAAGTCATCAGCCCTGCGAACGACCTCAGGATTGAGAGGAATTTTCGACACCACCTTACGTAAGTGGGGTCCAACAGCATTTTACAATTTTCTATTCCGATGAGTCTTTCGATTTCGGAGACCACTCCATTGGGTGTTCTGCACCCTGCACAGCGTGCGCATTTCTCATTTGCTGATCAAGACTGATCTCAGGGGGCAAATATGGTCGTCATCAAGGTTCCCTGCTCTTCGGCGAACATCGGTCCAGGCTTCGATGTCATCGGCCTGGCTCTCTCCGTATGGCTCGAATTACATGTCACGTTTGACGATGAAGCGTCCAAAGGAGCCCCGTACAACTGCAGACTGACTTACGAGGGCAACGGTGAAGGGTCCGTCGATTTGGCTCCCGACCACAACCTTATTTCACAGACGGCACTCTATGTCCTTCGTTGTCATGAGTTGCGAGCATTTCCAACGCCGACACACGTTCATGTTGTCAATCCCATCCCGTTGGGACGAGGTCTAGGATCGTCGGGTGCGGCAGTCGTGGCCGGAGTTGCGCTGGGAAGTGAGGCGGGAAAGCTAGGCTTATCCAAGGACCGCATCCTCGACTTCTGTCTCATGATTGAGCGACATCCTGACAATGTTGCTGCTGCGCTGTATGGTGGGTTTGTCGGCAGCTATCTCAAGGAGTTGAACCCGGAAGATCTGAAGCGCAGAGAGATCCCGCTCGCAGAAGTTCTTCCCGCCCCGCAAGGTGGTGTCGACACTGGGCTGAAGCCGCCGATCCCTCCGATGGACATTGGCAAGCACATCCGCTTTCCCTGGGCAAAGGAGATCAAATGCATTGCTATCATCCCGAACTTTGAGGTGTCTACGGCAATGGCAAGAACTGTATTGCCAGAGTCGTACAGTCGAGCAGATGTCATATACAATCTGCAGCGAGTAGCGCTCTTGACCTCTGCCTTAGGACAGAGCCCTCCAAATGCTGACATGATCTACGACGGGATGCAGGACAAAGTGCATCAACCTTATCGTAAGGGTCTAATTCCAGGCCTGACAGAAATTCTCCACTCCGTCACTCCCAAATCACATCCCGGCCTGCTCGGTATCTGTCTTTCAGGAGCTGGACCCACGATCCTTGCGCTCGCAACTGACAACTTCGACAAAATTGCACAATACTTAATCGGTCGCCTAGTGGAAGAATACAAGGCAATCAAAGGCGAGGACATCACCTGTCAATGGAAATTACTCGAGCCTGCCAACGATGGTCTTACCATCACCCAAGATGCGCCGAAGGGGGTAAAAGCTACCGAAGGAATGACCTACGCAGATGCTGGAGTTTCGATCGACGCCGGTAACGATTTTGTTCAAAGCATCAAGGCTGCGGTGGCCTCGACTCGCAGACCTGGCGCGGATGCCGAGATTGGCGGTTTCGGCGGTGCATTGGATCTAGCAGCGGCTGGATACAATGAGGCCCCGATCCTCATTCAGGCCATCGATGGTGTCGGTACCAAGTTAAAGATCGCTTTCGCTATGAACGACTTTTCCACTGTTGGCATCGATCTTGTCGCAATGAATGTCAACGACCTTGTTGTACAAGGCGCTGAGCCGCTCACATTCATGGACTATTACGCCTGCTCAAAACTTAACGTGCCAGATGCTGCTTCCTTCGTCGAAAGTGTGGCAAAGGGATGCAAAGAATCCGGCTGTGCGCTCGTTGGTGGCGAGACCGCCGAGATGCCTGGCATGTACCAAGGAAATGAATTCGATGCCGGCGGTGCGGCTACCGGAGCCATCAGGCGGGGACAGAAGGTGCTCCCGGACAAAGAGTCAATGAATGAAGGCGATATTCTTCTGGGACTGTCCAGCAATGGCGTTCATTCCAACGGCTTTTCATTGGTGCGCAAGATCATCGAGAAGCGCGGTCTTGCCTTCACGGATGCTGCGCCATGGGATAGCTCGAGCACCGTCGGACACAGCCTGTTGACGCCAACGCGAATATACGTTAAGCCACTGCTCGCTGCTGTAAAGAAGGATCTCCTGCTAGGCATGGCACACATCACGGGCGGCGGCCTCGAGGACAATATTCCCCGAATGCTACCCAAACACCTGGCCGCGGAGGTCGATGCGTCAGCGTGGCCAGTACCTGACGTGCTCCTATGGCTTAAGCAGGCGGGCAATGTCAGCAGTCGCGAGTTCGCGCGGACGTGGAATACGGGACTGGGAATGGTCATCGTCGTCAAGGCCTCATTGGCGCAGGAGGCGACTGCAGCATTGCAGGATGCGGGCGAGCGGGTTCACACGATAGGAAAGCTGATTGCGAGAAAGGACGAGGGTGTTGTTTTGAGCAATACTCAAGGATGGGAACAATGAGCTCTGGATTTTGGCGACATGGATCTGGCATTGCGGCTTTCAGATGTTATTATTGCGTTTCAAAGTCTTGAAGAACCATGCTATTGTGCAAGCTAGAACATATTTTGTGCATTCTTCGCCCATTTGTGCATATGAGATGCAGACTATGAGACGATGTTCCAGCCTAGGTACCTAGGTACCCATGAAACACAACTCTCACACACCTGCGCAAGCGCGCGTTCTCGCAGAATGTGTTCACCCCGGTAGATCCTCGGCTGACTGTTAGCGCATCACTTCCGCTCTGTGATATCAACCCTCGAAATTTCAGACGCCTCACTTCTCTCTTCTCTTCTCTCTCTCACGCGCCTTACTAGACAGTGCCTGACAGTGTTTCGTCATCCGTGACTGTCTCGCGATTTCGGGTATGCGGAGAGTGAATACAGGAGGCACCATAAGAGCTGGCTACGCACAAATTCTTTTTGCTCAGTTGCGTAGGCGGTGTCAGAGGCGCCGCACAAATCCCAAATTTTCTTTTGCCCAAGTTTATTCGAAGGCATCCGTCGGAGAAAAAGAGTTCTTTCGAACAGGACTGCGAGAGATGGATGCTACTTGCAGATGAAAAGTTGGACGGTGGACGAAGAATGCTTCGCGTTGGCGATTGTTCATTCACGGATGGCAAGGGTCAGGTCAATTGGATAGTTTCCACGGCCGACGATGGGGCGTTCTCGCAACGTCGCTCATATTGCCATAAACCTCGTATTAGAGTATGCCAGGAAGACTCTGGTATTGGTGCCTCTTTTTTGTAGGACTCAACATCCCTCTCGCTTTGCGTCATAGCTCAGACGATCAAGTTCTTCAGCGAGTGCACCAAGTTGTCTCGCATCTGCTTCACGACCCATCCTGTTCAGCAGCGCTGCAGTGTCTGCAAGACACATGGAGGCGACGAATAAGTTATGGCTGTCTAGCGTCTGTTTAGCGATCCACTCAATCCGACTTTCTAGGAGCCAAGATCGATTTCGAGCATATTGGTGTAGTCTCTCCGCGTTCATATCCAGTAGGTCGGAATATATTTTTGTGATGACATGAGCTTCGTGCTCGTATCCGCCGTGGTACAGGCGATTGTGCGCGAGCCTGTACATTCCTGATATGCTGAGTTCCAGCCAGGTGCTGTGACCCGAAGAGGAGGACATTTTCTTGGGACAGGGGCCGAAGGTAGGCGACTCGTGATGTTCCAAAGAAGTTCCAGATCAGCAACATGGAGACATCAATGCAAACGTGTTGATCGAGAAGCACCGACTTTACAACATGGAAATGATTGATGATGCGATCAAGTGAATTGCGCGTCATATGAAGCAGTATCTGTACTCCATTGTGGATTTGTCGTCACCAACTCACTGCGCGCCGACACACCAACATAGCTACATGACACTCGTGACGCTCACATGAGCAAGGTGTGCTTCCTGCATGATTTCATAGTTTCATGACATGTGAAATATTCGTGTTTGCCTCGTAGAATACCTAGCTACTTTGGCTGTATAGTATGTTGACTTGTTAAATTTGATGATGCTATCCATTTCCGATGCGCCTGCGTGATATTCCCGATCCTGCAGTATGTTCTTATCTTTCTGAAAGCCTTCCATATTTCTTCGTTCTATCTGAACTCCTTGTCCACGCTTTCGAAATTATTCAAGAAGCTCACAAAGTTGAGCACACCCAAACCTGGGTCAAGTGCACCGGTCGTCGCACGAATCGAATGCATACTTAGCTGTGGCAAGCCCGCATCGATGGCCCGGATGCCAGTGGCCGACGAAAGCATGGGACCGACCGTACCTCCGCTCCTGCTGTCGTTTCGAATTTGGAACACCTGAAGCTTAGCACCGACTTTGTCAGCGCATGCTTGGTAGATCGCAGTCGACACTGAATCTGTCGTCATATGGCCGTTGGGATCGGCAGCAACGGCCACGCCGGTGTTGAGGTGCGGAGCGTGGTTTTCGAGGTAGACGTTCAAGAAATTGGGATTGACGGCGTGCGTCACATCAGAGGACACAAGGAAGGAGTTGGCGTATGTGCGCCCCATGAGATCGGAGCTAGGAGTGTGATCGGCAAGCGATCCGACGGCACGCTCGAGGACCTGCGGCAGGAAGTTGCCCTTCGCGCCTTGTCGAAGTCCAGATCCGATCTCCTCATCGTCAAAAAGCGCGACTACCTTGATCAACGAACTGCTATCTGTGTCGGACTCTTGTGACTCTATCAGCGCCTGCAGCGCAGCCCAGGAGCATAGCTTATCGTCAATGCGCCCAGCGAAAATGAAGTCTTTCTTTAGACCACCAACAGTGGCCGGCTGCACGTCAAATAGCTCCAATTCCCAATTGACGATGCTCTCGTCGACCTTCAGTCCGAGTGCACTCTTGATTGTTTCAACAAGAGCCGGAGGCTGAGTTGCTTCGAAACCAATTGACGATCCACGCGCGCCGGCTAGCAAGGAGGGTCGATCAAACGCCTTCTCTGATGCGTGCGATTCAGATGAGGCATCCGAATCATCCAAGCCAAGAATTGGTACCAACTGAGTCTCTGCGTTGAAAGGTCCGTTCGAGGGCGCGCCAAAATGAGGCGCTAGAGTAGGTACTCGTGCGATAGGCCAGTCGAGCTTCACAAGCTTGGTGACCACTTTGTTACCGCTCTTGACCAGAACTCTTCCACCGATACCCAGGTCTCTGTCCATCCAGGTCGGGTTCAATCCACCAGCGTAAGGAGCCACTCCCAATTGTATGTACCCAGCCTTGTTTGGGACCTTGGAAACGGGCTTTAGCCTCACCGTGAGAGCATCGATGTGGCCAGCCAATATGGCAGCTCCATTACCCGGCTGGTATTTGGAGCCCACGACGAACGCAATCAATGATGAGCCGTTTCGCTCCACCACATAGCGGCCGCCCGTCTTCAAAGACCAATTGTCACGTTCCGAGATCTCCTTGAACCCAGCATCTTGCAGATCTTTCTTGAGAGTGACAACAGCATGGAAAACAGTGGGATTCTCGGTCAGGAAGTCGCAGAATGGTTTGGTGTATCGCGAAGCATTCTCCTTATTTGCTTTGAATTGCAGGGACGACAACGCGTTCCGAGCTTTCGTCGACGATCGTTTCGGCTCGTAGCTCGCACCACATGTGTCCGCGCTCTTGTTAGCCTGCAAAGGCGTGCTTCGATGAGCCGAATAGGGACTGAGGTGTTTCTGAGGAGTTGATTGAGCCATGTTGGTCGGTAGCGGCCGCAGACCGAAGTCGTTGGTCTCGTCTCGGATATTCATGCTGTGGTCCTCAATGGCGTCTCGCATAGAGCTGAGCGATGGCATATTGCGCACCATGATGGTGTATGCAAAGGATTCCGGATGTGGGAATAAGGGGAGTGGTATGATTTGCTGAGGATGGTCGCACTCGTTCAAATGATATATGTATGTACACAAGCTATATTGCTAGACGTAGGCTCGGGAGGCATGAGTCGTACACCCGCTCGGTTGGTTGGCCTGGAAGCTCACATGAGCCCTCCAGGGCTCTCATCGGTCGAGCTCGGCCTATGTCAGGGCCCATCACGCGACCAATGCACGATAAGCCCACCCGGACTTAAGCTCTTGCGTGCGTGCGTGACCATCCATTCCTCCATCATCGTCGGCGGCTCGTGAAACTGCGCGCGGGGCTGACGCGCTCACCACGCCCAATTCCGCCTGCTCACGCCACAGCACTATCCACTCATCTCACTCGTGAACATCCCGACTCATCCACACTCCCCTCGCTCAAACAAACCCTGGCACGTAGTTGGCATTGTAGCAATTCAGCCGAGAAGTCATGATCGATTGGCGCAGGATACGGCGATTATGAATCGAAGATCGGACGGAGCGACTGAAGGCGATAAAACCTATCGCCCCGAGTCCTGTCGCGATCGCGATGGGCGCCCGCAAGCGCTGAGTGACTGCCAGAACGAAGCGCCGATATTCGCACAGAACGACAAGATAAGTGATGTATTTCTCACCTCTACCGACGTCCATCCATCCCAATATCCTTGTCTTCGTCCCTTTCTGGACTTCAAACGGTTCATCGACAACCAATTAGCGTTTCTTGCAAACGACTTCGTTCGCTTTCCAGAGAATCTTGACATGATCCGGAACAGAATCCAGCGGGAGCAGGAATGCCTCATTGCCAAGGAGAGAGACATATCCAGACGGTGGACTGGCAGCGACGATTCGCCTGATCAGATCCACATGCGCTGTGAACGGCATTCACCGGAAACCAGAGAGGTGGCAGATCAAGTCACAATCAAAATGTTCGAAAAAGCAGCGCAGCATCACGCGTCCACCCCTCTCGGCAGGATCCTTGCACTGTTTCACGACGACGTTGGTACTTACGGGGAGCTCGACGAATTTGCCAACCCAATGCTGTCGTTCGCTGGAGCATGGTACTATCGTCCTGAACACGAGAATGAGAATCCATTGACGGGCTCAACCTTCTGGCGTATCACCCATCAACCGCAATGGCTCAGCATGGAGTGGTTCAAGAGAAGCGACTACTCACCTATTCGCTTAGAGGCACACCCGGATTTGGAAAACTCAGGCGCGAAATGGCGTGCGGCATTTGAAGATCTGCTATGTGTATCTCTAGGCAAGCCAATGGATGCGAAGAAAAACTACGCCTTGCAGCTGCAAACATCAAAATACCCCAATCCGACACTGCTCGGTCCTGGTATGCGATGGCTGGCCGATCTGCAGGGACGAGGGGTTCTACCACCTCTTCTCCCTCGCACCTATAGCTCTTTTCAAGCTCGGAATATGCGCACACTCGATGAGGTTATGCGGCTTGTACACGAATCCCGAGCAGACATACCCCTAGGCTCCGATCATGCAGTTCTTTCTTGTAGTGAAACGGAGCAAGATCTCTCAGACATGATCTCAGAACTTGTGGTAGATCCTGTTCAAGCACGGGAGTTACGCAAGAATGGAACCGATGCCGAGACATGGACAGAGCTAGATATGTACGATCGATTATCATCTTCATCGTCAAGTGTATGGTCCTCTCATGTGTCAAAGCACGCTGAGAGTACTGTCGACTCAGACAATCAACATTGTCGAGGAGATGGTGCTCGCCGCACAGCGCACGATGCAGAAGGCTCCGAGGATGATCTCTTCAAGATTCTCACCAATGTGATGAGCCAAGAAGTAAATTATCACACTAGGACACACACAAGCGCTGCTCATGGAGGGCTGCATTCAGAGGACGCAGATGACTGGGAGTCTGATCACGGAAATGCCGACAATGAGGAAGAGCCGACGTCGTCAGCGGGAGCAATCAAGCCAAATGTCCTGTCAACCCTTACCACTACTGAGACAATTCGTCTACCAGATGGTACCGTCACAACAAAGGTCGTCTTAAAGCAACGCTTTGCAGATGGACGGGAAGAGACTTCCGAACGTTCACATACTTACCGAGAAGAGTCTGAGGCGCGCGAGGAGAAGGCGAGCAAAAAGGGCTGGTTCTGGGCATGAGTTGTAAAACGGCGTGATGTGTGCGATGGGTGCATCCAGAACGAGGGCCTCTGCCTAACGCTTGATTGTGGATATACCACTGTAACATCACATGTGAGAAGTCAGTCATTTACTTTACAAAAAGCTTTCGCGCATCTATTCGCATGTTGATAATTTATAATTCACTTCTTGTACTGTGTCTTTGAATTTTCACAAGCGATCTGGAAGATCATTCTATTGCCAGCGAGACACGATCTGCGAATTGAAATTCGATGTCTTCTTACATGGGGGTTTCCCAAATCTTCATCTCTGTAGACAGAGAATAATTATAGTACAAGGGCATCTTCTCCACCAAGAAAGCCCGATCAACTGTGTCCTTCCGTGGTACTCACGCCCTCTTGAAGCCGCTGCCTCGGCAGAATCGTCGCCACCTGGGGGCTTGGCTGGTCACGATCACTGCCGGACTCTAGCGGAGCGGAGGCGGTATCAATAACCGGCTGTGGGTTTGGTTTGGCGATTCGGAATAGGGGGTGGACGTGCGCACTCTTCCGTAAACCTGCTTGGCTGGACGGAAGGGGAGTGACTGAAATAAGAAAGCTCGAGGCTGCAGAAATCTTTCAAGTGAGTACAATGCCCATCTGATCATTGGTACCGAACCCTCTTCCGCAGCTTGGACATTTGCGAGATCGGTTCGAGATTAGATCTTTTACACAAGACGAGCAGAAAACATGTCCGCAGAGCTTGAGAACCGTATTACGAATATTCGCGTTGCAGACCGGGCATATGGCTACTTTCTGTTCAACACTGTCAGTGGTGGTTCTTGTTTTCTGGCAGCAGGCAGGAAATAAAACTTACCCGCCAATCGTCTGAGTCTGCACTGCTCACGGCGACTCTAGACTTTCGTAGCGTGTCGTGCTGCTTCCTGCTTTCCTCCAGCCGAACCTTAGCTCTTTCCAAGTTTTCTTCGAATTCGCGCTTTGACTTTGCAAGTTCAAGATTTTCTTTATCCTTCGTGCTTATGAGAGATTTGAGATCTTCCACGTTCTTCTTCAGCCCATCGACCTGCAACGTGGACTCCTTGAATTTCTGTTCATTGGACCTTTGCTGCTGCTCCAATTTTGTGGTAGCATCTCGGGAATCTGCTAATTGTCGTTCCAGATTGATCAAAAGTTCGCGCGCTTTCGCCTCACCATCTTTGAGCTGAGTCACGATCTCACTCGACCGTGCGGCCTGTGATTTCAAGGTCTTGAGCTCGGCCTCTCGCATGTCCTTCGACTTCATCGCCGCAAAGTACTTCTGATCTGCCTTCGCCTTCTCCGCATTCAGACGCGCTATTTGCTCCTCCCATGCTGCGATTTCTTGCATTTTCTTGGAAGCTAGAGCTTGCGTCTTTTTCCAGGCTGCCTCCATGGATGGGAGCTCATTGCTGAGCAGGGCATACTGACTCTCCCGATCTCGTAATCTATCCCTGAGCGCGTCGATGCCCAAATCTTCCAGATCCCCGTGTTCTGCCCGAGTCTCTCCGATCTGCAGTTTCAGCCGTTGGACCTCAGATTCTAGGGAGGAGATTCTCAGGTGATTCGCCTCGGCAAGACTTTTTGCTTGTTCTAGCGTCAAACTATGGCTGTCTTTAGCAGATCTAGCGATTGCCAATTCTGTGCTCAGCTGGTCGCGATGATCCCTGATCCGAGCAACATCAGTTTCGGCACGTGCCGAGGCAGCCTCAGCCTCGTTCGTCTGCAAACGCGCCTCTTCGTCGATTTGAGCGCGATAGCTCGTTCGCTCTGCCTGGATTCGTTGCGCTTCTTGCACAAGCTTTGCATTCGTCGCCTCCAGGTCGTTGGTGGTTTTAACAACATCTTCGTACTTTGATCTCAATGTTTTAAAGAGGGAAGTTTCTGCATAATCGTCGTCCGTCAGGCTGGCCAATTTAGTTCGCGCTGCGCTGAGCTCATTTGTGAGCCGATCGTTCTCCGCCTCAACCTCCATGACTTGGGCCTTGCGCTTTTCTGCAGCAGCGACGGCCTCTCGCCGTAGGACCTCAATTTCAGCAGAGCCAGTGCCGTGATCCAGATCGCCGTTGGTCTCTGAGTGGTCCTTTTTCGTTTTGATCGGCGATGTGACATCCCCGTTACCACTCATGGCTTGTTTCTCCAATTTGAGGACCTGTGTGCTCTTAGCGCGATCCAATTTTCGCTCTGCTGTCATGTAGCGGCCCATGGCTTGTTCAAGCCGCTCATACATGGACTCTTTCTCATCGAGAGCTTTCCTTAGAGAGACGGCGTGCTCTTTCTCTTTTGCCAGAAGATCGACGAGCTGTTTGCGCAGATCCTCTACATCTGAAGACGTGGCTGGGAGGCGTCCGAAGAGATCGCGAATGGCGCTTTTGATATTGCTAGATCTCGATTTGAGGTGCTCCGAGAACGTCAAGTTGTCCTCGAACAACAGCGCCGACTGATATATCTCTTCGCCTGCAATATTTTCAGCTTCAATTCTTCTCCACTAGTGCTACTTGAGGTTGGCATACCAGCAGTGGAGCTCGCGCTAGGCGGCGGAGTGGGAAGTGTTTCTGACGCAAGAACGCGCACTTCGTCTAGAAGCTGAGCGAACCAGGCGTCGATCGTTCTTAGATGATCATCGTGCCATCTTGTCTTCTTCTGCAAGTCATTATACTGGTCTTCCGCATCCTTCTTTTGTCGTTTGTACTCTTTCATCTGTCGTAATATAGCATCCTTCTGGAAATCCTGCATGCGAGTCAGTGCATCCATCGGATAAGGAAGCGGTCGACAGAGAGACTGTCTGAAGACTCACCTCAACCTCCTTCTCCTTGGACTCGTCCGACATTCGCATGCTGGCGCCATTCTCGTCTTTGACGCGCTTTCGGCTAGGCGCGAGGTCCTCGACATCGTTGACGAGCGCTCGCTTTCGATCGTCCATCTCCTGCTTGCTCGTTGGCAGGATAGCAATGGCCGCAGTCTTTGCGGAGTGCATCGGAAAGAGACGTGGCTTCGTGGCATCCGTGCCTTTTGCGCCCTACACCCGTTTCCTACGCGCACATTCGGAGATTTTCGAGGATGTGAGCATGCCGATGATAATTGAATAAATTGCGATGGTTTAGTGCAATCTGATGTAGTGCTCAGGTCGATGCTATGATGTTCATAACCAGCCACTCATCGCGATTGTTGCGTCTAGATAGGAGATGAGCAGAAGAATGGTGCCAAGATATTAGCGGGATTTAGGCACGTGAGCACCCGCCGTCACTGAATGTGGTGGTGGTCAAGCCGGTGGTCAAGCCCTTGTCCTGACTCTTTGATAGACTTCACATAACAAAATCCCAACGCGTCTTCGCTTCAACACGGTGTGAATTTCGTTCGAATAACCGAATACTCGAAGCAGAGCTTGGTAGCAGAGGCATGTGGGCTTTGATAAATACAAGTCTGCACCCAGACCTGTGATTTCTCAAGAAACCGCCTGTAAATCACCAGCAATATGCCCGGTCTCATTAGTTCGTCCTCCTCTGCTGGTCCCAGGGCAGCGCCCAAAGCGACCTCCCGTCGTCGTCCAGGGCAAAATGCTGCAGCCACTGTCGTGAAGCCCAATCCCATCGTGCCGGTCGCTGTGAGCGGCACAGCCCCTCCGTCTCCTCCGCCTACACAACCTCAAGCACCATCAGATCCAAGACCTTCCGAAGAGGGGTTGCAGAGCTCTGGCCGAGTCGATCCGGCACCTGGTGTGCACCAGTCGTCAAACGATAGACAAGACGTGGCCGCAGATGTCTCGCAAGAACAAGCCCCACTGACCGTATTTGATGCCTCGTCAGGAAATGATAGTCACACTGTCGTTGATGGCAACAAAAGAGCGTCTCCTCTATCATTTCACGTATCATCAAGTCAAGGTAGGCTGGAAGCGCAACAATTGCACGCCGCTGATGAACAAGTCATATCCCCGGGTCCATCGCAGATAGAAAGGAGTGCGGACCAACCTGTGGGAGATGAATCGCAATCAGTTCACGGAGCAGATGCATCGAATTCGCCTAATGTGGCCGGTGCCGATGTCCTAGGCAAACGACAGCGCGCAGATGGCTTGGCCGTCCCCGGCGCTCAAATTGCCAAAAGGACGAGACGCAGCCCAGTCGCACCTGAAATACCACCTCAGTCATCACTACCGCTTGAAGACTATAGTCAGTCATCTATCCCTGAAGTAGATCGTTCGAGTCAAGAAAACGGGCAGGTTCACGAAGTTGATCCCGGCATGCCAGCCAAAAAGCGGAGACAAGCGCGCAACAATGGAGGGCGCAATGAGGGTGGTCGGGCTATCGACGACGAGACAACACCGACAGGAAATAAAGCGTCGAAGCCGAAAAAGCCACGACAGCGCAAGAAGCCGCCCGCCGCCTCAAAGGCCTACGGACCAGTATCCGAGCAAATCGTGCAGACCACAGAGGGCGGTCACGATGCAACTGGCGACACGGCTACACCAGGCACGAAGGAGAAAGCTTCGGGTGCTGAGAAACGACGACAGAAGAAGTCTGCGCAACCTGTTGCCAGTCCTAATTTAGAGACCAACTCGCCTGATCCCGAGCTGCATGAGATCGATCCTCGCGAGTTATCCATGTGGGAATTGAGTCATGATACGACACGCGGTAAGACGTCAGAGTTAGGGCGGAGGATGGCAGCAATCGACTGGAAGGAAGTCGCTTTGAAGCGACGACTAGAGGAGTCCGGGATCGCAGTTACACCAGATCAGACGGGCAGCGGGGTGCTGCTCACCTCTACAGCAGGGCAGAATGCTGAAGCGATTGCTGAGGCAGCGGAAGCTGTCATTACGGAAACGAATGGCGAAAGCGGCGATATCGAACTTCAAATGGACGCTGACGGCAACATCATCGCTAATGACGATGCGCTCGTTCGTGTCATGAATGCTGAAGCAGAAGCTGCCGCCAACAGCGGAGCGCCTGTGATGGAAGAGAACCCGCTCACCACTCGTCTGAATCGCACAACGTGGGTTAATGCCAACAAACGTGACCCTGCCGATAGAGTGCCGATGTGGAAGGGCAAAAGTGATCCGTGGTCGGAGGATGAGACTGATCGGTTTTACGAAGCGCTGGGCATGTTCGGCACGGATTTTTTTATCATCAGCAAGATGTTCCCTCCGAAGACTCGCCGAATGATCAAGATGAAATTCGTGCGCGAGGAGCGCCTCGACCCTGACCGGATCAATCGCACCTTGCTCGGAATGGATAAGAAACCAATGGATCTTGAGCATTACGCACGCGAAACCGGGAGAGATGTCGCTGCATTTTCGAAATATGCCACGGTCGAGGAAGCCGACGCGGCGATGAGAGAAGAGCTCAAAGGCACTGCGGCACGGATGACGGCGACCATCGAGCAGGAAGCCGCCAATGCGGAGGACCAAGAAGAACAGGAGAGGCTGCGTCAGCAAGAGCGAAGTCGTGGAGGAAGGAGGGGCAAAAAGGGCAGACAGATGGAAGGTGGAGGGATTGGAGGCGGTGGACCGGATGACGGCTGATGTTGAGACTCGATGTCATGTTTCACTGTCCATGTGTCGGTAAATTCCCTGCATGAGTATTGCTGCGCAGGACTTGCGATCGAGAACGAGTGCGGTCTGCCCTACGGACCCGCAGCCAGTGTTCTAGACGCGATGTGCCTCGGAACCCAGGACGCGCCCAAGCGGTGCTCAGCCTCGTTGGGAACGACTGTCACATGCAATCAGCGGAATGGAAGCACACTCGTCAAATTTTCCACAGACGAGGTCTGCTCACGGTTGCTGCATCGATGACATCCGCGGACCAGCGAGATGGCTGGATTAATAACGCATAGGTAGCCACGTACTCCCGTGACATTTGGCACAACGAAATCGTGATTTCCCAGGGTCTATCCCCCAACCGTGCGTTTCTCCATGATCTGCCAATTTCCATCCACTTCCCCGCGCGTATAGGCTCGGCGGTGCGCCGGGGTGTCCCCTCGGAAGCAGAATTGCAAGGCTGCTGATGTGCACGGCGGACCTGTGGATCGCCCACAGGGCTGAATCCGATCATTCTGCGCTGTTGTCATTACTCGTATTACCATTTCGTCGACAGTTATGGTTGTTCATTTGTAAGGCCGGTATTTGCCAATTCCGGATCGCACACAGGCGAAGACTCCTACCACATCGTATCTGACGCACGTCTCCTACAGTGAATGTCGTGCGCGTAACAGACCGGACACGTCAAGGTGGATATGCGCAGTCAACCCCCGTTCGTCGCCCGAGTCGCATTGCTGGCTGGCTATGGGAATTGGTTGTGCAGTCGCAGTCCATGTGGGCATCGATAGACAGTGCGACAGCTTGCGCACAAGAATAAATCCACCCGATTCTGGGTTCTGTAGGTTGGCTGGCCATGAAGGTGGCTCGCCTGTGATGAGCCGAACCGTACTCTACGATGTTAGGAAAGGCCTTTCCCAAATGATTCCTGCAATATCCCGAGCACGGTACACAGGGCCACAAAAACTGGCTCGGACCACGAAGGGAATATGCTCAGGTTAGCATACTGTACAGGAAATGTCTGTCACAAGACTACTGCCATGGTACTGGGACATCAGTCACGGATTTGTTGGAGAGTATGGCTGGAGCGCATATATATGCACTGACAGCCCTTTTATCCTTTTTATCGGCTGATGACAGGGTCGTTGTAATAATAAACTAACGACGGATGGCCGATACCAGCCGGTCGCATGCGCTATGTCTGTGATTCAATATTGATGTGCGCAACAGATCAGCTGAATACTGGCACAGCATGGTTGTGTAGCCGAGGTCGTCATGTCGTGTCGTGAGACAATCACGTCTGATAAAGTTTCCAGCATGAAGTGACGAATGGTTGCAGAGAATGGTCGTCATCGTGATCGTATAGGGGACTGCAAGGGGGTTGGCATTTTCGTCATTTTGTCGTTGTGTGCGCGTTCTGCCATGGAATCTTGCAGTATGTACAGTAAGTGGTGGTGTGGTCTTGACAACACGGAGGCAGCCTCGGTCGTGTGCGGATCACTCTAGATTACTCGAGCCAAGACCCAGCAAGGCGACGGGGAAGTGATCCGTCCGAGACTACCAGAGCGCTCTGGCTTTCTCCGGCTCTGTCAAGCATATGGCTGCCGGGAAATTCGCACCGATGCCTTGGTCAGATCGCGATGCCCACAACAAAGGAGGGGGGCGGATGGATGGATGACTGATTTGAGGGATTGCGACCAGCTGGACAGCTTGAAATTCTTAACCTACTGCTGTACAGTATGTTCCCTACCTGGGCAGGTCGGTGTATTGCAGCTTCCTAGTAGTTTGGGTTGATGACGCCGTCGCTTCGGGGGTCGCGCGGACTACCTCTGCTTGGACCTCGCACACGAGCAATTCCAATACTGCGCCGCGTGCGGATACCAGAACATTCCTCAACAACAATAACAACAACTTGAGGCGAAATTAAGTGGCTTATCTACAATGGTTGTGGATTACAATAACATGTCGGCTGAAATATGTTCATTCAAATGCAATATGTGCATTGCTGGGTTGGGTATCAAGATGTAAAATATGTACATGATTCGGGTATATTGTGTGGGGGCCGGGTGAACCAAACTGGCCGAGGGGGAATGGTAATGATGACATAGAAAATTCGTCGCTTCGTGTGCATGTTCGATGATTGCGTCGGTTAGCCTCCGTCCTTGCAATAAGTGCGGCTGATAATGCCTGGTTGCAGAGGTGAGGACGAGGAATGCTCAACTGCGGCGGCTTGGCCTGCCAATGGGGAGCATGTCGTTCGATGAGTTGAACGATCCACGCTTCGATTGCGCGCTGATGATGGCGCGTCGAGTCACCGGCCAGGCAGGCTTGTTGTTGGACATTATCGTCGTGCCGGATGATGGACTGTCATGGAGCCGAACGAATGCGTGGCAGATTCAGCTTTACTGACAATGATGGTTGAAGAGTGATATGGATTGCTGAAAGCGAATCGTCGACGTCGTTCAGGTCAATAATGTGATTGATGGCAGAGAGCATGGGCGTCAAGCTGATGGGAACTCTCAACCCGATGCTTTCGTTCCATGCTGTGCCTGCGTTGATGGAGGTTTTGCCGAATGGACCAAGGTGTCGAAATCCGGGAATGAGATATAGCCGCCATCGCTGGGCATTCGAAAGTCCTCCCAGCTGGTCCGTCGTTCTGATTGAACGCTGTCTGTTGGCGACGACGGCAAAGAAGGTTCATTGATGCTCAAGCCCGCTGAGCGACCAGTGCGTAGTACTACTCGAGCCAAGGTAGCAGTGGCATCATCTCTGCCAGAGTCCTGCCTGGTTGTGAAGTACGAGTGTTGACGGCTTAATGATGGAGGTGAACATTTCGCATATGATGATGCTGACAGACTGAGTTTGATGGCCATGTCGACGCGTTGGTTTGACTTTCGTCGGCGATGAGTTGATCTGGGTTCTCGTGCGATTGATGATTGAGAGAGGGTCGATGAGGTGGATGATGAGATACTTTTCTGAGACGGAGACCGTTGCAGAAAGTTATACATGACGGCTGGCTGATGGGTGTCGAATCGAGATGACGGGCGGTTTGGCTTGTGAAGCAGGGGGGCCCAAAGAGTCCGGCAAACGTGAGCAGGGTACGTACTTGATATATTCAAACCCAAATTGCTCGCTGCATGGCCTGGGACAGTTGGGGCCGCTGGCGCGGGCGGAATCTACGTTATGTATGTATTCTGCTGTACGGGCGTCCACCTGGCCAGACAAGTAACAGAGCGTAATGCATCACTCGGTCCTGCAAAGGATTAGGAAGGGGTGGGGACGGGCTTTGTTTACGCAGCACGGCGTGCGAACAACCGCCAATCGCGGCGATGTAAGGGACGAATCGGAGACCATGGCTCGCAAGTTTCGGGCTGCGAGCGCGATGTCTCCTCCTGCGTCGTCGCGTGGGTGTGTGCGGGCGACGGACTTTGACAGCACTCATGCGCTGTCTACGACCTAAATCTGCACTCTCGCTAAGTGCTTTCCCTTCTGTACAATGGCACACAGACGGACCGATGTTTACTGTTTACCAACCCACTTCTCTACCTACCTGCCTCTCTGGGTATGTAGGACAAGTGGGAAGGTATCGCATTCTGTCAGAGTGCCAATCATACGTGGATAAACATCATGGGTCGCAGCAGCATGCGATGGTAGAGTGGGTTACCAACATTTGAGGCCGCGGAAGATCTAAAACCGTCGCGACTAGGTAGGGAAGGGGGGCGGCGATGATGCTCTCTTTCTCAGCCACGTCAGACTGGCTCGTACATCCTTCGGAAAATCGTCGTACTGTATTTTTGGTGTGCGACCATCACCCAGGGTAGTCGTCTGCACTGCTGAGCCAGTCCGTGCCCGGCACAGCCATCAAATGGCGGCTTTTCTGGGGCGGGCTCGGGGGAGTGAGATGGAAAAATGACCCTGGCGGGCGGATTCCAGCACGGGAGAGCACTGTCATCAGCGTTGAACCAACTACTCGTCACCCTTTTCCTTCTTCCCACACCCGCGTTTTGGACGGAATTGTGCGCTGTCGTACACACACTCTCTCTTTCATCTCATGCACCGTTTGCTCGAAGCGTTCCTCGAGGAGAATTATCCCACGGTTAGCACCTTTCCTGCAATTTCGTGATCTATGGGTAGTATGTCTCCGGTGGGCAAGAGACAGTTCTCCGACCATGGTAGCAAGATGTGCACAAGCCTATGGTTCTGGAATGCCAAACAGTCCTGAACTTTCCATCGGATGTGTCCATCTATCTTGGTACCAACTGCGGCGCGATGCCCCGTACCCAACTGGGCACTCTGCATGGATGTGTGTCTATCCGTCCGTGCCGTACCAGTATCTGAGCGCACCTGCAACTCCCAGCAATCCAGCCCTGCCCAGGTGGAGGCAAACCTTTGAAGGGATCGGTGAAGCGATTCGCTGGAACCCGCGGACGTCACGGATTGCTCACATTACCGGAATTGACATTGCCATGTATGCCCAGGTGTACACCTGGGCAAATCGGATGGGCAACACCGACGACTAATCTTGTGTATTTGTATCCTGATGACTAATTCAATTTCCGCGTTTGCAAGCGGCGGGTTGGGGAGAAATGATCAGATTGTAAACCTCATTGATGTTATCCACCATATGTAGAAAGGATGACATTGAGGAATCCGGTGCGTACGATATGAGCGAACTTCCCGGAGTGCGAACCTTCTAGGCGTTGATTCTAGTCCACAATATGCAGTAGCCGGTCGAGAGTTGTGTATCTATTGCCTACGAATTACAATGCTAGTATTGCGATGGTGTACAAACGCATTTTATGTCGTCCTTGAGGCGCCCAGAAGACATACCTTCTATGTTTGATGCTTCGTACGTGCCTTCAAACACCTCTTCGCCGTCGGCCGTAAAGAAGGATTCTTCATCTCTAGTCCGATGAGAACGAGTCCCTTGAGATCGTAAGGGACCAAGCATGAATAGATCAATGAGACGAGTTTGACCGGGTGTCCCTAGCGCTCGGCAAAATTGAGAACGTCGCTCTTCCAGATGAGAGATCTAAATAAAGCCGATTGAGCTCGCTGAATTGACCACCAAATAATGACGATCTTGAGAGACAATGACAAGCGGCATAGATGCCTCTTGCCTGCGCCGTATCAAGAATATCTGGGTAGTTGACTCATGGTATTTTTGGCGCTGTTGTTCTGAAAGCCGTCTATCGATCTCGAATGTCTGTCGTGCAGCAGCATCGATGTTTGTTGATGGCGCAAAAGGCTCATGGTCTGGGCGATCTACTTAGGTGTATATGCCGTGACCGCATTCGTCGGCAACAGGCAACACAGGATGTTGCTTTCGTGTTTTTAGTCCCCTCTATCGTCGTAGTCAACACTTACGCCTGTCTTCATGGTGACGGTTCGAAGCCTCAGGCTTTCATGCATGCATTGAAGCAGCTGCCTGGGCAACTGGTTGCATGAAGCATGAATGATGAGTGAAGACTGGTGACACGCAGTCAATGCCTGACCCACTTCTCTGCCATCGACATCCTTCCCGCAGCCGACGAGTGATACATACAATGCAGGTCTCTCTGCCCGAGCAGGGGGTCCACGCAATGGTGAGGTCTAGACGCAATTTCCAGCTGCGACATTAATATGCACCTGGGCAGGTTATGAGATTTCCAAAATCGCATGGATAGGAAATCCAGGTGCGGGTGATTTTCGTCGCGAAGGGCACATGCCACGCAACGGCGAAAATAGACATCGAGCTTGGCGCGCATAAGATCCGCTCGACTACTACAAGCGCCTGGACGTGGGTGAAATATCGCGGCCTGAGAGCCTGTCGTGCTCGTATGTGAATCAGAGACTCAGGCAGTAGCACGAGTTGTCACACCGGCACCTACTTACTGCATCCTCGCCTTTATGAGACGTCCGGAGCTTCCGGCCTACCACTTGAGTAGCCAACATTGTTGACGAGCTTCGCCTGGCGTCAAACTCTGCTTGACCGCGCATTCGTCCTCCTCACGGGGCTGTCGGGATGCTCTCACAAGTTTGACGCCGGTCAATTCTTAGTGTTTCGAAGCAGCGTTGCTGTGGCATTTAATGGGTGCTTTCGAACAGCTACTGGGCGAAGGCAAAGGCTTGTTGCTCACCGTACCTGCTTTGCTGCCCAACGCGGGCGCATTTGGATGGACGAGGTTTCTCACGTGCCTTCGTCCACTTCCTCTTCGCAGGCATCTCTCCTTGATGACATGGCAATGACCCTACCTTGCATGCCGTGACCGATCTCGGAAATGGGACAGTCGGGTTATGAGTATTATCGAGCATGATGGGATCACACGAGCATGTTCATCTCTACAGTGAATCTTTCTTCACCGAATTACGGAGTGCCACGTCCGTTGAATCTCACCTCGCGAGGATGTACTCCCACCCACACACCGTCAAACATCTCTCAAAGGAGTCGACGACATGCACCAAGTGAAGTCGTGGGATGCGAATGACCTCTTCTGCCCACTTCTGTCCACGCTGACCGAATTGTCTATCTCCGAGACAACTAGGGTATTGATCCTGCCATGCACGTGTGAGCAGCCTACGAGAAGGGATGATCTATTCATCTCACATCAGCCCTATCCTATTGCGAGACAACCCGTAGACGAATTCTATCCAGAGCCAAAGTCCACCTGATCAATCATCGGAGAATTATACGTCGATCGGGAACTTGATCCAGACGTGGGAGTACTTGCCTCTTCGTCTGGTAGCCCCGGCAAACCTCAGTCAAAACGCGGGATCTGCTGAGAGATCGACACGGCGGCGTCTCCCAGAGCAGTGGACACCACGTTGTCGCACGCGGCATTGTGCCACGCAGGTCGTCGTCTGATTGATCCCCGAGCGTGAAGGATCGCGGGCGTCCGCCAACCCCCATGCTTCACAATCCATCTCGGTGTCGCAAATCAGACGGAGACATTGTATTCCTCCTATGATCCCTCTGCCAACTTTTCCGGAGATAACACAGATTCCGAAGACTTCGCGAAAGACCGTGTCCTTCTCAAGTGATTCCGAATCAAGCTTGTTGGGGCGTGATGATGTCATTTGTCGGGCTACAAACACAATCGCCTGCACCGTGACCATGGCCTTTTTTTCCAAAAGTTCGGTAGAACCAGAACACCTTAATGGTGACATCAGATACCATAACAAGTTCACAGCAGGTAATACTAGTCTTTGCGAACCTCTACTCTTTCCAGACAGCCTCGCATACACGTGCTTTCGCCGTTCCAAGTGCAATCCATTGACGCCGATCGTTAGTGCTAGGAAGACGCATCGGCAAATTAGCTGAAGAACACGACGCGCGGCAAAGGTATGGCTTACGTCGACATCCTCCCACGCACGACCCTTCACGGAGTCCAGCTCTGCCAGTGTCATGATCTTGCCCGTCGTAACTAGGTAAACAGAGGTCAGACCGCCATCCTGACGTCGCGAGTTAGCAAAACTTACAGTAACCCGCATGAATCTTCGCGTCGATTTCCACTCGACTGTCTTCAGGAATCATCTCATCGGGAATGGGCACTCTCTCGTGGATCGGGATTCCTTGCTCGACTATAGCATCATGCTTCATGTTTGACATGCTTAGCATGCGGTCGATCTTGGTGATGCCGAGCCAGTGCAGAATGTCCGGCATGAGCGCTTGAAATCGCATGTCCTTGACTCCCGCAATGTTCTCAGTCCGCTTGAAGTACTCACTCGCGCGGTCAGAGCCTCGTTTGCGCGCGTTGTAGACCAGGTATTTGGTGACTTCGCCGAGTGCTCGTCCTTCCTTGCGGAAATAGATGACTACTCCGCTCCCGCCTTTCTGGGCTTCCTTGACGGCCTCCTCGATACCGAAGATGAGATATGGCCGACAGGTGCAAATATCAGAGCCAAACACGTCGGAACCATTGCACTCATCGTGTACTCGCAGCGCCAGTCGAGCGCTCGCATCACTCATCTTTGCTGGGTCGCCGAAGATATAGACCGTCAGACCACCAATCGGCGGCATGAACAGCTTCACATCGCCTCGAGTGATCAGCTCGGGGTAGCTGCCACCTGTGTGCTCGAAAAGCGAGCGTCTCAAGGTGCCCTCATCGATACCAAAGCGCTCGGCCACGCCTGGAAGGTACCACACCGGCTCAACAGCTACCTTTGTCACGGCGAGTTCTCCGCTCTCGTTCAAACAGATCTTTCCGTCAGGCACAAGTCGCCCTTTTCGAACACTGTCCTCGAGCTCTGGAAGTTTCATGTGCGCCTTCGTAATGGCAATGGTGGGTCGGATGTCGACGTTCTCACTTCGAATGACATCCTTGAACAACCATGGTGCTAGATGACCCCATGGATCCATTGCCACGATTTTCTTGGGATCATACCAGGTAGGATGTGGTCCAAGTGCGGCAGCGGGCTCGGTGTTTGTGAAGTCAGGCTTGTGATCTGTCTCCAGCTGCTTAGACGCCAGTGCAAGAGCAAAGTAGATACTGTACGAGCCGCCATGGGCACCGATGGCGTTACGGCGACGGATGGTATCGGGGTGACGAGAGACAACAACTGGTCCACGCTTCTGCGGATCTTGTGCACCCCATTCCATCGGCAGCGGGTCTACTCCGGCCTGGCCTGGATACGAGGTCAAAATGATTTTCGAGAAGGTGCTACCTCTTCGAGGTGGTGCTGAGGGCAGCTCGCCACCGCCATTGGGCGATGTAGATTGGCCATCCCCATTGCTGGCGCTATGAGCATTCGACTGGTTTTGCGAAGGCGTCTGGGCGCCGCTGGGATTTATGATCGGGCTTGGTAATGAAATGTCGTGCGCGATGCCATCGCGAGACTGCTTGACGCCAGCCAGAGCATTGACACGTCCATTGATAGCTTCGATAGTAGCTCCAACAACGTTCTGCTCCGTCCGGAGTTCCGCTTGTCCTTTCTTGAGGGCCTGAAGCTCCGCGAGAATGGCTTGTAGTATATCCTTATTGTCCGGAGCTGACATCGATTTGTTCGACATCCTGACCGAATGAAGTTTCGTGACCAGAGCGAATTTGAGATGCGAGACCGCACAGAGCAACAAGCAGAGCAGAGGACCTATCAAGCTTTGAGCCTTCCAAGATTGGTCCTTCCAAGATTGGTGTGACGATTACACATGCAGTTGTAGATAGGTCCGCTTTCTAGTTTCATGAAACTCCTCTACGTTGAATTAAAATAATAGGCAGAATGAATAGCAGTGGGCACAGAAGACCACTGCGTTGCTCTCTCGACCAGTTGCTATGCACGGCAGGTAGGCCAGCTTGGATGTGTCAAGTGATCATCTATCGGTGAAACAATGACTGGCCGGGAGATAGCTGTAGTCATCATCTACGCATGGACGGGTAAACAGATGATACAGCTCCGCAGGGCCGCCCGCCTCTTCACAAGATTGTGTGTTCATTCATAAGTTGTGCAACTGAATGCTACACAGGTCGCGATGTCGCCGATAACCTCCAGCATTGATATGACCTTCATTTGATACTGTCAACAAACACACCAGAGCTATCTATCAATGTTTGGCACAGAGTACCTGCACGTCTCCAGCTACAGTACGTCAAGCAGGTAACGCGATCACTATCGCCGCGCTGATAACGGCTCCAAGACAGCGTAATCCCTGGGCGGGCTACTGTACAGCACCTGGGCAGTGAACAAAGACGGACCCTCGAATCAACTCGTTGGCCGAGCGTGACCGGGTTGGGAGGCCTGAGGTTCACATGCATCATCAGCGTTCACATTTCGTACGACTTTGAGCTTCATTTCGATCGCGCCTGGATTTGCGACAAATCATCTCTTTCGTCCACACAACTCATAGCCAACCTTGGAATCATGGGAAAACGAAGCAAGTCATCGCGCGGACCTGCAAAAAAGCAGGTAAGAGCGTGATGGTGATATCACAACTGTCTATGAAGATATACTGATAACTTTCTTTTTCAGCGTCAAGTTCTCGCAACTGCATTCAAATGCGTCTTCTGCAGCCACGAGACGGGCGTGACGGTCAAGCTTGACCGAAAATCAAACGTGGGAAACCTGAGCTGCAAATCTTGTGGACAGACGTTCCAAGGGCCCATCAACAGTACGCTTTGATGCCGAATTTTCACTCAACGTCGCGTTCGCGCAAGCAGTTCTAATTTTGACCATCACAGATCTTTCAGCACCTGTCGACGTCTATGCAGAATGGATTGACGCCTGCGACGCGTTGGCTCACGATACCGCAGCAGCTGCTGCACCACCAGCGTCCTCACAACACTTACAATCGCGTTTACCTACGCAGAGTGCAGGCCGTGCAGGCCTTGCGCCGGGAGAAAAGTACGATACGGGAGATGGCTTCATCGATGATGACGATGCGGATGGCGAGGCCGACTACAACGATGATGATGATTGAGCAAAGCTCTGAGAAATTGCCGTAACTGTTGTCCAAGTGAATGCGCCTGCCGCTCTGAGACGCTCGCTGCCACGCGATTTAATGACCATGTGCGCCTCGGTGCATTGGTGGGTTTGCAAGGACTTCCTGGTTAAGCATCGGCTCTATTTGTTGGCGAACAACCGCCGCGATAAAAGGCTCGTCTAGAAGGGATTGAGCTTCTTGGGAAACCAATTGCCGCGTCGACTTTCCTTGCACCGTCTCGAAACTGACAAATGACGCAACGGGCTACGGGCAGTCAATTCTCAACAAATCCGAATCCACCACAATTACGCAGTACTTCGGTTCGAATTCCGCCGCAGAGTGCGAAGTGATGAGTCGACCGAAGATTGAAGCCTTTCTAGCTAGAATTCCTGGGAGCCTCGTGGCTAGCTTCAAAGTTTTATCGGCTACACCTTCGAAAGCATGAGTCTACCAGAACTACTCTGGTCCAGCATGTCGAGACCTGAATGAATCGCGCCTATCTATCCACCTACCGACCAAGTCGCGCACTCAGGATTCGAAAATATCCGAATTTAATTTTCATTCTTTTCTCTTCAAATACAGGCCATCATGGAGCTCTTCATCTACGATCTCGCAGCCCCCTGGACTGCGGTTCCTCAAGTCTAGAAACTCAGTTACGACGAAGTCGCTCCAAACACATTGTCATTGCGGTAGACTTAACTTGGCCCCAATGTCGTCGTCAAGCGTATACAACCAGGACAATGTCCACAAGCAACGCGACAGTGAAATTGATGAATACTACGATGAGAGCTTCGAAGAAGCTGCAGTGTTGAAGGAACAAAAAACATCGGCGAAGGCCAAGAAGGCCGATGCTCCCGACGCTCCGCAGCAGCTCGGTCGTCTGCCCTGGTACATTCGTGAATACGAAGACAAACGGACCGCCCTCTGGCGCCGGAAATACGCTCCAAAAATGATACAGTTTGTGGCGCCGATGGACGAGACCAGCCGCAAAGCACTATACGAGCTCATCGACGCATGCAAGGACAGAAGTTATTGGGTCCCCGTACTTACAGCGTTCTTCGAGCAATATCCTGAGGCGATGGTCCGGCGTCCGAGCAAAGGCCACGCACTGACGGAACCAGCGATCTCAGACCGGACTGGGAAGAACCCCGCACGAGAGAAAGTGATCGCCGACGTGCAATATGGTATCTTTGGCGGCTGGAGCTTCGAGTCTGCTAATGCAAGAGCCCCAAATCCTGTCCCTGTTGCGGTCGGACCAAAAGGGGAGACCAACACTGATGGACAATGCGACTGTCGATGCCGTGGATGCAAGGCCTCCTGGAGCATGTCGAGACGGATCTCCGATCCCATTGTTTGTCTCGCCCGGCGGTTGAAGGTGGCAGAACGCCGTGACAAGTGTCTGCGCAAGGCATCGAGGAGCCTGTCACTCATGCTAAAAACGAAGACAATATAGCTTCCGGAAGATGTTTGATTCGGAACGATGTTGACGCGCATATAGCTAGTACAAATCAAATGAATGCTCGATCTCTTTGTGCATCTGTATTGTATGGAGACTTCTGCCCAAGCCCTGTAACCAATACAAAGCCAATGGGATTTTCAGATTGACATGGTCCCGATCTCGTTCCGCAGATCATTTCAGAGTCTAGTAAACTTACCCAGAAACACGCAGGCTATACATAACCCATACCAGCGTTACTAGCGAGGCCTCGTGCGAAACTCGAGGAGGCGCACCACGTCGTTCCTTTTCTTAGACACACGCCCCCTCGTTGGGGTGACGGGGGTACTTATTACACAAGGTCTATGAGGCATTCAAGGTCACGTCAATTTCATGTTCCAGCCTACCTTGCCCTGCTCTTCTCTTTGCCCTTCTTCCGCTCGCCGAGGATCTCACGGGTCTTCTCGCGCGGGTCGATGACTTCGATCTCCTGCATTTTCCGTTTCCATTCTAGATCCTTGCCGAGGGTGTCCTTGGCGAATGACAATTTGTGTGCCATCCAGTCTGTGCCTTGCTCGTCTTTGTCGCCGTCTGCGACATCATCGCCGGTATCCCACGATTTACATGATTGGCAATTCGGGATGAAGTGCAGGTCGCAAAGAATGGCTTCCTCGTCGTCATTGATTTCCGTGGCGACTCCAGACTTTTTCATTCCGCCATCCTGCGTGCCAGCTATGTCCTCCTTGGAAGCTTGAGACTTGTCGCTATGGTCAATTCGAATGTCTTCAATAGCAGGTAGACCTTCCAAGCGTTCTTTGAATGCTTTGAACAGATCTAATGCTCCCTGCTCATCATTTCCGCCTTTTCCGCCACGTTTTCGTCCCCGAGTACTCGTCTCTGGGATCATGGCTTCTAGGGCGGATCTGGGTTTCTCCTTGGACGGAGCTTGAACTTCATTCGAGCGTTTCATGGATTTTTTGAGAGCGTCGAATTCTGCCTTTGTCTTCTCAAGCGCGAGAGCAGCTGCGCGTGCTCGCTTGCTTTCTCTTTCACCTCTTTCATCCTCGTCTTCGTCGTCCATTTCCATGTCTGGCTTAGCAGCACTCACAGGCTGCTGCGCACCTAGCGTTTCTCGGTTCGCTACCCGATCCGGAGTCTCGGTGTCGCGCACAGCTTCTGCAGCATTTACAGTTTCATTCCGCTTAGGGAGGCTGGTTGTGTCTTTTGTCTGTTCTCTGTGCACGACTGGCTTTATGATCTTGTCTGATGGTCCATCGTCAACGCTCGCCGCGAATTTCGGATTGACCTTGGCTTTCTTGACGACTGGAGCAAGCGAGTCGTCCCCATCGTCACCTCCAAAGCTCAGTACGTTTTTCCCTGCCGGTTTCTTCCTCTTCTTCAAGTCCTTCTTTTTCTGGCCATCATCTGCTGTCGCTCGAGGCGCGATTTGCGCACGCGCCACCATGTCTTCGAACGGATTCACTATGATCTCGGCTCCTGTGATCTTGGTCGGATAGAGTGGTCTTTCGCTTCCTTCTCCTTCGACTAGTTCTGCATCGGCCATTCTCATGAGGTTGTATATTGTGTCGCCTTCGACTCGACCGAAAAGAGTATTGCGGCCTTGTAATTCTGGAGTGGCCGCCAGAGTGAAGAAGAATTGACTCGCATTGCTATCCTTGCCTTCATTGGCCATGCCCAGGAGGCCGCGCCGGTTGTACTTGAGGCGACTGTGGAACTCATCTTGAAAGTTGTCGCCACCGTTCAAGGCACTGATGCCTCCAGATCCGCTCCCGGTAGGATCTCCTCCTTGTAATATGAAGCCAGGTACTAAGCGGTGAAATATCGTATTGTTGTAATAGCCGTCAAGGCAATGCTGGAGGAAATTCCGCGAGGCTAGCGGTGTCTGTTTCGCAAATAGTTCAATCGTGATATCGCCAGATGTCGTTTGCAAGACGACTTTCGCTGTCGGTTGCGGTTCAAGATTATACACATTTGACATTGGAAATGCTGCAGTGGGTATTCTGTGTACCTTTGAGAAGAAACGCGCATAGGAATTTTAGTGAAGATCTCGGACGCGACGAAGCTGCGATGACGATCAATCGTCGTGACGGTGCCAAGTCATGCATACAGGACCAGCCATGCTAACTCTCGCAGCTCCACTACTTCCAGAAACATAACTATCGATCACATAATAGTACCGAGACGCTCCAAAACAACACTTTGATGCCGACAGAGACGACGAACGAACCGCCAACAGAGACATTGTATGCTAGATTCTCCAAGCACATCATGTCGGAAGTGACATTCGCCAAGTCGTATCTGGCGACTCTGGACAAGCGACCCATCAAGATAGCAGCGGATTATGTTAGCGATCCTAAAAAGTACCCGAATCAGAGTCCTGTATGTGCCAACACGAATCATGTGTCAATGATGGATCATTGATAGTCACCATAGTACATCCTACCTCGCCAAACAAACCCATTTCCTCGAAATGCGAAAGCTTCGTCGTCGCAAGACGCAAAATCGACGCCTAACATCAGCATAACGTTAAAGCCGATGCGGGGCGGCGAGACGGTAACACTATCTGGCATCGCCCTGGACTCAACAATTTATGATGTCAAGACTCAATATGCAGCCAAGACTGGTCTCCAGCAAGACAAGGTTAAGCTACTTCTGAACAAGAAGCCGACTGCCGACCTCAAAACTCTCCAGGAACTCGGTGTGGAAGCAGATGCTGAGCTCAGCGTCATGATCATGGGCGGCGCCGCAGCTCCAAGTTCTGCTACTTCTACTCCTGCCGCTGAAGAGAAGGCATCTCCCGTTGCAGCCGATGTGCCTGCTCCCCAATCTATCGAATCTACAACGTCTGCTCCCAACAGCGAACGGGCCCAAGCGGAAGCTGGAGAGGCGAAGCCTCTTGTGGGACCGTCGACAGCCGCCGAATTCCTGAGGACGGATGAGTTCTGGTCAGATCTTCAGGCGTTCTTGTCACAGCGATTACGTGACGAGGACGAAGCCAAACTTCTAGCCGGTGTCTTCAAAGATGCGTGGAAGAAACTCTGAAGTTCAGGTCATCAAAGGTATCTAATCGGCTGAGATGATGAGTCGACTTGTTGGCCAGCATTATCCTGCGTCAATTTACAAAGAGCTACTGCCACCCTCGTTCTATGTCTATGATGGATCTCGCACTTGCAAATCGGGATACAGGTGTGATGTCACGAACGAATTATTGACGGAATTATGGATATTGTAGGAGCTCGAAGCAGCCCAGGGCGGTTGAAAATCGATTTCATTGACGATGGATCTAGTTCTGCACATGATTCATGAACAGCATACTGTACTGCAGTCCATTCGCGAGTCGTGAAGCACGTGCAAACAATTGAAAGTACAGGCGTGACGAACTAGGCAGAGAACGTAATTCATTCACGAAGAGACGGTGGTAGGAACTTTTCGTTGTGGTATCATACTTCCATGACTTCAATTCCTCCATTGCTAGGTATCCTCGTACAACCAGTCAGATCTTGCGATTGAGAGCCTAAGTGAACTGTCGTCTGGACATTTCGAAATTGGTAACTGTATGAGAGCGCACGGATATGATCACATGCTGTTCTAGTGGCGATTCGGATCGTGATGGTCATGAGGGGATGTCTCCTAACGACCCTTCGACACCCGCTGTACAATGCTGTCGTGCTCAATGTCGTCGGCGTCGTTGGCTTGAATATCAGCGGCAATGCCGTTGAGGGCGCGCTTAAGGGCCTCCTTGGAAGTTGAGTACATCATGCGAGGCTGGAGATTGAGATAAAGTCAGTCGCTGCTGTGTTACGCGCGCGAAGAGGGCCCTGCCCATGGAAATCGACTTACGTATTGCGGCGCATCATCTGGTACCCATGAGATGAAAGTAATCTTAGTGCGCTTGCCCGCTCCACCTTCGGCTTCATAGTCCACATCGTATACAGCGTAGCGACCACCCATGCCCTCCTCACCGCGCTTGTTCTTACTCTTGGCGTTTAGTAGCTTCTCGCGGAAGACGGAGTAATCGGCATCCTTTGAAGTCTCCTCCACGACAATCTCCTTCCAGTCGTCGGAGATCTTGAAGATAATCCACTTGGTGGACTTGCCGAGCTTAAGCTCGTTGAAGGCCTGAACACACTCAGGTGCGACGGAAACACTGCGCAGGTGCGTTTGTCAGTGGAAGGTATAGGAGAATTCTGCGAATCGTAATCGAGATCGAGGAGGGTGATTTTCAGCACTCGAATGACATACCCAGATTGCGCCTGTGGATCGCTAGGTTAGCCCTCTTCAGGTTCAAAAACTATCGCGGTCGACTCACCATTGTGTCTGTCTTGAAAGGTGTGCAATGCAGATGTTGTGGAAGTGCAGTGTAAAAGGTCTGTTTGTCAGAATATGTTAGCGCTTCTCATCACTATGGCGGCACAGCAGAGGCTGCCTACCGAGGGCGGACGCGTAATAGGACAGATCACAGGACAAAACTGCTCGAAAGCCTGCGCAGGCTGACAGCAATAGTGGAGGGCGAATGTACCAAAAGTTTAGGCTGTCAAATGTAGGGGAGACGTGCGTGTCCGTCTGTTTTGCGGGTGAAAGTCTGGATCGTGAACATCGAGTGCTCGGTGCTCCGCAACATCACAGAGGAACACCGTCCTGCAGGCAAAGTGCATGGTGGGGCAATGCCTCCCACCACCGCCAAATCACCACCGCAACCAGTGGTATGGGGTGAGGCGAGACGAGACCCTGATTTCCAAGTTTGTTCTGTTTGTCGAAGTGGGGGAGGAGTGACATTAATGCCTGAGGCCCCGGAAATCGTCATTCTGGCGCTGTCTCTACAGATTCTCTTGCTCACCCTCTCCCGCTCTCCAGGCACTTGAGCAACACTCGTATCATCATGAATACTCAAATAAAGACCTCTAAGTGTTTGGATCCCCCGCAATCATACATAGTTTTCACAGTGGAGCCATCGGGGTTCCGCAGGATGAGCATTGCCTTATACTCCCCACGCTCATGCATCGACATTATTCCAACGGATCATGGGCTCTGTGCTTGTCCACCGAATGTGCGCTCCCGGCGATCTCAGGACAAATATTTTTTGATGTCATCCCGTCGATCTCGCGAATATGAGACTTTCGAAGTCTTTATGATACCTCCTTTTCCTGAAGGTATGCTTCGAGGCACATTCCGTTACAGACACAATCCCGCCATGCTGCTGCTAGCATGAGGAGATAGCTTTGCGCTTCAGGATCGACTGCCGTCTTCCCATGTGGTTTTGTACCGACGCTTCCTGGCGACCTGTCGAGAGCGCCATCACTGCCTATGCTTTTAGACAGCGTTCGTCGTGCGTTGTGAGCCCATTGCAGGAGTTTATTCCGAGCGAACACATCCGCATTAATGCTTGCCATTCGATAAACAATGGCTGCAAACAACGCTGTGCTTGAAGACATAAGTGAAGACGTCTCGTCGCCAAGTTGTTCATGGAGAAGTCCCGACTCTTTGTCATGATCACTAACCGCAGCCGTCAGGATTTCAAACACATACTTGTCAAGGCTGTCGACCTTAGCTCGCATGGACGAATTGCTCTTCGGCCAGGCTGCAATAATCGATCTGACTTGTGCCATCCCGAATGCTGCTACAGCATTACTGACAGACCATGGGCGAGCGTCAGCGAACCTGGGAGGCCCTTCTAAGTTCTTCCACATTCCCTTCCCGCTACCGTCAGGAATCATGAGAACGTCCCTGTGATGCTCAATCTGCCTAACGGCTTCTGAAATGCTCTCAGAATCTTCGTAGACGACACCGTAGTATGCGAGAAATGGGGCAAATTGCCCAATGGCTCGAGAACTTACTTCGAGTCGATCGGCGTGATTGCTGATGGCCCCATTCTGGAATCTGCTCCCAGCCAGAAGCGTCTCTCTTTGTTTGGAAGCGGACTCCATTTGAGGCTTCCAACCCTGGCCGGTCATGAGAGCCGCGATGCCCAAAGACGCAGGAGCTGACGTTGTATCTTCATCTGGAAAAAGCGACTTGCCTTTGACATCAATCAAGTTTGCCACGTAGAGAGACGCCTCGTCCAGTCGTAGACCGAGCGAGGGAGGCCTACCGTCGGGAAAAGGTATACGGCCGAAGACTGATCTATCGGGATCATAAATCTGCATCTTGGCCTCGAACAGAGCGCTTATCTCCCAGGCCTGGTGAGAATAGCGTGTCGCTTGTGAGATGATAGCGGCGATAGGCAGACCATAGTCGAATGTCGTCGCACATATCTCGTAGGACGTAGTGTTGAGGGTCAGGACTGTAGTTGGCTTGACCAAATAAAATCCCATCAGCACCGCAGCAACACCAATGTACAGTGGAAGCGAACTCCATCGAAGATATGTTGATTCTGGTCGAGGCTGGTCACTCGATATGGCCATGTTTCTATCGACCTCTCTTTTAGTCGTACGCGACTTGTCGTCCGAGCTGGCGTCTGCCATGTCTCCAAGATCGAGATTGTTGGAAGAAATGGAACGGTTCCATTTCAAGGAATCCACTGGTCTCATCGGTGTCGGATAGTGGCTCAATTGGCCTTGCTGGGTATAAATTTAGTCTTTTGTCGATTATCGTGTGAACGACGGAAAATACGTTCAATGCACTCCACAGAATTGTGACAGCCACGTCTATGAAGTCGAGACAACGTGCATGGTGCCGCGCATGATCGCACGACCTCGTGCACGACCTACAGCACCAATTCTATCACAAGACGTGCCACTCACTTATCAAACAAGATGTTGATCGGACTGTTGAGCAAGACAAGAAGGAAAACTGTTGGCTACAGTAATTGAGACAAAAACTGTAAAACTTCGGGCCCAACCGCGATTCGAACGCGGGGCCTCTTGCACTTTGGCGAACGAGCCGACCCAAAGCAAGAATCATACCACTAGACCATTGGGCCGAGAAACAATGTTGGCATGGAAACGAGTGTTTGATACGGTGAATATATCACCTGGCTTTGGGGTCCTCTCCGCCTCCATCGAAGTCCTGCACATAATGACGTCGCTCTAAAAATGAACTTCAGAATCGCCCCCATTGCATAAGATCATGAGATAGCATGTCGTGTACTTGAAACATCGCGGGAAACAAGTTCCTACAAGTTTGTGTGATTGGAAAGCATGGGTCTACCGCAAAGGACAGATCCGGAAGAAGCATCGGAAGCCAGACAGCCTGATATCAATCCAGGGCCTTCTTCTACTCGAGATGCCTCCCAACTTCCTCCAGAAGCGCTGGCACTCGCCACCAAGCTCTTCGACTTCGCACGGCAAGGCAAAGCCGCCGAGCTAGAGCAATACATTTCCGCTGGAATCCCCGTCAACCTCACCAACCACAAAGGCGACACCCTACTGATGCTGGCTGCGTACCACGGATACGCGGACACCGTGCGAATGCTGCTCGACCGCGGGGCGGACCCGGATGTCCTGAACGATCGCGGGCAGAGCCCAGTCGCCGGTGCGGTGTTCAAGGGTCATGATGAGGTCGTGCGGATCATGGCGGAGAAAGGAGCGGATTTGGCGGCGGGACAGCCGAATGCTATCGATTCTGCGAGAATGTTCAATCGTACGGAGTACTTGAGATTGTTTCAGGTGGAGGATTCGTGAGTCGGTTTGTAGTATCGAAAAGGCCAATAGACTCTCTTCTTAGTTTGGGCCGATTGCGCGCACAATACGCGCATATCAATAGCGGGTTTGGGTTTGGCATTAGATCCATCCGCTTCGGCCACCTGCTTGTACATTGAAGCTCCCGTGAGCAGGAGCAGAATCGCATTGACCATAACAACAGTCGTGCCTGAAATTACCAGGATGCCCTTCACTCAGTCGTCACCCTCGTCAACCCTGGCCTTCTTTCCTCGTCTTTGACTCTCCTCTTCCTCCGCTGCCCTTTTACTTGCTGTGTTCGATGCCTCTGCGATCATTGCTTCAACCCCAAATGGATCATCTCCACGATCACGTTCGAACTGCACCGGTCCACTTCTCTGCTCGACTGTGTCCGTACCTCTGAAGCCCTCTTTGGGCGCTCTTCCCAGCCCTTCGAATCGCTTTGTGCTTTGAATCTGCTCCAGTGTTTCTCCACCATCCTCGTCGTCCTCGCCAACAGAAGGTCGGTAGATGGAGTTCAGCGCATCGCGCTCAGCAAAGAGTGGTTTGTCGTAGGGCTGATCTTCGTTGAAACCCGCGGCAAAACCAGAGCTCTGGTTGAACAAGCGAGAGTCGTACATAGCTTCACGATTCTGGGTGGGCTTGGCAAGGCCTAGCGCGACCTTCTCGCTAATGTCGCGATTCTGCTCGCGGGCGGCGACTTGAATGCGCCGTTCGTGGCCCATGTTCTTTTGACGATATTCTCGTTTCCGTTCCGAATTCCTCTCGGCGCGCAGTTTCTCCCGCTCCCTTCGCTCGTCCTCCGAGCCATCGGCACTTCGGTCCCGACTAGGGGAGCGTGAATATGATGAGTATGATGACCGGCTGTCGACGGAGCCGCTTCGTGAGCGACGATCTTCGGATCGCCGGCGAGTTGACATTGCAGCTTCCTTGTCCGCCCGCGCTTTCATAGCCAGCTGGCGTAGATGGTCTTCTTTAGCCTCCTTCTCCTTCTCCGCTAGCCTTTGTTGCATGCGTTGTCTCTGTGTAACTTCTTCGCGTGCGTGACGGTCAGCCGTGTGAAGTGCTTCTGCAAACTGAGCGAATTTGTCATTGATGGTGACATCCTGGAGGCCTCGTCCGTCCGCAGCGAGACGCTTATCCAGTGGCACTGTATAACCTTTCGGATTTTTCCAGTTCGAAATCGGGGGCGGGATTTTCCAAGCTTCTTGGTCCTCAGCGGTCAATTTCCGGGGAGGCGACCGCATCACCGGTGGTGGCGGTGACGGCGGCCCTCGAGGAATTTTCTTGATCTTATGCTTTGGTGGCTCGAAAGGATCCTGTTGCCTCTGGACAATTTTCATGATGCGATCCTGCTTCTTACTGTTGTCTCCCATCTGGTTCGCAGGTGTGTACCGGACATAGGTCGGCTCAGGCCTGGAAGTTCCTTTGATGGTTTTCGTCTTTTGCGCAGCCAATGTTCCGTCGACCAAACTCTGCAACGCCTTCTGTGTCCTCTCTTTACTAGCCTGTATGTCCTCCTCTGACGGTCGAGCCAGACTGATGTCGCCAGCATCAGCTCGCTGTCGCAGCGGGATCAGATCCTTGAAGCTGGCATGGATGATTCTTTTGTCGCTGTGGCCGCGCCTTGCGATCGCATCGTATTTGACCTTGCCGTCATTATCTACTTGGATCGCAAGTGCATTCGAACTCGACGCCGCGCCTTTCCTTCCCATGTCCAGAGGATATTGGGCGACAGGAATTTCCGGAAAGGCGCCACCATCACCAAAATCCTCCGCGCCCTTCGGCCGCCATCCTGATCGTTTGCCATATGCTGGAGGTCCGGATTGCTTGACAACGAGCTGCGTCGAGTCGAGTTCGCGTGCGTCCACGACGCGGGGTCCTTTTAATTGGGCGTGGAGCGGAGCATCTTCTTCCTCTCCTGTGTATCTCGGCTTAGGCAGAGATCCAGCCAGAGAAACGCGTGTGTTGGCGAGCGCCATGTTGTAAACCTCCCAGCGAAGACGCTTGTAAGTTCAACGGTCTATGGTATGCGATCTTTTACACGCGTCTCGGGTCGCCTGTGAGTATGTGGCCTTGGACTTCTGAGTCTGAGGCGGCGAGAACAGGAAGCGCTGTGGCCTGCACTTGTATGTGTCGCGGAAGAAAAGTCGACTGCTCGCGCATACATCCGTTGAATAAAGTTATGGATGGTGATCCGAACGTGCAGATCGCTAGTGAGACAGCTCGGCACGTGACCGTAGTTGAAACAACTTCACTCCGACTTCAAGGTTCACGACAGCTTCGTATCGTCTTCAGGCCCTAACTTTGATATGTACATGGCCAAGAGTGATTAGTCCCAATGGCCGAGCTATGTCTGAAGCATTACAAGATGAAGTGATATCGATCAATGCCATCTACGGCCCCGACACTCTGATCGCCTCAGCCGACAAGCCCTCGTCGATATTCATTTTATCCTTGCCATCTCGTCCAGACATCTCCTTGCGGGTAGAGTTCCCGGAGGACTACCCTGACGCGCCACCAGTCATTCTCGGTACGCAATCAGTCGGTCGCAGTGATGGCATTGGGCCCGCGCTTGTCGATGCCTTCTGCGACACTCTTTCCGAGGTCTACGAACCGGGCATCCCGTGTGTCTTCGATGTGCTCGAGGACGCCATGGGCAGGATTCAGGCTCTTCTCGGCGAGCCAGGCACATCGAAAGATGCGCTCTCACCGGGCCCTGGGGAAATGGACGGTCAGGCGCCTGGCGCAGGTACTGAGGACAGCACTCCTGCTGACCAGAGCCAACAGCTGAATGCCGCCGGCGAGAGCAATGCCGGGACAGGCAACGAGTCAAGTTTAGATACAATGGCACCTCCCTGGTTCATCTCCGAGGTGGTGACGGAAAAGAAATCAGTCTTCGTAGCGCGTGCAGCAGCTGTTACTTCTGTCCAGCAGGCTCGTTCCTTTGTGGCACATCTCCTTTCAACGGACAAGAAGGTAGCCAAGGCGACCCACAACATCACCGCGTGGCGCTTGCGAGGTAACGCAGATGTCGGCGGAGCTCAATTCAAAGATTGCGACGACGATGGCGAGAGTGCGGCTGGTGGTCGCCTTTTGCATCTCCTCGAGTTAATGGGAGCTTGTGACCTCGTTGTAGTCGTATCCAGATGGTACGGAGGGGTTCATCTGGGACCGGATCGGTTTCGTCTCATCAATCAATCTGCCAGAGATGCGATTTCCAAGGGCAATTTCACGGCAAGCGCCCAGACTGAGACCGGTGATGGGGGCAAGAAGAAAGGCAAGAAGTGATTTACAAAAGTTGTTGAATCTATCAATCATGACGAGCTATGATATAGAGCACGAGATAGAAAAACGAGATAGGGTCACATTTTGTAAAGATAGATTTCATTAGATCGTAGACATTGTATACTGCTATCATTCAGAGTAAATCTGGTGACAGTGTGTGAAGAACCCTTCTCTCCCAACGTCGTGATATGTATCACCTTGCGTGATATCTGGTATCGTTCATCCTTCTAGTTCCCGTGCGCCAATAAGGTAGAGGGCAAGCGCCTCTCCGTGATCAAATTTACCGCCGAGGCTCCATCAGAGAGTCCTGTCCTACAACTCCAAGTTCTCCTCCGATGAGAGTCAAGGACCCCAAAAATGCGTCAGATGTAACGCCTGTGTGAACGCCTCGCCGAACGGATATCATATATCAAATATTGCAAACAGTAAAGAAAATGTGCAAATGCCTGGTGTCGAGGCTGGAGCTCACACGCAGAGCAGATGTGATGATATGCTTGGCCGTTGCCCAGCAGGAGCGAATGATTGCTGCTCAGGCCGTTGACGTTGAGGGATTCCAGCCAAGGGCGAATCATCTTGTATCTCGGTGATTGAAGGGAACGGCGGCAACGTGATGACAGGAGCCCGCTCATTGGCTCCCCGAGCCACCATCCTAGTCCGAACGCTCTGGCTGCGGCCGAGGAAGCCCGTAGGGCTGTAATTTGAGCCTGCTGGCGCAGGTGGTAGAGCCGAGATGGACTCATGGCGCTGATTGTTGCTCGATGAGTGGTCGGCAATTGTGGCGCTTGCGGTTGAATTGCGACGACTGAGACCCTTTCCGAGGCGCGACATGGTCAGACCACTGGGGAGACGGCTGGTCTTGCGGCGTGCCAGGCTCGTCGGACTAGGAGAGGCTGGGAACGTGGGCGACCGTCTGTATGGAAATGTCTGTTCGTCTTGCAGCCATTCAGCAACCGTAATGCCTTGCTCGGAGGCTGCAGCACTGAGACTCGATGTCGGCGAGTGCATCTTCAAAGCAGCCTCGAATAACGGTACACTGGGAGGTATACGAGCGGCTCGACGCTTCGGAATGTTTAAAGTTCCTGCTTCTGACGCATTTGTAGCTGATGAATGGCCAGACTTGGTGTGCGCAGTATATGATGAGTCGCTGCAATCTTCTTGGCTGCTGCGGGAGCGGCTTCCGTCGTTGCTGATCGTCTCGTCGTAATCCCGCAGCGGCAACGATCGCTGACGTGCCAGTGATGGTTTTCTGCTCGTCAAAGATCGTGACCGTCTTGTGACGGAAATGACACGAACCTCTCCGGCAGGAAATAAGGTGACGGCTCGAGCTCGACAGCATCTGACATTCTCGGGATTACGTGCAGGCGCTCCCAATATTGAGATCTCGGGTTGAGAATCTACAGAGGACAGCGAGCATAGACTCATGGCATCGTCGTCCACTGACGACGCGCTCTCTTCCTCAGAGGCATAGGTGTGGAAGTAAGAGATGTTGTGTTCCGCAATATCTGCGAGCGAGGGTGATGGTCCACTCGCAAGTGGGACCTCGGTTTTAAGCATTGTGGATAAGTTGGATGTCGTTCGAGTTGGCGATGAGGTCGCAAGCTCAATATCCTTGTGAATAGCCATTGGCCTTGAACCGCGCTGTTCGCGATCAAGGATGCGTATGTGATCAGTCGGGCTTCTGCGGTAGAGATGTCTAGATATACACTGTCGGAAGGAATGCTGCTGCGTAAGGGGCAGGGCGACGTTTCATGTGTATGGAGGAGGAGAACGCCATGATGGGTCTGCGCGAAAGGGAACCAGAAAGGATATGTATATAACATTGGACTATAGTCATAAGCAGGAGTAGGACAGGCGGGCGTGGGTGGGTTGCAAGTGGTGATAGCGTGGACGTGTGCGCGCGAGCAGTGTGAGAGGACAGCCCACACGAATCGATGGGCTACCAGACACTAACGAATACGGCTGCAAAAAGGATGACGACGGTGCACCGCGCCGGAACGAAAGGGTTTCAAGGTTGTGTGGTATACACAGGAGAGAGAGGCACGATGATGATGTGAGAACATACCTAGGTCAGAAACGTGGAAGGTACATGCTGCCCATGCCGTGCCTGCACTAAATTCCGTCCGGCGCATCATACCCGACCTGGCTAGCGGAGACTTGCGAAGGAACGGCGTAGGCGGAACACGGCGTAGGAGTGTGTCGGGGTGGTGCAGCAGAAGCAGAAAGCGCGACCGAAAGCGTCGCAGTATCATCAATCAGCTCCAGCACCAGCAGCCGGGGTTGATTCTCTCTCATCACTATCACTTGGTACCGTTGGTGGAAGTGGTGGCCTGTTGGCTGAAGGAGCGCGCCCACCACGGCAGGCCAAGGTGCAAGGGCAACGTGCAGGGATCGCCTTCAGCCGGGCTTATGGATGGCCTGATGGACAGGCATCATCGCCGGCGGTCTTTGACTTGGTGATAGAAGTCCGATAGAGCCCGGATGAGGAGACAACATAGCTGATCCTTGAGAACTCCAACTGTCACCTTGGTCCTGGCTATTCTCCATACTGGACATAGATCGGTTGGCATGTGGGTCCTCTCTGTCATCACAGGAGATGTGGTCCACACGGTTTCAAGTGTAACATTGCTAGAGGGGTTTACAGTGCCCTCTCGTCTTTGAGCAGGCATCGTGCGCAGCGCAGCAAGCATGCGGTGCTCTACTTTAGGCGGTATCAGCGTGAGCTACACTCATCTATTAGTAGGCTCTGGAAATATCGGCCCGGAGAATGGGTGCTGGGCGAGTGGTCAAGGGACTCAATCCGAAGGAAGACACGGAGGAGGCACAGAATCTTGGATCTGGAGTGCAGCGAGGCACGGAAACACGGCCACCGTGACTCGAGCGCTGTTGATGCACCAACTACGAGAACCAACTCGAATCGGCAAGACTGCTGCAGTAGGCCGGCCGGCCGACCTCAGAGGCCGAGTTTTCTGTTTGCAGGGGACTAAAATCCGATCGGCTTACTTTTAGTGGATGGAGGCTGACGAGCACAGCAGAAAGGTATTACGCACAACTCTACGTATCCGGACACTGATTGGGGAGATTAATCCTGGGTGATGCAGGGAATCACAGATATTATGGGATACACGACAAGGAAATACTGCGGCATGAGGGTAGATTTCACCGGAGGATTGGGTCAGCACGAGCGAGAAGACGCCGTACGTGTCTGTTTTGTCGCATGGATGCGCTTCCACATAGATATTCCGTTCAGGCGACACTAATAATCGGTCGCCTGTGACAACTTCTAGCATTCAACTCTGGGCATTCTCTGGTCTCATGAAGGATCAGATGATACATTGTGAGAATCCGAAAGTGCCCGAGAACACGCTTGGAGACTGGGTCTCACACGGTAAACCTCATGCGCCTCTCCGAATTATGCTTTGGGATGCGGCGGCGGCGGTGCGAAGACGGAAATAGGTTGGCGCACACGAGGCGGCCACACAACGTGCAACCGCTGCAGCCGTCCACATGAGAAACGGTTGGTGGAAAACGATGCCCACGGGTTGGGTTGGGTTGGCACCGGCGGCGGTGCATGGACGGATCTCGGCCGGTAGGATTCAAAATACCCTTGGTGGCTGTCCAGTCCATTTCAGGTATCTTGCCCCGCGACGCCCTACTTTACGAGAATGGTCAGCATGCGTGCCCTGAGAGACTGCGACAGAGCTGCTCTTCTATGGCGTGCGCCCGCGTAGACATGCCTGCCATCCCACACATTTCCACACACAGGCCCATGGCGACGACGAGGACGACCGGCGACTCACCATCGTTTAGGGCAAGGCGTCTTGGCCCAGTTCATTCATAATCAATGGCCATCAGGAGACTTGCGACATGGGCATGCTGTAGTACGCTCAGAGAATTGTGTTCGTTCGGCCCAGACTTCGTCTCGACACGCGACACAGACAGACGGTGAGAAACACGTGCAAATCGCGCACACGAGCAGTGCACTGTTTTTCCGCTGAGAAGTATATTTCGCGTGGGATAAATGAGCAGGCTCAACGTAATCTTGAAATTGACAGACTCCTGGTGTCTCGAGGATCCTGCAAGTACTTCATATTTCGATCTTCAGATTGGACGTGTTCAGTCCCATAGAATTCGACTCATGCCGATCGGGGTCCCGAGTACGCTGCTGGCTGTGGGATGGAGGTTGTGGTCAGCCCCACATGCTGTGCGTGGTCAAACGCCGAACTGCACAGGTACCGCTTTGTCTGATGCGGCATCACGACCGCAGGGAAGGAAACCAAGCCCTCCAGCTACCTTGGGTACTTGCAGGTGCGTGATGGTGCTGTAGAAGATACGATCGTGTCATGTCATGCCTACCTCTAGCTACTTAGGTAGATACCCATGTTAAATTCCGTCTTGACCCTGCCCAAGTGGCAAGATTTATTATTACAGATCTCATGACGACTTGCAAGGTGTACGCCTGCCATCTGCACATTCTTTGAACTCTGCTCCCTCGCTCCCTTGGAACGGATCGAATGATGCAGGTGATGATGATGGTGTAGCCAGGGCCAGGAATCTCCGCAACTCCATACTTTTGCACGGAAACCGAGAGAGGCACCGTCGATTCTGGAGAGGGCAAGCTACTGTATGCTGCTGCAATCCTTCGCATTCCCTCAGCTCTCACTCGCGTACTTCCAACGTCACGACCCTGTGATCACCACTGACGGGGTCCTGTCGCATCGCGATTCCAGGAATATTCGCTTTATGAGAAGGCTGAATGAATCCGCTGAAAATCAGCTTCGGCTGGTGACGATCAATGGTTGTCGATCATCGACGCAGCTTTCCCATCGTGACGCCTGCAGGATTCTCATGACGAAAAATTTGTGCGAAGGACTGGCAGCTTTCCAAACTCGGGCGTAGAGCGACTGCAGGCAGATCGGCGCGCATGTCGTCCATGTGAACACTTCGATTCCCTTTGGGGTAAGCTGACGACAAACGGACTCGTGTCGATCATACACCCCATGTGATACAATCGAAGACCCTCTCTTAACACCTCACCACACGTCCAACATAATGATTCTGTCCTTCGTCCTGGGAGGAAGATTTTCGGCATCGCGATCCGCGTCATAGTCGAGTTGTCAAGGGCAACTTTCATGCTTATCCTTCAGCTCTCAGTCGACATTTCGTCGCGACGTCTGCCGCCAAGGAAGGATGTGAACATCTGTCTACTCGCGGAATCATAATCATGTGAAATATGCCAACGTCGCCATCAGATCTACGCTTGTCAGCCCTGGCCATCGAGAATGGCTAATAACTCCGGGGACACATCAGGGAAGATACTCCGCGGTGCACCACCGGGACGTGCCCATTGATATCCTCGGGGTTTCCAGCTCGGTGACATAGCTCTGAACAATCATCGGCTGTGTCGTTCCAACACAACGACACTGCACTTGCATCGCCTCTTATGCTCAATCCTTGCTCGTACGTGTGAATTGTTGATAGTCTTGCGAACGAGGCCCTCTTACTGCGTTAATAGTGTTTTCGGGAGGATGACTTTGTTGGTTACTCCTCCGGCAAGGACGGTCACACCAAGCTATTGCTCGCACGCAGAGGCCATACCTGTTACAAGCAAACTCAGACACTGCCCCATAGTCAAGCGACGCATCGCATTTGCTGTAGGAGTTGTCAACCACGGGCCTCTGTAGTTTGATTAACACCGAGAACCGTTCGTCACCAACCCTAACACAATATGCTAAATCTAACCCAAACCCTACTACATATTCAAGGCAGAGCTCAGCCTCAACAGTATGTCGTGTATCGTAGCTTGTGCCTCTTGGGTCACACATTGGTCTCCATGCTTGTGCATCGCCGCATCTATTTGGAGCGAATTGTGGACACCGCTGCATGTAGTGGCGAAGTCATTCAATACGACGAGTATCATTGACAAGAAGGCACTGCGCCTCGCAATGAACCATGTCCCGTTATGTACAGTCTTCTGCAGGCGGCCGTTTGTGCATTTCTCTGGGGCGCAGCCATTGTTGGTACCACGATAACACTCACATGCTTTCGATGCATCGTGTACAATGGTAAACCGTGACGACGCGTGACCGCTTCGCACACGCCACTGGCTAACCATTGGAAGTGGTGTGTAGTGCGACTGTGGCACCGAAAGCAGGAGATCCCAAATGGCGACACTGCGGAGTCTTGCATATGCTGTGCCCAGAGTGTTTGATCTTGTGAAGCGGATTTGGAACCATTACCCTTTGAACCCAGTACCTGTCGGCATGAGAAGAAAGCGGACGAAGTCCTCCACCACAACCGCAAGATTGGATATGTGTACAAGTGCAAGATCGCATCATAGGCGAAAGGGCAGGGGAACTGGTTTGCGGCCAAGCACGTGGCTACGACGACGGGGAGAGATGGAGAAATAGTCGCTCATGACGCAGGCACGTTATGCTTTGATTCAGAGATATATAACATCATGATCTCACCCATAATCGTCATCATTATCATCATCATCGTCGTCATAATATTCGTAGCAATCATCACTCATGATGGTTGTCGTCCTCGTAGCCGTCATGATCATGATAGGATATAATCAGCTGCTGCGTGTCTTCTAATTTGACAAAATCGCCATCACAAATGACTGACTGTCTCCGCACCATTTGATTCTGCTCGCGTAGCGTGGTACCTGACCAGGGAACAGATCAAGAAGTAGCAGCAGGTTGACCGCGACCACGGCCGCCTCCTCTTCCGCCACCATTGGCTCTTCCCCGACCACCGCGTCCGCGTCCGCGACCACGGCTGTCATTGCTGTTGAGCTCTGCCGGTGGTGGAACATTGCTGTAATTTTGAGGACGGAAGTGAGTGTTATTCGTATTAACGCCCTCGGTTGGGTCACTGTTGTCGACAATTGTGAAGCCACCTCGGTTGGCTCCGCCACCACGGCCGCGATAATTGGAAGAAGGCGAGTCATTGTAACCACCACGGCCACCACGACCACCGCCACGGCCGGAGTTGTTTGGCGGACCACCACGCGAAGCAATTGCGCCCTTCCAGCCACCACGAAGTGGAGGTGGAGTTTGAGACTGAACGAGGCGGGGCCCACCTGGCGAACCATAGGATTGGCTGGTGGATGAGTGCCCGTTGCGGAGAGGTGTGACCGATGACTTAGGTGCCCGTTCACGGGCTGCCTGCGATTGAGCCAGCACCTGTCGATCCGAGACATTGAGAACTGCATCCGAAGGCACGGTACTGCCACGGAATGGAGAGCAGCGCCCATTCAGCGTGGTACCACTCATGAAGGTTGAGTCGAAGACAATATCCAGCAGAGTGCTTCTAGGAGTCCGCGTTTTGCCCACGACTGTGCCTCTCATGGCGATAGGAACACGACCAGATTCGAGTACATATACAACGCGATCTCCGAGAGAGAAGTGCTGTAACTGAGTTCGCAGCTGAGCCTCGGAAGGCTTGAGAAGCGCCATGCGAGGAACACCGCCTATTTTTTGACCTTGCATAGCGACAGGCTGAGCAGCATTCGCATCGGCTGCGGCTTGGATAGCCATCACAGTATCACCGTCCAGCTGTTCTGCGTCTAGTGGGACTTTCTCGAAAGACTTGGTCTCGACGCTCTTCAGCCACTGACCGATCTCCTTCATCTTCGCCTTGGCCTCCTGTGGGTCGGGGTAAAAAGCGGTGTCCTCCCAGTTGTCTCCAGATGGATTGGCAGAGATCCTCGCAATGAACTCGGGGAATTTGACCATGTACTGTGCAATCAGATCGATAGCCTTCGGCGAGTACTCCCAGCCGTTGGCGGATTTGCGACTGTAGCCTAGCACCTTGAGCCCCTTGGATTCGAATTTGAGATTGAGACCAATGTTCAGTCTCAGGCCTGACGAATGGACATTGAACGCTGACGTCAACTTCGATAGCACCAGCGGGTGTAGATGCAATTGTCGCGCCACAGCGTAGGACGGAGTGTATGCGAGTGATCGTTCCGCCTGTTGAACAAGGTTGCGGCCAAATTCAGGCTCTCGCGCGACGAGTACTGATACCCAGACTTCTAACTTATCGCCGCCGACGTGGCCTGTGACCTCAAGTGGCCGACCGTGCGCCATGTCGCCCAAGAAAAAGGCGCGTGTGCCGAGCGGGAAATCTTGCTCGATCGGCAAGGCAGACTTCTCAAGGAAGCGCTGATCCTCGCTGACAACACGGTCAACGACGGTTTGACTGGCATAATCGACCTCGATGCCCTGGATTTGTGCATAGTCTTTGACGGTAGCACCCAAATCAGTCTTGCGAAGGCCAACGAGGGGCTCAATCTGGACGAGGCTCTCCACAGGACCAATAACAATGCCTAAACGTGTGCTGTACACCTTCTCAATTCGCGTTGCTTTTTTCTTCCAGTCTTCAATCTCGCGGTGTGAGTGTTCTTGTGAGATGACATTTGTCCCCTCGGCAGGAAGGTTGGGGTTCTGAAGTGAATAAGTGAAGAGCTCGTCGCTGACGCTGTAGACCTTGCCTTCCTGCAAGAAGGGATAGCCGATGTGGACTGCTTTACCCAGCTTCTGTTTGGCATGGGAAACTGTGCTTGTCGTTTCACTGTCCGCAAGAGTGATGACCATGCTTTCATTTCGGCTCTCTTGCTGGAAGACTGACACGCCGTGGAAGCCCAGCATGCCATTGGAAGGGAGGGTACGCAAGCTAGGAAATCCGGCAAGAGCAGCCTCGCCAAGCTTGACACCGTCCATCAACCCTACATAGACATCCAAGCCATCCATAGTAGGCAGTTCGTAGATATTCTCGACGACATGGCAGTGCTCAAGGTCCGGGAAGACACCAGGGATTGTGCTGGGATATGTGTAATCCACCTGGCTAGAGAAAGTGAACTTCAAGCTCACTCCAAATTCGTTGCGCTTCTTTTCCGCCTCCGAAAGCAGTGGGTCTTTCGACGCCATCGCCTGGAGCAAACGGGTTTCGTCAATGAAAGGGATCTTTACGACCGCCTCCCACTCCATTTTTTTGCCATTCATATCGAGTTCGAAATCGCGAGGGTAAAAGTCAACGATTGGACTGCTTGGGTTGGTCATCAAATCCCAGTAAACCTTAGGCACAATGCTCTTGCTACGATCCGGCAAGACACCCATGAGCTGCTGGAATGGCCGGAAGGGTTGGCCGAGCTTGAAATTCATGTCGGCACCCAGTCCCTTCTTCACATCACTAATCATAGGCGAGTAGTGATATTGGTAATACCAGGGCCAGGAGGCAATGCCGCGGTAATAGTAGAAAAGCACCCATTGCAAACCTTGCACATAATTCTCGGTGAGTTTCTTGATTTCGTCATCATTTTCGGCATCCCACTCGAACTTCGAGGTGTAGTATTTGTTCTTCCATCCTTGGAAATGCTTGTCATACTTTTCCTGCGCCTTCAATTGCGCATCCGACGCGGAGAGGTCCTCAATCTTGGCCCGGTCGTACTGCTTGAATACTCGAAGCAGCGCATTCTGGGATTCTTCGTCCTCCTCGTCGTCATCTTCGCTGATGCGCGGTGGCAGACTCAGCGACAAGTGTCGGTTTCCATCATCATCCAGGATACTTTTGCACTCCAGGTGAAGACCGCTAGCCAGCTGCTCGACAAAGGCGCGATCTGCGGCGTTCAGCGACGCGGACATCCCAAGGGGAGGCAAATCGCCATCGGAGGCCGCGCGACTGTTGACATATTGCTTGATCTTCTGATACAGCACCCTCTGTCCGGAGGTCATGCTCTGAATCCCTCTCCTCTTCACCTTCTCCATTACATCGACTTGGTGGACGCTCTTGTCCCTCATCCAGCTTGCGTCGGAATTTTCCTGCTCAAAATGGCGGAATTCCACTTGACTCAGTTCATTGAGCAGAAGTCCGAGTCTTCTCAGATCAATGACACCTCCGTCGTTGATGTATCCTCCAGCTTGAGGCAGTACCTTCCGGTAGGTCTCAAACATGAGCGCCAGCGCCCCTTCGTTGATGTGTAAATGGGGCAAATTCGGAAGGAAATCGTTGCCGACGAAGAACGCCATGAGAATGAAATCATCTATGATTCTTTCCATATCAAATGTAATCCCAGGCAACTTGCCAGGTTCTTTTAATTCCTGGAATTCGAGTTCCAGGTACTCGCGAACAATGCACAAATGCATCAGGTAGAAGTTTTGATGTTCGAGTTCTTGACTCTTGGCTTGACTCTTGCGGCCAAAAGTGACCTCTTCTCGAAGTAAGCAGAAATGCGGGTCATGAGAAAGCAGTCCCAACATGATGAGGTCAGCGTCTAGACCGTAACAGCAATGGCGCACATTCGGATTGTAGTTGGGTTGACTCTTTGCCTGGCGGATGTATTCCATGATTTTGTGTTCTCCTTCTCCAGGGACTTCGTGGCCCGAAAGAACAATGTCGCAGCCTTGCCACTCAACGTCTTCGCTGATCTTCTTCGCGATGAAATACTTCAGCTGACGAGTGAGGCGCGCCATGAAATCTGTGCCGGGCGTAATACAGTTTGAATCGAACGGATCCTCTTTTGGAAGGGCCAGACCCTCCGCTACCGCCTTGTCACGAGCACGCTCAGCGTCAAGTGCAGTTCGAAAACGACGCGAACGCTGCTGATTCATCTTCGCTCGCGGGGCAACACCGTCGATGGCCAGAAAGAAAAGCTTTTGAGGTTTGATCTTGCCAAAAAGATGTTCGATATAGTTGAAGATCTTGATGAACATGTCCTCTTCTGATACGCGAGCCTTTGTAGCAGAGTCGCTGTCGTTATGAGTACAGTTGTGAATAATACCATTCATGTCAAGGTAGAGATTGTCGAACTCGGGAATGCGATTCTCAGCAATCAACTGCGATATGGTTGGATAACGCTCGGAGAGCCATCGGAAAAACTTTGGAACACCCATGTTCGCTACTTTATCCAAATACGCAGTACGAGGATAGTGTAAGGATAAGGCCAGAGGGGATGGCACATGAAACGATGGAAGAAAGAGGTGACAAAAACTGTACGACGACGACTTTCAGACACGGAGTCTATGAAAGAAGAAGAAGGGCTTTAGGTCGCGCCACAACGAAATGTATATATTCTCCCAAATGCGCTTTGCATGTGGTCATCGACAATTGGTAGAAGCTAGCCCTCGGATCGTGCCGCCACTTAATTCGCCTGCTCTCGCGCGCTCGCGTCGCATTGACACGCATGCAGCCTATTCCCATAATCACAAGCTTCAGTACAAGCTCTATGAAATTCGATCGACAGATCAAAGCGCGAGTCAATCCTGTTTGACCCACCACCCGTCAAATCGCCAGATTCACCAACAACGACGACGACACTTACCGCACGCGAGATCTTGTGCCCGAACCTCTAATAACCCAGGATGGACGAGAATGGTAAGAACCGTTACCAGCGTCGAATCATGACCTCTGTTGGCTGTGAAAGCATGCGACTGTAAGCTCATATTTGCAAGCAGATGCCCTGCAGGGCCAGTCGATTGAGGACCGTGAGATCATCCAGAACAAGATAATCAACGAAGAATACAAGATATGGAAAAAGAACGCAGTATTCTTGTACGATGTATTGTACAGTCGGGCTTTGGAATGGCCGACACTGACTGCACAATGGCTTCCGGACGTTCAAGAGGTACCTGGAAAGCCATTCCGTAAACACCGACTTCTTCTGGGCACACACACATCCGGTAGCTCAACAGACTACCTTCAAATCGCGCGCATTGAGCTTCCGAACCCTCCACCAATGACCGTCGCAGAGTATAATGCAGCGTCAGAAGAGCTGGGAGGACACGGTGCGAGCAAAGAACCTATCACCTTCTCCATCGACCAGAAGATCGTTCATCCTGGCGAGGTCAACAAGGCGCGCTATCAACCACAAAATCCAAACATCATTGCGACCTGGGCAAACAACAACAATGTTTATATTTGGGATCGTACCAAGCACACGAGCGAGCCTGCGAACAAGGAGGATGTCAAGCCGCAAGCGACACTCAGGGGTCACACTGCTGAAGGATTTGGCCTGGAATGGAATCCGTTTGTCGAAGGGCAGCTCTTGACGGGTTCGGAAGACACCAGCGTGTGCTTGTGGGACGTAAAGCGCGACTTCAGTGTCGAAAACTCGGACATATCACCAGCCCGACGATTTACTCATCACTCGGCAACAGTCAACGATGTACAATACCATGCGTTGTACGGACAGAACTTCTTCGGCTCGGTATCGGACGACATGACTATGCAATTCATGGATTTGCGCTCCGACACAAATGAACGGCCTGCAATCTTGTTCAAGAACGCCCATACTGACGCCATCAACACTCTATCATTCCATCCGAAATATGACAAGCTCTTTTGCACTGGTTCGGCGGACAAGACAGTCGGTGTCTTCGATCTGCGATTCCCAGAACACGGCAAGATCCACAGCCTTGAAGGCCATCGCGAAGTGATCACGAAAGTTGACTGGCATCCACATGACCCGGCGATCATCGCATCGAGTTCTGAAGACCGACGCACGATATTCTGGGATCTTTCAAGAGCGGGCGCCGAGCAAACGCCGGAAGATGCCGAAGATGGGCCACCAGAGATGTTGTTCATGCACGGAGGTCACACCAACAGAATTAGCGATTTCTCTTGGAACAGGAACGATCCTTGGGTCATGTGCACCACGGCAGAGGATAATCTTCTACAGGTTTGGCGTGCGAGCAGGCGCCTTGTCGAGGTCAGTTCAAGCTAGAGTTCCGAGAGTGTTCAACCCTTTAACAAATACTGCAGGCAGCGCCGACTGGTGTACCCCGGGGAGAGATTAGCGAGTAATAAAAGTTCAATACGCAGCATTGACTTTCAGGCGTCAATATGACGTAAAGCCTGGGCTGTTCGAATTTTTTGCAAGATCGCGAGAAACCCGCGGTCACGAATGAAACGAGGCGATGTTATTGTGCAGTCATCGGTTGGGGCTGATGGATGGCCGCGTCGAATTTCACGCGGAAAAAGGCGTTCGAGACGCGTCGCAGTAGAGAACTGTGATGTGGGGAAATGCAAAACCGAAATCATGGTGTGTAATAAATTGTCTCGTGTTCTGTCCAATGTTTCCGGATGGAAAGGCAGACTCGCACGCTCCGAGGGCTGTGCTGGCGGGATGTCTAGTCGCACTGCAACGATGACAGAGCATCTGGGCCAACAGAAGAACACAGCCTCAATCAATGTGAACTCTTGCTTGTCTTGGCGGAACTTTGTACCTCCACGAGCGCCGAGCCTAGAACAACCATATCCACACCAACAGATGAACCAACGCGCAAACGGCCGAGGGAACAATTTTAAGGCATCATGCAGGTGTTCGCACAGATTGACCGTGTCGGATTGTCAGCCGCTGCTAACAAGCTCTTCGTCCAAGCCCGAGCCGACTCGGAGATTTTTCGTCATCACCTGGGCACCAAGTTATTAGCTGCTTGAGACGATGTCTGCCCAGGTGGCGCTAATTGCGCCGCCCGTCAGCTTGGATTATAGCTGTCATCGAAGGAAAAGAGCGCACCTTGTTGCTTCCAAGGTCTCCATGTATACTGTACCTGACATTCTCACACCATTACCCGCAGAAGTATGAAATAGAGTACCGGACATCCCATGATCAGGGCATGTTACATGATCTCACGAGAGCTCGTCAACTTGCTCGTCAACTTCAAATGTCTATGTCTCGAAGCTCCCGAGCGACGTTGGATGATCATTTCACGTTCGACAGATCATTACATGAATGTCATCTCCTTGTCCAATTTCATCATGAAAATGCTGTGCATTTCGCTTCACGTAGACGTCTAATCATCTTGCGGAAATCCACCGTAGTTTGATAGCACCTGAAAACCGTACACTGCAGGGCTGTCAACGAGAAGCCCGGGTCCGAATGGAAGTCTTGCGACGCGCATGATGGATTTGCATGGCCACATTCTCCTCCCTCGGGCGTCCTGGTCATGAAGAATTGCAGTCCACCTGCGCAGTTGCATCATCGTCCCGCCAATAATGGAAGGATCAATAATGGCGGCATCTGCAACCCGTTGGCACACCTAATGTTCCCTTACTTGCGCAATCCGACCTTGCCCAGGTGCCCAGGTGTGTGGGGAGACTTTGGGTTGCCATCTGGGCGGGCTCTAGTGAAACGGCCCTCTTAGTGGCACCCATTTGTGGGCTAACCCAGCCGAACATGTTTTTCTTCCACCGTTCCGTTTCCAGCGTCATTGCTATTCTTCACCGGGCACTCCCAACCTTGAAAGTTCACCAATGTGCATGTTGATACCAAAGCCTCCGCCTCAATCTGCAATGCATCATGTAATTTCCACACGCATGCATGCGACCCTAGTCGCCCTGAAACCTTGCGAATGGGCCTCCAGCTCCCTCAGGCGGTGCCGGCGTTGCTGGCGTCGTCGGAGCTGCTCCCTACCTACGTAGGAGATCGAGTCAGAGAGGGCGCTGGGCAATGCCCGTGTGTACCCAGTCATAGTAGTGATAAATGTCGCGAAATTTCCATGGTAACACATCGCAGCGTAGTTTCTTTGGACCTACCAACGCGGTCGTTGAAACTCGCTATATGCGTTCATCTTGATCGATTTTGAATATGATCTAGTTGGAACTTCGGACACAAGTTTTCAAGACCGTCGGTTGCTAATGAATACCCCAAGCAAGAGGGACTCTTCGACAGGCTACGCCGGCAGTTGCACAACCAAATGTCTGGGGTACCGGGCCCAGACGGCTTCGCCGGCGCCGAAAATACATGCCTGGGATGCAGTGTTTGGGGGTCATACTGTGTGAGGCCTCCCTTTATTCGATGCTTGCCTAACCATCTGCATGCATTAGGTATTGTCTAACCTCTGTTTTAGTTGATTCACGGTCAATATAATGTTCGAGTCTTCGAAGAGGCCTTCACGACCAACTTTGTTCAGGCTAGCACACCTCAGCTTGCGTTGAACCCCGATCTTCATGTGGAACATTCGGATCCTGATCCATATCAAAGTGGACAAGAACAAAACTATCCGCCATTACCTCTCAACCTTTGTAATCAAAACCTGCAAGTCCCCCGAAATCATGATTGGTACGCAACCTCGACTTCCTCCGCATCCATTCAGGGATCCTCCAGATCCTCCAATCCCGTCGCAGCTGGACATTTCCACGATGGCATCTTCAGCTCTATTAGTGCCGGCGGCGCAGACATGTCGGGCTTATCAGCTGAGATTGCTGAAAAGTCCGATCCGTGCTTTCCCCCAACACCAGAGGTGTGCCTAAGTCACACTGGAAACGCGGAAGCGCTTACGAGCACTGTCCTGGGCCACGAACCACCCTTTACCAATGGAACAGTGACTGACGAACAGATGTCGATATTCCATCGCTACCAAACAAAATGGAAAAGCGAACATCGCTTCCCACGAGATGATGAGATCAACGCTCTTGCTATCCTCGAGAGTTTGGATCCTGCCGCTGTCCGCACTTGGCTTGTAGCAAATTTCCATCAGGATCCGGCCTCCAACACCACAGGGAGTCAGATACCACAGGATGCATTTCAGACCATACCACAAAGCGTAGACTCGGACATCGCACACATGACACTTCGAGGCATAGTACAGGGCGAACCCCAGGTGATACAGCAAGACAGGCCCCAAGCTGTACCACAAGGGGTACCTCAAGATGTATCACAACGCCTTTCACAAGCTCTTCAGGACGTGGAAAGGCTTGCGGCTCGCAAAAATCATTCACCCTGCGGCGAAAGCGCACAAGCGAGGCAAGGTCCTCCTAATCAAGTGTTTAAGTGTCCCCACTGTCCGTTCTCCTCGGATAAGTACGACAATTTCAAACGCCACATCCAGACCAAATACCCTCAAGATTTCTGGCACTGCCAACCTTGTCGCCAACGAAGGATCAATAATTTCGTTTGTCATCGGGCTGACAAAATTGCGAAACACCTTCGTGACGCCCACGGGCTGACTGGCGAAGACAACGCAACTGCGAAAGAGAGATCCAAGGTAGACTTTTCGGCTTATTTCCCGACAGAGTGTCCGTACTGGGACGGCGTTCGGCAATGTGCCCAGCCCCTGAATTCATGGGTTGAGTACATCACCCACCTCAAGAATCACTGCCTGGATCGGATTCCCAATGGCCCATGGGAGCTTCGTGATCGCCCGGACGCAGACGACAGGGACCAACCTGGCAGCGATAACGGTGGTTCCTCCGGTGCCAACGCAAGCTCTGGGCTATTCCCCGGAGGCTCTCAAAGTAGATACGGCGGGCAAAGCGAGCCCTCGTATTCGTTCTCGGGATACAGTCAGTATGCGAACCATTCTCCAGGCGGCTGCATGCACGCGCAGCTGGAAATTCAATCTCTGCAAGACAAATGTTACGCGATCTCGTCCCCGGACACAATCTCGCTGGTCGATACCCTCCATAGGCGCGTGGTGCACAAGCCCCTCAACGCAAAGTATCTTGCCTTGGACTACACCATGGCACTCGATCATTGTCCTCACTTGAAACATTTCATAATGTGGACGAGAGCTTCTAAGAAATGCGCCAGGCTACCTAAAAGTGTCGGAGATCTTCTCAAGCAAGCAATTGCTATGACCAAAGACATGGGCTACCAGTACATCTGGATTGATATCCTCTGTGGTCTGCAGATTGACGAGGGAAAGAGATCGGGGGTGTATGAGCAAGCCACTTCAATCATTTACACCAGGGGTCATAAGCCAGAAGATGATAGCATGAACTTCCTCATTTGCCATTCTCGAACTCTGCAGACAGTTCGGTCCTGGACCGAGAACACCAAATCTGTGGTGTCATTCTCGCATGTCCATGATCTCGGACGCGGCAGTTTTGGGACTGTGGACAAGGTCAAACTTACATCTGGTGATCAAGTCAAATTGACGTCAACTCAAGAGGTTTTCGCCCGGAAAAGATTCACAAAATGGAGAGTGGGCGATCCTGATCAGTCTGCGCATCTCCAAGAGATCGAACTTTTGCAGAAGTTCGATCACCCAAACATCGCTCGCTTCGTCGCGGCATACATCGAAGAGCAGGCTCTTAACGTCGTCATGGAGCCTGTCGCCGATTGTGACCTTAAAAGATATCTGCTGCAGCCGTCAAAATGGCCTGAGAGACGCAGCAGCATAGCCAATTGGTATCTTTCACTTGCGTCCGCCGTCGAACATATGCACGAAAAATGCCAATTTCGTCATGGAGATCTCAAGCCTGAAAATATACTGATTTTCAACAATGATGTCCATATCGCAGACCTTGGATTTGCGCAACCTCTTATCAAGCATCAGGATCTCGGGCTTGTTCAGCGCAGTGCAGCGACTACCAGGCATGCAACCGATACGCCCAAGCGTATCATGTTAACACCGAAGTACAGTCCACCAGGAGCTCTCAGCGGAAGGACCCCTACACATAAGAGCGACATCTTTAGCCTGGGTTGCGTATTTCTGGAGATGATCACCATACAACATGGTCGCACCCTCGAGGAACTCAATGCATTCATATTGCAGATGAGTCCGAACGCCGAGAAGTGCGTTATATACTGCAGGCACATAAATCGCTTGCGCATGTGGCTACAAAGCTTTGCGAAACAACAGTTAGAGGCGTACGATTGGACCGCAATCAGGCTGTGTTATCGAATGCTTGATCCGGATCCTAAGGAACGACCCAATGCTACAGAAATCAGCCGCATTTTGAAAGAACAATACACAACTCTGGCCACTACTCTACAAAGCGCGCGCCTCGTCGCGCCGAAGACGTCCCCTCGTCTCGAAGTAGCCGTCGCCCATCCTTTGACGAGCTGCCGAGAAGCTGCATGCTACATCGGCGTTTGGCGACACCCCAAGAGCTGCATGAATGTTGCCGAGCGAATGTTGGCCAAATCATGCGCGGTAATTGTCAATTACGTCCACAACGACTCTAAGCAGGTCAAGAGCGCTAGGAACATCTTCAGCCCAACCACGCTCCCTACCCTTTGTGTCGATGGCACATCGGTTGCTATACCTGAACTGATGCATCACTTCCTGCGTGGATATGCTCTGACGTTCGCCACCGCATCAGTGATGTATCCCACGCCTGTTCAAGAGCAACGAAAGAGATGGCAACGCGCATTTCGTCGTCTCAGGCTCGTGGTCCGGACGCCGTTGAAAGCCAGCGTCAGAATTGGCTGCGGTGACAGTACGAGAGCCTCCGTTTCAGACAAGAACTTCGCGGTCGATGCTCAAGAGGCGACGCATTCCCTGGATCTGGACATCCCCGAACCTCTTGAGGTATCCATGACACTTGAAGATGAAGTCTCTCCATTGGAGACATTTCAGCCTGCGCAAAAGACATTGGCATTCCAAAAGATCCAGCTTGTGCGGAAGAGGGCGACCTCCCTGCAATCTGATTTCAAGCTGGGAGAGAAACCTCCTGCCAAAAAGACCATGACCTACACATACAACATCGATTGGGGCGACGTCGATCCACCCAAGCCAAAGCCAGATTCGACGCACCATAACCAAAACGTCGCGGTCTTCGAGAGAAGAGACCCGGTATTGATTAATCGATGCTATCACAGTGGCTCACAGTACGCTACTTGAATAAGTACGAGGCAAGTGGTATCAGTACACTTGTTACCGCCTTAAAAACATGCATGGCATCATACCATCTAGCTGCAGATCACAGAATGACCATCTTCGAAGAGTACGTTGAGACAAACTTTTGAGCTATCCGAGGATATTTGAAATGATGTATGAGTTTGGACGGCGTTTGGGGAATTTAAGTCGAGACAATAGGAACCCGCTTGTGAGCGATCAGATGGTCATGAGGTGAGGAACGAAATCGTGCGGCATTTCTCGGCGTTGGAGAGTTTTAGATTGATGATTCATAACATTGTACCAAGAATGTACGACCGTCGTGCAACATCTCGCAGCCTTTGTGAGTCCTATCCACTAGTAACATGGAAGTGTACTTGCGCGTTTATATTGATACCCACTACTGAATACCGCTTCATGTAGATCATTGTCCATCCCAGTCGACACCGTACGGGGCATCCTTGACCTCAAAGGTCCCGTCCGGATCCGCGAGGAGGAATTGATTCCTCCCAATCAACTCCCAGTCATTGTCTTTGTACGTGCTGGGCTCACTGGCGACGATGAGATGCTTACCATGCTGGTCCTCAGGAATTCCTTGTGCCCTCTGCGGACGGTCCTCGTTGTCGGGATTGTCGGGATACTTGCGATTCAGCGTTGTTCCGGCCTGGTTGACTTGGTCAGCTTTGTAACAGAGGACAATGATGTCTCAAGTGGGAGAGGTAGTATACCTTGGTGCTGTAGTACAAACTCGGAGGTTGTGATTTGGCATGGTTACGGAATCGATAGGCTACGAGTCGGGTGCCATCTGTGGCACATAAATTGAGGCTGTTTGGCTTCTTGTCTGACCCGAAATGTTGGATTTGTAATTGAATGATCGTCGCCACTGTCTGATGCATCGCCTCCGCCATCTCAGCGGCAGGATACCGTTTCTCGAATGATGCGGGTCCACCATTTTTCGTCAGAAAAGTCATATAAAGACCAGCCATGTGTCTGAAAGTCAATGAATATTTTCAGCCAGAATACACGAAAAGTCTACGAGGCAGCATACTCTGAATCCGTCGCTCCCTGGATGTTTGCATAGGCGGCCTGACTCATGCTGTTGCAGACCTCGCGCTTGATGTCCATGAAGTTGCTGATGGCACCATTGTGCATGAACGCGTGTCGTCCAAATACGAAGGGATGATTGTTTACTGGCGTGATGGAGGTCCCTGATGCGGCACGAATATGAGCAAACAAGACACGAGTTTCAGTATTCGCACAGATCGACCGGAAATTCATGTCGTTGAGCGGCGGCTGGATTGTCTTGTACATGGCAGGCCTCAAACCCTGCGTATTCGATGATCAGAATCAGAGAGCACGAACAGCACTCATTTCGTCTCACACCAACCTCACGACACGAACCATCTGAAGGATCTAGACAACCAAAATCAGCACTCGTGGACGTGTACCACGCTATTCCAAGACCGTCGATGTTGAATAGCATATTTCGAGCTTTGCTATCGTTCTCCGAATCTTGGTCGTGCCCGTGAGGCAACAAGTGAGGGAGGTAGTGGTCATGGACCTGCTGGGTCAGAGCATGCTTGGGCGTGACGAGGACGTCCTCGAGCAAGCATGGCTCCGAGGGCGATATGTATGCGAACCATCTGGCGTGATTCTATCATTGAGATGACTGCGTTCGTCACGGATTGCTTCGCTCCAACGATAAGCTAGCCACGTACCGACACATATTGTATGATTCGTGACGAAAATGCAATATAGTGATGTTGATGGTGAAGTATGAGGGAGGCGAAGAGAGAAGGAGTACAACAAGGGATTAAGGACAGAGATAGCGAACACGAGGTCCGTCGACAAGTTGTTGCTGCCAGCAGTAGGCGCGGGTGATCTGGTGATAAGGCGCTGGTTCACGATTCGCGGGCGGACGGTGGACCTACTACTGTGTGTAGAGTCATGTGGTCTGGTATTTACGTCTGCATCGTGGTCCTCCTGGTCGCCTTTGTCGCTTACCTCCAGGGCTGCCATCTCCCATTCGTTATCTATCGCCATTGACTGCACGAGATACAATGGGGCTGTCACTCGCGTGGCCAGAGGCTGCATTTGTTCAGTGCCTACCTATAGGTAGTGTCCATTGAGGGCGACCCTCTGACAGTACACTTACTACAATGTTTGTGTTAATTCCACAAACAGTGGTTCAACGTCTCGAGACATGGGCCGGGCTCAGGTCCTGCCGCATCAAGAGCGAGAACATATGATATCAGCATGAAGCTGTACTACGGCTCCGGTTGATGGCGATGTACGCGCAAGAAGATCGTCGGCGAGGCGGCTGCGACGCGAATGGGCGAGACTGGTGCCATGTACCGACAAACAGGGGTCCATATCTGGGCAAACATACATACCTGGCACGTGCCTGGGTCTGTAAATGCTTACTTAGGGTTGCGTTGTTGGGCGCCAGTAACCGCGCTGACACCCCCCGCCCGTTTGCACTGTAAACAAATCAATAGGACCAACCAAGATCAATCGGATTGCATCTACTACACAGGCACACCCACATTCTTCGCCAACAAGGCACTCGACACGTCGCTCAAGGATCCCTCTCCGTCGTTCTATTCTTCATTCTATCTTACTACTACGACTTTCGTTCGAGGTTATTTTTCTGCATCCGCGTCAACACAGGCATTCCGTCATCTCCAGGAAATTTTGGCGGCCCTAGCAACCAGATTGAACACAGCAAAACATTGCCTCTGCTTCATCGTCATGCTGTTCGTGCACAATCGCAGCTCCTAATCACAATCGCTTCCGATCATACCAGGAACTCGGCGACGATCGCGCTATGGCAGGCCTACCTCAACGATTCCCTTGCTGGTGCAAGGCGACTTACTCGTGGGGCGGTGAAACGAAGAAGGATTTGGGCTTCATAGAGGGTGATCTTATCGAGGCTCTCAATGCCGGCGACGGACAGTGGTGGATGGGAAGGCTACGTCGAGACCCTCGAGCCATCGGTCTCTTCCCATCGAACTTTGTGCAGGTGTTGGCCGAGTCATTCCAGCCTGCACCAAATGTTCGCAACGCTTCACCATTATCACAGAGTGCCGCGCAAAAGGCGGGCGCGAGCAACAAAGCTGTATTCCGAAAGCCTTTTCAAGCATACGGGGATGGAGGCAAAGCGTCTGGCGATGACCGCGACAGGAAAGGAACTCCGGAGGCAGAGAAAGAGCGGGTGCCGGAGAAGAAGAAGACATTTCGACCATATTCGAGCATGAAGAATCCGACGCCTCCAAATGGATCACTGCGGAAATCTGCTGTGAACACGGTGATCGACCAGGAACTCGGGCCAAGGATACCCTCTACACCTCCCCGGGGTGGAATTGCACCACCCACACGATCGAACGGATCGCGCACCGGAGGCACCACTGCGAATGCACAACGCCCAAAGTCTTTTCACGGTTCCATTCAAAATGGCATCTCTAATGGAAATCCACTATCGTCTAGGGGATATCAGGCCCCTATACAACTTGGTTCCCGTGCAGCGTCGCCACAACATTACTATCAACCACATCCTTCAACAACGAATCGCGGACCTTCGCCCCAGCCGCAATATAGGGAAGCTTCACCTCAACCGCAATATAGAGAAGCTTCACCACAACCGCAATATAGAGAAGCTTCGCCGCAGCCACAATACAGAGAAGCTTCACCACAGCCGCAATACAGAGGTGCTTCACCGCAGCCACACCACAGAGGAGCCTCACCGCAGCCGCAATACAGAGAAGCCTCACCGCAGCCGAGCTATGGGGTAGCTCAAATAGATCCGAGGTTTCAGACACCATCCCCGGCTCCGCCGCGCCCGCGCTCTCCTTTGCCAGCGACGTATCACGACGGGTCAGCTTACCCTCAGATACTCTCGCCATCGAGACAGTCGTCGCATCGCTCGTACCAAGGCCACGAGGAACTCCATACTGCGGCGCCAACGCACCATCATGATGAGCACGAATACGAACTGGAGAATTCTCCTCCTCCTCCGCCTCCTCCTGCACATCGTTCAATGTTCCAGCCCAGCCGAGCACCCTCGCCGCAACCGTATGCGTACCAGGCAGATCCGGGCCATCATTCTCATACTCCAATGCAGCCTTCACCAGCTGGTAGCCGTATGACCCCATCTCCGTTAAGAGATGCCATGAATGATGTGATGATGTCGCTACAAGATATGTCTACCTCCACTCAATCGCCTCCGCCTGGTGCAAAGGACATATGGTCACCAGAAGCTTTCGACCTCGTGCGTGTACAGTCTGACAGCCGTCACAGAGCCAGATCAGCTCGGGCTACAGCGGAAATGAGCTTCTCTTTCGACGATGGAGATGGCGAGAACTTGGCTTCCCAACCATATGCGCCTGCCCAAGGACACGAGCTTGGGAGCTATGTGCAAAGAATGGAGCACCAACTGGACACCGACGACTATGAAATAGATCAAGCCCCTGAAGTGCCCTTGAAGGGCAGCCAGTACACGAATTTCCACCCGACAGCCGCAAATGCCCGTCCGCGAGACGTCGAATCTTCTTCCGCGTCTGAACTTCCTGAATTGAGCCAGAAGGTACGGCATCGGAAATCTGCGTATGAGCTTGGCCACACACGCAACGCATTGGATCGAACATTCACCACAAAGACGAACGCGACCAATTCTACCGAGTCGTCATCTGCGACACAAAGCAGTAACAGCACACAACTCACAAGTCGCAGCATTATGTCTGGAGCATCTGCGAGTGGCATGAGTGCAACTAGCGCTGGAAGTCTGACGCGACACAAATTTGGCTTGGGAAGCCAGCGACGCCGTAAGGGGCTGAGTATGATGGAAACCAAATCCTCTTACGACCTTCGCTCCAGCGCAAGAAGTATCCACGAGAGCGAGGCCTCTGGACCTAGCTATCACGAAAGCCATGCTTCGCATAATCAGCCAGACGCACCCGTTGCTGATTGGTCGACAGAACCCGCTGAATCAGGGGGCATCTTTGGAGGTCTTTCTGCCCCCAAGGCCAGGAAGAGCGGCTTCTTCAAGAAGATGATCGAATCGGCCAAGACCACTGCGAAGACAGGAGCCGCCAATGCCAGGTCGACGCTCGCCAGTACGAGTCGGCCGGGCAGCCGATCAGGCAGTCCGACGAAAAGCATTACCAACGGCAGCGTGATGACAGGATTCGGTAATAGCATTACTTCACGCCCAGCCTCGTCGGCCGGTGGTGCTCTGAGCCAGATGGGTCTTGGAAATGACTGGATGCAGGTCCGTCGTGATATCAATCGCTCGAATTCTTTGAGTCGTCGCGAAATGGACGATCGAGCAGAGAGATGCGAACTGCATGGTCTGCCAGTGACTTATCCCATCGATCAGCTCCGCGAGGCCGTAGAAGGCAACGAAGGTTTGGATGGACTGCCAGTCAACGAGTCCACGGACTTCAACACTCCTAATCTTGCCTTGGTGGACAAGAACACCCGATTCCTCCAGAATGTACCACCGATGATTACAGCTGGAACCCTAGCTCAAAATTATCTATGCCGGCCTTACAAGAGCGATGTGCAGAGATTACGAGCGATATTCACGTGGGTTGCTGAGCGGATTGTCTGGGAGGATGACTTCGAAGGACAGCTGGACACGAGACGCGTCGTGCATACCAAGCGCGGCTGTAGCGAGGAGATCGCGATGGTCGTAGCTGACATGTGCTCGGCCGTTGGCCTACATTGTGAGATCATTCGCGGCTACCTCAAGCAACCCGGCGAAACTCTCGATCTCGATACTCTGGCACAAGCAAACCACTGGTGGAACGCGGTCATCATTGATGGTGAATGGCGTATCTTAGACTGCTCGCTTGCAAGTCCCACTCACCCACGCCGAGGTGCATACAGCAGCGCTGGAGGTCAATCGGCTGAAGCGTGGTACTTCCTCGCGAAACCGCTCGAGATATGCTTCACTCATATTCCACTCTTACCCGAGCAGCAACACATTGTTCCTCCGGTCGAGCATGAGATTCTCATTGCATTGCCGTGTGCGACACCGAATTACTTTAGGCAAGGCTTAGAAATGATGGACTTCAACACCAGTATGCTACACTTGGAGAACCTGGAGATGGCTCACATACATTTGACTGTACCAGAAGATGTGGAGTGTGTGGCCGAGACCGAAGTTCGCTCCTTTGCTCACGACCCAGACGGCGATATCTTCGAGAGTGGCGACATCGTAAAGAAGCAAGTCTTTGCGCAAGCAGATTGGATTGGTGGCAGGAAGCGCTTTACTATCAAAGCTCTCTTGCCTGGAGACGAGGGTCGCGGCACATTGAAGGTCTACGCCGGAAAGCGTGGACTGATGCACTCCATAAGGGACAATCCTCATGCGATGGCTCTAGCACTACCCTTATCGCACACCGGCCAGAACCCGCCCTACAATTTTGTCACCCGGCATCCGACGCCTCATGCTCAAAGACACGATCTCTATATCGCGCAGCCGCAATGTTCTCGTCTTCTCTTGAACAATACATTTGTCTTCTGCGTCCGGCAGCACCCCTCCTCCCTCTCGCGCTTCACACCGGACACATGGGGTGCCGCAGCGAACGGTTCTCACGGTCGGCCCCCTAGCCCAAACCCACTCAATCGACCAGGCAGTGCTATGAGCATGGTCTCGGCATCGATATCTGCAAGTCAATACTCCGAAACATCATCCAATGCCTCTGGGCAGCAGCCAATGTCAGCCGCGCAGCAGAAGCCTGCAAAGCTCGCGATTCAGACACCGAGCCAGAAAATCATCCGTCTGACCCGCAAGCAAGAAAATCTGGCGCGGTCAGCCGGCGAGAGCTTTGATCCTGCAAGTCTCAGCACGAGCTGGGAGACGGTTATCAAAATCGGGGAGAAGGGTCTATGGAGAGGTTTGGTCCTGGCGGATCGGAGCGCAAGGTGGTGCGTGTTTGCGGAATGGGTGTGCGAATAGATCGCACGGACTTTTCGTGTTGTGCTTTATGCGACCTCATCCTGTACATGCAGTGCTTTCTGCTATTCATGTTATTTCTCTCGACCCAGACTCGCTGTATATTAGTGATGAAGACGAATATATGACCTGTGATACATTATGCTGATTTTGCATCGTTTATTAATTCCTGGGCCCAAGGCCAACATTTCAGCGTGACGCAGCGCGCCGGATTCATGCTCGATTCTCGGTGGGATCAAAGATGGGCTACCCACGTGCCCAGGTGGGAGAAGGGCCGGCCCCGGGGGTTCTGTTCGAAAAACGTGGGTTTCATCAGGATTATGCCTGAGGCGCCGAGTCGCCACTACTAATAATATCCGGCTGCACGACCTACGCAGGTGGCTCAGTGGGGACTCGCGACGACTTGCATGCCGATCTATCGAACTTGAGATCTCCATTTCATGCGCCATTGAACGACGATCTCTCAATGTTGAGCTCCGAGTCGAACGCATGCGCCCTCCTATCGTCTATCGAACCATTATGAGGATATACTGACTTCAGCGAGGTCTACTCTCCAACCAATCTGTCGAAACCCCGCGCAACGATCAAATGGGACAGTGTCAAAAAGAGCTGGGTTCGAAGCGCTTGGATGTACCCCTCAGGAAACTTGAATTGCAACGCGCGTCGCTTGACCGTGTCGTATATGGCTGATTGCTGTACTGGTTGGTGATGGGAAGTCATTGGCTATTGAGAACAATCAACCCTTGAAGAAGTCTGGCGTGACAACATCAGCACAACCATGGATCGAATTGAAGATGGGTCGGATACCTCATCTATCAAGCCTCTGTCGTCGCTGCGATCCAAGTTCGAGAGTTTGAGCAAGCAGCAGGACTTGTTGCCGTCTTCGCCTCGGGCACTTCGTCAGGCTTCTCCTAACAGAGATGTACCTCCCCAGTCCCCTCTGGTCGGTGGGTCACAAGAGCCCAGATCAGAATCCTTTATTAGCAGAGAAGATAGTGCTCCGGACTTCCGTCTACATAGAGAACGCCCCAACCCGTCTCGTACCAGACCTGTGTCGATGATATCCATAGCATCGCTGTCACAGACTCCGCCTACGCTTGTAATAGACTCTCCTCGCTCGCCACACAAGAATTTTTCTGTGGACTTGCGTCCAAGTGTTGGCAGATCCTACAAACGGCCCGTAACACCCGAACCTGGGACTGAGTCGCCCGTGAACGGCCATGGAACGAAGTTAAGCAGGGGTGCGACGTCTAGCATTGAAGGTCGTATCAATGCTTTCGTTGAGGCTTCCGAACGAAGTGCGTCTCCTTCTGCAAGCAAGGATCCGACTCAGCTGTCGAAGAGCGAGGCGGGTATTAAGCCAATCCCACCACCAATCAATCGAGCAGCCAAACCAAATATACCTGCCAAAACATTTCTGAAGACTTCTCTACCCAGAGCATTGTCGCCACCAAAAACTCAAGCTGATGTAAGCGATCGTCCGAATTCGCCGTTTGGTACGCCACCGAGCAGTCCGGAGTTTCCGCCGAATCATGCGACCAGCAAGCGGATCGAGGAAAAGCCTCGATCAAGCCTCAAACAAGGAGATAACGTGGCACTGCGCTCTAGTGCAGACTTGCAATCCTCTCAATTGCAAAGAGTGCGTGGTGATTCTGTAGCGTCGCTCGTAGAACGTGCCCGCACAGACTCAAATGCCTCATTCGTCGAAGAATCAGATTACCCTGAGTCATGGCTCGCACACCCTTCGAGTCATCATGTTGCCCCCCTTCGTGAGCACAATCCATCGTTGCCCTCCAGGTATCGTCAAGGCACTGCTCCCACCCTTCAACAAGACCACACAGGAGACCATTCTCCGCCCAGACTTCCGGTAAGACCTGAGCTCCAAATGCGATCAGGCAGAGTAAGTCCGCCTAAACCGCGCTCAGGGCGAGTAAGTCCCTTGAAGACCCAGCTCCTGTATGCAGACATTGCAGCCGAGACCAACACTGCTGTACCATCATCGATTTCTCCGATCTCTCGCAGACTTCCTGTAATATCGTATCAAGAAGCGGGAAAAGAGTACGGTAACATGGGCGCCCCGCCTGTGCCGGCTCCTCGAAGATCAACTGAAAGGCGGCGCGAACCTCCACCGCCACCGCCTGCACAGGTTACTAACTATACTCGAGAGGTTGAAGTCAGCGCGGAACGGAACGGAGACCCTACGTCGACGAACGTTCAACAGAGCGACCCCCTGTTTAGTGATCAAAGTGCTGCTATCAGCGATTTTCCCGAGACAGAAAAGTCCAATCGCCGACCTCCAAGATTCAAGCAACGCCCATACCACATTCCTACCGAATATGACACAAGGCTGCTTGCCATTTGTGGCGAGTACGTCTGTACTACTGGTTATATAACCAAAGCATGGAATATGCGCACAGGCGAGCTTCTCATGAGCATGGAGCATCGGGAGACCTCTAAAATGGCTTCTATCATTTTCAAGCCATCGCCGAGCATAGATGACGAAGGAAAGCGTATTTGGCTAGGATCATCAACTGGGGACATTCACGAGGTGGACATACAATCTCGAAGAATTGTCAAGACCAAATCGCATGCCCATCCGAGGCGTGAAATCATCCGGATGTTCCGCTTCGCGGCCGAGCTGTGGACATTGGATGACTCTGGTGATCTTAATGTTTGGAAACCAGACCATAAAGGCATCCCCAGCTTGGATTCACAGTTTCTCAGCTGGCGTATACCGCGGGGCCACGGCTTTGCGATTGCGTGCGGGCCACAGCTTTGGATTGCACATGGGAAAGAGCTCCGCGTGTTTTCTCCAGGCGCACAGCAAGATTCCGCGTTCCACATCACGCGTAATCCGCTCGTGCAATCCAGTGCCGGCGATATCACTTGCGGCGCTATCATCGACAGTCAACCCAACCTAGTGTATTTCGGTCACACTGACGGGAAAGTCAGCATATACGACAGAAGTGACCTTTCTTGTACTGCTGTCGTGACTGCGAGTTTGTACAGAATCATTTCGCTTTGTGGTGCTGGCGACTATTTGTGGGCGGGATTCAGCACTGGCATGGCCTACGTCTATGACACGAAGACGTCTCCTTGGACAGTGAAGAAAGACTGGCAGGCACACGACAAGCAGATCTGTAGCATAGTGTCCGACCCTTCTGGTGTTTGGAAGATGGGTCGTCTTGTCGTCATGACTCTCGGTCTCGACAATCTATTGAAAATATGGGACGGAATCCTCGAAGAGGACTGGCTCATGTCGCGCCTAAGTTCACGCGACTCAGAATATTCCTCCTTCAGAGAGTTGACGGCGGCAGTCTTGACTTGGAATGCGGGGGCAAGCAAACCGAATCACCTTCAGCACAGCGAGCGAGACAACAATTTCTACCGGGACTTTATCAGATCATATACTGCCCCGGATCTCTTTATCTTTGGTTTCCAAGAGGTTGTTGATCTCGAAGACAAGAAGGTCATCTCAAAGTCTCTCTTCCGAAGCAAGAAAAAGGATCCCGGTGAGCAGGAGCATACTTCCCAGGTATATCGGGCTTGGCGAGATTATCTCGTGAGGAACTTGGAAGAACACGTTCCAGGTCGACACGGATACACATTACTACACACTGCCAGTATGGTTGGTCTCTTCACCTGTGTCTTCGTCAAGACGTCGGAGCGAGCCCGGATCCGCCACATCCACACTTCTGAGGTGAAACGTGGTATGGGTGGCTCCCTCGGAAACAAGGGTGCCATTCTCATCCGGATGGTCGTAGATGATAGCAGTATCTGCCTTGTGAATTGCCATCTTGCTGCTGGACAAACACAAACGATCAATCGCAATAACGATGCTGCCGCCATTCTCGAAGCAAAGGTCTTGCCAGCATTTCCCATCCAAGACAACGAGAAAGCAAAACACAGCGACGTCTTCACTAACGGAGGCGATGGCAGTATGATCTTGGACCACGAAATCTGCATACTAAATGGCGATCTCAACTATCGGATAGATACCATGGGTCGCGACACTGTGATCAAGCACGTTCAGCAGGGAAACTACGCACGCCTTCTGGAGCGCGACCAACTCCTGCTCAGTCGCAAGCGCAATCCCGGGTTCCGACTCCGAGCCTTTCAGGAATCCCCCATCACCTTTGCTCCCACATACAAGTACAACGTCAACACCGATGACTACGACACTTCCGAGAAGCGACGCGCACCTGCATGGTGCGATCGGATCATGTATCGCGGAATTGGGAAGGTCAAAATGGAGGACTATCGCCGATGGGACCAGATTCGTGTATCCGATCATCGTCCGGTCAGCGGATATCTCAGGCTTCGCGTCAAAACTGTCGATAGTGGGCGGAGAGAGCGGATTTGGAACCAATGTTTGGACGAGTCGGAGGCAGTCAGGCAGCGGATCGCAAGGGATGTACAGTGAGTATCCAACACATTGATTTGCTAAAATTGTTCCTGAAAAGCTAATTTAGCAATTATAGGCTGAGCTACTTGACCAATATCCTCGGAATGTCACAGTCTGAAGCGAAATCGGCTCTTCGGGGTTGATCGTGCCTGTCTTCCACTGTCGATCGATGGAAGAACACAACGCGGTTGTGGTATAATCGCATAATTTCAGATACGACTTCATGATTGTTCGCCAACGGGAAATATACCAATTACATGTGTGACTTTCGAAGTCTATGCATTACGACTCCTCTCTGCTTCGAAATTCTGAGAAGAGCTTCATGAAGGCATATTTGAGCGACTTTTGCAGGCGAGTACGTGGCGTGAATTCGGCTTAAACCAGAATCCCAGTCATCAATGAAATCGGCCCGCGCCCGGGTTCGAGATGCTGCGACGTCGCACATCCATCGTCATTGCCTCGTCACACGGGGCCTACATCATTACCTACCTTGGTAGTAGTTATCGTATGGCGGAAGCATACTTGCACAGGCGGTGAGCCAGAGCTACTCAGCTCGCAAGGTAGCAGGAACATTTCTTGCTTGCCCAGGTATTCAGCATCCCATGCCCGCCCTCGCAATTCGCCCATTACCTAGGTTATCATCAAGACTTTTGTTCCTCCGTGTCGCGATGATAACGAACGCGGGCCAGACTTCCAGAAGATGGACGCGAAGTCATCCGAGCGGCCTGACAGCGCAAATGATGGTTGGAAGGAGCGAGCACCATACAGCATTCGCAATTCTGACGAAAATGTCCATTGTATTTACGAGGCGAGCTGTCATTGCGGCAAAGTCAAATACCAGCTGAGTCGCGAGATTCCACTCGATAGCAAATTGTGCCATTGCGCTACATGCCAGACTCAACATGGTCTGTGGCTTCCAGTCTTAGATATCAGATGATGGATGTACTGACACCTTCCCTCTACAGCTGCACCATTCCAATGGGCCGCCATTTTCCATAAAGAGGACACCAATTTCACCCATGGGCACCATAATCTAGAGTGGTACGACCCGACCGAGAAGTCCGTCGAGCACAAGCTGCCATGCAAAGTTCGCTGCTCGTACTGCCACAGCCCGATCATGGACGAAGGGAGGAACATGATCTTGCTCTTTCCTTCCTTGATTCACTTCAAGTCCACCAAGGAGCGCGAAAATTCCAAGCCAAGGCAAGTCTTGTTGGTGTGCCATCATCTGCTGCATGCGTGACTCATTGCTGACGTTTCCATAGGTGTCACATGTTTTACACCCAGCGCGTCATCGATATCCCCGACGGTCTGCCGAAATGGACCGGACTCAACGACGATTCTGATCTCGTCGAAGACAGCCCGCCAGAGCTTGTGCGAGAGCACGCCCGAGCACTGGAGCAGAGGAAAGCGAAGGAACAGGAAGAGAAGAATCGGCGCAAGCAGTGACCAAAGCGGTGGAAGCAGAACAGAGAATGGCTTGGTGCCAAAAAGACAGTTTCCGTCGAAAACATCGACCAACCGACTGCTGAATCGTCTCCCCTGCAGATAATTTGATCGCCTCGGGCTGGCTTATGATCCTCGATGGTTGAAAGATTACTGTTAATGATGAAATTCCATTCACAGACGTGCCATGACTAGTGCAATACGACGAACGTCGAGAAGGTGCGAGAAAGAGTCCAATCATGTGCATGTCCATATTCCTTGTTCCCTTTAACATAATAATTCCATCTTCCACGGGCCGCTGTTTCTTACTGGAGGGCCAATCCTCGAACGTTGCACCCGGAAGTCGGTGACTGCATTTGCACAAGCGATTTCCACCAACACCATGTAAACGCTTTGCCGGTAAATAACCGCATCACGTACACTCGAAAAAGTATTCTTGAATGTAGACATGACCATCAACCAGACGTTCCCATTTTGACACATAATTATACACATCCCCATGCCGGGCGCATGCAATTAGGGTTATACTACTGGCGCTAGTCCCTTGGCAAGGCAACCCTAGGACGGAGAGCGTGTCTGGCCTCCGAGTACACAAACGTATGTTCATACATGCACATTGATAACTTTGCATCCATTGTAGATGCCCGGACATTCGAACTTATCGCTATTGGTTGAATGACACGTTTAAAATGGCAGGTACTTTATTCGTCAAAACTGTGCTAGTGTGGCACTCGTAATGGCAGCCAAGCGTAAACGAGGAATCGCTCAGTCAGTCACCTCTACAAGCGCGCGGAAGCGTACAAGAGGTACGCAACCATGATTTTGATTCGATGCGAGCATTGGAAGGGATCGAGTTGTCCTCATGTTCGAGAATGTCGCAAAACTGATGACAGATTTTTTGGTCTTTGCAGTGCAGAAGAACGACCTTTCGAGCCCAACTCCGCACGACCAGATCGAGGGCGAACCCGTTTACAGAGCCCGCTCGATCATAGACGAGAACAAGACTTACTACAAGATCGACTGGGAAGACGATCCCATCACTGGAGAGCGGTACGATCCGACCTGGGAACCAAAAGCGAACGCAAATCAAGCCTTGAGGGACGATTGGCACCAACAGAAAAAGTCCAAGAGGAAGCGGGACTCCAATTCCCCTGAAGGTACGTGTTTCGTGTATTCCGCAGATTCGCAATTCCTGCAAAAATGAAGTTGCTGCTTTACACTGGGCTGAGATCGCACCAGCTGAGGCCAAGACTAAAGTCTCGCGACAAGTTGTAGCGAAGCCTAGAACCGATCCCGCAAAATCCGACGATCCGACTCCATCCGTTTATTCCAGGAAAGATCGCGTCCGGCCACGGCGGGTCATTCATAGCTCGCCCAGTACCCAGCAGTCCATCCCCAAGCCAACGACTATTTCCAGGATCGAGACCCCGATTGAGATTGAAGAAAGCCAGCAAGAAAGTCAGCAAGAAAGCCAAGTGTCCCAACGCAATAACCTTGATCAGACTCAAGAAGACGCTCCTCAATCTCCGCCTGAGATTGAGGATCTGTCTGCCGTAGTACAACTTGGCCCACCCCCTTCTAGTTATTTTGCTGGCGAATATCGAAACGTCGATCATCGTGGCTCGACAGCAGGTGAACCTTGCGGAGGCTCATCACAGCACAAGTCTAGTTCTAGCGACTCACAGACACTTATACGGCCAGAGGCGGACCCCATTGTGGTCGCTCTTAGCACACAAGACCTACCCGAAAGCTCCGAAGCCGCCACCATTGTGACAATCTCGTCTTCTTCCATCGATTGCATAGAGCTCGTCACCAACGCCCAGAATCACCCCGATTCATCTCAATTTGCAGAGAGCTTCAGGCGGCCTATTTCGATACATCTAGATACCCGTGCAGGTTTCGAATCACAGATTGCCAGTGCGGCTTCAGCTGATACAACAGCATTCGAAAACGCCATCGATCGCGCACAAGGTTCTCAGGGCGGAGTCAAAGATCGGAGCACCACGCAAGACGGTTCGGCTATTGACGTAGTTGCTAGAAGAGCGAGGTCACCCAGTTTACGTAGCGAAGGGCACGAGTCAGAGCGGGACCAGACCCGTATCCAAGGTTCGGCTCACGAGGAAAATCCGCCGTCCTCTGTCAGATCCAATTCTGAAGTTTGCTCGCCAATATTAGCAGCAGCCTCTGGCGATTACTTGAATGAGATTCAGCCATCGATCGTTACACAGCAATCGATCGCAATAGGTCGAGCGAGCGAGGGTGGCTTGTCCAATCCACCAATATCGCCATCTGTTCAGGTTGGTGCTTCTCAAACCTCAGCAAGCCCATCCCCAGTGACAGTGGTTCAGCAAGATTACTACTCGCCGCCACCAGAAACCTTCTCCGTAGACGAGTCTTCGATATCATTTCTGACACAGATACCGTTTGTGTCCGGCTCAGCTCGATCGCATCCTAATCGCAGCCCGTCAGTTGCCACTTCGTTAGGTAATCAAAGAAGGGTGCAGCCTAAGCGGACACCGCAAAGGCCTCTTCATATCGAAACGTCGGGGAACGCCATTCAAGTGTCTTCCTGCGAGACGTCTCCCGCAAGTTCAATCCTGTCACCGGTGCTTCAGACTCACCAAGGAAGACATTCATCCCTTCCGTTGACACGTAGAGCGGCTCTTGCTGCCACATCACGAACGAGAATGGAGTCTGCACCTCCAGGGCCATCAAGCAGCTTATCTGAGAGGCTTCGCGAGATGTACGCTCAGCGACATTCGGACATCACCATGAAATCACCAACATCCGCGGCCACGACCGGCGACGCGAGGACATCCGCTTCTGGAGTTCAGCTTGACCTGTCAAACGAGATTGTCCTCGCCACATCTGCTCCTGATCACGCCTCGAAAGGCTCCACAAGATCTCCATCAATGATCCCTGCTGCATTGCCGAACAAAACTGCGACCCGGGAAGAGATGAACACGTCTGAAAAGTATGGCTCGCTCATGCCCGGATCTGAATTCCTGCGCCCCAGAGAAATCTCGTCGGACAACAACGTGCCGAGTGTATCGGGCTCTACCCCTGAATTGCTGAATTTCTTCGTCGTGCCGATCATCCTAGTAGGACACCAGCGCGATCAATACTTCCAGGAGACTTACTATCATGACTCTTTGATTCGAGATTTCTTGGATACTTCAGGACCACCATCTCTCGAGACGGCGGCACAAGTGAAGAACCTGCTCCGACGACTGCGTCAGACTGTCGTGCATCCAGATCTGAATAATCCGGACACTGCGACACAGCATGCGGACAGTCCTATCCGGCAGGCGCGATGGGATGTCGACTGCAGCGCAAAATTCCGCTTTTTGCAGTCGCTGTTCACGCATTTGCAGTCGACAAGCGTTCAAATTGCCGTAGTTGCGACAGGACGGAGGATCTGCGATATTCTAACAACATTCTTTCGAGGGATTGGAGTCGCCCATAGATTGCAGAGCTATGGCTCCCATGAAGTTGCTGACTCGGGTGATACAGATCGAGCACCAACCGCTTGGATCATCGATTCCGAATCGGATATTGACTATGAAACGCCAGTTCTTGATGGGATCATCGTTCTAGACGGCGACGCGCGGGCTTCAGATGCTAAACTATCCGTCCTGAGGATGTCACCCAGCAGTAAAATGATCCATACGTTCATACTTGCTGTGCCTCGTTCGATCGAACACCTGGAGCAATGCCTCCCTGTGACCTTACCGACGCATGCCCGACTGCGAGCTCTGGTATCTGGGATTCATAAATTGAAGCACGGTGCCGGACGACCTGAGGCAGGGCATGTTCCTACACCAGAAGCTGCGTCAGCAGTGGCTTCTATGCTAGATCCAGTTGCCGATGTGGTCTGGCCGCTTGCGGGACTCAGCGCGTTACAGAATGTCGATCTCTACAGTCAGACAGAGAGTGAATTAACGGCCCGGTCGACCAGTGACGAGGTTCCGAACAACGACTCTAATGCCCTGAAGCGACCGCATAGTCGCGTCAACTCCGTCAGCATCAACGTGTCCACGAGTCCGGCTACGAAACGAGTTCGTGCCGAGGAGGAGACGGATGTCCCTATAACGGTAAATATGCACGACGTTGAAATCACGCACATTAGCGACTCTATCGGGCGGCCCACTCAGCACTCCGAACAAGATGGATTGGTTTTGAACCTGGATGAATCTTCCATCGCGCGCGAAGCGCGTATCACAGTGCTGTATCACGCAACAGAGGCTCGTCTAGCGACCATTACTAAAGACCTTGAGATGGTACAATACCGGCTGGAGGAAGAACGAAAACTGTTTCTTGCTTGCAGGAAAGAACGTGATAATTTGATCGCCAAAGGCCAAGCCACTGTAGAGAGGATGTCCCGTCTAGAGGTTCAGAACGCAACTTTGCGTGCAGAACGTTCCGAGCTGAAAGCGCAACTAGAAAGCGCCAACCTCAGACTCATGAACGACTCCATCCCTGAACGTCAGGAGATAGAAGAGTTGCACTTGGCAATGGTAAAGGTGAAACTCGAGGCAGAGAAGGCAAACAAGCGCGCCGAGGCCGCAGAGCGTGACGTGGAGTACACTCGCAGCATGTACCAGGACTCATCTTCACGTGCGCAAGAGCTTGCGCAGCAAAATGCTGCTCTTCAGACCCGTGTCGCTCAATTGGACCAAATGGCATCGGGCCAGCAAGCTCGTGCGCAGCAGGCGAGCAAGGCCCTCTACGATTTCAACTTGTCGAGACAGAATCAAAAACTCTCAGCCATGCTGAAGGATCGCGAAGCTGGCTTGAAATACCGCGATGAAGAAATTACGAGGCTGAAGGAAGCCGGACGAGGGCGAATCGGCACGAGGGCTTCGAGTGTGCCAAGGAGTCCCCGCCATGCCAGCCCTTTCATGATGGCAGGTAGAGGGAGCCGACAGACGAGCCCGGCGCCGGCTGCCGGTACTCGATCGCATCCGCTTCGAAACGCGAACGCTAGCGGATAATCTCAACTGCTAGAGTTGTCTCGCGATTGGGCGCACCGGACGCTTTGTCGAGTGTGATTCCTTTTACATTTGTTTTTCATCAACATGGACAGTTTGGACATTAGTGCTAACAGCAGGTATTTCGGGAAGTCCCAGCTCGAGTGTGCGGTTTTGATGGGATAAATCGGTCGCAGCAATTCTACGAAGATTGCCACGGCTAGCCGTAGGTAATCCGACCGTCGTACTTGCTTCCATATTGATCCCGATGTGCAGTCTCTCGGGACAGCATCGGTAGCTGATTACGTAACCCGATGTAGCAATTCATCATTCGGTTAACTCGTATGCCCAGCGGCCAAATGGAACACATTGTCTTGCTGTCGTGACACAATATAGAAATGTGTGGAAATAATTGTTTCCATCTGAATCTGTAGATGTTGAAGGGTGTCAACAACATAATCACGATAAGGAATCTGCCATGCGATAGATCTGGCTCAAAAACGGGCCGAGCACTCGCCTGTTGTGAAGACGATAGAAGTTGAGATCCATAAACCTGCCGGTCCTGTGGTAAAACGGTCCATCGTGAGGCGTTACGATGACGCAGCGTAGGGTCAAGCGAACCGAGATCTTGCGCCCTGTGCAAGCACAACCGAGACTTGGCTTATCTTTTGTCTCTTGTATGATCGCTCTGAGAGTCAGACACGGAGGGCTCACCGGTCATCTGAACACACTTTGGCCGCTTGCACCCGGCTATTCACTGCTCAGACCTTTGAGACGGCCAGAGAAACAGGTGCCATGCTGCGATGGGTATGGTTTAAACGATGATAGCAATGGAGCTGTGTCCATGTAGATTGTGGGATAGGTTGCAGAAGGTATCTCCCATATAGTATATGGTTCTTCGGAGTCCTACAGAGCTCCCACATCAGATTCATCCTCGCTTGATTTCTGCGCCAACCAGGGAAAATTCGTCTCACCATCATGGGCACCGCCATGGACGATGTCGAGAAAGACCTTGCACCTCTACCAGTGGTCAGGCCTGTCACCAGTCTTGACAGCGCGACCTCTTGTATCGCTGACAGTGGCGCGATCATAACAACGCCGAATGCATCGCGGCCGTCCTTTTGGACGCGCCTTGGCGTCACGCCAGAATCATTCCGACGCCGGACGGCCGACGATGAACACAACCAGCTCAACCAGACATTGAAAAGCCGCCATTTGAGCATGATCGCAATCGGCGGCTCAATCGGCGCGGGCTTGTTTGTGGGCTCGGGCAAAGCTTTGTCGACAGGCGGACCAGCAGCGTTACTTATAGGATTTGGTCTTATTGGCGTGGTGAGCTTGTGCATCCGATGCAATACGCCCATGAGTCAAACGCTGATCAGTACTACTTGTGCAGATGATGTTCAATGTCGTCTATGCACTCGGCGAGCTTTCCGCATTGTATCCCATCTCCGGAGGCTTCTACACGTACTCTGCTCGGTTCATCGACCCAAGTAAGTGTTTCGTTTAGTTTGTTGGACAAAGTGATATGGAAACCAAAGCCGTTGACGAATTCGAACAAAGGTTGGTCCTTCGCCATGGGCTGGAATTACACCATGCAATGGGCCATCGTCCTGCCTCTTGAACTCGTCGTGGCTGGCTTGACGGTAAACTACTGGGACACAGGCGTGAATCCTGTGGCATGGCAGATGCTCTTTCTGGCTGTGATTGTCCTGATCAACGTTTTCGGCGTGTTGGGATATGCTGAGGAGGAATTCTGGGTCTCGCTGCTCAAGTTGTCCACAGTTGTGATCTTCATGATCATCAGCCTCGTGATGGTCCTCGGTGGTGGGCCGAGCAACGGCAAATTTTCCGAGTACCAAGGTGCTAAGACCTGGCACGATCCGGGAGCCCTCGCGCAAGGTTTCTTCGGCGTGTGTGCCGTCTTTGTCACAGCCGCTTTTGCCTTTTCCGGCACTGAGCTTGTTGGGTTGGCGGCTGCAGAGTCGAAAACGCCTCAGAAGTCACTGCCAGGAGCCATCAAGCAGATCTTTTGGCGCATCACCATGTAAGCTGATATGGGCGATTGCTCATCAAAGACGTTGGGACCACTAACAGTGACTCCAGATTCTACGTCCTTGGACTTTTATTTGTCGGGTTGTTGGTCCCGTATAACGATCGTCGCCTTCTCGGGTCAGGCGCCTTACTTGATGTGTCAACCTCACCTTTCGTCATTGTAGCGGTCGATGCCGGGATCCCGGCCTTTGGCGATTTCGTGAACGCCGTCATCCTTTGCTCAGTCGTCAGCATTGGCCTGTCGGGCGTATATGGAGGTTCACGTACGCTGACGGCTCTAGCGGAACAAGGGTATGCGCCTCGAATGTTCAAATATGTCGATCGTGCCGGCCGACCGCTCTATTCGACACTGGCGATCCTTGCTTTCGGTCCGTTGAGTTTGGTCACGCTTGCTAGAAGTGGTGTGGTCGTGTTCGAGTGGTTGCTGGCACTTTCCGGCTTAGCGGCATTGTTCACATGGGGCAGTATATGCCTGGCACACATTCGCTTCCGCGCAGCGTGGAAACATCACGGCCATAAAGTCGACGAGCTGCCGTTCAAGGCCGCGTTTGGAGTAATTGGGTCATGGATTGGGTTTATTCTCATCGTCCTTATCCTGATCGCACAGGTGAGAATCGAGCACAGGATATTGGACAAATATGCAGCTGAGCGAGATGTGCTGACTCTACTACGATCGGTACAGTTCTACGTCGCCGTCAAACCTCTCAAAGTTGAAGCATTCTTCAAGTCCTACCTCGCCGTCTTCATTGTCATCTCCTTCTACGTCATCGGCTACATCTGGAAGCGGAGAGCGTGGATCAGAATTTCGGACATCGATGTTGACTCGGGCCGTCGGGAGGTGGATTTCCAAGAGCTCGAGCGTGCGCTGAGCGAACGGCGATCGTGGCCGGCCTGGAGGAGAGTTCTGGACAAATTCGTTTAGTTCACATTCTTCAAGCAAAACTTTGGACCGAAGCCGCTATGTATTTTGACAAATCCCAGAGCTCAAGTGTGGACTGTGACCCTTCGTCCAACGCAGGGATGGTGAAGATGACAATTTCGGGCCACAGAGTCTAGGAAATTGCTCGTCACACCATCAACACGTTACAAGGTCGCGATATTGCCATCACGATGGTCGGGCGTCAACAAACATCCAGCACGCGGAGGATTTCGGAAGCGTCGTGACGACCGTTCTTCCTTTTCTAATTGGAATCGTGCAGACGCCCGGGCCCGACGTGAATCTATTTGAACATCGACAGTGGTACATACATCCATGCCTAGGATCCTGGCTCGGCTGGGCTGTTGCGGGACAGCAGCACACTGCGTGATGTGGAGTTTCTAGACATGTGAATCCAAGCGCCTGGGTGAGAGGCACGAGAGGGCGGCCCTGGTTGATGCACATGCATGCACGTCCGAGCCAAGGTCAATTCATCCAACACACGAGCTTGAGAATCCCGACGCGATCCGAGCCTCACCGCAATTATTACAGCACTCCCTTGTTTCATGCGACAACGGTTTTCTTCCGAACGTACGACCGCTGGCAGGCGTTGGAGCTACAGCTGTAGGCGTATGCGGGCCAGGGTCGCTCTCGGCACACTTGGCCATTCTCAACCAGGTTCCCAGCTATCCGGAGGATGCTGCATGCATGAATCTAGCAATGAGAGAGAGAAGTGCATGTGTCCAATGATGCTTGTGACTCCTCCAAGGTGGCCCGGAGACTCCACTTGGTGGGCAACGGGCCTCATCATTTCGTATCGCGACCTTTTGCGCATGCTGTGGCAGCGTAGCTTGGGGAATGCAATACGTACGCTGGTACGGCACTGCACCGCGATATGCAGGAGCCTAATATGCTCAGGCGAATACCTAATAATCGTCGATGATGGAAGGTCCGGCGCTATCACAACAAGAAGAATAGTAGCGTGTTCGGCGCATCCCATAGCCCAAGAAAACCTTGGAACCCCTCCTTTGCGATAAATGATGAAGCGCTCCATCATCAACGCGGCTCTTCCACGCCCGCCCGCCCGCCGCTTCGCACCGCCGCTGAGTTCGAATTTCTGCCATTCCATCGATTCTATGCCAGGTGGTGACTCATACTGTATCAGAGCCGCAAACTGTACCTGCAGCAGGAATGTCTGGGTTGCATGCCCCGTGCTCTGGATAGGTGATGTAACACACTGGGTGTCTTGTTCTGTACGATGGGAAGTGTTCAAATCGATGGTTGCGCCAATGTCGCCACCTGAACGAATGGTTGGTCTTCAGCGTGACACGCACCTGGAGGGGCGTTGATCAGAATTCGAGCTTGTGGAAATTTCAGTCAAATCTTTTGCACGATGGTCTTGTGAAAACTACTCGGCATTGGACCATCATCCATAACTTTCACTGCTCGGAGGATCCTTCCTGGCCGCGGAGAACAGGCCGGCATTAGTGCCTCTAGAGCTTGGACCTGGCCTCGGCAGTTGGACCTCATGCACAACAAAGTTTCCAAACGTCAATCAAGGAAGCTCCTGAGCAGGCCATTTCCATCAGAGCTGCACTACAGCTCGTGAGGAGGGATGCGTCGATACCGCACACCGCAACACCCGACCAAGACTCACGATCGTCTACCACGGCGCCAGCCTGAGTCGATCACTTCATTCTTCTCTCCTCTCCTCCCTCACGATGGCCTTCAAAATGCCTACTGTTCCGTATCGATCTGTTCAAGCAGCTCCCTCTCGACCTCGAGTGGTGGGCGTCTGCTCTCCTCGTCCAGACTGAGCGCAGAGCTACGATGATGTTCCATCTCCTTCATCTTTTGCCACTGTTGCTGGCCTCAATACCACCGACGACCGCACCAGCCAATGCGGCTCAGATCGCAACCCCCACTGAAGTCTTTGTGCATGCGATTTCTTCCTTCTTGGCGAGGTTCATCCCGCCAACTGCCGAGACTATTGCTATCATCGCTGGCGAATTAGATGACCTGGAAAATGGTCACATCGGCGAATTGATCGAAGAGCTCGAATTGGAGTACTCCTATGGTCGCTCGCCTCCAGTCTACCCGAGCCGTAAGTTCTTCAATCTGTGAGAGGCTGCATGTGTGTCAAAATCTAAAACTTGTTCGCAACAGCTCTGGCATCAGGGCAGGGAGCATGGGCCGACGCCTATCTTCAAGCGCGTGCTCTCGTTGCACAGATGACCAACGAGGAGAAGAACGAAGTTCTCATCGGTGAAGGTCTGGGAGCACGAGGATGCTCGACTTATTCAAAAGACCTTGCCAGGCTCGGTTTTACAGGGCTGTGTTTTCAAGATGCCGAGAGTGGAGTTCGCACTGGCCAATTCGTCAACGGTTATGCTGCACAGCTTTCAGTTGGCGCTTCATGGAACCGTGAGCTTACTTACTCTCGAGGGAAGTTCATTGGCGCAGAGTTCAAAGCCAAAGGTGCAAATGTGCTTCTAGGTCCAGTCGTTGGGCCTTTAGGCCGTGTGGCTCGTGGTGGTCGCAATTGGGAAGGATTTTCTAACGATCCTTACCTTGTCGGAGCGCTTGTTCATCCTACAATCCGTGGGATGCAGGAATCCGTCATTGCTTGTGTGAAGCATTTGGTCGGTAATGAGCAAGAGACTCACCGATTACCCTTCTCAGCAGGACTTGTCAAGCCGCCGCTTCGAGCCAATCAGTCATTGTCCTCGAATATGGACGACAGAACAATGCACGAACTCTACCTCTGGCCATTCTACGATGCTGTGCGAGCTGGAGCTGGCTCGGTCATGACTGCGTACACTAAAGTGAATGGCAGTGACTCAAGCGCGAACAGCAAGGTTCTCAATGGCTTGCTAAAGACGGAGCTTGGTTTCCAAGGCTTCGTCATCAGCGACTGGTACGGGCAACATACCGGTGTTGCCAGCGCCAAGGCTGGTCTCGACGTCGCGTTGCCCTCGTCGGTGTATTGGAACAATCATCAACTGTCGACCGCAGCCATGAACGGCACGCTTGAGACTGCTCGGCTGGACGATATGGTCGTCCGCATGCTCGCAGCTTGGTATCGATACGCAAAGCTGGAGACTCCCGGCATGGCGCTCAATGTCGCTGTGGACGCTCGCGACCCTGCTGCAGAAGACACGATCTTCCAGGGTGCTGTTGAAGGCCACATCTTAGTGAAGAACATCAACAACGCTCTGCCGCTTTCCAAGCCCAGATCACTCGGCATCTATGGATTCGATGCAGCGAACTCCGCATTCACCGACAAGAGATCGTTCAAATACCCACTGAGTATGCTGAACACACATACATTCCCAGATGGCACACCCTTCGCTGATATCAATTGCGCCCTGTTGTTCACCACTATTGCCAAAGCTGGAACGGTGGGCCCAGACGTTGCTCTTAATGGCACACTGATCACGGGTGGCGGGTCGGGAGGATGCTCGCCTGACACTACTATCGCGCCGTATGATGCTTTCCTGTCTCAATCGAAAGTCGACGGCACCACATTGCACACCGACTTCTGGTCATCTAATCCGGTGGTTGATCCCACAACCGACGCTGCCATTGTCTTTGTCAACGAACAAGCGTCAGAAGCCTGGGACCGTGTAAGCCTGGCCAGTCCCTATGCGGACGAATTGATCAAAAGTGTCGCGGCGCAACATCACAACACCATTGTGGTAATACACAATGCTGGTATTCGCTTGGTCGATCGATGGTATGACAATCCGAATATCACTGCCGTCATTTATGGTCACCTCCCTGGCCAAGCCAGTGGTTCAGCTATCACAGAAATCATGTATGGCCGCCAGTCACCTTCCGGCCGGTTACCCTACACCGTAGGCAAGAGTGAAGCTGACTACGGAGATCTCTTGAGTCCTACCGTGGCCACTGCATCCAATCCCTACTACGCTCAGTCCGACTTCGTGGAGGGTCTCCACATTGATTACAAAGCCTTCATCAAGGCTGGGATCACACCGAGATTTCCTTTCGGCTTCGGTCTCACATACACCACATTCGCATACTCATCCCTTCACATCACCCGAAATGCCGCTGCAAACTCATCACCTTTCCCACCAGATGCTGCACTTTCGTCTGCTACTGTTGCGCCCGAAGGCGGTCTCGACTCTCTCTATGATACCCTCTTGACGATCACTGCTACGATTACGAACATTGGCCATCTTCACGCAGCTGCAGAAGTGGCGCAGCTCTATCTCGGAATTCCGGACAGTGGCGTCGAAAAGGTCTTGCGCGGGTTCGATAAAGTCATGATCCAACCTGGCGAGACCGCAAAGGTGAAATTCCCCTTGCGAAGACGCGACGTCAGCGTGTGGGATGTCGCCGCGCAACAGTGGAGGATTCCTGCTGGCACCTTCCGGGTCTATGTTGGCAAGGATGTGCTCGATGAGGACATGCTGACAGGCGCGTTCGAGTTGATCGCCGAGGACAGTCCATTGCGCAATGCGGCTGGCCTGCAGGGAGAACAGGTTCCGTTGTGAATGCTGAAAATGGGCCACTCTTTATTGGGAGAGCCATGTCGTCCATCATCAACTGGGACGAATGGACGGAGGACGGATGTTCGCCGAGACAGATGAGTCAATGCTTCATCGGGTTGTACAGGCACCGTGATCTTTGGAAGGGACACCTAGACTTGCTCTGTTTTTCGATTGATTGTTGTTGCTAGATTTTACTTTAGATTAGATATCGAGGCAATTCGCCCCTTCTCGATTTTGTGGTTCAGACTATCGTTGATCTCAAATATGTCAAACCCAACGTACAGAAAGCGAGAGAGCCATGTGAGACAAATGGCAATTCATGTGACGTCCTCAATCGAAGTCATCGTTGTATACGAATGACAGCATCCTAGATTGAATGGTCGAAGTGGCGGAGAGTCGATTTTTCGCGCCGGAGACGCGAAAACGCGGGCGGGCTTTCCGCCACTTCTCGGTCACGTTGCACTGTAGCCCGCCGCTATCGATAGCGAGCGCTGCAATCATCACTGTAGCTTGCCTGGAGCGCGTTTACAGGCTGGCTTGTGTCATCCTTTGGCAATTTCTAGCTCTCCCGTTGGCATTCATATTCCACGACCACAGCCACTCTCTCCCCAAGGAGACATCCACTTCACAACAACACCACTACGTCTCCGCCGCAAATATGGCAGACGTAGAAATGACCGAGCCTGCTCCAGCAGCCGCCACCACCGCTCCCAAGGGTAAAAAGGTCGCTGCAGCCGCTGGTGACACAGATGGGAAGAAACGATTTGAAGTGAAGAAGGTGTGTTTTGCGCCTCGCCGAGCAGGACGGACCAAGGCATTGTATGTGCTCGATGAAGAGTTCTGACGCAGAGTTCTTCCAACAGTGGAACGCCGTGGCGCTCTGGGCATGGGACATCGTTGTCGACAACTGCGCCATCTGTCGCAACCACATCATGGACTTGTGCATCGACTGCCAGGCCAATCAGGCGTCCGCCACCAGTGAAGAGTGCACCGTGGCATGGGGTGTCTGCAATGTGAGTTCGCTCTATGGCAATCTGACCATCGTCTACTTTGCTTGTTGCGATTAGCTCTCTGCGGCACAGTGATCACTCGCTGACACCTTCTCTACTATAGCACGCTTTCCACTTTCACTGCATTTCGCGATGGCTCAAAACGAGAAACGTCTGTCCGTTAGACAATCGGGATTGGGAATTTCAGAAGTACGGTCGGTGAAAAGAGTTATTTACTACGAGAATCGGAACTGCAACGCAATTGGAGTCGGGTGTGGGGAAGGACTGGTTCTTTCGCGGAAACGCAAAAACTGTCAAAACGACGCTCATATCTACGGCATGTGTTGGGCGTCGGAAATGAGGAGCAACATAGATGGGGCGAGGAGCTGCTATGACCGGGCATCTGTTTTACGAATGACGAAACGCGAGTTCGAGAGGGCTAGGAGTGAGGTAGACTCCACACAATTTTCCGGCCAGCTTCGTGATTCGTGCCAATTTGTTCCCATGCTATTTGAACGCAGATGATTTCTCGTCTGCACAAGTCACCCCTGAGTGATCCAGAAGTCCATCTTCATCATACGGCCCACAGAGTCTCGATTCGTCCCGCAATCCCATTTGCGCACTCAGTTAATCTTCGTCCCATCCACCTGGATCTGAATATTCCCAATCGCCGAGCCTCCTGCTCTTCGTCCCGTCGTCGACGGCAGCCACGGAAGAGGATGTTTGTTGAAAATTGGCCACGGCGGCGCGACAAGGAGAAATGTGAGCGCCGTGCCTCCCAGCCCGATGTACAGAGTTGTGTAGATGTCTTGCGCGATGAAGCCGGCTAGGAAAGCGATGGCACCGACGAGGGAGAGCAGAGCATGGGTGATGAATTCGGCGAAGGCTTGACCTTTGAAGTCCTGTTGTAAAGCAATGTAAAGCTTTCGTTAGCTTGGCTCTGTGTTTCGTATGTATGCGCACGCGCGTGAGCATGCAGTGGGCTGGATCGTCAAGGTGGGTGGAGGAAGAGGGCCAGTCAGAGAGGACGAATACGCACGATTTCACCCTCGTAGATGGATCTCGCACGCTCGAGAAGCTCCTCCATGGTGATGCTATTGGTGTGGAAGCAGGTTGTGGCGGCGATTGACAAATTACTCAGGTGGAGGGCGTGAACGTCCTGCCGGGCCTCTCAGAATAAACGGTATGGTGAACGTTTCAGGAATTACCCACCATACGCTGTAAGGGTCATCCCCGCGTGGTGCACAGCCGCACGTGATGCACACCTCCAGCCATTTTCCACCCTCAACTTCAATAATTAATAACTTTACAACGAGTGGTTCAAATGACCTCAAATTTGAACAGGGCGCAGTTTATAATGAATGTATTTAGCTGTCCAAGTGATATTGCTCTAGATGCTTTGGTCGCCGAAGGGCGCGGCCACTCCGCTGTGACACCAGAACTGGCTCCGATAGGGATACCGGCTCTTCGAGGGCTACAGCAGGAGCAGCAGGTATTGCCACGACCGCAGACTGCTTCGTCTGCTTCGGACGAGCCTTAGTCTTCTTCGCTGACTGCAGAAGGGTCGTTTGAAGCTGTACTGCCGCCGCCTTCGTCTCTTGGAGAGCGCGCTTCTCCGCTGCCTTGCTTCGAGCCTCCTCCGCCCTCACCTCGGACTGCTTCTTCCGCTCTAGACGACGTTGTTCCAGCTCATGTTGCTTTGCTAGCAACGCTGCCTTCGAGGCTTCCTTCTGAGCTGCTTTTGAAGCCGCTACAGCCACTGCTTCGGCTTCCTTTTGAACCTGCAGCTGCTTAGCAGTCATAATCTTCTGAGGCGAGAAGAAGGTTGACCCTTGATTATCCTGAGACCTCACTTCTTCGAAGAGCGCCTTCCCACGCTTCCGCTTCTTCTTCTCATTAATAAGAGCTGTTTTGAAGCTATCATTTTGAACCTTAAGCAGCGCGTTCTGAGTTTGAAGGGCGTGTAGTGTATTTTGCAGAATAACGGCTTTCTTCCTCGAATCCTCGTCGTATACCTCTTGAACCACGTCTTTGAAGAGCGCTCTTACCTTCCGAAGGTCAGAGGCAGACAGTATTGAGGTACTGGAGCCCTGAGAACACGGTCGGCTGGCTGTAGCAACTGCCTGTGGTTCTAATGGCCGGAGGACTTCGGAGGGGTCAAATGGATGAATACCGGTCCTTCGCCACGCAGAGCACACGTTGTCCACGGAGAAGGCCTTAATAAAGGCCGGCCAGAAGAGCCGGAAGAAGTCACGCTTCGTTATCGAGCTCAAGCCCTGGCAGTCCCTTATAAACACGTCCAGCTCTTGACTGTAGTAAATTGCGAGCGGCGAGAACAACGCGACGTCTAATGGCTGTAAACGGTGCGTAGAATGAGGTGGATACACTGCTACTAGTATCCGGTTGTCACTGCAGTATTGTAAGAAGGCCATATTGATATGAGAACCGTGTCCGTCGACGAAGAGCAGCCGCCAAGCCCTTCCAGCCTTCGCCTTCGTATATCGGTCAAATACCTGAGTGAGCCACGCCAGTCCGAGTTGATTATCCGTCCAGCCATTGGGCGAAGACGCGAAGAAAGCCTCTTCGTGTCCGAAGTCCTGTACCCACGACTCTTGAATATTACCTGTTGAGGCCTTATAAATTAGAGCAGGTGGAATCCAGCCGCCGTCAGCGCAGATACAGGCTACAGTCGTTACCCACTCGCGGCTACCGTCCTGTACATTGCCTACGAGCTTCTTCTGCTGTACGGCCGCTTTCGTGAAGACTCTCTTCGCCTTCGAGAGGAAGCCAATAAGGAAGCCCTTCTCATCCATATTATAGATGTTCGCAGGCTGTACGCTGTATTGCTCAATTTTCTGTTCAATAAGGTCGAAGTACGCCTTGTATTCATCATAGTTATCCGCCTTCTGCCTCGCTACATCAAATGGCCTCAAATACCGTGATTCAAGGTCATTCTTCCACCTGCTTAGGAAGCGTCCCATCCAGCTCTTTCCAGGGTAGCGGCCACTGATATCGTGCACAAAGGTATGGACCATGGCCGGAGTAGGTGGCAAACCACGTGCAGTGAGGTTTTGGATGTATTTGACGAGCTCACCCTCCTGCGCCTTTGTCAATATTTGCTGGTTCTCATGTTTATAGCTTCGAGAATTTGTCACGCCATTGAATCGCTTGCTGAGAGTCGATCGGTCCACGGAGAACAGCCTGGCTGCCTCTGAGATATTCGGCTGGTCTTGTTCTTTCAAATAAGCCACTGCTCGTTCAATTTGGTCCCTCATTGATGAAGTTATACGCGTTCAAAGCTGATGCTTCATTTGGAGTCCATTCAAAGCGGACTGTGCATCACGTGCGGCTGTGCACCACGCGGGGATGACCCTTACTGCAGCGACGTTCAATGAGTCTCCGCAGCCCGTTGCCGCGTTTGGGCAGGGCTGCGGCGACATCCCGGCAACGACCGTCGGTGCGGCACGAGGCAGTGAGACAAGCCCTTGGAAAGCTTATGTGCGCCTGCGTGGCCTGTCTTGTGTTGCCCTTTTGACGTCCACGGGTTGCATTAAACCCTCCCCCATCCCGACAACCCGCTAAATTGCGTGCAGGAGATGCAAGCGATTTGATCATGATCGCGTCGGGACTCGACTGCGGTGAGAAGAAACCCGATCTCCATACTCCTTGACTGGTCGTAGCACACACGCATTCTTACGACTGTATGCCGCATCGTAAAGTAAATTCAGCCAACCATACATGATCTGGTCAGACACAGCGGTGACCTCCCTGTACGGCAACAGTGGGATTCAACCGTGGCACTCTGTGCTTCAACAACCATTCCGCGGGCCGCACGACCGCACCCGACAATTTGATGGGGGAGATTTCGCCTTATCGGATGCGGGATATACTGCACACCTGGGAGGGTATCGCGTGAAAATATGTAATACGATGTGGGGAGACTGGAAGTGGGTGCGTGACCACGCGGCTTTTTCATTGGAGTCGGTGACGCGCTGAGCTCGTTTTCCGTGACGCATACCCAGATTCGCCGGGTACGATCACTGTCCAAAGACACATTGTGTGGCACTCCTTGTTGAGATGCACATGTCATCCTCGTCAAATCCTTCGCCGCAGTACTTCACATGTCAGCAGTCCTAACCGACACGAAGGCAGATATTCAGACCTTGATTTTGCCTTCGACGGCTGCCTTTCGATTATCGGTAACAAATACATAGGTAGTACCTATAACCCAGGAGTGCAACGCGTAGCCGGAAGTGGTGCCGATGCTACTGCCCAAAAGCATGAATTGGCACGAAGTTGAGCGGTTCCAGAACCATGTGCGGGTGAACGCTCTGACGCACACGTGTTGAAGCGGGCGCCATCTGCGGCCGAAGTTTTCTTTTCCGGCTCATCATATATATACCTCTAGTGCTCGCAACCTTCCCAGATCCACTCGCTTCAGATACAGTTCCACCACCTGCTCACCGTTGACAATTGATCCTGGGCCTCCGAACCCTGACTTTCACGGTTCTCTTCCCATATCCGTTTCTAACAAATGTCTCACTGTTGACTATCCGACCCTCGGCACGTCTACACACAATCGATCTCGAAAACATCTGGACCAGACACCTACACTTCCGTCGTTGCGAAACGTTCACCTAACCAAAACAACCCCTACTTCAACTACAACACCACCAAGTTGGCGGGGTCTCAATTCCTTTCGCAGGTTCGCCCATTGCTCGGACCGCGCTGGTTCGTCTGCGGCGGCGATATCAAGCAGCCACCATAATTTGCTCCTAGAGGAACCCGACTTCAAAACTCCATCCCTCGAGCAAATATTGCTTCGCTTTACATTTCGTCTTAGAACCAATGGGCTAAATTCGCTCATATCCAAAGGTCGCGCGGTCATCATTGAAAGAGAGGTTTCCTAGGACAACTTGCAATTCACCACATCCGCCTCCTGAGAAGGGTCAGATCTGTAGATCAAAATGTCTCACTCTCCAGAGTCGCGTCACTCCATCGAGAGGTCCAGCACTCCCATGCTAGACTTGGACGATCATCGAAACCAGCCCGAAAGCCTGCCGCTTGCCATTGATCCACCACCTCATGCCCGACGTGGAACACTGGCCAGCATCGCTGATGGCGAACGAGCCGGGCGTCCTTTCCTGACTGTGCCTGCTGTTGATGAACACGGTACAATCGCTCGGGACTTTGAGAATGCGATCATCGACGACAATCAGAGCATCCGAAGCCAAGGATCTCAGCGCTCCATCAAATCCAATCGATCTACCGGGTCTCGCAGGAATGCAGACGAAGAATGGCACAGGGAGCGTCGCGGCTCTGCGGCAATCAGTCCTGTTGCCGAACGCCATGAGAGAGGTCATCCCATGACATCTCCGGGTACGAAGCAGAGCACTTTTAGGCGCGCGATCCTCAATCGTCAGCGAGGGGCAGACTCTCGCGAGTCGTCGCGTTCACGTTCTTCTTCTCCGCCAAACTCAGTTGATGCTTTCGCACCTCCGCGACGACCACGTGCTGGAACGAACAACAGCTACACTCCATCGGTCAACCTTCCTACCATCACTCGCGCCCTATCCAATGCTACTCATCGGCGACGAAGCGGCACACTCGTCGATGAAGGAACAGTAGGTCACCGTACTGAAGGAGCCGCCTCAATCCGTAGCTCGGTCCACGATGACGTGTGTTTCCCACCCGAGGAGATCACGAACACGTATAAGATTGATTTCGAAGATCTCGAAGAATTCGTGTCTCAGGCTCACACAAAGACACCGGTGGCGCATCCGTTCACGCCACTCTTCACTCGGCACAATGAGCAACACCGCCGCATCTTCGGCGACCAACGTAGCGAGAGCAACGGCTACTTCCCGGAGAAGATCGAGAGTCCTGCCGAGCAAGACAGTGACAAAGTCGATAGTGATGAGAAAATGCCTGCCGATTTCACTGACCCCCTCAGCCGACCTCCGAGTAGGTCCGAGACACAGAATCGGTTCACTTTCTTCTCGTCGGAAATGGACGAAACCGTACATGCTCCCGAACTCGGCGGTCTTCTGATGCCTCAAGAAACATTCCGCGACCTATTCGAGCTCAATCCAGAGGGAGGTGTTTGGTGGCTCGACATGCTCAACCCTTCCGAAGAAGAGATTTTCGCTATCTGTGGCGCCTTCCGCGTGCACCCTTTGACGCGGGAAGACATCACCACTCAGGAGACTCGTGAGAAAGTGGAACTCTTCAAATCGTATTACTTCGTCTGCTTTACCAGCTTCTACGCCGTAGACAAGTCTAGCGAGAACTACCTCGAGCCGATCAACATCTATGCCGTGGTCTTCCGTGAGGGACTCTTGACATTCTCCTTCTGCCAGAACCCGCACATCGCCAATGTCCGGAAGCGTATCGGTAAACTCCGCGATTACGTCAACCTTTCAGCCGACTGGATTTGCTACGCTCTGATTGACGAGATTGTCGACTCCTTCGGACCTGTTCTACGCGAGGTGGAGCGTGAAACCGACACTATAGAAGATTCCGTCTACACTGCTCGATTCGAAGACTCCCGCGCGATGCTGCAGCAGATCGGCGAGTGCCGCAAGCGAGTGATGAGCCTTTCCCGTCTCCTAGGCGGCAAAGCCGACGTGATTAAAGGGTTCGCGAAGAAGTGCAACGAGTCCTACGCAGTAGCTCCCCGTGGCGACGTCGGTCTGTATCTCAGTGACGTCCAGGATCACATCGTCACCATGATGTCAAACTTGGGCCATTTCGAAAAGATGTTGGGTCGCAGCCATTCCAATCACCTCGCACAGATCACTCTCCGCCACACCGAACAGGGTAGCCGGGCTAACGAGCTGCTGGGCAAGATCACCGTCTTCGCGACGATTCTTGTGCCGTTGAACTTGGTCGCAGGTTTATTCGGCATGAACGTTCCCGTGCCCGGCGGCGACTCGGAGGGTCTTGCTTGGTGGTTTGGAATTGTGGGCGTGATTATCTGCTTCAGCGTGGTCTGTGTCACCGTCGCTAAAAAGCTGAAGTTGGTCTGAAGCGATGCATGGAAAGTTCTGTCGATGTCTCATCGTTGCTTTGGTTTCGCTCGCCGATGGGTTGGTCCATCTCCTTCATTTTCAAACGCATGCTGCACAGATTCGCAACTTTCAGCGGGCGGGCGGTTATCTTGGGATATGCCTGGGTTTTTGAGCCATATTGCTTGATTTTAGATTTACACGTAGAGTATGAATTGTACTCGAAACTAAGTTTACGTTTTCAAGTGAGATCAACCTGTCCTGCCGCGCCATACGTCTGGCATATGTGAAAACTCCCTTCGTTTGACTGCTTTGCTACCTACCTACCTAGGTGGGTATGCAGTGAAGCAGTGTGGTTGTTAATGTATGGCCTGAGGAACGAATCGTGCGAACAAATCACGTGATTCTGAACCCATCTTTCAATTCTAGGGACTGGACCTCGATGGCACTGCGAGGCGTGCCACAATGTCATCTGCGAAGGTTACAGTCATTTCCAATCATGATGTTTGTCTGCATAAAGCGGATGATACAAGACCGCTCGATACCTACAGTCAAGATCTAGACCTGCTCCAAGCTGAATGTTGCTACAAGCGATGCTGAGTACCACAGTTCCCCGAGAAGAACTTCGATATGTGTGAAGCTTCAGTGAGACAGCAAGCACATCTCGCTGCATATACGACGTCGCTGTCGGCATGGACATTTCCTCTATCATCCGTCTTGATGATGGCTTCCGTAAGTCTCATATTGCCCGTTTGATACAAGCAGTACTGACTGGATTGTCCTAGTGACAATGCTATGTGAATGTCGTCCTACAGATGACTACGATACTCTCGCAAATGCGTTGTGCCGGGGTAAGATCCACTTTGAAGGTAGGCTCGATACAATTGCCGTCAAGACAATTTGTCACTTTCCTTTTGCATCTTTCTCTTACCATATTTCTATTGAATCATTGCTGGTGAGTCCGCCGCAAACAAGAAGTACGTAAGTGGCCTCTCTATTTAATTGCAAACTACAGCGGCTGTAGCACACATTCGCAATGGCGCCTGTGAACGAGGAAAACGAAATTTACAGTCTCGGGACGTCAACGCCTGCCTTGGAACCCGCCTGTTGCCCTGCTCATCAATCCGCCGACTCAACCGCAGAGCATGTCATCTTCGTCCAGCTCTCCCGAACGCTGCACAGACCACTTCAACGAGTTGTTGTCGTCCACGCCAGATTCGTTCTAGCGTGCTTTCCATCGCTAGAAGCCCTAAGGCTGGACGCGCCATTTCCACAAAGAAGTCACAACATCCACCACCATCCACCACCAACCACCATCACTACATCACTCGACTTCGCGCCGCTCATCGATACTGCTGCCTCCACGCCCACAACAACTTTCGTATCGCCACATCTCAGCGACATATTGCTTTCGACAATCTCAACATCAAACCACCACTTCAGGCATTTATAATGGCAGGAGGCAAGGGTATGACGTGGCGCATCGTGGCTTGACGTATTGGGACAAATTCTGATGATGTTGCAGGCAAGACTGGTGGTAAGACCGGCGGAAAAGCTGGCGGCGACAACTCGGGCAAATCGCAAAAATCGCACTCAGCAAAGGCTGGTCTACAGGTGGGTTTCACATCTTCATTTCGCGATACCTCTGGGCTCGTGATTGCGACAGCATGCCGCGATCGCGTGCGACGACGCGATGCTTCTCGCTCTCGGAAAGATGATCTATGCGCGCTCCATATTTTTCATGTTTGTCGCGCAGTACGCGCAAGCATACGCGTGCGCCTGCATCGCAAACATTGCGCGAACACGATCGATTGATTTTTTCGAGATGATACCTGAACTAACCCCAATCTTTGATCATTAGTTCCCTTGCGGTCGTGTCAAGCGTTTTCTCAAGTCGCAGACCCAGAACAAGATGCGCGTCGGTGCCAAAGCCGCTGTCTACGTCACCGCAGTTCTCGAATACCTGACCGCCGAAGTGCTCGAGTTGGCTGGCAACGCAGCCAAGGATCTCAAAGTCAAACGTATCACTCCTCGCCACCTTCAGCTCGCCATTCGCGGAGACGAAGAGCTCGACACCCTCATCCGCGCCACCATCGCCTTTGGTGGTGTCCTACCACACATCAACCGCGCACTCCTGCTTAAGGTCGAGCAGAAGAAGGGAAAGAAGGCGCCGGCAGATTTGTAAAGCAGGACATCGAGTCGGATAGGATGAATGGTCGCCGGTAGCCTCAAGAAACGGAACCGGTGGCGGCGGCACGGATGGCGCAAATGAATGGCCTCGAATCACCCAGAGACTGGGTTATGATGATGCGTCTCCACGATGGGTCGTGACGCATGGCTTACAGTGACGGAAAGCGGCGGATGCAGTCTGGCTCTCGCACTTGTAGCCGTGCTGTGCATGTTGAGGGGATGGTGACCGCCATGCTTTGTCAGGTGCGAGGCTTAAGGCGGCAGCGGCAGCGGCGGAGGAATGGCGTCAATGATGGTATGGGTCTGCTTTGTGTGAATTCGTTGATACCGAAGAGTTCTTGGAACTCGATGCTTCCCGAAAGACAATCCAAAAAAATCCGTAAAAAATCGCGAAAATTCTTCGACATTCAATTTTCGTTTTCCTCGCCTCTCGTCACGTTGCATCGGCCACCCATCCGACTTCGCCCGACCCCTTTCGTCGCGAACTTGAACGCGTTTGATACTCGCTTTCCGGACTGCCATATCGATCTTCCTTCCCAGGCATCACGCATCAAGTCGATCCTCCCACGTGCCCAGCCATCGGAGACTCTCCACCAGATCACTCAAACTCTCCGGCGCCCCATCCTGCCCCCCTCCCCCGAAAGAGCTCTGCAGACCTGCTTGTTCCGATGATGGGACGAGTAAGGCTTGTAGATCGTGATCAGGGACATCCTCGCTTTCACCCTCGCCGTTGCTACTGTTAGTCGGATGAACACCTTGCTTTGCTTCGCCGGGGGGAGTTCCTTCCCGCCGAAGGAGCTCGACGAGATATGTGTATTCCCATGGTTTCCTTTTCCTCGCCGTGTCCGCGGGGTAGGAGGGGCTATCGACGATAGGTGTGGTGGTAGAGGTGAATGCCGGGCTCGGTCGGGAGTGCACTTTGGTGATTTCGTAGGGCGCGGGCGTCCGCTGCTGCCCATCGCCGGATCCCCGGCATGAACGCTGTTGCGAGAGGAATGTGAGAATCGGGAGGATTCCCGTATCGCGGGATGGAGCCTTGGATTTCGGGATAAAGGAGAGCAATGTCGTGGACGTAGACGGTCGCTCGAGGACCTGTGGTGCTTGATTTTGTTGTGATTCCGCGCTCCGGTTCGCCGAGTCCTTCTTGTCTCTTCGCCGCCTCAACACCAGAAACCTTGTTGTGTTCCCCACGGGATCGTCCACGATGTTCTTCGCCAGCACATCCAACCCGCTGGTCGTCGCGGCCAGAACATTTGCTACCGCTGCTGAGGCCCCTGAGGTGTCCTCCGCTGCTATGTCCGCTGCGCGAGAGGTCGAGGAGGTATCATGTCGAGTCGCGTGCGAGAGATGCGTGGAGAGGAAAATTGTGCATTGGCCCCAGGCTTGTGGGTGGGAGTAGAGATGTTGGATGTGAGCATAGGGTGATTCTTCATTTCGTTGTTGCCCGCCCTGTCCTTGTTGCTGGGTTGCTGGCGGTCGTCGTCCGAGGAGACAGTGTTGGACAGGCACATAGACTTCTCCCACGATCAGTAGATCGCGACTCGCGCCTTCGCCGTGGGCGAGCAGGTCCAAGGTGGCGGCGACGGCGCCATTGGTCGAGTTCTCGTAGGGTACTACGCCATAGGCAGCGCGGGAGTCTCGAACGGCATCAACGACGGCCGCGATGCTAGGTTCGGGGACGAGGTCAAATTTGTCGTCGTGGTCTGGACCATTGGGGTTGTTACTTTCTGGAGAGAAGTAGGAGAGGGCTGCTTGGTGGGTGTAGGTTGCTCGAGGACCGAGGAAGGCTACGATGGACTGTGTTGATGTTTGTGTTGGTGGAGCTGCTTCTGCAGTGGCTTGTTTTTGTTCGGCCATTATGCGAGGCTCGAAGGGTCTTGCTTCTTGTTACTTGCAGGAGTATTCCTATGCCGGCCTCCGAGTCGTGCTGCAATCGGGCTGATGCTTGGCTGAACTTGAACAAAGCCTGGTTGTGTTTACGCTCTTCAATCAAGCTTTCGACAAAAGGACCAGTCACGCGAGACGCTCATTGGTGCTCAGTGACGCCAATACCGTCGAAGAGCGTCGGAATTCCAGATCGCAAATTATCTTCCCAGGACGTCGTGAATACACTACGGAGTTGAGCGATCTCGGACCCTCAAATAATTGTCCGACCCTTACTTTCTCTGATGACTGGAATTTGGAGGTAAACTGCGAGCGGGTGACGAGCGACAACACTCGGCGATCGATGAGTAGACTTTGATACATCGTGATTGCAATGGCAATGTGCTGACGTGCACAGGAGACTCTTTCAGCATTACAGGAATTCAGAGAACAGATTACCATTTCGAATTAATCACGCTTGCAAAAGCCGAGGAAGTATCAATGCAGGAAAAAGGAAGAGCTCCCTCCGTTGTTCGCCGACGCTCAGAAAGCAACACTCAAACCCAGAATGCATGTGCTATCCAACCAAACCAAAAACGCAAACGACATCGCTCTGGGAAGTCTAAGTAATGCTGTTGCTATGTGCTGCAATCGTAACATGGATGCATACCTGATCGGATACCAAAACTCAAAACGTGATATGAATGCCATAAAAAAGAGGCGCACATGTAGTCGACGATCCTTCGCATCAACCGGCCAATCAATCCAGACCCAATGCCTCCCTCGGTGCGCATGTGAAGCCCACGCTGACCACGGCCAGCACCGTACTGACCGTGATGAGCGCCCAGTCACCCGTCTTCCTCCAAGGACTCAATTCCTTGCCGAAGAGGCGAAGGTGGAACGCACAAGGTAGGATCAAACAGATGGCGAAGCACGCCAGACTGCCGATCAAGCTCATTAGCCGATCGAAATCCGGGATCAAAATCGCTACAACCACAAACGTCGCACAGCAGGCTGCGCGCACGAAGAGTCGGAGGAGGCCGCGGGTCAGCCCGCCAAGGCCATGAGTTCCTGGCGCGATTCCCATTGCTTGAGGACTTAAACCCAGGGTGAGTTCTAGAGTGGAGTAAATCGGACGGGCGTTGAGGGGAGCCTTTGTCAACGGAATGACGGCCAAGGCGACGACAATAATGGCCGATAGCGCAGGAGGATAGCCCGAGCTCACCACTCCAGTAACAGGATCCGGACCACCCGCGGTGGCGAGGAGAATGTTGCGGGTGATTTCATCCTTGACATTGGTGCCGAACATGAGGAATCCTGCGACGGCCATGGCAAGGTCCAAGGTGAAGGTGAAGCTGTAGGAGACGTTGACGGCCTTGTGGTACTTGTACGGGTGCCGCATGTCGCGGTAGATGTTGGGGAACACACTGTGGCCGCCCCAAGGCGCCATCATTATACCCCAAGAGATGGGTAGCGCGGCCCAGTGCTGCGGGAAGAGATGTGTGGGCGCCGGCTGCCAAAGGCTGCCCGGTTGACCTGCGGGTTGGATGAGACCGTCGCTGATGACCGCGAGGACGATACCGAGACAAGCGACAATGCCGAGAATACTGGTATAGGAGAGCCAGCGCAGGGGTACGAAGCAGAGTGGTACCAAAATGACACCGAATAGCATCTTCCACGCATCGAGAGTGAGGCCTGCGGAGGGTAAGAGCGCACTCAGGGAATCGGCGAAAAGCACGACTAGAGCGACACAAGCGCCCAGTAGTTCCAGAATGAACAGTATAGAGACACCGACGCGAGCCCAAGGTCCAAAGGAGACGAACGCGAGGTCTGCAAAGGTAATGAGACTGCCGTCAACGTCTGCACATTTGGCGAGCAACTTGGCCGTGTAGCAGGTAGTCAGCGCCGCGAAGCAGAAGAACAAGATGCCCAGAACCCAACCGCTGTAGTTCATGGCGAGCGGGAGAGCAAGGATGCCCACGCCGATGAGAGTATTGACGCTGTTGCAGACGGTCTGCGGAAGCGTTGATTGACCAACTACCACGTTCACCACCTTGCCGTCCTCTTCCTCAATCTGACGGATCAGCAGCGGTGCATTGGCCTTGTCATCATCCTGTGCTGGTGCTGCACCCGCGATGGCCGCGTTCACAGTGCGCTGTTGCTGTTGACGAAACAATCGTCCGGCGTGTCTCATCGATGACTCGTTCACGCGTGCCGATAGTGAGCCCCACGTGCTGCCATAGCTTCCTCCGAAAGGTGACTGAAGCGATGGCTCAATTGTGAAGATGTTCTCGTCCTGCGGGTGTGAACTCCTGTCGCGACCCAACAGAGTGTCATTCTCTGTAGGAGCAACGGAAACGTCGTCGTCGATGGCATCATCATCACCAGCTGTCTGTCCGCTACGCAACGCATGCCGTAGCATTGATCGGTGGCCCTTGGGTGTGTTGTCCATATTACCACCATCCTCCTCATCAAATCCACCTGTAGGAATCTCATCGTCGTCGGCCAATCGAAAGCTCGGCCGTACTGGTGTGATCTCGTAGAAGCCTGCGGCACGTTGCCATGAACGAGCGAAATTGTCGATGCTGTTCACTCCACCGGCTTGACGGAGTGCTTCGAGGCGGACGGCCATGGAGGATCGTCGGCGACGGAGTTCGTGATTGCCATCGGTACCAGGCGGAGCGTAGGGGTTGAGGTGGCTAGACTCGGAGTCATGCTGGTGGTGAGAAGGTCGCTCGGCATCGGGATCGAACTGAATGCGTTGATGTGAGACTTGACTGGACTCTGGAGATCGTTGGCGAGATGCGGGAGTGCTACCGTTGATGCTGTTGTCAGAAGAGACCCAACCAGCAGGGAGTTGTTGCCGTCCAGGCATTTTGTCGATGTGCCTGTGGGAGAGTTGAGGATGGGCGACGGTCGTCAGAGGCAGTCGAGCGAAGGATGCCCGCGTCAATAATCACAATGAATATGCCAATGACGAGCCGAGCCTCAAGGACGTGGGCGAGGACGCCGGGGAGCAAGGCCAAGATGGCCGACTCGGGAGATGCACAGTATTATTATAATCCAGGTTCCATCCACCAAACCAGCCCCAAGAAGTCGAAACCCGCGGCGACGTCGAAGAAATCACGCAAAAGGGAGTCGGCCGTGGCGGGGAAGCTCGTTACCGGCGGCGGCTGTGAGGATCACCCATGTGACCCAAAAAATATCAGCAGTGGAGCAAAGTGCGGTACGCGCGAGTGACAAGCGGGAAGAGATGAACCAGCTTGGATCCTGTTGTGGAAAGTGCAGGCAAGGAGCAGGATGAAGGGTGGTGGTGGCAGAGAGGACCCACGGAAAGAAGAGATCAGCGCCCCCCGGAGATGGGAGCGATGCTGATATACCGGTGCGGTGATGGTGGTGGTTTGTGAAAGTGGCACTGGTTGGTTGGAGTGGTGGAGTCTGAGCGTAAGACTAAAGATATGTGGGAAATGTGTTTAACGTTCTGGTCCTCATTGATGATGCTCACAGTCCAACACGGATGATGGGAGTCTCGAGCGATGGAAGATATCCTCAGACAAACAGACAACGCTGGCGATTGCTTCTCCCACGCGCCCTGCAATGTGTGGACGCTGTACACACCTGCTCGTCGCCGGAGTAGGCAGACTCTTCTGGATACTGTGATTGAGAAGGCGTGGTGTTTTTTGTGATATTACGGTCCACAGGTAAATTGGTGCTGGTGTCTAGTGGTGGTGGCGGCGGTTATGAGCTTGTGGTTAGCGGCGTCCAACGGTCGGTGGATGGACGTGGTCGGCGGCGCGTGTGAAAAAGAAAGAGAGTCGATGCCCTTCTTGAAATGATACTACGCGGTGATGGTAATGTTATTACATATGGAAAGGTGAGTAGATTATCTTATCGAAGGTGAAGCCATTCTGCCTCTTCGTGGAGCACCGCATGAAGGACGAGGACGTTATCGTCACCACCCACCTGTGTGGTGTTGATAGCTATCCGTGATCACATTGGAAGTGACATGCGTACAGTCGGGTGCTTTATCACAGTACATACAGCCCTCACTGTTAAACACCACGTAGGTAGGTAGCCTGGAGGAATGTACAGGAATACATACATAAATGACTACGATATACGCATACATACAGTAGCTGCAGGATCGCCGATAACCGCGATGACGCCAATAATCATCATCCTGGTCGATTCTGCCTTTTCCCAATGAGTTCTTATCGGAGATATTGACAACACCGCTTGTGTAATACAGTGAGAGCCACTGGGCACCAACCTTTCCTCACCAATCCCTCTGTCGTCGATCGTGACCAAGGGCGGTGGATGCAGTGATGCTGACGACGACCATGGATGAGTTCCCAGCGGTTGCTGTTGGATTTTAGCGCGAAACTTGGCCTCTGTTCATCACCGAGAGCGCGATTGCATGTGGCCCGGGTCCACACGTGCTCGGGAGGAGGCGAAAGAATACCTAGGTAGATTTGATTTCAAGCGTGTGAAGACGAGATGAAATCACGCCTCTCATTCCATTTCATCTCATCCTCCGCCACTTGTAAAAGGGAGCACCAGCCTCACCTCTACAACGAACGATCATCTTTGCCATCTGCGAACGGTTGTCGTACTCGAGTCACCAAAATGGGTGAGCTCCGCTATGCGGACTACCGACCGCCTGCATGCGACTAATGCACCTTGTCGAGCACATGGGCACAAAAGATACTGTCCACAGCGTACAGGGAGAGTCATCGTTACCAGTTCACAGTGCATGCACTCCAGATGGACGTATCGTCATGGGGTATCCATCTACTGTAGCTCACTGCCGATTGCTTACATGACGGCAACCCGTGCACGACAAGCAAATCCGATATCCTCTCCTCCGTTCGACGAGAATGTCACCCCGCTCAGATGCCTATTGCGATGGTAGAAATAATATCTGCTTGGTCTCGGTATTCTCGGACAGTGTTGCGAGTCTCGATGCGGTGTGGATTCGGCTCGCACAACTCTTGGATTCACAGTGCATGCATACGGGATCTCGCGATGCGATGTGTGCAATGCAGCAATCCTGCAGAGGCGCACTCGCACGGCAGATGTGAAGTTTGACGAGGATTGTTCCTGATCCGGGCCGATACGAAATATCTATTATCTGAGCCAGTGTCTGTCTCCGCCTCCGTGTGTCTGTCTTTCGAAAGACACAACCCACTGCTTTTCGACCCCGCGTACGTAATCGTCCTACATGTCCACCATGGAACCCACAACCCTAAGCCACGAAATCGCCCGGGGGCTTCCAATCGCTACATGTTGCGAACAATGTAATCATCATCCCCGAGATTGTACAGTGTCAGCGGCGTGGACCATCGCCAACGAGCTCTGACTTCGCGAACCTGTTTTGCGCAGCCTGTTAATACCGTGAGCGTACCTTTATTCCCCGGCGGTTGAAGACCAGGGGAATAATAAAGACCCGTAGGATCATCAGCGCTGTGCTCGCTGTAGATTATGACCACAAAAACACACGAAGTGATGGGACTAAGAAATGACGAGGAGTCTTCGCGTACAACAACTCTTGTGATACATGGCTGAGGGAACTCGAAACTATTCATACAGTATCGTTGTGACGACCTTCAAAAATAAAAAGTTGTTGCGCCGTCCATATCACCGCCAGCGACAATCACATAACCGAGAGCCAGGATGAAATAATTATTCACTCTGTGCGATTTGTGGAGGAAACCCGCGGGAGTTGATTTTGCCTGGCCGCACACGAGAAATACTGTACATGGACGGGAAATTTCCCACAGGACTCTGACGTGGCTGCTGTCCTGTGCGTTGGGTTGTGCTTTGGACACAATTTGGTCATCATCTCACACCTGGGCACGTATTCAACCCCGCCACCACCTGACTCGCTCGTTGCTGCCCACTTCCAAAAATTTGCCAATCCCGAACGGCAGGACGGCCACCGACTCCACTCCGCCCGCTCCGTGTCTGAACTCTTCGTCATCTTCTTTCAACTCTCGGTCTCTCAAGCGTCTCTTCGTCAGTTCCTTTCGTCCACGTCGCCATTGTCCGACATCCTCTTCTGACGACGACTGAATTCACCGTCAGCATACCGCGCCTCGGTTGCCGCATAACCACTCGCCGCTAAAAGATCTAAACAAGGGCGCGTGCTCCACGCCCCACCAACACCGCAAGCATGTCGGCGATCCCACAGGGAGGAGATGCGGACAAGAACATCGAGATGTGGAAGGTGAAGAAGCTGGTCAAGCGTCTCGAGGCCGCTCGCGGAAACGGAACATCTATGATCAGTCTCATCATTCCACCAAAGGATCAAGTCTCGCGAGCGGCAAAGATGTTGGCTGAAGAATTCGGTACCGCATCCAACATCAAATCGCGTGTCAATCGCTTGTCCGTCTTGTCCGCCATCACATCCACCCAGCAGCGTCTCAAGCTTTACAGCAAGGTGCCGCCGAATGGCCTGGTCGTCTACTGTGGTGAAATCATCACCAGCGAAGGCAAGGAAAGGAAGATTAACATTGATTTCGAGCCATTCAAGCCCATCAACACTTCGCTCTACCTCTGCGACAACAAGTTCCACACCGAAGCACTGAGCGAGTTGCTCGAGTCGGATCAAAAATTCGGCTTCATCATCATGGACGGAAACGGGGCTTTGTTCGGCACCTTGTCTGGAAACACCCGTGACGTGGTGCATAAGTTCAGTGTCGATTTGCCCAAGAAGCACGGTCGTGGTGGTCAGTCTGCCCTGCGTTTTGCTCGTCTGCGTGAAGAGAAGCGTCACAACTACGTCCGAAAAGTATCCGAGCACGCAGTGCAGAACTTCATCACCAACGACAAGGTCAACGTCGCTGGTCTGATTCTTGCGGGTTCCGCCGATTTCAAGAACGATCTGAACCAGTCCGACATGTTCGACCAACGTTTGCAAACCAAGGTCATCAAGGTCGTCGATGTCAGCTACGGAGGCGAAAACGGCTTTAACCAAGCCATCGAATTGGCTGCCGAAACCCTCAGCAACGTCAAGTTCATCCAAGAGAAGAAGCTCATCAACCGTTACTTCGACGAGATCAGCCAGGACACCGGCAAGGTTTGTTACGGTATCGATGATACACTCAAGGCGCTTGAGGCCGGTGCTGCCGAGACTCTCATCGTCTTTGAGAACTTGGAAATTACTCGCTGGGAACTCAAGTCGTCTGACAACACCACTGTCATCCTCAACACTACGAAGCAGCAGGAGACCGGTGACCGTGCTCTCTTCATGGACAAGGAGACGGGACAGGAAATGGAGATCATCGAACAGATGCCCTTCCTTGAGTGGATCGCTGAGAAATACCGTGACTTTGGTGCCACGTTGGAGTTCGTTTCCGACCGATCCTCCGAGGGCAACCAGTTCGTCTTGGGCTTTGGTGGTATCGGTGCCATTCTGCGATACAAGCTGAACTTTGAACAATTGGCTGACGATGACGACGAGGATGAGTTCTATGATGGTATGTCACACTCACGCTCTTGCCAAGGGCAATTCCGCACGATAACACTCTTGATTCCTTTCGCTGACACGCTCCTTACAGATTGACAATATGACTCCCTCCATCAATCTGGCCCTGCCGCCTTCACGACTTATGAATCTACGACTAAATTGACGAACCTGAAAAGTCATGCGAAGGCTCAGGCCAGCACGGCGTCTGCTTCGACGTCAAAGACCGTGCCTGCACCGGCCGGCGCTCACGACAATTTGCAAGACGCACTCCACGCCTCTGCGCCTCACAATCCTGCGCGAGATGCTGCTGCACGTCGCCTGGCCGCCGTCACAATTTCACGTACGGCCTCGAGCGAACATGAGTCGAGTCCGGCCCCAGGGGGTGCAGACGTGGACTGCCTCGTGCCGGAGAACACGCAGTTGACAAGCACCGGATCCTCGACAATGACAGCAGCCAATCGGACCAAGACCTTTTTGGCCCGCGAAAGAATCGCTTGGGAGCATCGACCAAAGGTGAGCTTCTTGTGCTTCTTTAGAAGTCGTTCGCAAGATCCCGTTTCAATGTACTGACATTTTTCCCACAGACTTCTTCTCCTCTTCGAAGTGTGGTTACGGTGTGATATGCCTGAAGTTGTAACTGTGCCGTTTTGAAAATCGGGCAGTCTTGGAAAGCTGCGGAAACGAGTGTGGTGGTGAGGCAGGCGAAAAGGAGGTTCAATTGAATCTCGCTAAGATGTATGTCTCCGTGCCTCTTCGCTTGGGTCGCCGCGCGAAAGCTGTCGTGACCAGCGACTGAGATGGCGAAGGCGATATGTATGCATGACGGCAGGGCATTGTTACATCCGATCAGGGCGTCCACGCTCGGAGAAGCATGTAGCTGTTCCCGAAATTCATCCGCTTAGCCCTCATTCAAGGCGTCGATTTCACGTCGATTTCCGACTGAAATTAGGCCTTTGAGGCTGGGAAGTATTGCTGATTATCAAAATGGTTGACCTTGCCTCCCATTCTGCCGGCGCGCGCTTGAAACTCGGGACGATTTGCATTAACGGCTCGAGATGACCATCCCCACCGAATATCGTAGACCCGAGAATCTCCCCGAACGCAACCAGCGAACAGACCTAGAGCACACATACCCTGGGCAAAACCCACCGCGCGGGTCCATTCCACTCTACGATTTACCTCCGTCTCCTCCGTTCCGTCTTCACAGTCCCTCTGACCGCCATGCCACCTTCCTTCTTCAACGCCCAGACCTCCCACTTCCCCTCCCCAATCCTCGCACCTTGGAAAGTGATGTCCTCCCCGATATATAGTGGCGCGAGGTTGCGGTAGGACATGTTCGTGATGATATCCTCTTCTCCCTCCCCTTGTTGAAGTTTTGATGGATTGTTGGCTTCCGAGTCCAGATGTCGCTGCAGCAGCGTGCTCATGAAAACGAACGTCAGCGGCCCGTGCACGAGGAGGTCCTTGTGGCCCTCGATCTCTTGGGCGTACCGCGGGTCCAGGTGGATCGCGTGGCCGTTGAAAGTCAGCGCGGAGAAGCGGAAGAGGAGTTGGGGCGTTGGCGTGAGAGTGTGGGTATATGTCGGTGTATGCTGGGGCTTGGGTAATTGCCGCGGTGGCGGAGAGCTGGGATCTGATGCGTCGGGAGAGGTCTTCGGGCTCGCGTTTGCCCGCATGAAGACGATATTGCGTGTCTCAACGATGGAACTCGGTCCGAAGTCTTCCCCGCGGTCGCGCCAGAGCCGTTGGCGCACACGGTGTTGAAGGTTGGTCAGGAGATGTGAGTCGGCGTTGCCCGAGAGGGATTCACTGGCGATCTTGGCGCTTTGCTGGAGTTCGCTTTCTGTCGCCTTCGCAATGCGGCGCTCGACTTCGACGAAGACTTTCTCGTCCGGCGCATTGCCCTTGATGGTTGCGGAGCGGATGAACTCGGCGCATACGGCACGGGAACCGTCCATTAGGAGCGGCTCATCCGGGTTCCATTGCACGCGGGCTCCGGCCCACATACGTCGAACGAAAGGCTCGCCGGGACTCTGATCCGGTAATGTGCCATCTGGGAGAAGCGCTTGCGCGCGAAGTGTTGGTTCAAAGTAGCAGAGGTGGTGCGCGATCGGGAGTCGTCGCGCAAGGACGCTGGGGGTGGGGAGCGATGGTGGCGAAGAGTCGGGGAGAAAATCCGAAAGTGTTGTCTCCAAGCGATAGCTATTCTGCGAATGCAAATCTTCAAATATTGGAGCAATCTCGCGCTTTGGCAGCGATGTTGTGAGAAGGCTAAATGTGGAGGTGTGGCGAATGGACGAGGCTCGAGCGACAGCACTCATGAGCCTCGGAACCACTCGGTATTGCAGTGCAGAAAACATTGTCAGAGCTGGGCGACGAGGTGCAGAATCGCGATTGAGTCGCTTGATTGGTCAATTGCAGTTTGAGATACTTTGAGGCCTGTTTTGATTTGTTTGTCCGAAGCCTCCTATCATGTCAAGCACACGAAGGGCGCAGCAAGTGCCCAGGGACCCAGGTGAGTTCAAGTCGACCGCCGGGAGTTTGGCGCATCAGCATCGGGCCGCCGCTTCGGCCGGGCGGATTTCGTTCAAGCACGGCAAATTGTTTTTGGCGGCCGCTAGTTCGGAAGTCTGGCAGCTTCAATGGATGCTGAACATGGACGTACACACCACAAGTGTGTGACAAAGTTGTAAACTTACGATCTCTACAAAGGATGAGACACCAGGAGCATAAATGTAAGCACATTGATCTTCCACTCTCGACGAGTACTCCACGCAGATCTCGCCAAGTGCCAAGGTTCGCAGCTGGAGCATTGCTGACGCTGCTCATGCCGATGGCCCGGTGAATGCTTGGAATCATGCTTTGTCGTCCTCGTTGGTCGATTCTCATGTACGGATATTAAGAGCAGCTCTGCAACCTGTGCTTGACCATCTTTCAACTCTGATCTAAACGCCGAATTTTCTCTCCAACCGTAAGGTTTTCTTCTCGCCGTTCATCGAACCCAGCAGAGGTCGCCTTCAAAAGGCAAGCTTTACGCAAATGGCGAGCATACATAGTGGCCTTCAGGTCGTTCCAACACCAGATTACTCTCTACCGCAACCTGAGGACCCAGACCGATTGCTGCCAGAGTTTGACAAGCACCACAATTTTCAATATACGCCGGTTTCTAGCCGAATCTGGAGTGAATCTGATTACCCGGTCAAACAATCACCACCACTACAAGCTCGTATCTTCGGCATGACGCCGCTGGTATGGACTATCCTTGTCGCTTCAATCACAGCCATGATCGTCGGCGCCGCAGTGGGAGCCGGTTTGGGAACTCGGCTTCATGAGGTCCCCGATCACTGCGACAAATCACCGTTGCCATTGTCTGAGGTTGATACAGCTGGTCTGTTGCTAAACTACACTGTCGCCAGGCCGCAAGAGATCTACAACGTGACCGATCCCTGCACCGCAGCGCGCACCGGACAATTCATCGCAGCCAATGGTGGCGCATGGACCACGGATTGTGATAAAGGCTGGACAGGCGGAGACGTGGCCAACATCTGGGCGTATGCATACGAGGAGTGTATCAACGCCTGCGCAAGCATCAATTACCGACTCAAGTCGAACAATAGATGTATAAGAATCCAGTGGGTCAAGAATTTCGCGAGTGCACCCATGTTCGGAAATTGCTTTCTCAAAGACAACCACTCGACACCCATCACAAACGATCAAGGTTGGATTTCGGCGCAATTGAATTGAATCGGGTATTGGGTATGGAACCGATCGTGTTGATGGGCGATGAATGGGGTTATGTGATGATAATTAATGATTCAATAGATGAGATATTTGAAGAACGCATAGTGAATATATTCTTGTTACATCAAGCTCATATTATCTCGCGCAACAGCAGCATCTGTTTGTCTAAACGACATGTACGTACTGATGATCATTGATCAAGGAGTGGTGATCTCGCCTGAATTGACGCCCAGGTGAGAAAGCAAGTGTGGCCCACAGGAGTGGTTTGAAGCCGACGGGTGGCCTCCCGCTGCCTCACCCGCACCTTCAAGGCATCGGGCCGCAACTTCGCCCGTGCATGTTCACCGTCAAAACCGTCGCAGAGATGGATTCGTGGGATGCAAGACCGACTCTTCATGTGCCAGTGGTGGCCTTGCCCACCCACTGCTCCATAAGCTCGATACTTTGGGGGCTGTGTTCCCCAATTGTATTATAATTTGCTCGCCAAACACGAAACGATTATTCTTAGCCTTGTCATCTTCCCAAATCGGAAGCATGCGATCTGACAGAGCGCCGAGTGCCAAGATGCTTAGTCGAGTGACGCTGACAATACCATCACCCCTGGTCATGCGCATTGATGGGGAGACCAGTAATGCAAAAATTCCATACGAATCTGAAATGGCGGAAGGGAGTGTGTAAGCTACTTTGTAAATGTCCAAAGGTTTGATACCAACGTGAGCGTTCCTCTCTCCCTTCGTCTTTGCCCACTTCACGCTCGTTTATCAGCTATCGCTGTCTTCAACAGGATCGATTTATTTCTTTTCTTCTCGTACACAACGACTGGACGATCTCGATACCGGTTACATCTACGACCGACCAGCCTAATAAATCATGGCTCACGCGCAGAGTGGTCTAGAAGTCGTAGCGAGTACTCCAGATTACTCGTTACCGCAGCCTCATTATCCTGCTCAGCTCTCGACCTCGACGGACCCTGAAAGTAAACCTCCATATCATGGTCCTTCGTACGATCAGAATGGACAATATGCCCCTGCTGTAAATACAGCCTATATCGCGCCGGATGAAAATTTGCCGGAGTCGTCGAAACATCAACGAATTTGCGGACTGACGCCTCTGTTTTACGGAATCGTGGTGGCTTCTGTTGCGGCAATTGTCGTTGGTATCGCACTCGGTGTTGGCTTGGGAACCCAGCTTGCAAAGCAGAATACTAGCGACAGCTCAAGCACATCGGCACGAGTCACGGTCACCTCGTTCGCGACTGCGCTCGCAACTGTGACCGTGACTGCGACGCGTACCGGTACAGCTTCCCAGCCGAGTGCCACAGGCCTTGCCACGAACTTCGTTGCTGTCAAGCACGGCAGCATTGCGTCTTTGAGCAACCCATGTCCAGCTGCAAACGGCACAGTCTATGTCACGCCGGACAATCAAGTTTACCGTGCGAATTGCGAGCAGTCTCTAGACGGCGCAGACATCTCCAATGTCTGGGCGTTCTCACACGAGGATTGCATCGACGCATGTGCAAGCTTTAACTCCCGAGCCGTCACGAATGCATCATGTGCACAGATTCTGTGGACGCGGAATATGCAAGTACCACCGTCTAATCAATTCGGCAACTGCTGGCTCAAAACTTCTGCCGCAAGATTGAAATCCAGAAACGACGATACCATTATGGCTGTCCTGAATGGTCGCTGAGTGGTGCCTAGAAAGCTTAAATGCAGATTTGAGTGTTGCGTCGAACAAGCGCAACGGTCATGAGGTTTTGCAGCGTATCGTTGTTGGATACCGCTGCATAGCGAAGAGGATTCTCACTTTCGTACGGGACCGCATTTCCAACAAACGCCTGTTCCTGTATTGCCTTAGAACTAGGAATCGCTGCCGACAAAGAGATGTCGACCACCTCCCAGGCGAGGATGCGAACCTGCTTAGTGCCCCGGACCGATATGCATGAAATCCTTCGCGAATAAGCCACCCCCATGTCGGAAGCCGAGACGCTGTCACGGTGATACGATGTCATTCTCACTCAGAGTTGGACCTGAGCTCTGCATCGAGGTGGCTCACTTCAATGTTGTGGAGGCCAACGCGATAGGCTGTCACAAACCATCCGCGTCCCTCTTGGCGCATATGTGAGCGGAGATCCAAATTGCACACGAGTTTCTGTTCTGCATCATTGACAACCACGTGTACTACCTGCGTGTTGTAATCGCGAAGAGATAGTCTCTTTCGGCAGCCTCTGAGGATATCCAAATATAGCCATTTCACGCCATGCCTTTCGCGTGGCTGAAATTCCCCGCTCCCATTGACGAAAGCTTAATAATCCTAGCACGTCCCAAAAGAGCAAAATATTCCGCAGAAGTCAATCAAGATGCTCGTACTAGCTCTAGCTCAATTATTCCAATGCGCCAGTCTTGGATACTCTGACACCGTTGTCGTCCACATTGGAAACTGCACTCAACAGACAGCATGCACGAGGACCGGGATCTGCATTGCCGAAGCATGGCTTACAAGGCGGGGAATATTGGAAGAGGACATGCACGATCCTCCAGCCGTCACACGACAGAGATAAAGCCATCATTGTCCTCCTCCGTCTGCATAATGGACGTTCGGTATTCTTCACCCTCTTTTGCTGGCCCAAAACTTTTCACAGCCTGTCTTCCAATTGATTGGTAGCGTAAAAACAAGCGGCATCTCATGTCGGAACACAGTCAGATCAGTCCAATCAGAAGTCCAATTTTTAGTCGTCAATCCTATCTCAAGATGGGCCGAGAACAAAGCGGACTTCAGGTCGCGTCTGTATCTACTCCGGACTACTCTTTGCCGCAGCCTGAAGACCGATCCTCGTCATTGCCGGAATTGGACAAGAGCGCAATGCACTCGAATGTCTCGTATTACCACAATAGCATCAATTCGCCTGGCCTTCATCCAGCGTACACCATGTCGGAGAAGGAAGTTGCTGAGCCAGACCGACGACATCGTATTTGCGGAATGTCGCCCCTGTTCTACAGCATCTTGGTCGCATCCATCACAGCGATCGTCGTCGGCGTCGCAGTCGGGGTTGGCGTTGGTACTCAATTGTCTCAAGCAATGCAGCAGCGCACATGCAGCAGCAGCGTTCCTACGGTGACCCAGACTGTGACGGCGACTGCCACCATTCCATTCGCCGCTGCAAGCACCACACAAGGAGGGTACTACATAGACTATACTGCTGTACGTCCCGCTCTGGTGGCTTCGTTGCAGGACGCCTGTCCTATCAATGGCGGCCAGAATTTTACTGCATCGCACGGATCGATTTTCTCGAGGAATTGTACTGGAGGTTGGAATGGTGGTGACCTTGCGACGATCTGGGCTTATTCGCACGAGGACTGTATCGATGCGTGTGAGGCAATCAACCACCGCAATGCCACGGCGAAGTGCACCAAGGTCCAATGGGATCGGTACATGAGGAACGCTGCGCAGTGGTACGGAAATTGTTACCTGAAGAGCGATAATGCACAACCGCAGGGACCGGCCCCGGGGCAGATTTCGGCGATATTAATGGGCTGAGCGATTGTTAGCTTCATGACATCGCACCATGATGCTGTCCATCGCAGCCAGGGTGATTCAGCGCCTCACTAACGAATTTTATTTTGCTTACAGCGATTCATCATTCCACCGTGCCGCTGGGCATCAGGATATGAGTTTCAAGAATTGCTTGCAAGCGATGCACTTGCGGTTTCGCTCTTTTGGTTCGGATGAGCAACAAGCGGCAATCATTTGATTGAATGGCACATTCAATCCTTGGCCGACAGATCAAACTCCTCCATAACGATAGCCTGCCTCACTCCTCTCTGCTCGGCGACCAAACCCAGCAACCCCAGGCCGATATCCTTGATCGCGTTGTAGCGGTGCAGAAGTTCGATGTGGTCTTTGACTGTCGCATTCGCACTATCAATAACGTGAGAGGTCTTCTGCTCGGTCGTCCACGAAGACGGCATTTCGAGACCCGACGGAAGCTTGGCATTTGCGACTTGCAATGCCAGCTCGGCTTCAAGCTCGGCGAGCTTTTGCTCCACCATGGCTTTCTTCTTGAGAAGCGCAGCAGTACGAGCACTCACCAGATTGGATGTGTTGGAGTCATGCGAGACCGGTGTATCGCTCGCAACATTGTCATCCCTGGCCTGCGGTTCTGTCGCGGAAGCTGTTGTTGCCTGAGAGGCTTGCGGAATAGTCTTTGGATCCAACATGACTTCTGTGGTATAACCTGTAGGTTACATGGATGAGCCATACACATGTAGCATAATTGCGCAGTAACTTATACTTCGCGTTGAATATTTGAGTTCGATAAACGTGATCCTCTTGAAATGCGACAATTTCGTTCTTATCGGTCATGAGAATCGCAGTCAATGAAACTCGACACGCGTGTAAGCCCTCCAAAAGAAGACGCGTCTCTATATTCAGGGTCCCGCCGGCTCGAGCCAATCAGAATGATGGGGATAAGTCCGCTGCGGTAGCCATGTTGAGATCAGCCCTGCTCGGTGACCGTAGGAATGATGATCGCAGGAGGACAAATCCACAACTGTCTGTCCTTCCACAGTCCTCGCCACTCATCGCAGAATTCCTCAATTTCCGAGCCCGTCGCAAAGCCGATGAGAGGGATACCTTTCGACTTCACGACTGCACCTCGCCTGTTGCGACAATCGCTGGGGACCCTGTCTTCACTAACGTCGCATCCGGCTGGCCCCTCGAAAGAGCAGCGATACAATCCGGGCCAGAAGGCAACGACTCAATCATGGCTGTATCAACAGGACAACTCTTTCGAGGATGCTCGCTAAAGAATGCCATCACTCTCGCCATCGTGGTCTTCGCCTCCACAACATATGCACATGGAGGCGGCCATGAAGAGTTACCAGATGGCGAACTCATCACATTAGAGCCCATGGGCACCATCATGTGGCTTCACATCTGGATCCAAGGCTTCGCATGGGGCATTGTGTTTCCGGTCGGCATGGTGCTCGGACTGGTCAAGTCGAGATGGCATGTTCCGACTCAAATCTTGGGCTCTGCGTTGGCCACGGCAGGATACTTCCTCGGTCATGCTCACGGAGGGAGGAAGTACGGACCGAATGCGCATAGGAGCTTTGCGAATTGGCTGATGTTGATGCTGATTGTGCAGGCGGCCGTTGGGATCTACCTGAAATTACACATTGAGAAGGGTTTCTTGGGAAAGATCAGGATGTGGTTGGTCCGTGGACACTCTATCTTGGGCGCGCTCATTCCTGTCGCTGCTTGGACACAGATGCTGTTGGGCGGAATTGCGTCGCAAGGCTTCTGTCAAGCAGATCACACAGGCCAGTGTGTTGCGCACTTTATCATGGGCTCTGCGTTCATCGGATACGGCATCGTGCTCACGTTGCTTCTGCTCAACGGCCAAGCTTGGCTCGCCCGTACCGGACGGAGCCAGGAGTTCTACGACAGCATCGTCATCAGCGTATGGGGCTGCATCAACACCTTCACCGAGCACCACTGGGGAGGACCCTGGGTCCGCAGCGATCTCCAGCACACGAGCATGGGCATCATTTGGTGGTGTGCCGGTTTGGTAGGAATCTGGCTGAGCCGCGACCGCCAGGGTCGGCCAAAGCGAAATCTGATTCCGGGAATCGTCATCGCTATGACCGGCTGGGCGATGAGTTCACATGCCCAGGATCTCATGATCTCCACCATGATCCACGGCGTTTTTGGCTACACATTGATGGGCGCTGGAATCACCCGGATTATCGAGATCAGCTTCGTGCTCAAGGACAAAAACACCCTCGTCGGCCCACAGGGCGGCGATGTCGACGCGGAGATCAACAGTTTCCAATGGATGCCCGTATTCTTACTCTACGCTGGTGGCTTCCTTTTCATGGGCGCGACCGAGGAGCAGATGAAACTCCTTCACGATTACCACGTGACACACGTTTCATACGTGTTGATCCTCTACAGCATCGCATTCCTACTGTTTTTGTGTAAGTGACAACACTTTCCCTCCCTTCTCCGATTTTGCTTGCATATGGGAAACCATGTTTGTAAAACCGCTAACCTCTTGCTCTCTCATAGTCGTCCTCATGCTTCTAAATCTCTACTCCAAGCTCTCCCAGTCCTCAAACCATGTCGCCTCGAAGCCTCTGGACGATGAGGAGCGCTCAATTCGAACCGGCAACGGCAGCATCGTCATGCCGTCAGATCGGCAGGCACACGATGCCCAGGAATTTGAGCTGGAAGGACTAATGAGCGATGATGACGAGGAGTCACATTCTCATGGAAAAGAGAATGGCAAATTGAACGGCGGACCGCCAAGGTTAAGATGATTTACATGTCATTATCATAAGACAACTCTTTTTTTTCTCTTGGTTTAAGTACCATGGCATTGTCTCTGGCGCATGAGCTTCTTGCATGTATAATTCTCATTCACTTCTTTTGGCAAAATTCAGTCGAACTCGTGACAATGAGTTCAAAGTTCATGTGTCGAACGGGGATTTTGGATCGGCTCGACGAACTAACGGTCAGATCAGCAGACGCGGTCGTGTCAACTTTGAATTTACTATACTATAGCGGTTTTCGTGCACAATGATGGCAGCTTCGAGCAAGCAACCCACTCACTCGTATATGTAGTACTGTGAACTCCAATGACCTCTGTGGAAACTCGCCGCCCTAAACTCCGCGCTGTGATGGGCCGGCCAACTTTGAGAACCAGTGGTATCAAAAAACAAAAACAAACATACATCGAGTAGTCATGCAGGTCGTGAAGAACCAAAATGTTAAAATGCAAACGAAAGAGACGCTCCAGCGTAGTGAGCTTCTCATCATGTGAGGAAGAAACTGCCGCGTGACTCGTGAAAGAAACAACGTAACGAATCAAGGCGGCGCCAACGGCAGGCCGTGTGTCGGCACTGGTGCTGGGGCTGTCGAGGAGGGAGGTCCACCGTACGTCGGCCCTGGATTGCTTCCTCGATTGACATTGGCCAGATTTAAGCGAAGTATTCGTTGTGGGTGCGGCTGGCTAGATGGGAAAGGACGCGGATCTGAGACTTGCGGACGGGCGGCTGGTATTGCTGCATGACGTGAGGCAGGAGAGCTCGATGTACGGTTGTGAGTGACATGGTTGTGTATGGAGCTGTGGGCGGGTGCCATCGACCTTGGGTTTGCAGGCTGTGTTGACGAGAACGCTCGCACATTGTATGAAGGAGGAACTTGTGTCGAAGCAAACGGGACAGCTGGTACAGCTGCACGATACTGCTGGCCTGCAAAAAAACGTGCGGATTCTGCTTGTGCTTCGAGGCGCTCTGCTTCTGTCAACGGTTCGTCCTGGGCTTCTTCCTGGAGAGTTTCCATGGTCTTGAGAGTACAGATCATGCTTCCAGGCCCTTCAGTAACATCAGCAAGTATCACATCAAGGACTTTCGGGTCTTTGCCGATTTCGGCAGACAAGTCTTCTCGGGCGACGTCTTTGGGTGCATAGAGCCATTGGTTTGCTCGACGGCTGGTGTTCCGGACTGGATTCCTTTTGTCCACGATACGTGAGGTCAGAGTGGTCTTGAATAATTGCTTGTCGTACATGTTCGTCTCGAAAGTGCCTCCTATCACCATGCGATAGACGAAGACTGGTTTAGTCTGGCCGAGGCGATAAGCACGACCGATGGCTTGTTCTTCATGACTTGGGTTGAAACCCGCATCCATAAGCACAACACGCGATGCACGCTGTATATTGAGTCCGACCCCTCCGGCACGAGTAGAGATGACCATAGCATCGAGTCCGCCATCCTGGAAATCCTTGATTATGGAATCACGTCGAGCTATCTCAACCTTACCGTCGATTCGTCCTGAAGTGTAGTTCGAAATTCGAAGGAGTTCTGAGACATAATCAAGCGTAAGGAGACTCTGGGAGAATATGAGAACTTGTTCGTCGTGTTGCTTCGAAAGCTCCATGATTTTGAGTAACAACATCATCTTGGCTGAAAGATCCGGAGCAAGGTCATTGTCAATTCCGGCAGTGATATGTTCTACGGTCTGTCGCGTCAGAGCACAAAGGCTCCGTGCCTCAGTTGCATCGTTGATCAGTTCACTGGCTGCTATTATTTCGCCGGAAGGCGTCAATAATCCGTCGTTTGTTTTCGAGGAGACTTCGTCGGCCTCTGATGGCATGTCGCATACCGTACGATTTTCCTTGGCCAATTTCGCCTTGACAGACTTCGCCTGTTCAATCACGTCAAACAATTTGTTCTTCAAAATACGCGGATGATTGGTGAGCAAAGTCAAGACGGAAAGCCAGCTGAATAGCGTGACCTGATTGATGTCCTTGTCCTTTGCTCCCGACCAAACTGCGTCGATGTATTTGACATAGGCCGTGCGTTGTGCGTTGGAAAGAGTCAACGTCATAACGAACTCCACCTTTGGCGGTATACTGCCTTTCAGCACTTGGATACCCATTCTGGAGACCTTTGGCTCAATCCTCTGTCGTAAGACCTCCAGACGTGCCATGCTCTTTCGAACTTCAGCCTTGGTACTGTCATGATAAGTTCCATCTTTGATCGGGCCAGTGAAGTAGCCTGCGAATTCATCTGATTTCCCAAGGTAATCTGGAGCTACCCAAGAGACCAGGGCATAAATCTCCGGTACATCATTACTCATCGGAGTACCAGTCAGTGCGATTCGAGTCGGTGTCTTCATGCGCGCCGCTGCTACGCTAATCAGCGCTTTATTGTTCTTCAGCTTGTGGGCTTCGTCGGCAACAACGACATCAGGGCTCTCCAGGAGAAATTTCTCGAACGCATCGATATTGGCTGCGCCGCGTTTTGGGGCGCCCTCGTCTTTGCGCAGGCTAACCCCAAGCAGTTTTGTGAACATTTGATAGCCGACGAGCAGCATTCCGCCTCGTATGTGCCAGTCTTCCATGATCCGAAGATTGTCATGCTTCGAAAGCCGACTTTCAACAGTCCATGCACTTCGAAATGTTTCCGGGCCCCAATGCTGAATCTCACGTTCCCAATTCTGAAGAAGCGAAGGTGGGCATAAAATCAGCACTCGTAGCTGACGGCGTTCTTCCCGACGTATTTTGAGGCTGCGTGGGATCTGCTTGCTTATGCGCGGTGAGTCGGACAGAGCAGCGTAGTTCAGACATGCCAGAACACAAATTGTCTGCATCGTTTTGCCCAGACCCATTGTGTGAGCGAGCATACATCCTTGGTTCGGATCATCTTCACTGCCATCTCCAGCTGTAAGCTCTCGCCACATGAAGCGGACTCCCTCAATTTGATGCTTTTTGATACGCTGGGCGATACCTTGCGGAATGAAGATCGGATCCTCATCATCCTCTCTGGCGATGTTCACCATGAATTTTTCCAATGTGTTGTCGGTAGAGTGGTCTGCATCTTGTGAATTCATTGGTGACGTGTCTTGAACTTGCTGCATCAGGTTCTTGTGTTTGGCAGCTCTGTCTTGAGCTTTCTTTTGAGCAATCTCAGTACCAGCGCGGAGCTTCGTTTCTCTCTTCCGTACTTTTCGTGGTGAGGAGACGAGCTGATCCGAATCGCTGGATATATCAATCACCTCTTGTGCTACCTTTCGAACAACCTGCTTCGAGCCTTTGTATAGCCTCGTCTTTTCGACAATAGCAGTGAATACCCGCAGTATCGTCCTCATCTGTTCTGGTGTGAATGCCCCACGAGCCTCGGAGAGAGAGGGTATCTGACCATCAACAGAACATCTATGCCAAGCCCACGCGAGTCTGGCAAAGACCATGGGCACCTCATGGACCGAAATCGTGTTGGAGTCATGTGAAGCCAAGCTCAATCTCGTGAAGAAGTGGTCCGCACCCGGATGCAAGCTTCTGATATATTCGCCCAGTTCCGCCCGCAGTTCAGGGGTAAGCCTGGAAAGCAGCTTGATCAAAACTCGCATTCTATCGGTACCCTTTACGAGTTCGTCGATGTTCCAAGCTTCGACCTGGTCTGCAGTTGCTAGCACAGCGTCGCCTTGATAGAGATCATTGCGATCTTTTTGGGAGAGGGCGGGAGCTCCAGAAAGCGGCGCCTGTAGCTTCCGTCTTCGTGGCGTGAGTAGCAACGGTGGAGACCCAGAGGAGTCGTCACGAGTCCTGGGGTCCAAGATCTTAGCGCCACCGCGCGCGATGCTTGCAGGATTTTGATCAACATTCTTCGTTGCTGACAAGATCTCGTCTTTGATTTTGATTGCAGAGCCATGAGCACCAGGTGTTTGCTGTACGAAGAACTGCGAAACATCATCAAGTATCTCGCAGTCCGAGTCATTGTCAGGGGGTAGTGACGGCGCGATGATCCCATTTGCTGGTCCGTCCGAAGTCTGAGCTTCCTCCAAAGATTTGTCGACTTCCATATCATCAGCCGAACCTGATAAGTCAACTCTCTGGTGCGTAGTGGGTGTGATAAGGTCATCCTCCTCGCCGTCGCCATTGGTCACAATTGGAGAATTCGCGTTGTCCCCGGCGACTTGTTCGTTGAGGCTACTAGTATCCTCATCGTCATCCGACATGATGAAATCGGTCTGATCATCGGCGTTCTGATCGTTCGAAACCTGTCGAGCGGGAGTCTGCTCGGCAACAGTATTACTGCGGTCATCTTCGACAACGTCCGGCTCTTTGGAGATGCTCAATATTTCGAAACGGTCTTCGGTAGGAATTATCATTTGTCTTTGTTGACGTGCGGTCGGGGCCGCATGACCGACTTTCCCTGTGCGATGTGATGGGTGAGTGACATGAACAGGGTCTTCCTTGCGCTGCCAAACATTGATTTTCCACTTTTGCAACTCTATCTCATCCACAGTTGGCCGAAGCGACTCGCACACATCCGCGACGGCTCTTTCTGAATGCCACACATCAAGGAGGAAATGTTCTTTGAGACTGGCGATCCGTGATCGGAGCTTTTCGATGGTTCTGTTCGCGCCTTCGATGAGCGCTTGACGAATCGTTCGGCTCTGTTTCATCAGCCTCCATGTCTTGCTCGCATGTTTCTCATCTTGGCGTGGTAGACACTTCTCCACCCAGTCCGTGGCGAAGTCGACGACAGCCTGATCAACCATAGCGGACACATACTCCTTCGTCAAGCCACCTTCCGGCTCCTCTTCTGCCATTTCATCGTCGCTCTGCTCGGAAGAATCATCCTCATGGGAATTATCCGCCATAGGTTCACTCACGACCAGATCCGGACTGCCAGTTCGGTGTATGTACTTCTGAAGCAGATAGTCCAGCTGACCGTCCAAGGGTTTATCCTGCGGCATATCATGGTATTGGTCGCCGCTCTCCAAGTATTCTGCAGATTGCAGGAAAGCGGCATTCTCTCGGAATGCTAACGGCTCGTCGCTATCGTGCAGAAACTGAATGACTGTCGCGGATTGTGTTTTGACATATTTGGTAGCATTTCCCTGATAAGGGTAAATGGCACATGCAGCACGCCCACCTCTCTGAAATCCAAGAGCATTCTGCTCGCTGTGCAGGAAGAAGAAACGCAACCTGGACGCGACGAACTGTGAGTCGCCAATAGGTTGTGGCTCGGAATGAAAAGAAAAATTCGTTAATGCAAGTTCTTGATCCCCGTCCTCGGTTCTCAATTCAAGATCTTGGATCTCCTTGCCAAGTTCTGTAGATCCATAGAATATGGCATCAACAGGGATGCCTGGTGAGCTATAAAACGCTCGATTGAGGGAAGTCTTGGTGGATTTGAAGGATTTGAAATTTTGAGATTGGGATAGATCTAGCTTGCGCCGCTTGCGTCCTTGTCCGTCTTGAATTTGAATTTCTTTTGCTCTAATTTTGGATGTGGCTTGATCTGGAGTTGTATGGTCCTCGGTCGAAGCTACAGCTCTGGTTCCCTCTGACGAGATTGGCGGAAGCTTAGGGGCTTCCGTGAGCGAAGACAATAGCCCGGCACCGTTTACGGGAGTGGTCGGTTCTTTTGCTCGCTCAGGGACAGGTTGCTGCAGTTCTGCCTCGCTTGTGATGATGTGCATAGGTGTGGCTTGCGGATTGAAGACTTGCAAAGGCAAATTGTGCGTATGAGGGGTCTGGAAGGCCTGCGTCGTGCTAAGAGGGGTGTCAGGAGGTCGCGCCTCCAGAAAATATTGTTGACCAGGTTCAATCGGCGCTAGCAAGCCTGTTCGCTGCTGATTGAGAGCTCTACCTCGAACTCTGGTAGACTGAGCGTTAAGCTTCTGAATGCACCACAAAACCGAGTTCGCCTGGCCCAGTGCTTTGACCCCCAGGTGGCTTCTGAGAGTATCAAAATTGACGTTGTTCAGTAGATCTGCACCTGAAATCTCATTCTCAATAAGAGCCTGCTCGAAAGAGTCGAGATTTGGAAGTCGAAAATTGCCCTTGTCCTGACAATATCGAGCAGCATAATGACGGAAGAAAAGAACGACATGTTCGACCGACCACTCCCACGGATCGGTCTCCTCCATCACAGCGAAGGATGCCGCGTCACTTGATGATCGATCGAGGCATGCGAGGCGACATTATTTGACTTCGACTTTTCGTGATGTATGGCCTGAGTGTATTTCGAGATGCTGATGAATGTCGTTACTGGACCGAGACGCGTCGTGAACGCGTAAGGAAGCGACCACGGCAGGAGCGACTTTACGGTCTTGGTGGAGTGAATTGAGCTCATGTGAATATGGTGATGATATGTAGATGATGGGAATGTGACGATTGAAATGTCCGGGATGTTGTATGTGGATGTCGACTGTGGTTCACTAGTTGCGTCGATATGAGTATCAGCAATCAATACGAATATTTGAGTTGTTTGACGATTGTTGTGAGGTTTGTCAGAAGCTAATAATTCCTGTCTGGGGAAGTCTAAGGAAGTCCCAGTCTGTCAATCACAGGTGAATGAATATGCGCTTTCACAGGTCGACAACACAAGGCTTGCGTGGAGGCGACCAACTGATCGCCTCCAACTTGGCTCTGGTCCGAGAATGATTGAAACCGATAGTTGCAATACGCCGTCAAGTTTCATAGGCGATTTACACACGCTTGAATGCTACCTGCGACAATATTTTTGGTAGTTGACTCCCGCCCGTGTTGTGTCATGACTTGATTCGCGAGACATCGGCGCGTTTTATCAAAGTTGCAGATGTGGGTGTCGACTTGCGCTTTGGCGCTTGACCACGAAAGTGCGCCCACCCTAGGTGCTTTCAAGGTTATTATCTTGCATGATGTTCACAGCGACCGCGACCAACAGCTTGATCATATCCGCACAGTCACCATTCCATGTTTAATCAATTCTTCCTCGCAGCGTCAATCGCTCGACATCGTAGGATTTGATTCCGTACATGAACTCAGTACATCTGGTCAATCAACAGTATCAATACAAATGTACGCCATAAACTCCCAAAGGGTTCCAGGTGGTTGTGAAAACTTCCCCGAAGCTTTGACTTCCGTTCATGCATGAACTTCCGAGGTTTCGCAGCATCGAAATTCCAAGGTTGTACGGCCGCGAACATACCTACCTGGTATTTTGACAACACCCTTGGAACATCGCGCAAAGCCCAATCCCTCTCGCATTCTTCGTGAAGTATCCGCCCTTGAGCAGAGCGTGCACCATGTTGCTCCTGGGCCTCACCGGAAGCATTGCCACTGGCAAATCCACCGTCTCCTCCATTCTCGAAGCTCCGCCCTACAGCCTGCCCATTGTCGATGCGGACAAGATCGCGCGTGAAGTCGTAGAACCAGGCACTGCCGGGTATCAACAGATTGTCGAAAAATTTGGCCCCTCAACGCCTGATCTCCTGCTATCTGCATCCGAGTGCGGCGGCGAGCATGGTCACAATGGCAAAGGACGGCCCCTCAATCGACCTGCTCTGGGACGACGCGTGTTTGGAGAGGGCAAAGATGAGGATCGCAAAGCATTGAACAAGATTGTGCACCCGGCTGTAAGGTCTGAGATGTATCGTCAGATGATTTCCGCATACATCCGGGGTTCGTGGGCGGTCATACTCGATGTGCCCCTGCTCTTTGAATCCGGTTGGGAGCCACTCTGCGGCACGATCCTTGTCGTGGCTGTCACAGATCCAAAGATCCAGATGCAACGATTACGCGCTCGCGATGAGCATCTCACAGAGGAAGATGCGAAGAACAGAGTGGCGGCGCAGTGGGATGTTCGGGACAAGGCAGAGAGGTGCTTAAGGCGAGGTGATCAAGCAGGTGTGGTAGTGTGGAATGACGGCGACAAAGAGGATTTGCGCAAGCAAATTGACCAAGTCATGGCGAAAGTCAAGTCGAACAGTCCACAGTGGTGGGCGTTCTTACTGTTACTCTTCCCACCACTCGCAGTGATGAGTGGGAGTTGGAGCTATGTACGGAGTTGGTGGATTAAAAAACAGTGGGAGCAGGAGAAACTCAAAGACAAGGCGAAGCTGTGAGGTATCGAATGCGTTGCAACAGAACACTCCAGATGTGCGCACCCGTCATACAACCAGCAGCCTCCATGTGATGCCTTCTCCCCACCCGACGCTATTTTTTCATTGACAGCTGTCGGGCAGGTCTGCCAGTGAAACTCTCTCGTGAGAGCTTGCTTTTCTCTATTCCAACAGCTCGCATGAGCTTGATCTCTCATCCCTCAGACAATTCGGTCTCCATGAATCTTTTTCGACATCCTCATGGGCTGCAATGGCAATTAGTACAGCTTTCAGTGCAATAGATTCATTGTCACACATCCCCGAGTGCTCCCACCATAAGCCTCAACCATTCGTAGGTTCTGAAGGTAGCGATATTGGCTCATTCATCGACGACCAATACACTGCACTTGGCGCCTCGGACTATGTTCCAGTTCGCTACGACCACACTGATCGTCGCAGCAGCAACTTCGACGAGGTCGACAATGTTCAAAGACTTCGCCAAATCCAGAACTCAGCTCACATAACCTTGAACACACAAACGACAGTAAAGCCGATCAGCAAAGAGCTTTTCCGCAAGCTTGTCAATGATTGCCAGAACCGACAACCATCTCCAGATTCGCTGTTACCGAACTCCGTCAAACTGCCCCATACAGGAGCGGAGCCAGACAGAACGGCAAGGGTTTCGTCACGTCACAGCAAATCGCAACATCACAGCACACTACCGAGACGCGATGATGGGCAAACCGATGCACCTGGTCCCAAAATGTCACCTACGCTGATCCTCCGTCAACGGGAAATCAAGATACGGAGCAAGGACGGCAGATTGGAGACAGTCGGGCGAGCTAATCTACCTTTGAAACGCTCCGCATCTGAGGGAAATGCACCAATCAACACTCGAAATGCCGCCGCAGCCGGAGATGCAAGACCAAGAGCAGAATCAGTCACCTCCCAGCCGGAGCAGCGCAAAACCCGTCTGGTCAAGATACGAGATAAAAATGGTCGGGAAACCGTATCGAAAGTTCCATGGCCAAGACCATCATCATCTCGAACAACTACGAGTGGAGGTAGAGATGTGCCCAAGAATGAGGCACCATCTGCGGTGATACATCCACAAATGACGAGTCGTCCTGTGGGTGTTCTTGCGGATTCAGGTGGTGATCATGTTTCGGAGCTGGTCTATGACAAGCCAGGTGCATCTTCAAAGCCAGACACATTAGATGCGGAGCCCATGCTGTCAGGGGAATTGTCTGGGAAGCTTTCTTTCCATTCGGGCAGTCGTGCAGCATCGGCTCTTCCTATTGCAAAGAGCTCGCATGCCAGCAAGTCCAGCGAAGCGGCAAGCGGCAGCAGAGTGGACTCAAAGGCCAGTTCTTTGACGACTCGCTCAACCGGAACGTTGCGAGGACAAGGAGGGAGAATGGCGGGACCACCTCCTACCGAAAGCGAGCACGGTCAAGATGCCAGGAGTTTGTCATCCAAGACAACATCCTCCTTCCGTCACTTTGCAGACGATAACCCTGGAGTGCGACAAACGGTGAACAAGTACGACGAGCGCAAGCAGTCTCCCGGCCCAGCTGCTCTATTCCAAACCTATATGGAAACCCAGAGGGTTGCTGGGAAAGGGGCAAGTTCCACAGTAATCTCCCGTGGCTCGAATACACTTTCCTCCAGAAGGTCATCTGCACATCCTCAGCTGCATCCCGTCATCGCGTCAGAAGCATCATTCGCAAAACATCATGCAGATTCTAGCCACCTACCTTCGGAGAGGTCAACTCCACCGACCTCGCTTGCGTCAAGACACATGCCTTTGTACGATGAAATCCAACATTTGAACGCGCATACTCGTGATCGTCCTGCACGAGCAGAATTGCATCCTCTCTCGATCTCCGAGCTTTCTCGATCAGGTAGTCACCACACCCACTCTCCTGCTTCCCACTCAACAGCACGGCCGCCGCGATTCGAGTCAAGCGGAGCCGCAATTCGCAGCGAATTGTCTGCCAACCTGTCCACGAGCTTTCGCTATGAAAATTCTACAATCTTCGCTGGCAAAGGATGGATATCACCACATCCAGAAAGCCTCAGCTCCTCAGCTCCTCAATCGACAATCGGACTACCCTTCTCGCCCGGAGCGACCATGACCTACAAAGATTGGATCACCATCCAAGAACAGGGCTTAGCTGCGGAACATCTGCAGCACCCCTCTGCCCGCGTGGAGGCCTTGTCTAGTGGTTCTCGGAGTCGGCGCGATCGCATCGACTTGACGCGAAATTTGTATGCTCGGCGCGGGGCGGACAACAAGCGCACAATTCCTGAGTCGTGGGCGAATCGTTCACAGACAGACTCCTCCCGAGACCACATCAAGCCGACTGTCCGGGACGAGCGCGTTGATGGACGAACCTTTTCACACATTCGACCCGGTTTCGACAATTGAACGCTCGTGCCGAGGGACGATCTGACGGGACAGGAGAGTATCACACAAGAGCGGCGACAGCAGCGTCTTCGTCGTTCACGTTCTCACGTATTCAAAAACAAAACAGAACAAAAACCCAACGCGATTTTCCAAAGATCCCTGTCTGATTCGTCGTTTCTTCAACCGCCGACAGCCACCCTTGTGTTGTGATGTCCCCCGGAATTCGTGAGAGATGACGCAGTCCCTACGTACACCTCCGGCGCATGTCGCTAGCGCAGGCTCCACCCGTTTTTTTGGTTTCCTCGTCACAGCCGCTGAGGGCAAAAGAGGCCCAGTCGGAGTGTACACTGCGCCGCCCCGCTGTACTGGTCAAAAGATCATACGCGCAGGTGAGTCATGCTACAGAGGAGGATTGGCGTTTTCAGAAGTTCCTCGAAAAGATTGCCGATGTTGCAGATAGATACAGATCCTCACGACGTCACTCGTGGACATGCAGGTGGGCACGTTACGGACACTCGGTAAATTTCACGTGCGTGCACTCGCCAGCTCGCGTGACTGTCAAGGAAGGGGTTTCCGTGCAAATCACCGACCGCGCACGGATGGGCAATCAAGCATAGATGGCCATGTCGGTGGGAGGCGGTTGGGTGAACAAAGAGAAATCGTTCATCATATTACACGTAAATGAAGCCATTCGAGACCACTCTCTGAAAGAATGATGCTCGTTCCTTTTTGCGCCATCAAACGCCTTGCACCAGCCGATTGTGGTGCTCTCCCTGTTATCGCCCTGTGGTATGATGATGGGAACCTTCCAGGCAATCCAGCCTGGCCGTGGCTCTCAGGCACAATGTCTGTCCGTCTCAGAGTCCCGAATTCATCGTCCCTGTCCCGCGCAGATCCCATGCTCCGCTTAACGGTCCTCGGCCCACTCGTTCTCGCGACGGATTTGGTCCTCCTCCTCGGGTGTGAAGTCGTTTTGGATATTGAAGGTCTTGCGGATCTCCTCGGGCGACTTGCCCTTGATCATGTTGGCGACTGTCTTGCAGCCGACGTCGAGCAGCGCCTTGATGTCCATGTAGTTGGCGGCGAGGATGATCTCGAAGAGCATCTCTTGGTCGACCTGCATGAATTTCTGGTCCCATTCCTCAATGTCGGTGGTCTTCTTGCGAGAGTCGGCATCGTCGTCTTGGGTGGGCGCGGGGTCGTTCTTGTGGTGGGCGCACCATTCGAGAACCTTCTTGAGGACGGTGTCGGAGACCTGGTGAGGAGACCAAAGGTCAGTATCGTGTGACACGTGTGACAGAATGGAAAGTCGAGCGCATTGGTGGATTACTCACGTTCATGATCGGAATCGCTTCCTCGCCAGGAGTACCCAAATCCTCAATCATGTTCTTGATGAGCATCGACCGCTCGGCAATCTTGCGCTCTGCCGAGAGACGTCGTCAGTAAACAGTATTCGATCGCGGACAGTGGATAGGCGCATGCTTACCAGTTGTGACCTCAACACCATCGGAGCTCACCAGCTTGACAATCTGATCGGCTTCGGTCGACATGTTGGCGATGATGTGAGTTGTGTTTGTGGATGGTCGAGAGTTGTGCTGTTGAGTGGAAGTGGATCACAAGAGTATGCGATACAAAGGCGAAATGGGTATGGGAAGGAAAGAAAGATGACGAGAGTGGAGAGAGAAAGCGTGGATAGGTATGTAACGAGGACGGAATGATGATGTGAATGTGCCAGCCAGCCAGCCGCCTAGTCAGCCAGCCAGCCAGGCACGCTCTGTGAAGTCGAGCACTAGCGGCCCGCCAAGAGCCCCGCCGCAGCAAACGAACAGGCAGAACTGGCAGGCAGAACACCGAAATCGTGAACACCTGCACTGTCCAGTCCAGTCGAATGATGGTCACAGAATTGCAGTCCTTAGGTAGGTAGGTAGGAAGGCACCCAGGGATGATCTTCACACAGATAGATCATTCTCATACCGCGAACACCTACTCTGCCTATGCAGTCCGTCATGCAATAACATCTCATGTCAAACATACGCCAAAAGCCGAAAACCCTGATGCAGATGAGCAAAGACACGATTGTCGCAGTGATACCGTAATAACACACAATCGGATCGGATTGAAGCCAATCTGAGTCACCACGACCTGGAAAGCCAACACCAATGCGCATGTCCTGCTGCCGACACGGCGACAAACTTTGTCATGACAGATAACAGCCCGAGTTGAACTGGGACGCCGCCGGCGCGTACGACTTCGCAGCTGTGCCACATGCGATGACACAGTAATGAAATGATCTTGACTGTAGCCATCGCTGTCCTCGTCGTCGAGTTACCTACTGTATGTCCTATATGTTTCCCATTTGTTTCGGCGTAGGCGAAAATGCTTTACATGCGACGCCGCATCACCCAAGTGTCACCTGCCAAAGATGTGTCGCTGCTGCTCGTACCGTACCTACCTAGGTACCTAGTAGGTATGTGATAACTCCGCAATGCATCAGATCAGTTGTGTTGTGTGTAGTTGGCGTGTATTGTTGATCATATGTATATGGAACCTGCGCCACATTCCTTGCTCAGCATGATCTTGACGAAACAAGCTTCCACGAACCCTGGCCTCCAGCCGAGAGGACTCTCACATGTCCCTCCTCTGTTGCATGTTTGATCTCGATGATACACACCCGTGGACTGTAAATACTGAAAGCGCAGGCACGACTTCTCAACACCTGGGCAGTGAATGAATGGTCGTGGCATCACGTGTTTGCGCGGTCACGTCGACGGAGCACATGAGAGGTCATGTTTTCTCCCGAGTCTTCTTTGGCTATCATGTACCTACTTATTAGATACCTACCGAGCTCGGTACACACACACATATGTTCAGTGCGATTTATTATGTCTACTGTCGCTCGCTAGATAGAATTAATCTTCGTCGCGTGCCATGATGCGGAAGGGCCCCCACTGGCTGGGCATTTCGTCCCTAGCTTGCGAAATAATAATCACCTGCCTGGTGCGGTAGTTGAGAATTCTATAGAGAGCGCAACTCTGCTTCTTATTTGGTAGCAAGAAATATGATCGACACTTCATACTTGAAAGGCAACGAAAGACTTCACGCAGAGAGGCACTGGTAGCAATACGACGACGACGACGACCACCACCACCACCACCACCAACCCGCCGCCGCCCGTGGGTCTGAGCGCAGAGAATCCTCCGCGGTGTCTGTCCTGCACTCATACAGCGTCTGCGTGGGAGAAACGCGTTGCGGCGCGTGTCCCTGGATCCAACGGTGCGCGTCATCGCTCAGGAATATTATTCCGAAACGACGAGCATTGGGCAGCAGCAGTGTAGAACATCCTGGCTCTAGAATTCTTCGTTTCCATCCACAGTGCATTGCATCACAGCGCATTCCAATCAACAAAACACGATGGTGTGGAGGTCTTGCCCACAACTGCGACACTGATCCAAACACCCTGCGCCGATCGCGCTCTCTCGTCATTTCTATCCATTCATTTCGCTCAATCGAATGATTTCAGCCATCATGTGGCGTCGTTTATATCTCCTCTTGGTGATCGTGAGGCTATATTTCGCGTTATCCCCGAGCTATATCCACCCGGATGAACACTTCCAGGGACCTGAGGTCATCGCTGGTACGCCGACATTGCTCCGATCGCCCTTTCCGTGATCAGATCGATCATGCATGAACGAAAATACTGTCTCGAGTTTCCTACGTGCAGACAGCTGACACTTCTCCCATAGGCGAGATCTTCGGCTACCCTTCTTACAAGACTTGGGAATTCACTTCCGAACAGCCCATTCGAAGCTCATTCCCTTTGTGGGTCTTCTATGGTGCCCCATTAACCTTGACGAAATGGATCCTGGAAGGCTTGGGCTATGGGCCCCCATGGCTGACCCCCAAAGTCTACTTCCTTGGCCTCCGTCTCGTCATGTTCAACCTGAACTTCGTGCTAGGTGATTGGGCCATTCATGAGATTATCGCACGGCCGCATGATCGTCGGGTCGCTATCATGGCCGTCTCATCATCGTTCGTGACCTGGACCTTTCAGACCCACACATTCTCCAACAGCATCGAATCGCTCGTGGTGTTGTGGACGGTGGTGCTGGCCATCCGCTTACGAGATCATCCCGGGAGGATATCCGCCCGCTCATGTATCGTCCTGGCGTTTCTTCTTGTGCTTGGCGTGTTCAACCGCATCACGTTCCCGGCCTTCGTCGTTCTTCCACTTCTACAAGTTGTGCCGAGTCTTCTCTCACAGCCACTCCGCATTCCGATTCTTGCCTTTGCCGGCGTCACGACCCTCTTCTTTGCCATTGCTATGGACACAGAGTTTTACACGAGTGGACCTCTTCGCATTCGTGAACTTTATAACTCGGCGATCATCACACCCTGGAACAATCTCGTTTACAATCTCGACGAGACCAATCTCGCACAGCATGGCTTGCATCCAGTGTGGCAGCACGCTGTGGCCAACCTGCCACAGCTCCTTGGCCCTGCTCTACCGCTCGTTCTCTTCTCCAGCCGTAAGCTGACGCTTTTCTGGTCTGGTATTATTGGCATCGCTGTACTGTCCTGTTTCCGTCACCAGGAGCCGCGCTTTCTCATCCCTGCTGTCCCGCTCCTACTCTCCTCGATTCGCCTCCCCCGAAAGAATGCTCGTGCCTGGATCGGCGCATGGGCTGTTTTCAATGTCCTCGCAGGAATCCTCTTCGGTGTCTATCATCAAGGTGGTGTCGTCCCTGCGCAGGCATTCATCGGCGCGGAATACGATGCAAAGCTCGTCGGCACCGCCCATGTCGCGTGGTGGAAGACGTATAGCCCTCCTCGATGGTTGCTTGGCGAGGTCAATACTAATGTCACAACCACCGACCTCATGGGTATGCCCGGCGACCAAATGCTACAGCACTTCCGCGAAGTTGCACCCTGTATCGGTAAAGTCATGTCTGGAAACGGTGTCTTGCTCGTGGCGCCACTGAGTGCAACTTTCCTCGATGCTAGCATAGACCAATCGTCCTCCTCGACATCGGACATTCGATTGACAGAGCTCTGGCGATACCGCAAACATATCGGGTTAGACGACTTAGACTTTGGCGACGATGGCGTTTGGCCCACGTTGAGTCGAGTCATCGGGAGGAGAGGGCTGGGTATCTGGAAGGTCGAGAAAAGGTGCTGATACAGGATCACTTCGGTCGAGTCGTAGCATGCACACTCACAGCCTCAGTATGGGATGTTGATACTTCTGGCTCCGACGCAGGAGACCGAATGCTCATCCCACCACCATCGACGCTATAGCATAGCTCACCGACGCCAATGACCTTCACGCAATGCTGCCTCAAGATCGATGTGCTCCGTATCGTCCTTGTCCGTGCATATACAGGAGCCGTGGTGAGCGTGTGACGACGGTTCAAGTTGCGGTTGGGACGGCGGTTGAGGTGCTGCGTGCATTTCTCTCGATGACCGTACAGCTTCGTCACGGTGTTGCACAGCAGGCTTGCTGCTGTTACTGTTGCTTGCCGAGCTGTGAAAGGCACAGCTGGCGAAGTCGCCGCTGCTGAACGGGTTATTCGCACAACGAAGTTTATGCGCCTTGAGCCGGTCGAGTGCCGTTTTGAAATCGTCTAGGATGATCGTGTCTGTGAGGCAACGAAACTTCGCGATCGAGCACAAAACTCAACACGTCAGCGAACGAAGGTTATTGTCGTCCCGGCGCACAATCACAAACTCAACCATGATTGAGGACTCACCACAAAAGCCAACTTCCAGAACGGATTGATCCCATCCGGCAAGCTGTCATCATCGAAGACATGCGTGACTGCCAGGACATCGACCAACAAAAACGCAATACTGAGAAGCATCACTGCGAGGAGAACGCCGAACCGCGGCGACACCCGCACGAGTTCCACGAAGGTGAAATCATACTGCGTCTTGATGACCCAGAACAAGTTGGTCACGGTGAAGATCCACCAGGGATCACGGAAGAGGGCCTCCCACGGTCGAGTATAGACGAAAATCTTGGATCGATCGCCAAAATACAACTGCCATCCGCGGCGAGTCAGCGAGCGGTCTGTTGTCACCTGCTGAAGCCTGGCGCAGGGCTTGGTCGACGGCAAAGGACGTGGGACTTACGAAATTCGCCGCGATCTCAAGGATCCAATATGGCTGCACGAGGATCACTGTGCCGATGTAGAACATGCTGGCCTTTTTCCCGAGAAACGGCTTGTTCTTCAGCCAGGCCACCACGTTGTGCAGCGTCCATGAAATATTGAGCAAGATGGCGGTAGTACTATCTCCGTCGTTGGCGTCAACCTCGCTCCTTTGAGGAGCTAACGTCAAAGGTCATGTCTCTCACCTCAGGTACCAGCTGTAAGCTGGCGGCGCTACATGTCGAAAATCCGGCAATGATCAGTTCTGCAATCCCAATCTTGCAAAATAAAAAGCAATACATTACCTTCCAACCCATCAGAAAGGGCGAAGGAAAACAAGTTTCACTCACAAGTAAAGATAAAAGTCCCGTGGAACGTGCCCAGAAGCAGCTATATCCAAGCATCCACGATCAGCATTCTCCAAACCCGCCACGGCAGGTCTCCGTGGAGGAAGAACGTTACCTCCAACACGATCAACTTGTGCAATAACACCCCCTGTCGCATGTTCGCCACCGCCACGCCCGCCATGACGATCAGGCTGCCCACCATGTATCCCTGCGCCCACGCCTCGAGGATCAGGCCGGGTGCGTCGGACGGCTTTTCCACGTCCAGCGGCATGAAGTTCCCTTCTAACTGTCTACTCCTCCGGGTTATGTTTCTCGCGGCGGTCAGGTGATCGTGTGTTGTTGTTTTGTCGGAAAATTGGGCGGAAGATATCTCCGCTGTATGGGAGAGGAGGCGACGGAAAAGGATTGTCACACAACGACACCCGGGCAGAAGAAGTTCCGAAGAGAATGGGGGATCGTGGAGACTGTTTTGGGAGACGATGATTCAGACACCATGGGTCCCTCGTAGACCCGAGGGAGGAGAAACCCCCCATCATTTCCCTTCGAAGGTGTTATCACGGTATGGAAGACGGGAACACCGGTGGTGGCATATAGCCGCGTAATAAATCATGCATGTCTCAGAGAACGACGTCGTCAACTCCAGAACCGGAGGTACCAGTCCGCTTGGGCAGACTCGGACCGTCCGCCCATGGCGTCCACGGTGGACGGGGCGTGCGAGGGAAGTCCTAGCCGGACAGGGCTTCGCCGGACCTCTCTGTGGCCTCGCGAATGCGGAATGGATCGGGGCGTCTCTTGCTTGCGCCGTCCGTCGACTTCTCTCCGACGGTTGCGCAGGGAGGGAGTGATGGATGGATAGACGAAGGGTCCGTCCGCGTCTGCATCCTCGAGCAAGAATAAGCGAGCGAGAGGGGAGGGTCTTGCTTGCCTGCTTGGTAGATGCGGAATAATCATTCATATCTTAGGTCCCTCTCTCCCTCCCTACCTACCTACCTACCTAGGTAATGTCTTCGGACTTTATCAGGCATCCTTTGTTTTATCTGACGCCCCATATATAACCGGAACGGCGTGATGACCGACGTGTGACAGTGAGTCTGCCCTCGTGATCATTCATGACGGGTCGACTAGGGTTGAACAACCCTAACAACTGCTCTAACATCCATTGTGTTTTTTCGACGTCGATTCCGGTCGCACGGACAGATACCCAGGCATTTCACAGGTCAAACGTGGGTTTGTCATGGCAGAAGGTGTTGCCGGGTGTGGAATGGGAGGAGTCATCGTCGTCGCACGTACGCTGTGTTGCCTGCCACCCTCGTCGACCTAGATAAGCTGGACCAAACTGGCCCGTCGTCTCGTTCTTTCCAGGTCGATTTCATTCCTTATGCTTACATCGTCGCCGACATTATCCAAGAAGACCTCTCCCTTTCCTTCCCTCCCCCACAGAAATAATCCAACAGCCGTAGGAGTCCATCCTTCCCCCAAAAAGTGATGATAATAACCCCGAACTCCTCGTTTCCCGTGTCCTCGGTTGTTTCTCTCCCCCCTCTCTCTCTCATCGCCACAGATCCCTCTTGCTTCCCCTCCTCTCATGGCCCCTGCCCTCCGCGCCCGCGAATTTCGGCGGCGACCTGAAGAAGCTAAACCGCCTCTCCTTCGCCTCGCCGAAACCGTTCGCCCCCGACGCCGCATTCTCGGGGCTCCACCTCGGCGAGAAGCCACCGCCGCCGCCGTTCCCGCCGTCCGACGTCATGGGCCGGGGCGCCTCCTCGGCCGGCACCGCGAGGAAGCCACCGAAGCCGTTGCCCACGATGACCGAGCGGCGGGCCTCGCCGCCGAAGCCGCCCTGCGCCCACTGGGGCCCGAGGCCGCGCGAGGCGCTGTACGCGCTGAGGGGCCGGCCGCCGACGAGGATCGTGCTGTCGCGGTTGGCGCGGCCGTCCGGGGGCATGATGGAGGTGAAGACCCATTCGGATTCGTCCATGCCCTTGGAGAAGATCTCGAGGGTCTGGTTGAAGCCGCCGCCGGGGCCGCCGCCGGTGCCGCCGGGGCCGCCGGCGAAGGGCGCGACGATGGGCGGGAGGACCAGGAGGTCGGCGAAGGTCGGGTCGCGGACGTAGAGGGTGGCGAGGTTGGGCAGGGCGTTGGCGTGGAGCGAGGAGGAGAGGTAGGCGTAGTAGGATTCGGCGGGTTTCTGGAGGGCTTGGATGTCCTCGGCGTTGCTGATCTCGAAGTGGAGTTTGGTGAGAGAGCGGGACGAGAGGGGCGGGAGCTGTTGCATGGCGAGGCCGAGGGAGGTGGAGATGACCTCGTCGATGGACAGGTGGTCCAGGTGGGTCGCGCTTTGAAGTAATGTGTGTAGATCTTGGACGGTGACGCCGGTGTTTTGCAGGCTGAGGGAGAAGAGGCTTCGATGAGCCCCGGACTTGTCGAGCCAGGACTGCAGTCCTTGTGTGGTGATGTGAGGCGTGTCGACCAACTTGAGCACCCGCACCGGCGGGAAGTTCGGCAGCTGAGGCAACAGAGGCTGTAGCATGCTATCGTCCAACCACGACATATCTGTCAAGGAGAGATCGAACAAATTCGGCAGGCCGGCGAGGACGATTCTCAACGTGGCGGGTTCCACCACGATCGACGTCAACTCCAGAATCTCCAAATTCTGCCAGTATCCCTGAGGTATCAACTGGAGCGCGGCCTCGGCGCCATGTCGATATGTCATCTTCCGTAGGTCCGGACACCTCGACTGGAGCTCCTGCCGTAGTGTTGTACAACTAGAATCACCATTGAAGAAGCCGTCCGGCAGGTCGACGTATTTGAGATTGGGCATCGCCGCGACGGTGCGTGCCAGATCGGCCTTTGCCGTCTCCCGCGTCATGTATGTGACCTTCAGAAACTCCGTCCGCCGAGCCAGATCCGGTCGATCCCAGACCGACCGGCACAGGAGAGCGAGCCGGATGGCGGCCGGGTCGAATTTGTCGCCGCTCTTTGCACGATAATGCTTCTTCTTGCGGATCTCGGCCAGGTCGTATTCCCGCTGACAGTAGTGTACCGCGTCGATCCTTATGCTCTTGTACAGCTGACGCTCGGCGACCGCCCGCCATTTCCGACACAGGCGAGCGCATTCCGCCAGCTCTCGAAGGTCACACAACATGCAACCCTCGCCGATCTGTGAGGACTCGCATGGTTCGTATGTGGTGTCTGCGACATGCGGGCAGACGTAGGCGAAGATGCGGGCGAGGATGGCATCGGGGAGTTGTCGAGTGTAGTCGCGTCCGTATCTGACATATGGTAATTCGGGATATGAGGCTGCTTTGGGGTTGGAGTTGTCCCGGAGCCGAGCCTTGGAGCGGAAGTGTTTCAGGAAACCCATTGCGGAGGAAGATTTGCTCCTTGTGTCGCTTCAGGAAGTATGGATCGATCTTGATCGCAAGATTTCAAGAGCTCGTGATCAAGGCCGGCATATGCGAGGACCGGCAATGGGCGACTGGGTATACGAGGGAATTTACAGGTGTGGAGGGAAATGGACAGTGGAAGGAGCCGCTGCGAACCATCGCTGAGAACACAAGATCGGAGCGCGCGCGCAATCTGGGACGAGGTATCGGAATACCGTGTTTTTCGCTAGGCGGCTGAACTGGGTGGGAATGGTGATTGCGGCGCTGTTGATGCTAGAATGTTGGTTTTGGGAGGCGTGTTCTTGCAGGCGCAAAGAGATGTGTACAGTAATAAGTCAGTACCTAGGTGAGTAGGTAGATACATACATACATACCATTGGCGGCGATAGTAGGAGGAAGACGAGCTGGGCGCATCCCTCCCTCTCCCTCGGGACCCTGGGAAAAGCAACAAGGAACACCACCCATCACTCCCCTGTCGCGCGCGCTCTCTCTCTCTCTCTCTCTCTCTCTACATGTACTTGAAACGTCTACGAGGTGGCCTTTCCGTTCCACGAGGATTATTAACTATTCACTATTTGCAGTATGTGTATGTGTGTACAGGATGTGAATAGATGTGAATATACTCGTACGTCGAGATGTGCGGGCGGGCATGGAAAGTGCAGAGGTGGGCAGCAGCATTCAGTTCAGTCAGGCACAGACCCTCATTCACTCATTCTCGGGGCATATACGTCACCCACCTATGTGCTGTACTGCACTGGACATTCATCTCCAGTAATCCGTCCCTAGGTATGTAACAATAAAAGTATCCATCTCATCATACCGGAAATGGCTTGCGCAATCCAACGAGGATATGTACATGTAGTACTCGGTATATATCTTCCTCCGGCAGAGTTACAGGATTTATTACCTATTTCTGAATATGCAGCAATCCGTTGATGAGCACATGGATTGTGGTGAGCGCGCGTCTATTTCCCGCTGATGATAACAACTATCCCGACAGATGGCCATCGGCATCCCTCATCATGAATCATCCCCCGAGTCCAGATCGGCGCCATCAATTATCACCGCCCAAATGTGTAGCGAAGACACGGTAAGAAATCACCTGATAGAGGGGCGTCAGGCGTGCGCTCTCTCTCTCTCTCTTACCCTTCCTTCGCCTGTTCGCCGACTCTTCCTTTCCTGCCTGTTCATTAGTTATCACCTGGGTAGTTTTCAGTTATCAGCATTGGCGCTGCCTGAACCCTCCGCGCTGCCTGCCTGCCTGCCTGCCTGCCTACCGCCGCCGCACTGTTATTATTATCACTCCAGGTATTCCAAAGGTTATCATCATTATTGTATTATTATCATCATGACTCAGATACTGTTCTCCCGGGCACAGTTTTGTTCTCACGAGGCTCAGTCGCTCTGGCGCGTGTGTCTCGTCGGCCGCGTCCACCGTGGTCCTGTTGTCATTATTGCAGCATCATCATCCACCGTACACGGCCCAGGCTGGGATATCGCGCACGTCCAGGACGGGAAATGTGTTCGGTCTGATGGTGTGACGCACTAGCCCTCGCCTCGACCATCATCATCCCACCAGCGCGCACCGACGAGGTAACGATAGTACTACTAATAATAATGCAAACCGGTGACCACGACTTTCCTCACAATCGACACATCGTCATAGGGACGTGTAAAAATGTCATTAGGCGATGCTTCTAGCGGAAGAAAACCATGAGTACCTCCCGAAGACAAAACGGACCGGAGCAGATCTCGCACAGAGGAGTCGCAAGCCGAAAGACCATCGCTCGGCCAGCCATGTAAACCCTTTGTCCACACCTCATCTGCTGTGCGGATTCGGGATCCCATCATCGTCATCACCATCATCATCATCATCATCATCATCATCAATCTCCACTCAATGATAGCCTCCCGCGCCCGCACATAACACCGTGGCCTGGCGCACCGGCGGCGGCGGTGGCGGCCTCTTCTTGCGCGGCGGTGGCGGCGGCGGCACCCTGCTCCGCCCGGAATCTATCCGCTCCAGCGCCTCGCCGACCTCGCTGCTGGCGCTGCTGATGCCCCCGTCGAGGCTACTGCCCGGGGAGCGGTTGCGGGACCTGAGCATGTGTGCTTGCATCTGTTCGCAGTACTGCTGCGCCGCCGCGAACGACGACGTCGACGAGGAGGGACTCTCGCAACGATCGACCGAGAGGCGCAGCGGTTCCGTGACCACGCGCTTGGGCTGCGTGGGAGGTCTCCTGGTGCTGTTGTGGCCGGTGACGCCGTCTGCCTCATCGTCGAGGCCGTTGCGGATGGGGAACGGTCGCTGTTGACGATAGCCGGTCTCGTGGCTGAGTGCGTTGGTGGAGAGACTCCGCTCCATCGGCCGCGGTACGTCGCGATGAGGAGAACCGCTCGCGCTGGTCTCCGTGATGAACGCCGTGTCCTTGCGATATTGATTTGGAGCCGCATCGTAGCGGTCCCTCGCGTCGCCTGTTGCAATGGCCTTCTTCGTAACGTTGGTCTGGAATCGTACGGAGCCTCGCCTGACAGGGAGATCGTCGTCGTGGTCAGGACCCGATGCTTGTTTAGGATGGGCGGATGTTTGAGATCTGGACGTTGTGGTTAGCACTTGTCCGTTAACGCCCCGATGGCACAGACATGGAGTCGCCTTACGCTGGCCAGTTGCGTTTGATGTCCTGGAGGACATCCCTACAGCGCTCGTAATAATCCAGTTGGGCGTCCAAGAAGGCACTCAGATCACCCACGGACTCGGCTTCCGCCTCACGAATATCCAGCATTCGGCGTAGCACGTCTTCGTTGCTTTCCTCATACTTCATCTTCTGCGCTCGGACGTCTTCCTCCAGACGGGAGTCTTCCTTCTTCGACTTTTGGAGCTTGGTCGAAGCAGCGTCATACGCCAACCGTCGATTCTCCAGTCGCTTTCGCGCGTTCTGGTAGTCCTTGAGCTGGATCAGCGAGCGCTCAAGCGACTCGAGCCAGCTGCCCGTCGCGTTCGTGCAGTAGTTCTCCTGTATGCGAGCGATGCGCTCGTTAGCTCTCCCCAGCTGCCCCAAGCATTGGCCCAACTGCGATTCCTGGTCGAGTTCGTCGCTATGCTTGACCATCGTCGACCCGAAATAGGCGATCGGGATCTGCATCTCCTTCTCGTCGAATTTGTGGCTTTTGGCCATTGTCCGGATGTAGACGTCGGCGGATTTCTTCATTCGGTCCGTGCCTTGAGGGTTGGTCAGTATGACTGGTTCGGTGTGATCGCGAGAAGTCACGCGAGTGCGGACTTACCATCGTGGCGAAGCTGCATCTCTGTCTCCAATGCCTTGAATTCAGTTGATGTCACCGTCTTGGCCTCGCTGCCCATACGCTCCTTGCCCCATTGCTTGAAGCGATCTAACTTCCTGTTGACGATCATCTTGGTGCCGGGTCAATGTCGTGATTTGGTCCCTTGTGATATAATGAAGATGTGTGTGAAGAGGGGATGAAGGACGATCTCGCTCCACGACTTTAATGTTGATCTCGAACGTTGGGATTGGAAGGACGACTGGTGACGGTAACCGGACACCAACGGGCTATCCACAAATGAAGAAGGAGAAATAGTAGACAGTGGCCAGCACTTGCAGAGAAACGAAAGATGGTGAGACCGTTGCTCGACGAGTCTCAGATGTCGGAACAGGATGTACCAATGTCCTTATGGGTTTGACTTGTCGCCCGATGCACCGCGAAGCGTAAGATAATGGACAACAGCAAAGACAGTGAGAGGCAATCCGGTTTATTCTACACAACTGGAGAGCAATGAGTCGCCATTGAGTCTGGTGCGCGGGCGAACCTGCCACACACACACATACACAAAGACAGACAGAGCGATGGATCACAACATCTGGAAATAGGCAAGGCCGTTCTCTCTCGTCGAATTGCGTGGTACTCAACGGTGAACTTCGATCATGCGGCCCCCGTATGGTGACAACCGCTTACCTGCCTTCCCGTTCTGACGAGATCTCGAGGGTGCGAGCGTGTTCATGGTGACCAACGACCTGCCGCCGGGGAGGCATTCACGCGCGAACAAAGGAAAAAGGGTCGGCGGCAACGACAACGGCGTTTCAGATCTGGAGGGAGGTTGCGCGGCTTTTTCTCTGGCGGGGCGCGACACGGAAACGTCCTGCGATCTTGGCGAGTTACTGCTGGCGCTGTCTGACCCCGGCAGCCTCCCCCCGTCTTTGTCTTCATCCTGGGCACATAATCCCCTACCACCATCATGTCACGACGACGTTGCCAGAACGAATGTGGTCGAAAGGACGTGCGACGGAGAGTTTCGTGGGCGCTGCGACAGCAATGCGGCGAATAGATCGTGCCGTTTGTCACGAGGCAGAGCAAGCCCTGACAACCTGCACATTTCTCTGCGCATTTGTTCACATCCTGCACCGTACATACAGTATTTATCTCTCACCTGGCCACATAGACACACCTCACCTGCCTAGCTAGAGACAGGTCTCCCATCGACGACACTTCACCACAATCGAAGACCTTGTAGATCGTCGGTTTCGTTGGGCGCGTGGCGGACGCTGACCGTTGCCACGCAGCGTGCGGCAATTGTCCTTCGTGCGTCCAGTCCAGATTCATTCCTGCTGTTGGACATTGTTCAAACGCGAGAATAGACATCTGATGTGTCACCGGCATAGAAGTTGACTGCCCAGTGTTCCACAACACTGCACACAAAATTAGTGCATCTGAAGAGCGTTCGAACTTTGCAAACAAAACATTTCCGCTCTATAACAGAGGGAACGAGCCGTCATTAACGATGTCGTGTTGAAAATGCTCATATAGGACGTTCAATAAAGTAGGTAGCTCTTTAACCGGAATGGCTAGACTACAATCCACAAAGCGACTGTCCCAGACGCAGCAGAAACCCAGAAACCCCACCAACACCGAGATCTCATTGATGCATTTAGTCCTTGACCTTTTGAGTACCACGCAGAAGACCAGTTCTCCTCGCGGCAATGAGACCAGCCTTTTGACCTTGAGTGGCGTATCGTGAAATGGTAGACGCCTTACCAATGTGCTGGTGGTTACCACCACCGTGAGGCTATAAGTGTCTATGTCAGCAGTCGTCCTTGTGAGAGTGATTTCGCCTCCACATACGTGATCCACGGGGTTCATGGCAACACCACGAGTTCGGGGCCATGAGTGACGCTTGACGGCGAACTTATGCTTGGCGCGCGAGGCCTTCAACAGAGGCTTGTCGGTTCGTCCACCTCCAGCAACAATACCGATCATGCCACGGACAGTGCTCTTGACAACCTTCTTCGCGCCAGATGGGAGCTTGATGCGGGTCTTGCCCTCGTCGGGGTTGTGGCCAATGACGGTGACGTAGTTTCCGCTCGTTCGGCCAAGAGCACCTCGGTCACCAATCTTCTCCTCCACGTTGCTGACAACGGTACCTTCGGGGATGGAGCCAAGCGGGAGGACGTTGCCGACGGTGAGAGCGGCGTTCTTTCCGGCGTAGATGAACTGGCCAGTGTACATGCCCTCGTTGGCAATGAAGGTCTCGGTGTGAAGTTTGTATCGGTACGGGTCACGGAAAACGACCTTGGCGAGTGGTGCACCACGTCCAGCATCGTGGATGATCTCCTTCACCACTCCGCGGACGTAGCCGTGTCGCTCAGCATAGTCGTATGTTCGGAACTTGGCCGGAGCCTTGTTGAGACCTTTTTCACGGTGTTAGTTGGCTGTAGTACGCAAGTCGCATTGTTGCAGGTCCCGAACATACGAGTGTTGGCAGTGAAGATGGATCCACGACCCTTCCTCTGGTTACGAATAACACGACCCTGCGATTGTCAGTATCATTGATGCTGTAGCGAACCTCATCGTCGTGCTGGCTCACCATCTTGAATATTGGTGGGCGTGATGTCTGTTGTCTCTTCGTCGAACTTCCGCTAGGTGCGCTGTAGAAATCTCAAGTGTGCAAAGTAAGTCTTGGCAAAATGTGGTATGTGGTCCGTGCACAAGCCCCAGCGGGCCACAACCTGTCGCGACTTCGACCTCAACCTCACCCGACGCTCGGCAGAAGCATCATACTCATTAAGACCAATTTAAGATCCATCGAAGCAATTGCCCATCAAGTGATTTCTCGATCGTCAACTGGTACTCGGGAGAGCTTCGGCTCTTTACCTTAGAATTTGCCTTCGCACGACACGCGAACGTCTACAGGATGAGAAAACATGCCATTGGAGCCATGCGAAATCACCAAATTCTGCATGATCATTGTTACAACAAATTTGTGACTTGGGCGCACTCGTGAAGCCAGCGCCGATGATTGCGCGCATCATTAGGTTCGCAGGGTCATTAAATTTGAAGCTTGACTGAGGAAGAATCTTAGCTGTACCAGCGCACTGAGCCCGACGCGGAGAGCACAATATTTCAGCGGAATCAAATTCAGATCTCGGATCGCGACCAGCACGAGTAATACATACGTGACAGTCTGCCCATGGATCGCGGTGGGTCGCCGTGGCCGTCTGAGAACACTCAAGTGCGTTGACACCTGTGCGCCGCCGCAGTCGTTTTGCGCACCGCCGAGTGGAGTCCTCGCAATCTGTCGAACGGAATCGTGATACTTTCCAAGTTGTGTTCCAGATTTTTAGCAAGCATATCAAGCATTGACGCCGACTGCCTCTCTCTGCGGAGATGTTGAATCGCCTTGACAAGGTGCAACATAGGCAAATTTGACGTATTCGCACTTTCCAGAGCACTGCGAGTCGACTTGAACAAATTACGGAGCTCATAGTAGTGACGCGCCTGCACGCTCGCTTCTGCACACTCGCTTTCTCGAGTCAGCCGGACAGATCTGCTTCAGACGTTCGTCGACTGTCGGATCGGTCACCTTGAAACGCGCCTGCACTGTAGGCAACCGGCATTCAATACGGATTATAGGTAAGTGCTTCGATGACTCTGCAAAGCGGAGCAAATTGCCGAAGACCTACTCCATGTGCTATTTGCTTTATCACTAAAGCAAGTAAAGCAATACTTGCTGTGGTGAGTGCATCGCGGGTGGCTTGACACGGGCACTCGCAGCGTGCATCGTCGCTCTGAGAATACGAGGAGTCAGATATGAGCGAGACCTCTTCTCGCGGCGTTGTATATACATGATGATAGATTGGTGAATGAATCGTGCTTGTAAACATCATTGTCCTAGCGTTGCTGTCGGCTTAGTCACATGTGCTCCGCCGTTTGGATGGCACTTACGGTGGCACCCTTGCTCTCTGGCCAAATTTCTAAAAGTCCAACTGCCCGCGCTTTCATATCTGAGAGTCTCCGTCCATTTCAAACCATCCACTTTGCGTCCATCTTCACCATGGATTCAGATTCAGATACGAGCTCGCTATCCTCCGCTCCCGAGGAGGAGATCAAGAAGCTTGCGCCGATTTTCGTACGCGCAAAAAAGGCCACGAAACTGGTCGCACCTCCCCCACCAGTCTCACCTCCTCGACCCAAGAGACCACCATCTCCTCCTCATGAAGAAGTCCTGGCAGACAACCCCGACATCGCCGTGAGTTCTGAGATTCGTTGACGCGCAAAGACGCGTTACAAACGCGCCTGTTACGCGATTTTCGCCCCGTACTAATTGTGAGCCGGATACCATGTCTAGTTCATTGTAATGTTTCGATCGCGGTTCGCAGAAGCATTCCCTGGCAAGCTTGCCCATTTCGGGCCCCAAGACCTCGAATTCGGTGTTGTCGACTCACATCCGAGCCCTCAGGTAGAGAATCTACTCTGTGCCCTGCTAGCTCTGCTATTGAACAGAAAGAAACCGATCGAGTACGTTGATCACCGGACAATCGCAAGACGAGGATGCATGGACCTCGCAGAGGCGATCTACTTGGATACTTGAAACGTGCCAACTTGCTGACAACGTCCTGTTGTCATAGACGAGGACATCACGGGCGAGCACTAGAAGAGGCGGTCGCTTCGCATAAGTCGCAATGGCCACACAAATGGGCTGCCCAGAACCCTCTTCACGGCGGCAAGGACTTTTACAACATGACGCCATCGCAAAGGGTACGATGTTGCGGATTCGGATCTTTGTGTCACAAGCTGACCTTGATGTGATCCAGCTCGATTTACTACGCACCCTCATACTTTGGGCGCTCACGTCGTCCGACGCAATATCCACAATCATGAAAGATCGCTACAAACAGAACCGACATGCCGATGACGAGAATCAGCCTCTTTCAGTACAACCGTGGGGCAATGATGGAGACAAGAGACGGTACTTTCTGATACAAGGATTGGATGACACTGGCTTCAGAGTCTATCGCGAGGGCAACCGCTACACAAAGAATGCACATTGGTGGAGCGTTGCAGGAAACATCCAAGAGGTGAAAGATCTCGCCGAAAAGCTGGAAAAGCAGGATGGCACTCAAGCTGCACGACGATTGGCTATGAAAATGTCCAATGCGATTCCCATGTTCGAAGCTACAGAAGAGGTGAAATACAGAGTGCCTATTGGAGTGGTTGTGAGGATCTTTACTGACTCAGAAGCAGAAACGGCATCGCCGCGAGTACAGGCAGCAACGACGAGCAGCTTTCGCACGTCCCGAGCAGGGCTTCGGTATCTACGAAGGTCGTACCCGTGGAAAACGTATGCGCTACACCTACGATGAAGATGAGGACGATACATCAGACGCTGGTTCTGGGAGATTAGCAGGCAGACAGCAGTCCGCTCGTAGCAACTCTGCCGAAGCGGGGCCAACCATCACTGCTAGTGGGCGACAAATACGCAAACCGAGGACCGGAGATTACGGCGAGGGGCTGCTCAGTGGCAATGTTCAAGATGTCAATGGAGACGCGGACGGGCGTGATGTTGGCGCAGATTCAAATTCCCGTGCAAGGCGATCAGGTCGTAGCGCCACAAACGGCGAACACCACGCCGACGGCAGAGGATACCAGGATAATGATGAAGTCGCCAGCGCCGACGAATGGGACAGTGACAAGGACGATGGCGATGATGAGCGTATGCCCGACGCCGACGACGACAAAGAATTCCAGGCTGATGCAGAGGACGATGACGATGACGAGGAGGACGAATTGGCAAACGACGATGAAGGCCAGCCGGAAGAACTCAGCAGTCTTGTCGTGAAACTCCGAATCCCGGGAAGCGGTACCGCCACAACCGATGAAACTCCGCCGACGAGCCCGCACGTTCCGTCGGAAGCTGCTGCATGTCAACCCCAAGCAGATTCAACAAAGCGACTCGAAGCGGACGGAGTGATGCCTAGTGCAACGCTAGCATCAAATGCCAATCGTGTATCTGAGGATCAGAAGCAGGTCGTCACGACGGGACTGTAACATCACGTCGATTGCATATACTCTTTGATGGGCTTCTAGTCACGCACAAAAATGCAACATGGTGGGCTCTGGCTAAGGATGCCTTACGCCGAGAAGAAGACTTGGCCAGGAGGAAGGCGCGCTTCGCTGAAATGGCGGGCCCTTGCGCAATGTAGAACTAATTGCATGCATGCATTCAATTCTGGTGTATATGTTCTAAATCATGTTCCGCGGCATCACGGACGGTGGGAATGCCCTATGTAGAAGCAAGGATTTCCTCGTTCGAGACTACGAAGCTTCGTTCGATATTGTGATGGCGCACGGTTGTTCAGAATATTGCCGCAGAAGTAATGTGCGATCGACAATAGACTACATTGCCGGCTCGCGACAGCCAGCTTTTCCTTTGAAATTGCCCAAAAGAAGGTAATTAGGACGCAGGAGTCTTTTGGAGAGCGTTCTGGAAGTTATATTTATGACTCTTACAAAAGAAATTGGGGTTTTCACTCGCCCTTGATTAATGCCACCAGACCTTTGGCGGCATGCTGCCCCAGCATTTCCAAGGTTCCCATTCCTAGCATCTCCAACACGCTGATGTTGAAGCCAAAGGTCTGCTTCCACCACTGTCTCATGTCGATGGCGATCAAGCTGTCCATACCCAGATCTGCCAGGCCGAGGGAGATGTTGATCTCTTCATCGGTCTTCATCAACAAGCCGAGGAGCTTTTTCGCAATCTCAGTAGCGATGAGTTTGGTGGCATCTTCGGTTTGAAGGATGGATACGTCTGCCTTTGCGCTAGTGAGGAATGACTTGAAATCATCGCTTGAAGATGCGTTGGATGACCCTTCGACTCGTGCATTGTGGTAGACGGCCATTCGTGGATCGCGGCGCCATGGCACTCGGTTGTTCTCATTTGACAGGGGCGTGGCAGTGCCTAGGCCCAGCACGAAGGTATTGGCGTGAACGTAGGCGCCGTCGTGCCGCGCTGCTTTGGGTGACGGCGGACCAGTAGCGACCGCCAGTGCGTCTATGACCTCGTTCTGTCGAATAGTCCAGAAACCTTGAGAGTGGAGTTGGTTCAGAACATCCTTTGATTGGGCGATGATACCAACGTCCTCGACAGCGGCGAGATCAATGGCACTAGCCGCGAGTCCGAGGGAGTTCCGATATTGAACGAATGCATCCAGAAATGTGTTAGAGGCAGCGTAGCTGGTCTGACCTTTGGTACCGATAGCGCCGGCGATAGAAGCAAAGCAGACGAAGAAATCAAGATCGAGGCCAGCGTCCACGGTGGCATTGTGCAAGTTCCATGTGCCTCGAACTTTTGGCGCCCGGACCAATTCCCAGTCGTCCCATGTCATGTTAGCCAAAAGCGTGTCGCGGAGGACAATGCTCATCTGAAGTATTCCCTTGAGAGGCGCATCGGTAGCCTGCTCGACAGCATTGGTGACATCGGCGAGGTTGACGACGCTTCCCTTGACCAAGGTGACGTTGCACCCCATGCTTCGCAGTTCTCGAACGAGATCTTGATCTTCGTGCTTGTCTCCAGCGCTTCGCCCAAGGTAGATGAGGTTACGAGCACCACGTTCGACCATCCAAATGGAAATGACGCGTCCAAGACCGCCCAGACCACCAACAAGAAGATAAGACGCAGAGCTTTCGAAGCTGGTTACTTTTTGGCGTTCGGTAATGTCGGAATCTAAGAGCGATTGCTCAGGCAATGTTCTGAGCTCGACTAAAACCTTTCCAATGTGCTCGTCGCGCTGCAGATACGCGAAAGCGTCTGCCACGGAAGTATGGATGAAGGTTTGAGCAACTGGAATTGGCTTGATGTGGCCCTCATTGTATAGCTTGAGTGCAGTCATAAGGAGCCTGTCTCGCAGTCAGTGAGATGTTGTGCAAATATGTTGCGGCCGGCGATGACTTACTTGCTGACCACGGCAGGTTTTGCAACGCGGAGTCGATCAAGGTCAACGTGTGAAAATGTCTTGTTGCCTAGGAAGCCTTCCATGTCAAGTTTTGCAGCCCCCAACAGATCTTTCTTGCCGATTTCAATCATCCTACCGAAATCAGCGACGCATGTCCAGGTAGCATGAAGTAGTTCCCCAGTGACCGAGTTCAAGACGACGTCGACTCCTTTGCCATTGGTTGCCTTCAGGAGAGCGTTCGCAAAAGACCCTTCTCCAAGGTCGAAGATGTGTTGCGAGGGGATCTTCAACTGTCCAGACAGCATCTTTCTCTTCTCTAGGTTGTCTACTGTTGCATATACCTGAGCGCCGAGCTGCTGAGCGATTTGAACAGCCGCAAGCCCAACATCGCTGGCCGCATTGTGAATGAGAACAGACTGCGGATGTTAGCAACCAGTGCCGCGTAGACATGAAATCAACTAATAGCTTACCTCTCCGTCTGTCAAATTTCCCACGTTCTGAAGTGCGTACAGAGCGACGGAGAATGCCGTAGGCATTGTGGCCGCCTCTGCAAAGCTCAAAGCTTCAGGGAGTCTGATGCAAAGAGCTTGCGATGCGGTCACCACTGAACTCAAAGCATCCCGGGCAAGCGCCAGCACTCGGTCGCCTGCTCGGAGGTGTTGTACTCCCGAACCCGTCTTAATAACCACACCCGCAGCTTCTTGACCAAAGGCAAGGTCGCCGGGCTCGAGGCCGGCGGCAATCTGAACATCCTATAAGCGCGTAAATCGTACTGCCGTAGGCTGCAATAGTTGGTTGGGGAACTTACCCGATGATTAAGTCCGGCGCAGTAAACCTGGATTTGAACATCTTTCGGACCGAGTGGCTCGGCTGTGCGGCTCTTCCAGTGCAGCCCGTCGAGGCGGCCGGCTCGTCCAATAGCAAGCGTGGCTGCGTCATTTGGTTCCGAGACCAGAAGCTCATTGACCAAAGAGTATGGATAGAATCGACCGATAGAGATCTTTCCGTTTATGACAGCATACTCCATCTCGGAATCAAAGACTTCATCCTCCTGGCGAGAGTGGAACTTCTCAAACGCCGCAAATACCTCAGGACTATCGAACTCCGCGTCGGTCTGACAAACGGCGAGGGCGACATTAGTCTCGTTACGGAAACTCCTTGAAAATCCGAGCACATCGGCGTAACGAGGGTCAGCAACGCCAACGCTACCGACTTTGGTAATCCAGAAGATGCCAGCATCCTGCACACTGGCAAGATACTTCTTGAGCTGCTCGAACTCAGCCGGCTTGAGATCATGTAGGAACGGACCGGCAAGGTCAAGAACCGAGACCACATCTCGTCCTACGTGCGGTTTACTTTCCAGAGTGGCAAGAGAGACGGCAAAACCACGCTCTTCTAGCCTCGCTTGGATCAGACTCACGTCGATATGATCGCCTGCACGTAGAACCGTGATCTCCTTCGAGATATCAAGAGATCTCTTCGGACGTGCCACCAGGATTCTGTTGATGGAATCTGCTTTTTCCTTGTGGATGTCTAGATCGTTCGCGGCGATGAGTTGATTCCAGCTTTGAGGGTCAAGCCGCTGTCCCACTGAAAGCTGATCAGCGGCTTTCCACCAGCTCGGCAGTGAGCCGAATAAGAAGTTGCTCCATACGGGTTGCGAAGGCTCCTGCAGTAGTAGACGTCCCTGTGGATGCAAAAGTTGACGCAGGTTACGCATGCCCGCCGCTGCGTCAGCGACCTGGTGGAACACATTGTTGGCGATGATCAGATCAAATTTCCGGTCGCCGAAGCCCTGATCTTCGAGAGGAAGGCCGATGTCCAAGGGTACAAATTCGACGTTACGAATGCCCTTGAATTGCTCCTTGATGGACTCAAAAAGACTAGAGGAAAAATCAGTGAGAGTGTACTTGGAGAAAGAGCTGCCTAGCTGCTTCAAGACTTGAATTGCAGATTGACCGTTGCCGGCACCGAGCTCGAGCACTCGAAGATTGGGCCGGCTGTGGGCTATTCCGACAATGAAGTCGGTGAAATCGAATCCTGGGATTACAGTCCGCATTTTGTCGCTGCTGTCGTCCATTCCAATGACTCCGCTGGGTGAAACTTCTTCTCTTACCAAAGAGGCGATTGAAGTGCTGACTCGAGATAATGCTTGTGCAGCGCTCGATAGCGGACTGCCGGCAAGCTCATCCACTATCTTCTGAAGTTGGACGATTGAATCGCTGTAGTCTTCTTGAGCACCAATATTGGACTCAATCCAGGTCTTGTATTTCTGCAGATGATCCTGTGGTGGAGTGATATTGATGATATCCTGTCTCGCTCGGGCAAGGCAGAGTGTCGTCATCAGCTCAAAGCTCTGAAGATTTTCGGGCTTCAGTTCATATGGCTTGAAAAGCTCTGAAGCGTCTGCAAAGTCGACGTCAGCGCGCCAGACGTGTCGAGCTGCAGCGTGTGCCTCAATGGCGTTGCCGTTATCGAGAATGGTGGACACAAAATCGGCGACGCGCATGACAACTTGACCATTACAGCTAAAGTCGCCGCTACCAAGCACAACATTGTTGGTGGTGACAGAGCCTATCACGCTTGCGGTGAGGTTCTCAGCGCAGCGGGAGACGGAAAGTTCTCTCACACTTGTGGCGACTTGATTCTTGAAGTTGTTCGTCAACCCAAAGATAGACGCCACGACCATAAGCTGCAGACCCGCGTCCATCGTGGCTGGGTGCATGTGAAAGTGTCTCTCGTCGCCCTGGTGAGCGTTCTTGATAATTCCCGTCGCCTGGCCTGGTGAGGTTGTGGATGACCTGATATTTTCTTGACATTGAAAGCGAGGACCGTAAACATTTCCAGCGAGGCGCGATGCGTGATGCCACCCTTTGCTATCCACTTGTCTGGGCAGTTCCGGAGCATTCACCGTGGGGCCAATGCTTTCGACCATCGCCTTGATCTCGCCAGAGAAATGCTTTGTTCAATTTGTTCCGTTGTGCGAGCCGACGGTGAACTCCCACCAATCGCTTTCAACAGAAGTAGCCAAACGCTGCTTCCGGAGAGTTGAGATGAGTTCAATAGGTTGTCCTTCCACAAGAGCAAGAGCTGAAGTTGCCGCAGCTTGACGGATCTTGAACCCTTCCTGAATGCCCGTTGTCTGTCTAATCGCTTCGCCAGCCATGGCAACATATCCAGTGAATGGCAGAAGGATGTCTTCGCCAATCTGGTGGTCCCTGACCCATGGGACGTTATCGATATGAAGGATGTTTCGCCATACGGGCTCGTAATTCGTGCTTTCCACAATCTGAACACCAAGGAGATCATGGTGAGCGTATTCTCGGAAACGCCACTCCTTCGTCGCTCTAGTCTCATGCCATTTCTGATTGGAATGGTCCCAAGGATATCTCGGTAGATCTGTGAGGGAAGTGCCAGATGGAAACAAAGCTGGGAGGTCTAGAGGGATGTGTAAGGTGTATAGCTTGCCGAGCATGTTCAACCAGGCTTCCGTGCTCTCTTGTCCTCGGGCGAGAGTGCCGACGTATGACGCACTCACTGATCGCTCCCTCCAAATCTGGCGCAATGGACCCGCAAGTGCAGAGTGTGGGCCAATTTCGAGGAATAGGGCATTCTTGCCGACATCATGGTCGAGGATTTCTAGGACCGCTGCGCGGAACAAGACCGGGCTTTCCAGATTTGACTGCCAGTACCTGGAGCCAAGCAGTGTTCCTTTCTCAAGGATTTTGCCGGTGACACTGGAGAAAAATGGCAATTGGAGGCCCTGGCCGAACATCTTGGGCCCGACCATTTGGTAGTAGTCCTCACCAATCTCGGTCATGTGGTACGAGTGGTATGCCTTCTCAACTTTTAAGAGCCTTGCCAAGACGTTAGGATGGGCCTTGGAGATCTCGCTCACCACCGCCTCTACTTGTTCGAGGTCTCCAGAGAGCGTGACACTTTTGGCAGAATTCTCGCAAGCGACGCCCACGTTCGGTACCAAAAAAGGCTTGACATCGTCCCAGCTCAATCCAATGGCTGCCATACCGCCCTTCCGTTGTTGCTTCTTGGCGACAGCTCCTCGATGGAATGCAGCAGTGATTGCTTGTTCGGCGCTGAGGGCTCCAGCGGCATATGCCGCCGCTATCTCTCCGGATGAGTGACCCACAACCGCAGCTGGCTTGACGCCGACGGCATTCAAAGCGGCCACCAGCGCAACCTGGATGGCCGTGCAGAGAGGCTGTGAAAGCTCAGCCAAGTGGACCTGGCTGGTCTTTGCGGGTTTTCGTAATTCTGCCTCAATGGTCCACTTCGGCCCATCAGCACCGAAAGTCTTGAGGTGCGCATCCATAGCCTTGATAGTGGACTTGAAATGCCGGTTACTCCGCAGGAGTTCTTTACCCATCTGTGGCCACTGTGCACCTTGACCTGTGAATACCATGACAATGTTAGAAAGCGGTGATGGTTTCACAGGTGCAGATTGCACGCCTGGCTTCTCCCTGGACGCCACAACGAATCCTCGATGGCCTAAATGCTCTCTTCTGGTGGCTAAAGTGTAGGCGAGATCCTCGATGCGCTCTGCGTGCTGACTCAGATACGCCCGATGATTTTCCATTGTCCTTGTGACCGCTTCACTCATGGCGGCAGAATACAGCAGCAATTGGGGATCGTCCGAGGCCTCTTCCAGCATAGGAGCGGCGTCAAAGCTCGCGGCAGAATCAAGAATAACATGAACTATGATGAACGAGTCAGCTATTAATTACCATCGCCAGATGCGAATCGTCTTCCGGAGCGGAATGAGAAAAGAACGAATGAGGTGTTCGCTCAAGCACAAGACCTACCATTACTTCCACCGATACCGAAGTTGTTTATGCTCACTCGCTCTTGACGATCAGATGGCCAAGCCGTTGGTTCGACCGGCACAGTTAGCTTGTTTTCCGCGAATGGTATCTTCGGATTGGGTGTTGTGAATTTGATGTTGGGTGGAATAACTCGATGTTCCAAAGCCAGAACAGCCTTAATAAGCGAAGAGAGCCCACTAGCACCTGTTGATCATCAATGAGCAGACGTAACGTAGACGAAGAGGAGATAGAACAATTACGTACCCTCACTGTGACCAAAGTTGGGCTTTATTGATGTGATGTAGATACCATTCTGACCGAAGATGTGTCCAATTGCTTTTGTTTCGACGGAATCGCCTGCCTGAGTTCCAGTGCCGTGGAGTTCCGCAAACGCCGTCTCTGAAACATCTGCGATGCCAGCGGCTGCATAAGCTTTGTGAATCAGAGCCTCTTGAGTCTTTTCCCCAGGGAAAGTGATGCCCGGTGTCTTGCCATCGTGATTGGTTGCAGTTGCTCGGATAACAGCCCGGACGGGATTGCCATCTCGAATGGCATCTGCGAGGGGTTTGACATAAATCGCATTGAATGCCTCTGCACGTGCATAACCGTTCGCATCCGCGGAAAAGGTTTTGCACGAGGCATCGGGTGAGAGCGCCCCTTGCTCCGCGAGTTTGATGGTCATGGTGGGCGTGAGAATCAGACTCGCACCAGCAACGATGGCGGCTGTGCAATCCCCGTTCATGATTGCAAGGCAGGCGTTGTGTAGAGACTGAAGGGAGGCTGCACAAGCGGTTCGAATGGTAGCACTATGCAGGTTAGCTCCGCAGCCAGGATCCCAAAGGTCATTCGTACCTTGGGCCTTGAAGATCCATCTCGTAAGAGATTCGATTTGCTAGGGCGAAGTCTGATTGACCAATTATACGGTGTACACCGTACTGCTGTGAGTCCTTGTCCATGATCTCGCTCCAATCTTCTGAAAAGTTTCCGACCCAAACGCCGGTCTTGCTGCCTCGCCAGTTGACAATGCCTGCATCCTCCACGACCTCTCTGGCGAGCTCCAATAATTGTCGCTGCTGCGGATCGGTGCGCTCTAGCTCTACCTGCGTCATGGAAAACAGTGAAGTATCCATGGTGCTAGGGTCGTTGTCTATGAAGTACCCATGCCTGGTGTTCACTGTGCCAGGCTTCTCTTTCTCCGAGTACCAACTTTCGATGTTGTAGCGTGAGGCTGGAACCACCGATCGGGCATCCTTTTTGTTGATGATGAAATCCCACATGTCTTGTGGGCTGTTGACACCGCCCGGGAGACGACATGCCATACCACAAATTGCCATCGGCACAAATCGATTGTCACGGTGGACCTCGCCAGGAGTTCCATCACCCAAGTTGATGTCATCGGGGTATGAGGATATGGAGCTTACTGGACCATTGTTGACGGCGACTGGGCTTCCATGTTCTTGACCGGGAGAATACATATGAGGCGCCATGTTGGACAGATAAATTCACACGCGTGTCAGGACTATGATCAACAAGCGTTTGGGCGACCTTCTATACGAATAAACTTATACCTGATACCTCGTCGTAACCCATTCTTCGGGGCGCAAGGACACGTGAGGGTTTGAGAGCCTTCATGAGCAGGCAGAAAAGATCTGTGTCGGCCTCTCTACCTGGGACAATAGAGGCCTCTGTCGTATCCAGAACTGTTCGGGTCAAACGCCGTCCCATGCCACGCGCGGATTCCGTCGGCGCGTTGGCTCCACTTCTCGGCATACGAGACGAGGTCGCTGCTGCCGTGGCGATACATCGGCGAATGACGGATGGAGTTGCCTGATGATGTGATTTCAGATGGAGTTCACACCGTGCGAGGTCTCACGATTTCGGGACCGCGGATTCCGAGCCTCGCAGATCGCTGCAGCACGACTGTAGAGCTGAGCGTGGCTAAGAGGGTCTAGTGAGAGCAATGCACACGGGGAGTGGTCCACTGAAGAGCTATGATGTCAATAGATGTGCCGTTACATATCTCAACGTGGTACGCAACCCGCAGGTAGCTTGAGCTTACTTCCATGCAGGCCGGTCAGCGAGAGTATGTATCAAGCGCTCACACATAAAGCGAAGGATTTGGAACGCGCCGCATGCTCGCGAGGCGCAAAGCTCCTTCTCCTGAGCGTATTGCAAACGGCCACCGAGATACTCGAGCACCGCGTCTCACAGTCGTGAAGCTGAATGAGGTGTGCCTGAATGCTGGGGGTCCTGAGACGATTCAGCGTCGGGCGATTGCTGTTGCTGCCTACAGGACTGAAGGATATATATTCGCTCCGCCTCGGTGCTGACATCGAACCATCTCTGGCCCCGTTGGTCGAATGAACACTGCACGCCTTGTCTTGGAACCAATGCTCGGCCGGTATTGAGACTTGTTATCTCCAAGCGGACGCAAGTGGCATGCTTACATGAAGCCAAGGCGCGGCGTATCTGGCGACGTCAAGTTCAGGCTCATGGTAGTCATGGCGCCTGATGATGGTGTCCAATGCCGATACGCGAAAGCCCTATATCGTGACAGCAAAAAGCATCCTGGCGCTCATCATCGCTCTGATGGCGAACGGCATCTCCCGCAATATATCTTGGCCATCTGCACCATCTCGTTTCTGGTTAATACGCCCTGCGGCGGGATCCTTCATCACCACTTGGCGCGTTCGACCTAATGTGTCGGTCATACAAGGATGATGGGATGTCGTTGGGATTGGTGATGTGGACGGTCTGCCCGGTCTGTGTGGAACCTCGGTAGATGTGTACTGATGTTGATAATTATGTGCATCCGGATGAGCGAGCAGCACTGTACAGGCATGTGCAAGCTGTGGTATGATACTCCCCAGAAGGACGCGCGTTGGTGCAAGCCCAATTGATGACCACCTGGGCACCATGGCACACATAAGATCACAATAGGCTTTTCGAAACGAGCCGTTCGGCAAAGGCGACCCGACGCGCATCGATGACCCTGAAAATCCCCCAACGGATGCCGTGAACATCAATTACCAGATCTACCTAGGTATGCAAAAGAGTCGTTCGTCACCTCTGGCCTGAAAGGTATGCAGGCGGACAGAAATTTGGCATCTCCTCCTGCAGTACAAGTCGCATGTACGACACTTGCGTGGACGCAGCGTATGCTGATAATTCAACCAGGGTATACGCGGCCTCATCACTCAAGTCGTCAAATACCTGGGCACATGAGGGATTTCATGAGGGTCGATGTGATGCTCCATGCACCTGATCGCGCTTGATCCTCCTCAGCTTTGGGCAGTCCTCGGCGTCGATCTGGCCGATATATGCCCTAACATCCAAGGAACGTGTCGTTTACGAATCTGTCATTTAAGGCAAAATTTTACGCCCAGCGCGTGATGTGACGGTAGTTCCCAAAGGCCGTTATTCCGACTGTTCAGGACGACCCTTCCTTCATCTGTTGCGAAATCGGTAATTTCTTACCATTACAGGAAGAAACGATGATGGTCCGTTTCCGCATGCCAAGGGTAGCAAATGTGATCCCACGGCTCATTGCAATGCGAGATTATGTAGGAATATCGATATGGCCGGGTCACTGGAACATGCCGTGCCCAGCTCGGCTTTTTTCCTTGTCGCTGCGTACTACTCCGGCCTGAGGACGCCGTAGAGGGCGTTCTACAGCAGCCGGTGATCCTATGAGTTACTACGTAGCGTCAGTGAGTCTCCCGGGAAGTCGACATCCAGCATGTACTAGCGTGCTGCAGCTTACGGCTCATTCGAGCCCATCGATTCGACGTGCACTACGAACGTCTCAACCGGCATTCCAAGCTGCCTGTTTTGGCTGACAGCCACCGAAATGGTCTAAAGCATGGCAAGGACATTTCTCGCCATCGCTCCATTGCTCCTGTCAGGGGCTGATCAGCGTTGTCAAGGCGAGAATTGTATTAAAGAAGCTGCATCGGACAGATATTCGACCGGCCTAGTCCAGTTGTTTCACGATGGATGAACAGTACAAGAGCACCGACCCTTCAGAGTATCAAGGTAAAGCAGTACCGAGTCCGCGACGTGCCATCATCGCTTACAAGGCCAAAGTCTGCGATCAGTGTCGTTTTCGCAAGATCAGATGTGACCGAACGAAGCCAAAGTGTTCCAACTGCACACGGCTGGGTTGCCGTTGCGATTGGTCAGGGACTGGCAAGAGGAAAAGTCAAACAGCTAATGTGTGAGTCTTCCTCGTAAATTTCAAGCAGTGCTCCGTCATCTTCCGTGCGCCGCTCATTCTCAATAACAGCGTCAAGACCATCGGTGACTTGGTCGAACGATTGAATCAGCTTGACGAAAGAGTTTCAGAAATCGAACTCTCTTTGTTGAAGAACTCTCTTACCCGCTCTCGAGACGTTCAAGCTTTGGAGTCTTCGACGAGCCCACTGATTATGAGCAACGGCGGGTACTTGTCTCCACCGATGCAAACAAACGATCAAGTCGCAGAACGTGCGGTCCCGACTCCTATACCACCGCAGGTTCTCGCAGCCTTGAAGATTCTTGCTGCGTGGCGAGACCAGCAACAACCCAACGGTGTCGCAAGCAATGGATACATACATCGCAACCGAGAGTCTCAAGCAGGACATCCATCCGATATCACCCAAAATCCAACTCTAGAGGCTTTGCAGACTTTACAAAACCAGTGTCTCTCGCAAGAAAGAGGTGGTAGTCATTTTGGCTTTTGCCCTCGCACGCCAGAAGATGCCTTGGAGACAGCATACGGGAATGCCTGTTCCAGCAGCATATTGAGCCTGGATCCATCCCTCGCTTCAGGCATTCAATCATTATATCAGAGCAGAAGAGTCAATGCTCCAGTAACTAGTTATCAGCCATCTTTATCGTCCGACTCTTCGAGTACCAGCCAGAGCGGCGTCCAGAACAATTTCGACTTTCGAGACCTCGACTTCGACTTTAATCGTCTAGATCAGCTTGATCCGGCAGTGATGCAGAATCTTGAGAACCTTCTCCAACAATATTTCCCTCGATAGTTGTTACACTTAACGTCAGGTATCTATGGGTTCTTGCTGGAACGTGTTATTCTGTGAAAAAAATGAACAATGATCATCAACAAGCAAAATTACGCATGGAAACTGAAGTTCCCTTTGTTTCCTCCAATCTTTACTCGTTGCATGTATCCGAGTCAATCGGTGAGTTTTCAGTGCTGACTCCGGAGGATATCCACCGAATTGGAAAACCTCACCGTACACGACACGTCTTATCAACAGCTCGAGGATAATGATGAGGCGACAGTCCGTTCAGATTGCGGCACTATCGAGACTTTGTCTCTTAGATTTGACAGCTGGCCATCATTACATAGTATGGTGTCCGTCTCATGGTACTGGATCTCTTTCTGCAGTGTCAAACCTCCAGCATCATCACTCCTCGCGCTATTCATTGCAGACCTTGCTTTCCCTCCTCTTCATTTTCCAGTGAAAGCTCTTGGGTGAAGAAGGCGAGTACACAACCGGTGACTGCAAGGCCCGTGAGAGCATACCACACTGTCCTCCAAGCCATATCATACGAGTCCAAAACCGGACTGATCAGTGCGGGGTCGAGGTTCAGAGTTTTGAGCTGGGGGATGAAGCCAATCGCCTGGGATGCATCGCGGAGAACAGCGAGCTGTTCCGGCAGTCCAGCAGCCATGCTATTCATGGATGCTGCAAAGGTGCTGCTGAAAGCCGTGGCGCCGATGGCCAGTCCGATCAACCCTCCGAACAATCGGAACGAAACAAGGATTCCGATGGCGAGGCCCTGGTCCTCGACCGATGGAGCACTGGCTTGCATTGGGATGGGCGGTACGGTAAAAATCGTCCCGAGCCCGATTCCGGCAATGACTTGAAAGCTTGCTGTGATCGCGAGCGAAGAGTTCCTGTCCCAAATGCAGAAAAGACCAACACCGACTGTGAGGAATATCCAGCCTGCCCACAGCTCCCAGAGATATTTCTTGAAATAATCGATGCCAGCTGCCGCAATGCCGGTGAAGACCATCACAACGGCACAGAAAGGGAGAATCGAGACACCAGCCTGGAGCGGTGTCTCAAGGCGGACTGACTCGAAATACAAAGGCAGGTAGGTAAGGAGGGCATATAGGACCAGACCGTGGATGAATGCGCCATACAGGACGACTTTGGCGGTGCGCGAACCAAATATGCGGTATGGGAACATCGGGCTGGCCGGATATCATTCATAAAACGCAAAGCCGACAAGAACGAGGACGCCGATTACCAATGGGATGATGGTTCTCCACGAACCCCATGGATAGAGGTTCCCTGCCCAGCTGAGTGGAACCGCAAAAAGGATACTGCCGACCGCGAAGAGAGCGATTCCGATCCAATCGATGTTGCGCAACTTCGTTTTAAGGTCGTCCTCGATCGGCTTCAACTTCATGAAGAAAATGGCCAAAGGAAGCGCAACTGCAATGATAGGTAGGTTGATCCAGCCAATCCAGCGCCAGGAGACGTGCTCTGCGAAGAGTGCGCCTACGATCGGCCCGAGGATACAGCCTGTGGCCATCGGGATAGAGAGAAGCCCGATCCACAGCGCTCGGTCCTTGAGAGTTGTAATATCTGCGACAATAACTTCGCTCAAAACGTCAAGCCCACCACCTCCCAAACCTTGAATCACTCTTCCCAAGACAGCAACGGGCATGGATGGCGCGACGGCAAAAACGATGGAGCCGAGTCCAAATAAGAAAAATGCCGAGTAGAGAGGCGACTTCCGTCCGAGAACATCTGATACCGAAGCATAGATAGGTTGTATGATGGCCACGGCCAGCATAAATGAGATATTGGTCCAGAATGCCAGGAGAGTCGTGCCTCGCAGATCTGTCGTCAGGGTCTATACCATTGTGTATTAGTATTTTGCAGGATATCGTGGTACCGATAGCCAAGCGTAAGAAGCTCATTGGAACATACTGGAATGGCAACACCCAGCGCTGTCGCGTCGATAGACACCATCAGCACCATCAGTAACAGGCAAAGAAACGCGAGGTAGAATCGCAAGGGCTTGTTCCAGTTCGACTTCGGACCTGACTGTGCGATGTTGCCTTCATCCGTGGCGCTCAACGCCTTCTCCTCGTCTGAGACTTTGGAAGATTTCCGAGTCTCGGCGTCCTCCATCTTTGCTGCTTGCGAAGTCGCCATGGCGCTGCTCATCACGTTTGGCCAGATGTAATGAATGATATTACTACTCGGTGGGAGAGAGCAAGTCTAGACCATCATCTACCGCAAGTGCGATAAAAGCGAACTGTTGGAATGCGATACAACACAGAACGGACAACACAAAATCGGGCCGCATAACAACAGTGCTGTGACAAACACCAAGGTCGGAGCCAGCGTCCGCTGGCTGACAAAGCATGAAGCAGGTCGTGGTGATGACAAATCCATGATATACCCTCGAGGCTCTGTTGTCCATAGTGACGCAGGTAGATGCCAGGCAGGAAAGACTTGGCTGCCGACACCGCGTCCTACATGCCTGAAAGAGCAGTGATCCTACGTCGATCACCTCCAGGAAAGCACTTTGTGATATATCGCGCGGGACACGGATTCCGCGTTCGACCAATTCGGGGTAGTGTCAATGGAAGATAGAGTTTGACGTCCCGGTCCCGCTGCCGCGCGGAGCTGCGCCGCCGAAGCTATGTCGAATTACAGGGCGCCATGGTGCACCGTTCCTTACGAACGTCTATCGCGGTCCGCGCTGGTAATTTGCGCGCGCCGCTTGTCCATCAATGCAAGCTGTGTTTCCAAGCGCTGGACTTGAGCGTACTTCAGACTTCACGTCAGTCACTGGCAAGATCGTCATCTACGCTTTGACATCCTCGTTCTCATGCAGTCATTGCCGGAAAGCATGGTCGTGACCGAGTTACCGGAAATAATTGCCGTGCGTTTTGTGCCATAACGATCCTGCGAGAATCACGATGACGACCGACAACGCTTTCGTAGAGTATTCGGTGACGGATCCCGGCCCCGAAGAACCTGCAATCCCGGTCGGTGGCAGGATCGTTCAATAGTTCTGTCGTCGTTGACTCTCTCGGGCAAAGGTCCCCGCGCGGACGAGGATGAATCGCTCATATTATGAACGAGATGAAAGAATTGCTCATCGACAACGATGCAATAATGCTTCGCAGACGATGGTATGAGCATTTATGGTAGAGTGGGAAATCTGGCCGGTATCAAATGAGCGTTCACTGGAGCTCATCCATAGTCAAAATTCCACAGTAAGCTTCGAGGCTGCAACAAGCCGCGTTTTCAGACGCTGGCCTTCCCGCCTTCCGATGCTGTAAAGCTCGCCACCGCTCTAGGGAAGCGACCAGGAAGATGACTTCCTGAACGGAGTGGCAACGATTTGCGATGGTCTCTGGTCGGCTGCAGAAAGTGTAGATGAGCTTCATAAGCTATTCCGATCAAAGTAGCAATCACATGATTATATGAGCTTATGGTTGTAGGATTATATAGTCTGGCATACTATCGTGGCTCAGGTCGCTTCCCTCCTTCAACGAAACTCGACTTTGCCTCATTTTCTCACGATGGTTGACGCCAAGCAGCTTGTGGAATGGTTCCCGAACAAAAAGGCCAAGGCGCCGGGGATGAAAAATGCCAACGTCTTTTATCGGAACCTCGAAGAAGCTCTTGACATCAAGCGCGCCGAGAATGCCACCTTCACCATTCGCAAGAATGAACCGAACCCGCGTTCGATGGACTTCAGCACCCTCGACTTCCTACACCTTAGCAAATCCGGGCTGATCAGACAACCATTCCTTGATGAACTTAGTGCGCATCCTGACTTCCATCTCGGCGCTGGTGGCTCGAGGCTCCTCAACGGCAACAACGCTTATACCGACGAGGCCGAGAAGGAAATTGCCGAGTTTCACAGCGGCGAGACTAGCCTGCTGTTCCACTCGGGTTTCGAAGCCAATGTCGCAATTATGGTATCTGTACCGCGGCCGGGCGATGCAATCGTGTTTGACGAGCTCGTCCACGCTAGCATGCACGAAGGCATGCAGACCTCGAAAGCTTTGTGCAAGAAGAGCTTCAAGCACAACGACACTGAAAGCTTTCGCGAGGTGTTGCTCGAGATTCGGGAGTCCGAGCAGATGATCCGAGAAGGAAAACGCAGCATCTTGGTCGCCCTAGAATCTCTTTACAGCATGGACGGCGACTTGTGTCCGCTTAAGGAGCTCATCGAGATTGGTGGAGAGATCTTCCCCGACGGCAACATCCAATTCTTCGTCGATGAGGCGCACACCACTGGAGTTTTCGGTCATCAAGGTCGAGGTTTCGTCAATGAGCTTGGTCTGGAGCACAAGGTGGCCATTCGTATGCACACATATGGCAAAGCCTTGGCGTGCACGGGTGGTAAGTGTCCTCCAAGAACGAATTTCCGTGCTGGATGCTCACATCAATCTAGCATCTGTCGTATGCAATGACACTGTGCGTGATACACTGGTGAATACCGCACGTTGCTTCATTTACAGCACTGCCCCATCGTTCCCTATGGTGGCGGCAATCAAAGCTGGGTACTATCTAATGAGGTCCGGTCAAACCGAGGCTGTAAGTTGTGGACTCTGCATTGCTCACCATGGAAGCATCTGCTGATTGCAAGTCTAGCTGCAAGATAACATTCGCCACAATGTCAAGCACTTCTGCAAGACCATGTCTGAGCACGAAATTTGGGACGAGGCGAACGACGAAGGCATCCTGCGGATTCCCAACATGGATGATTGGGAGAACAACCCCATGATCACACAGGTCATGCCTGTTATGACTCGCCAGAGATATACCAAGTTTCTCTGCTACCATCTGCAGCTTCAAAGTCTCAACTGCTTTCCTATCGACTACCCTGTGGTTCCACGTGGTTTCAACCGTCTGCGAATCGTCTTTCACGCCACGAACACCGAAGCCGAGGTGGAACATCTAGCTAACAGCATCTGTGAGTGGGCTCAAGAGATGCTATTGCTAGAAGAGAGCGGAAAGGGTGGTGTCAGGATCCCTTCGGCTGCTCGACAAGTTAATGAGGCTCATGCGGCCGCCGAGCTCGGTCGCGCGGGTGATCTTGCACCTGTGTCGGGCCAGGGACAAGGACGAGCAGCTAATTATCAGCTTCCCGTCCGGCCTGTTGCAGCAGGCGGAATCGCTGTCATGTAAATATGTTGCTTAAATATGTTCTCCCAGGCGTCCCGAGTGGTCCTTAAGGCCAGTGCAAATTTCTCCAGAACCGGTCACGCTGTTTGAGGTCCCGCTTCCTGAGGGATATGGATGTACTTGAATTCCGTTGCTCCCGCATCAAACAGCGACAAAATGATGTGAAGACCGCTCTTCCGGACTGTTCAGGAGCAGAGAACGAGTACGTCGACCAATCCGAAGTGGTTTCGGTTAGTTCGAAACCAAGACCAATCTTGAAGGCATCCCTGAGCCCTCGCTGTTGAGATTGAGCTCTTCGACGGCGTTTGCACCGCGACTTCTGATGCGCAACCAGATTGCTCTTCCGCGTGAACGAGGCATTGCAGGAATCGCAATGGATCCGTAGTCGTCGCTCGCGGAGATGACGAAGATAGTTCTCGCGGCAGGAAAATGCTCGTCCATCACAGCCATGGTCGTAACACCGTCGGATCTCGTCATTTGGGATGTTGGCGTCGACCGATGCGCTCGCTGAAGCGGGCGATAGCGCGTGTTCACCGGGCGTGTGGCTGTCGAGACGCTGGGCCTCCGGTGCAAGCAAATCTGGTCTTAGAAGGAAGAGGCGTTGTATCTCTTCTGCTGAAAGCATCGGTAAATCCGCACGCGATTGCTGAGCGATGCAGCAGTCGGTAGATGTCGGCTCGTTGACGTTGAATCGCGAAAGGCTTTCCAGATCACACTGTGGGCTTCGCTCACACCATGCTATGAGCTCGTTGATGTCGTACGTGCTGAGTTCGGGGTGCATCTGTATTTGGAAATCATCTTGAGAAGACATCGTGAATTGCGTGCACGAGTGCTGAACGGGCATGGACATTGGTATCTGTCAAAGTATAGGTTGGCGACCCATCTGTATTTATCTTGGTCCCACAGTGGATAGTCCTCCGGCGGGCAGGTCACGGCGCGTAAACGTCCATCGCTAGACAAAAGCATCAACAGAAGCATGATTTGATGTTATAAAGAACATCGCTATTGAAATGCGTGCACCAATGTCATCAAACAGTGTTTTGTTAATGATTCCAACAGAAGAATGTTTGCGCTAGTGTACAAGGTTTCAGTGCTTAGGATTTTGTTAGACTTTAGCACCGCTAGGACATGGACTGACGACATGAATATAAGAACGAGACATCACTGGAATATTCTAAATCAAAAGTAAGCGCAGATCATAGGCGGGAACGCCGATGTGAAATGTGCTAGGTCGCTCCATGCATACCGCAGTATCCGACGGGGTCCCCTACGCTGTGCACCCGCGTAAGGCTCGACTAAAGCCGATCTCATTGCGCGACTGAATCCTTTCCTCGGCCACGCCGACTTTTTAATAAGCTTGTTGGTGGAATTTGACACCACGAATGTAACGGCGATCGACAGACTATCTCAACAAGGCATACCGCACCGATGCACCATTGTAATCCGCTATCGTTCTTGACGCTGATTGCTCGGCATTGTGTCCTGATGGGAATCTCTCACAACGACAGCAGCGCCACAATTATTGAGGTGGTAAGGCCGAGCGCGAACCCCATATCGCTTTGAATGCAAGTGGCGGAGTTGTGATCAACCTTCGCATTACCACCGGTACCGCTGTTGCTGGTGGAGTTACTGCCCGAAGGTTGGGGATTGTTTGAAGCGGCTGCGCGATTACAAATCAGACTAGCAGGGCTGGTGTACACGCCCTTCAATCCAAGTATGTGCACATTGCTGGCTTGTAGATCGTAAGCCGTGCGGTTGCCGGCAGCGTAAGCCTCACTGATCGCGTACGCGTATGGTTCACCCTTGGAAACTAATGTGGTTCCATTCGAGCTTGATTTGCTATAATTACCAAAACCTGCATGCATGAGTGCTCGTCAGTATTGGGTTGGACAAAGTGTCAGGTATGCCATCCGTAACGTACGTGCACTGGAAAAGCCGTAGCCATCGCCGAGCGCTACCCCGAAGGTGCCACCGCACGATTGCGACACAGCAGTAGTCGAGGTACTGAAATCAGAGCAATCGCTGCGAATGCCTCCGATAAGGTCCATGAGTGCCTTCACACACTCGGCACCCAGCATACTAGTACAGTCAGAGCTGGTGGGATCATATTTCTCGGTCACATTCAAGGAAAAGAGAGCGTCGACAAGAAGCGCGCATGAACTAGATCCCGCGAGCTCTGGCTTCTGCGCGACCTCTGCCTGCAGAGCATCATCAAGGGTCCCTCCAGAAGGCCAGGTGAAGGAATGAGTCGTGTAGGCGACATGCGCATCTGTCAGTTGAAAGAGCGAGGCGTTCGGCATGTTGACATCGCTGACGCGAACTGTCCAATTCCACGTGCCCAATCCTGCATGCTCGAAGCTGACAGTGTGCGTGCTGTTGGGACTGTGGTCAGCGACGCTAAGAGCGGCGAATCCTGATATTGGCCGGCCAGGGCGTACGCTCTCACGAGCCATCACCGTCGACTGGAGTAGCGCCCATGAGAAAAGGATCAACGCCATATCGAGCTGTCGCGGGACCTGTCGATGTTGGAATATGATGGCAAAGGAGAGAGACATGTGCGTAGTGAAGATCGCAGCGCTTTTCTTTTCGAGTCATCATTACGGCGCAGCATGAAGAACTGTGACGACGTTCCTCGGCTACGAGATCGCCATCGCCATCATCATCGTGCGCTTCAAGTAGAAACCGCGCGCCGGTAGTTCCTCGAAACCTACTCGGTTTGCTCCTCACGATCTTCACGGCCTCATGAGAAGCTTTTGCGGCGCGGTGAACATGACGTCGGGCTGGACAGTGACAACAAGATCGGCAAGCGGGAAGCACGCTTGTGAGGAGCTAGAGGAGGTAGTCAGGCTGCTAGAAATGGATTCGTGAAGCTATTTCCGGGGCGAGTTGCATATGATCGTCCGAGCGATGTTGGGCCCAATGTCCCCAGCCATGCCTACATTTCCAAGGAGGTTCTTCGCTTCTGAGGTGGATTGGAAGTCAACGGCCCGGTGCCGAGTCAGCAGCAGACGCCGGCCGCTTGAAGCATGACTCGGCCTACACCTCCCGAATGCCGCCCGGGCGTGTTATTATTACTGTACAGGCATCGGTCACACCGGACGGGGCACCCTGATGGCTATTTTCCATTGATGGAAACGACATCTCACAGGACTCGCAAGCTGGGAGGTATTGGATGAGGGAGTGTCAAATTAGTCATCAATGGACTGATATATCGGGTCTACACGTGACTTCCAATCCAACATTTCTATGGATATGTCCATGTCTCCCACAGTTTTTCCATCGACCGCTCACGTCTTGTCGAGATGTATTCAGAGTCAAAGGCCTTCCCGCCTCTCCCGACAGTTCAACAACAGCTCAATCATCACTAAATCAGGATGCATTCAAATCAGTAGAGATGCTTTTCAGAATGTCGAATCGCGCATTGGCCTCCTTCGACCAGACCTCCGACCTCCGATAATAGCCCTCGTAGATCGGTACGCCTCTCTCCTTTTCACCCGTCAAGTCCACCCAGTCTAGCTTCGTCGACGTGAAGATATGGACGTCGGGCTTCATCCCTGCCCGCGAACGATCCGCATGGTCGATCGTCCCCAGCTTGACATATTTCATCCAGGTCCCGTCGCCGCCGTAGTCCGCGTACACCGCGACCCAGCACTCCGGACACCTCGCGATGACTTGCCCTTCGCCGGACGGCGTCGGGGTCGGGACATGCTTCGGCTTGGTGGAAGAGGTGAGGCGGAAGTTGCTGCTCTCGATGATCGCGTTCAGAGCGAAGGCGCCCCCGGACTCCCGCTGGCACCACGTGCAATGGCAACAGTGGATGCAGAGGAACGGGGCCAGGACTTCGTAGGTGACGGCCTTGCAGTCGCAGTGGCCATTGCACGGGATGAATCCTTGTTCCGTCGACATCGTGTCTTGCGGTCGCCTGCAGTTCAGCCTTGCTCGTCGGTGTTCGTCGATCGCGTTGCCGGCTTCGAAACTTCTTCTGCTGTCGCCAAAGGTTGGAGAGGACTATCAAGAAGGAAGAGAGATATCGGCGAAGGGGTCTCTATCATTATAAGCTGACGAAGGATTCCGCGCGGGGTAGGTTATCTCTTCTTCTCAAGTCCGTCGACTGCCAATTGCCTTGTCTCGTGTCCGGCGTGCTTCGGGGCGAATGAACCGACATTTCTCCGGCATGGTCGGGGACTCCTGCAATTGGCCGAAGACGTGCCAAAAGCAATGTCGCTGTGCTCGATTTCCCTGCGTTTCCAGTCTGGATGTCTGCCCGCCCGTTCTGCTTCTGCTTTTGGATTTATCTTGGCCCTCACTGCAAACCTTGGAATCATCGTATTCAGGGGCTGACAACCCTAACGCAGAAATATCGACGGATGCAAAAATGAAGATCAGCTCATGGAATGAACATCATTCGTGTGTGTATACAAATAATCAAGTCTCAACCATTATCGAGCGATTTTTTCCGTTCAGAAATGTTCCCCTACAAGATCGATGTTCACAAGTCACTTCGATTAGCCTCCGAGGCGTGAACTATTCCTGCCGGCAATCAGCCCCTTTCCGTCCCAGCAACACCCACGACCCCAAACCACGCCATACCCGCCAACGCACCACCGACGATCGTCAGCGCCGGGGGACTCTTGAACCATTGCGTCGCGACGAACGCCGAGGCCGCGACGACTCCCCAGAACGGATCGACCGTGAGGGGCCCCGACGCCGACGCGCGTTGCACGCTGGAGCTCGTCGCCGGGGTGTAGATGTACCCGACGAGGAACAGCTGCCAGACCGCCGTGTACACGAGTCCCGCAGCGGCGGCGTTCAAGCCCCGCAGGACGCTCTTGGTCACGCCCAGTTTGCGCCAGCTGTTGTAGACCGGCAACAGGGCGAGCTTGAGCAAGATCCCGGGCGAGAAAATACCCAGCCAGCCGAGGAAGGCGCCGAGCAGAGGGTTCTGGGGGAGCGACAGCATGCCGAGGTAGACGGCGAAATTGAAATTCGGGCCGGGGAAGGCCTGCAGGATGGCGAAGCCGAGCAGGAAGTCGCGCGATTCGACCCAGCCGTTGTCGACGGTGTAGCCGCGGAGCAGGGGGATGACGACGGGTCCGCCGCCGAAGATGATGATGCCCGCCAGCGCCATGTTCGCGAAGAAGTCCATCGCGCGCGGCGGCGAGGGCAGTTGGCCGCGCACGACAAGCAGCGTGATCAGAAAGACCAGGAGGGTGAAGCCGAGGCCGAAGGCTAATCTCTTGTCTGGGACCATGAGCTTGGTGGCGTCTCTTGCGTCGACAATCTCGGTAGATGTCACGTTCGGCGACGGAACAGCTGCGGCCTGTGTGTTTCTGTTGCGGAGCGTGGATGATGCAGGCTGTGTTCTATCCTGAGGGGAGGTTTCAGTAGTGCCCCCCAGCCTCTGAGACCCGTCAGAGCCTCGTGCCGGCAGCGACTCAAGCTCGATATCCTGCGAAGCCGTTTGCGGCGCTTCGGCTTGCTCCTTCCGCAGGCTTCGACGAATCCTGCCCGGCACGAGGAGCTCGAACAGCTTCCGTCGATAATCGAAGACCAGCGTGATGAGCCCGCCCGCGAACACCAACACCGGGTACATCCACGGCGCATGGTAACAGATCCCGAAGGACGCCGTCCCCAGCACGAGCAGCCTGGTCACGCCGTCCGTGATCGCCGTCTGCGAGAGCTGGTACGCCGCCAGCGCGATCAGGCCCACGGCGCTGGCGTTGAGCCCCGTGAGCAAGGCCAGGACCGTCGGCGGCAGGCGCTCGGGGAAGGCGCGCACGCCCGCCCCCAGCGCCGCCATCCCGACGGCCCCGGGCAGCGACCAGAGGAGGAACGCCAGCAGGCCCGCGAGCGTCCCGTTCCGCACGACGGCGATGGAGAAGGCCAGTTGCGTCGAGCCCGGACCGGGCAGCGCATTGCCGAGCGCGAAGAGGTCCGCGAAAGTCGTCGCGTCCACCCAGGCGAGCTTGTCGACGAACAGGCGTCGCAGGATGACGACGTGGACGCCCGGCCCGCCGAAGGCGGTGAAGCCTAGGTGCCAGAAATGTCGGATGGTTTCGATCAATCGCGGGCCGAGTTTGCGGGTGTTTGTGACGGCATTGTCGTCGTCGTCGTCGTCCACGGTGGTGCCGTCGCGCAGGGAGCTATGGTCTTGTCCGCGCGTGGCGACCGGCTCGCTTGATTTAGGGATGACAGTTGTGTGGGTGACCGTGGTTGTAGACATTTTTCTTCCCTTTCGGAGAACCCAACGGCTTCGAGCAATGCGAGAAAAGGCCGGGAAAGGCCGTTTGGCGCAACCGATGAATGAGGGAAGGGATACTTGTAGCCATTGACTCACTTCGAGACAGATGCCACGAGGCGCGCTAGTGGGGACCCTGGGGCGTTTCCCATGCACGTGGGTGGTACATGTTTCGCATGTGGTGGGCGGCACCGGCGTCCACGCTGATTTAGGGTTGCGAGGTGGGCTTTTTGCGAGGGTCTCAGATGGCTTGCATTGCCATCACGTTACAATTGATTTTAGGAGATCTGTGCAAGACGCAGTTCAAACATGGAGAGACGAACAGGCTCTCGGGAAGGAGTTGTTATGGGTAGGTATGTGCGTTTCTCACGGTTGGAACGACAAGCGTATCCTGCACATCCGGTTGGCCACCATGTTTGATATTTATGTCGCGCTGTGCAGGACATTTTAATTGTGTCGATTCTGTTCTGGAGTCTGCATAACCTATTCCGCGACGACGACCAACACAAGATAATCTAGATTTCCATTGAGATCTTCACTACATCAAACTGTGAAACGTAAAAATAAACGAGAGTCCATAATTTCCGACCAGGACACCCACCGCTAAAATCGCTGACAGACCGGAACCACAAAAAAAAGGAAAAAAATGGAGATGCCAAGCATTCTCCGCTCGTCATAGAAAGGGAGGGGAACTATGAAAAGAGATGTGGGGGATGTGGTGGACGGGATCGTCTCAGATTTTCTCCGGCAGGGGGAGGCATCGCTCCTGGGCGCGCTTCGTCGCGTCCACGAACCCGTCGCGCTCCTCTTCCGTTTTGAATTCGATCCGGAGGCCCGTGACCCGTTTGACCGTGTCGCGGCGCTGTTGGCGCACGACCGCGGGGGCGCCGCCAATGGAGGCCGTCTCCGTCACGGAGGTGTCGGTGCGGGTGAGCGGCGGGGGCACCGGGTTTCCGGCGTCGGCGGTGCTCGACCCGGCCACCGGGGTCCCTGGCGTGCCCGGCACAAGCAGATTGTGGTTGGTGGAGATGGATCCGGGGGTGGACCCGGCAGTGTAGGAGGCGGAGGACGACGGTGCGGCGGTGGAGGCGGCGATGGAGGGCGAGGCGGTGGTAGAGGTGTTGGAAGAGGTTGAGGTTGCGACCAGGCCGGGCCGCACGACCGTGATATCGATGCCCTTCACCTTGGCATGTTTCGCCGAATCGGCTTTGATACGGACCTCCTGTAGTGAGGAGTTGATCCACCATCGAGCCCAGCCATTTCCGAAATTCGATGATACGTGGAGGAGAGCGAGCAGACCGCCTTGCGCGCCTGGCGTGGAGACGCCGTCGTCTTCCCAAAGACGGAGCATCTCGATGTTGGCGAACTGCTCCTCAAAGGCAAACGTGCCGCGCAGACCCGGGTGGATGACCGTGGTTTTGGTGGTTCGATAGCTGCCGATCAACGTACGACCGAAGACAGCAGACTGGAAGGCGACGGCGTCGTTTGCCGAGGCAAAGTAGTAGTTCACCCAGGATGTGCGTTGCTCCTCCCGGAGCGGCGCGCCCCAGATTTCGGCGTGGAACTTGAGGTTCACGTGAGGCCCATCCACTGGTTGAAGGGAGACTTTCTCGGGCTCGAAGTATGAGCAGTAAGGCACGGTCTCGTTGACCTCGGAGAGCTTGTGTTGGATGCGATGCGTGCCGTCAGAGGAGAGGATCCAGATCGAGGTGACGACTTTGGTGCCGACATGCTCGCGGTTCTCGCGCTTCCGGACCACGCAAATCCGGGCCTCGCGACAGGCCTCCACCATCTCAACATTATACCGAGGATCAGGCTCGTCGAGGTTGGTGCGGGAGTATTCGATCAGACGGCCACGGACGTCGCAAAGAATGGCGGAATTCCGGAACAATTGCCTCTCGAACTGTGAGCCATCCAGATAAGATGGCGTCTGCGCTTGAAGCACCGGCGATTGTCGCCGCGACGCCGGCTTTGCCGTTTGAGGTCGCGAAGGCACCTGCGGCTGAGACGGACCGGGGTTGGCGGGCAGCGAAGGCCGTCCACGTCGTTGTCCCCCAAAGAATGACGAAGGCGTCGCGGGCGCGGTCTCACCGCTGTCTCCCGCCATCGCTGGCGGCGGGAGTAGATTTGTGGCGCCGGAGGGTCCAGAGAATCGCCATGATCGACCACCGCGGCTGTTCGGGGAATGGCTTTGACCGGGATGCTCGCGAGCCACGCCGTCGGAGGCTCCGAAATCGTGCTCGTCGACGGCGAGATCTATGGCTTCGAAGCGGCTCGGGAGAGTGGTTGACTCGCGACGTGGGACGTTGGACTCCCGGCGGGAGACAGGTTCGGATCGTGCAAAAGCGCTGTCGTTGGGCGATGGTGCCAGAGCGGGGACGATATCGAGGTGGGCGCCGATGCTATGGCGGTCGTCCTCGAGCGATCCGTTCTCGAACCCCCAGTCCATCGAACGGCCATGGTCGTCCTCACGAGCGTGACGGACGTCCGTCGCGATCGGACCGAGACGGCTGGGACCAGCCGGAGGGCTGGCGTAGAGCACGGAATCCTCCCGAGAATTGGCCGTCCGAGCGCGCGCACGGACGACAGGCCTCGTCGTGGTGGAGCCCGGTTTGGAGTCCCGGCCAGGGTGCCGGGGTGGGGGCACAAGCGTGGGGGGAAGCGAAGAGGAATTGGCAGCCGAAGGCATGGGCGGCAGCGGCGGGGCTCCAAGCACGTGGGATGACGGAGCACCTGCACTCGTGCTTGCACCTGCGCCTCCTCCCGGCGTTCTGCATTCGAGGGCCGCCGCACTCGTGCTCACACTGGTGCGCGCGCTATTCGGCGCACTGTGCCAGCGGTTACCTGGATGCACGTAGAGCGGAGAGACGCTGCTGTCGTCGCTGGCGATCGCGTCCAAGCTGTCGTGCGCGTCCTGGATCTGGTCGCGGGTGTCGTCGTGATGTCGGCGGTCATGCACGCGCGACATGCTCTCCGCCATGGGTACGACCATGTGATCCAGCCTCGCCAACGAGCGCGACCGCAGCACCTCCGTGGCCATGGTGATGGCGCGGGTGTGGAGATGGAGCAGAGATCGGAGCTCGCTCAGGTCGCCTCCTGCGGCGGTCCATTTGAATGTCTTGTAGCCCGCGATCACGACCTCGCTCCAGTTGCGCTCCACCACGAACCCACTGCTCGTCTCTTTCTTCCTGATCACTTGGTAGCGCTCGACGAAACCTTCGAGATCGCTCAGTGTCTTCCGCGCACTGTCGAGGACGGTGTTGAGTGCGGCTCTGGTCTCCGCGTCAGCCTGGTGCAGGATGTTGTTGTTCGAATGCAGGGCTTCGGCCAGCATCTTCAGCGCTTCGCTGAGTGCGTTTGCTTCTCGCTCGATCTCTGCGAAGTCGGCGGGCGCGGTTTGCCTCTTGTTCGAGAATGCCCGACCGATCTTCCAGGCCATCTGCGACTGCATGAGAACATCGCCGACCGACAGCGATGGGGTCGCCATGTCGGAGGAGGCTCGTCGAGCCGACGGCGGCAGAAATGCAGCCCAGACGATCGTAGGGCGGCGTGTAGAACTAAACCGTCCAAACCTCTCGGTCTGCTGGGAGGATGTCGATGTGCATGGACTTGCGAGAGTGGCTATGCGGCGATCAGGGCAAGTCGGGTCGGTGACAGGGCGCAAGCTCTCGCCGATATGACGCTGCGCCGCGAGTAAGCTAGATCCACTGTCGCGTAGAGGGCGGCCTCAATGTCGGGGAATATTTGGTAGCATCGAAGGGCCGTCGGAGGGATGTGAAAAGCGACTGTCGAACCCGGGATGCGAATTATAATCACGGACGCAATATGGACTCGGCAGTGCCAGGTTCCAGAGCAGAGCAGAGCCGTACCCAGACAATCAATTTCGGGCTAAAAGCGTAGCACGGGGCAGTCGGCCGCCAATAGAAGCCATGAAACAGGGTAGCTGCTCGTCACGAAGATGCGCCAAGCCTGGCAGCACGGCCGTTGAAACAAGCCCGACGCTGTGGGTCGCCGTCGCCGTCGCCAATAATAAATAACAATAATAATGGGGAGGATGATGATGATACAATCGGACGATGCCTGCAGGTGGTGGGTAGCGGAAAACGTGTCGAGGATGGCGATGGACGCCGAGGAGAAAAAGGATGGTTGAAATTCCACGGGGATCTAGTTGGAAATGGTAATGATTGATGAGGGACGACGACGACGACGACAGCCCGAGGAGAAGGAGGAGGAGGAGGAGGAGGAACACACCGGCGTGCATGTACTGCGGTCAGTGTGCTGTACCGTACCGTATGTATATCACGTTGTTGACCGTCATCATCAGGCCATATATACATGTATATATACACGGAAGCTCGTGACTGTGCCTCTTATTATTTATCATTCCTACAGCACAGCTGTGGGCGGTTGAAATCAATTGGTCCATACACAAGTGATGATAACATACAGTACACCAACAGAGAAGACTGACAAGGAGAAGGAGGAGCAGCAGCAGGAGAAGGAGGAGGAGGAGG